TTGCTCGAACCCCGAGAGGAGCCCGTCGACGTCGGCTCGGAGAGGGAGCACCCAGTGATCCGAGTGGAAGAAGAGGCGGAGGACGGTGTGAAAGTTCGAGCTGGGCGGGACGAGCGGAAGCGTGTCTGTCTGCGCCAGCTTGTGTCGCTTTGGCTGCGGCTCCTCCTGCTGTGGTGTAGCAATGTCCTCACTCGGTTGGCGTCGCTGAGCAGCTCGACGCGCGGGTACGGCACGCTTCGCGGGCGGCGGAACATCAATTGAGCGGGTTACTGGAGCTTTGCGAGAAGGCAGCGTGCAGCCAGCTAGTCCTGCGAAGCGAGTGTGCGTGAACAGAGTGAGCGGGACGAGGGAGAGAGGCGGAGGAGGGGAAGTCGCGGGTTCAGCTCATTCGAAGGGGGCCACTGAAACCTGGAGGAGGTCAGAAGAGTACTGTAGTCCTTCAGACCGTAGCAGTACTCCCCAACGAGGTCGACGATGCCTTCCTCGTCGCTTTCGCTCCTTGTCCTCCTTCAGTTCACTCGCTGCTCGCTTCGTCGCTCTGAAGACGCGCTGAACGCTTGTTTAGACCAACGCAGGCACGTGCAATCGACCGTCGAAGCTGCTCAGCCCGCGCACCCGGACTCGCCGTCGCATTCCGCCTCATCAGTTCCGACGGGGGACGGTCGAGAAACCCACTTACACGGCTCGTCGAGCACGGCCTGCCCTCCAGCGGTCCCCCTGAAGCTCATCTTGTAGTCACACACCGCTCCCACGCCCGCGCAGGCGTCCGCTCGCCCTCGGCGAGGTCGTTCCCCCCCTTCTTGCCTCCTCGCTTTCACAGCTGAGACGAAGCATGGGCTGCTGCGTCTCGCGCCAGACTCACTGGGACCTGCGTCTCGACCACGGCTTCGTCCCGCCTCATCTCGCTCATCAACTCGCGCCCTTCGCCTTCGCCGATCACCCCCTCTACGACCCTGCCCTTTCCCCCCTCTATTCGCTCGAATGCGAGCTTCTATGGCGCGCGATACCGTTCAAGACCTGGTTAGGCAAACTGCAGGACGAAGGCGTCGCCCTTGGACAGTTGCGGGTACTCGATGAGCGTTCTGCGGTCGGGGTGCCAGTACGAGCGGACTTAGAGCAGCGCCGAGGCGAACTCGTAGCTCGCGTGTACGAGCTGAGAATGGGCTACACGGGTGCGCTCTCATGGCCTTCCCGCCGTCACCCCCGGCTTACACCACGATTTGCAGTCGTCCTTCACGCCAGGGTCCTCTTCCTCGAGTGGCTGCTTGCGCGTGGCTTGTTGGTTGAGTATGCCTACCAGGGTCTCGAGGAGTACGCCGAGGGGTCCGCAGGAGGCTTGTCCATGTACTGGCCCAAAGCTGCGCGACAGAAATGTTCAGAAGGCGCGATGGTCCGGGCAGACTGGCTCCTTGATCGCTTCTCGAACGAACGATGCGGTGCGTAGCGCAGCCTTCTCCGTTGAGACACCGCTGACTCGACCACGTTCTTCAGCTCCCAACGGCCTCGGTTCTCCTCGCCTTGCCTTCCTTCATTGCGCAGATCCCTCCCTCTTTACCTCAATCGACCCCCCTCCTATCGACATGATTCCCCCGCGCAACGCTCTGGCTCGTATCGTCGGTCTCGCCTCACCCGCCCCTTCAGAATCGCCGCCCGCCTACACGCCTGATTGCGACCACGAGGACCAGCACGAACCCGGCTCGTCCTTCTCCATGATGCGCCCGTCCGACTCTGATCATGGCGACCCCACTGAAGTCAGCGTTAAACACGGACGACCAGCCTCATGAACGCAGCGCCCCGAAGCCCAAACCTGTACAATCTTCCCCGTCTCACCTCCTCGTCAATCTTCTCGTTGTTCTACTTTCGTCCCTGTCGTCGGCTGTACACTTCCGCTGTAACTCGCCTCGCTTTCGTCCGACGTTGCATCGTTGTTCAGCGCCCAGCGCCTCGAGTTGCCGCACTTCGCTCGCTTGTCGCTCTCGCGGCGGAAAGGACAGATGCTCTCCTCTAAGGGATGCACGAGATCGCCGCAACTTGTTCGGAGATCTGCTGACGTGGTGCGCAGCTCAAAAGAAGAGGCTGCGTTCGACAGCGTGCCGGACGAGCGGGCAGAGGGGTCGACGCCGAGATAGACGGTGGTGGGCGACTCGACGTGGGTCCGCGCCGCTCGACTAACTTGTCCGAGTCGGTCAGCAACTTTCTACGTCGACTCGAGCGCACCAGAGAGCGTGCGCACCTCGTCAGCTCTGCCAACATCCCTCGCTCCTCCAGCTCGCGGATCACGTTCGCCCGCCGCGCCGACGCTGAAGACGACCGCGCAGTAGCTCTAGAACGTGTACACGAGCATCTCAGCAAGCGAAGAGCGTTCCGGGACAGCATTGCCGCGGTGGAAAGAAGCGGTCCTCGTCGAAGCCAGGAGGGTTGGCCCAGCTCGCCTCGCTTCGTCTGCTTCGCTTCGCTTGGGCTGCTCGAGAGTGCGCTTGTATCGGACTGGACTTCTACGACCGGCGAACCAAGCTTCTCGCGGCGCTCTCCATCCCCTTCCTCCTCATCTCCTCGCGCACCAAGGTCAGTCGTACCTCGCCGGCTGAGGTTTGGCGACTGCTACAGGCCGAACGAGCGGCCTGGGAACGCCGGAACCGTAAGCGGAACCTCCCGCGCGCCGTGGTCACCTCACCCCTCCCTCTCGCATTTCTCATCAGTTCACTCCGCTGCCAGCGCATCATGCTCTTCAGGAGGTCGCGCAGCCCCTCAGAGGTCCCTCCAGAACACAACCACGGCCTGGTACCTCCCCGACTTGCCCATCAACTCGCCCCCTACGTCTTCCAAGACGACTCGCTCTACGTCCCCAAGCTCCCGCCGCGCTACTCTCTCGAATGCGAGCTACTCTGGCGTTCCGTCCCAGCCACTCTCTGGTATGCCAAGGACGTCGCGGCGAAGGATGCGGAAGAACAGCTCGTGCGGGTGCGTGAACAGCTCGCAGCGGGGTCAGGTACTCGCAGGGAGCTGAAGAAGATGGAACACGAGCTGGAGGAGCGCGTGAAGATGCTGGACATGGGGTATACGGGTGATTTTTCTGCGCACTCCCGAGCTCAACAGCGGCTGACGGTTCAAACTTCCACAGTGCTCTATCGCGCCAGCTTCTTCTTCTTCCTCTGGCTCTTTCAACATGGCATAACGCCCGAGCACGGCTACCAGGCGCTGGAAGAGTACGCAGAAGGCGCTGCTGGCGGGTTGGCGCCGTTCTGGCCGGATGAGGCTCGTGACAGCTGCTCGGAGGGAGCACTCGTGGCGCCGGAATGGGTCCTTGCACGCTTTGAGGCGGAAAAGGCTGGTGCGTGACTTGTACCGTTGCTCTTCGAATTCCCTGACTGTCGTTGGCACTGCAGGAACCGGCAAACTACCGCCTCCTCAACTCGCTTTCCTCGCCACCGACAATCCCGACTATCGCTCGTATCCTGACCCTACGCCCGTCACGATCATTCCACCACGTAATCCAGCGGCACGCATCCTCGGACTGGTCCACTGCGACCCATCCGAACAGCCTCCGCCCTACACCTCGTATCGTGACGGTTGCGAAGCGGGTACGGATCTTCCCCCGGACAAGACAAGTCTTCCCCCCGACTCGTCCGTCGCCAAGGCGTACTCGGTCGACTCGGGCCACAACCCGGCTGGCGACCTCATCGACTTCGAAGAAGGCCCTTCCTCGCCGTCTCCGCACTCTCACGGCACGCTCTGATCTGACTTTCGCCTAGCCTCCGCTATTTCTTCCATATCCCTTCTCTGTTCGTGTTAGTCAACGGACCCGCCTGAAGTCTAGCTTGCCTGTCTCCCCAGCCCTGTGTCGTTGTGCAATGCCCAGCTCTCGAGATCACCGCACTTCTCGTGCGCTCGTCGTCTCGAGGTGAAGCGAGCATCGCGCTCTCTTCTCCCGGTCGGACGCACTCCTACAACTGACTAAAGATGTCCCAACCTTGCGCAGCTGAGAAGGAGATCCTGTGCCGGCGCACAACTTGCCAGACAAGTTCGCTTCGATGACTTCTCCCCCACTATCGCGCAACTCCGGTTTGATCCTCACGCAGAGCTGTCTCTTGTGACACTTGCAAGGCTCGCGCTGTGCGTCTAGCTAACCGCGACCCACGACGGCGAACGGCGGCGGAAGAAGGCGAGGCGGCTGGGAATGGCCTGGTTTGGAGAATTGCAAAAGCTCCAGCCGGCGACCGGCACCTTAAGCGGTACGGCAAGCGAGTAGAGAGCCCTCCTATACCATTATACGGCCTGCAACTCCTCTGTCGCCTCTCGAGCAGCCGGATCGTGCGCCTCAGCCCGACTTCGACGGATCGCCAAGTACGTGACTGACGAGGCGGGCGTCTTCCACCTCGTGTAGAGGGCATGAGCGTGGTGAGGACGCTGAGTTCGCTGCTGAGAAGCGGAGGCGTATGGGTGCGGGAAGGAGACAAGGTTCGAGGAAAAGGTGAGGGGCGGCGTGCTGGAAGCTTGTGTCTTGGCGTGTATGGCGTTGTGCCGTGAGGAAGCGGAGGACTTAGGGAGGAAGGATAGGAAAAGGGGAGCAGAACAATAGAGTGCTTCAGCGACTTCAAGAATGAGCAAGTCGAGCGAGAAGAAATCACTCACCAGTCTCTAGATTCGTGCGGCCCCAACATTCCCTCCTCTTCGCCCGCTTAAGACTCCCCTCCTCCCGCCTGACCCGCAATCGCCTCAATCCGCTCCGCCAGCTTGACATCCAGCGCCGTCAACTGGTTCCCTTCGTCGTGCGTCGTGAGAGCGATCGAGACGCGGTTGTAGACGTTTGTCCACTCTGGGTGATGCTTCAGGATGCACTCGAAGCCTCGTTAGCTGCGTAGGAGAGAGGGAAGACAGCCGGGAGGGAGCGAACGTACGTTCAACTTCTCAGCAACGAGCGCAACCCGACTCATGAACCCCCACGCCTCGCTGAAGTCCTTGAAGGTGTACTCCCGGCTCAGCTTCTGTGTCGCAGAACCCGTCGAAGCCGCGAATGAGAGTTGCCAGCCGCGTTCAGTGAGAGAGGTGAGGGAGGTGGTCGAGGCGGCTTGGCGGCGGAGGGCGGCGTTGGAGGTGGTAGCCATCGAGCGAAGACCGTTTGAGAGGGTTTGGGAGTGTATAAGCGCCGAAAAGCGCGATGAGAGCATGTTGCGGCGAGCGGGAAGGGGGAGACCCTCCTCGACAACGAGCGATGAAGGGCTTGTCGCCATCTGCTGAGCGTATGGCTTCGTCGGCGGAACGAGTAGCTTTCTTCAAGCCCGGCGGAAAGCCAGAAAGAAGCAAGGATGGCGAGAGGAAGGAGTCGCAACTTGCAAAGTCCCTCGTCCCGCTTTCTCTCAAAATAAGCTGGAGCGTTCCTGCCAGAGCGGGCGACGTTCACGAGCATCTCAGCCAACAGAGAGCGTCCTGGTCCAGCAATTTGAGAAGTGCAAAGCCCGTCCTCCGCCAGCGCAAGCCGGCCTCTCTTCAAGCAAGAACACGGATGTGGAAACGAAACGTTGGTACAACACTGTCGACGATGCGAAGAGAGAAAAAAGTTGGTCGACAGTTGCAGAAACGAGGCGGGTGCGAGTCCCACACCGCTGCCCACAACCGTCTTCTCCCCGCTGAAAGAAAGAAACCACATCCATCGTTGCCGAAGAGTGGTGTCGCGCGCGCACACACAAGCATCGGGTAGCGAGATGCGGCGCTCGTCGAGACGGGTCGGTGTGTCGGGTGTTTTAAGCCCAGCCGCCGGCCTGGTTCGAGGCGGCGACCTGCGAGTCCTCGGCAGCCCAGTCGGTCGACTCCTGCGTGTTGGACCAGTCGATACCTGTTGCGGACCAATTGTATGGGGCGGGGTCAAGATAAGCTCGCGTTCGACTGAGACGAGGGGGGCAGAGCGGGGGAGAGGGAGAGAAAGGAGGGAGTACGGACCAGCCTCGGTGGCCGGGAGCTGCGACGACGCAGCGGCGGCGATGGCGGCATTCGAGCCGGTGACCTCCCAGTCCGAGACGCCAGCCTCGGCGGCGGGCTCCTGGTCGGCGGGAGCGGCCTTGGCGGCGGCGGCAGCCTCCTGCTCGCGCTCGATCTCCTCCGGGTCGCGGTACTGCGCGTCGATGACGAGTCAGTCTCGCACCATCTCGGGAGTGCACGCGGGCTACTCACGAAGAACATGTCGACCATGACGGGCCAGGCGTCAGAAGCGCGCGAGATCTGGCCACGGAGGCGGAGGACCTCGCGGCAGAGGAGCCACCAGATAAGGCCGATCGAGTGCTTCGACTTGTTGTTGGCGGGGATGGCGACGTCGACGTAGTTGAGGGGCGAGTCGGTGTCGCAGATGGCGATGACGGGGATGTTGACGTACGAGGCCTCACGGATGGCCTGGTGGTCGACGCGCGGGTCGGTGACGACGATCAAGCGCGGCTCCTTGAACGAGCGCGTGATGTAGTTGGTGAAGTTGCCGGGGGTGAAGCGGCCGGCGATCGCCTGCGCGCCAGTGTTGGCAGCGAACTTGAGGACGGCACGGTGGCCGTAGGGGCGGGCCGAGATGACGCAGACATCGTTGGGGTTCTCGATGGCGGCGATGACACGGGCGGCGAAGACAATCTTCTCCCAGGTCTTGCCGACGTTGATGATGTTGACACCTGCGAGCGCCTCGAGGTCAGCTCAAAAGCTCGGGACCGATCGAGTCGACCGCGCGACGCACCGTCAGAGCGGCGCTTCCAGACGTAGGGCGTCATCTTCTTCTCGACGTTCTTGGAACTGTGCGCGGCGCACGCATGTCAGCTCGAAATCGGGTGTCGAGAGAGGGAAGGGAAGCTGGGACGCACCCAATGTGGGCCTGAGCCTGGAGGAGGAGGGAGATGTCCTCCTCGGTGGCCTGGAGGGCGGCAGGAAGGCGAGACGACGACATCTGTAGCGTGAGGCGAGGTGAAGAGGGTGAGGGAGAGTCTCGAGGAGGGGGAGACGAGGTGGTGTGTATGCCCGGCTGCGCGCTCTCGACCTCCCGCTGCTTCGCGCGCATGCCTGGCTGGTCCATGCGACCCTGCTCGACCCATTGCCACCACCCGTGAGCCCGCGCACCGCCGTCACCGCGAGCCATCCACCCATCAGCGAAATCTTCACCCGGTCCCCCCTGCGCACCGTCCACCTCGTCTCGCGAGCCCGTTCGAACGCGCAGGGTGTAGCAGTCGAGTGAGAGAGTCTAGCGCACGGTGTCTGGAAGGGTGAACTGCGCGCGGGCGGGGAGCGAAGTTGACGAGGAGCACAAGCGAGGTCGAGGAGCGCGAGGCGAAGTCGACGGCGAGGACAGGGGGCAAAACAAAGCGGGACAAGCTTTTCTAGCGAGTGAATGTAGTGCCGTACACTCTTACTGGGCTTGTAGTGACACTGGCGAGTGACTTTGACTGTCGGGGACATCGTCGCAGTCAAGCGGGACGACCAACAGGAGGTCGAGGAGAACCAAGTCGTCGTATGACGAGAACAGAGGGGCAAAGAGACCTGTATCGGATTCTACTGGCTGTAAACGAGAAGAGCGCACTGCTGCTGTAGACCAGGCGGAGCAGGGGCGCAAAGAACGAGCGATATAACCATCACCTCCCTCCGGCGTCTAAACCTTCTCGATCTGCTCCTCCTCTCCACGCACAACCTTGTCGCTGTCGACGATGTGCTTGGCGACGGGCGCGACGAACCCTTCGACTGGCGCCCGAGGAGACCGGCGCATCTGGACGTTCCCGTCTGCGAAGAGGGCGTCAATCTCTTCCAGCGAGAGACCTGTGCACCCGAACGAGCTCGTTAGCGCTGTGAAGAAGGCAAGGAGGACGGGTGAGGACTCACGAGCCGTCTCGGGGTACAAGAAGTACAGCATCGGGACGAGGAGGGCGTTGAGGACGGCAAAGACGATGTAGTACTTGCCCTTGATGCCATCAAGAGCCGGAGGCGAGATTGTGACGACGACAAAATTCCAGATCCAGTTGCTAGCGCTCGAGAGAGACGCGGCGATGGCACGGGTTGCGAGCGGGGTGACCTCCGAGGGGTAGAGCCTGCGCACCGCGAAAGCGTCAGTTCCGCTCCTTCCCCTGTGACCTGTGAGCGCTCAGAGAGAAGCATGGTAGGCACAGAAGCTCGAGCGAGACATCTCGAGACCTCCGACACCCTCCCGCCTCCGCCGGTCCACTTCCTCCTCCTCCTGGAACGAGACCAACCAAAGGTGAAAGCTCAACTCACCAACTCGGTCCCAACCAACCCACACTAAACGACGCAAAGAAGAAGAACAACATGCACGCGCCCGTGACGCCCTCGCCGTACGAAGGGCTGCCGTTGGCTAGGACGCCGGCCATGATGGCGAAGATGACGGCTTGCAGGGCCGCGGTTGTCCACCTGTGTACGCAGGAGGGTGAACGGGGCGGATGGAGGGGAAAGGGAAGGCAGCGTACATGAGACGGACGCGACCGACGCGGTCGATGAGGAAGGTGCCGAGGATGACGAAGCAGAGCCTGCGAGCCGCACAAGCGTTAGCTTGACAGTCTATCCAATGAAGGACAACTCGACGCACGAGTTGATGCCGTTGACACCGCTGAGGATGAGACTCAGATTGCGCGAGAGGCCGACAGACTTGGTGAAGATCTCGGTCGAGTCTGCGGGATGCGAACGGTCAGTCTTGGGCCGAGCGTATGGCTGACTGGCGACGTACAGTACGAGATAACGTTCTGCGCGTCGCGGAAGAGGAAAGGGAGGTTGCGAAGGTCAGCTCTTGCGCTCCGGCTCGCGTCGAGAGCAAAGTCCGCAACACACCACGCCCGTGCACTGCTGCGCAAACAGCGCACCCATGCCCAAAAAAGTCCTATACCTGAGCGCCTGCGGGCCCGGGCGGAACGCGTCGCTCCAGCGAGTCACGCCCGCCTCGCGCTCGATAGCGATGGCCGTCTCGATCTCGGCGTAGACGGCGGCGGCTTCTTCCGGACCATTGTAGCGCACGAGAACGGCGCGCGCTTCGTCCGTGCGGCCTTGTTGGGCGAGCCAGCTGCGGGCAGGGCGAGGTTAGCGGAGGCTTGCCGAGAGGGAGGGTCGTGAATAGCTCACCGAGGCGAGTCCGGCAAGAAGGCGACAACGATGAGGACGATGAGCGGGAAGACAGCCTGGAAGCTGAGCGGGAAGCGCCACTGTGCGCCGCCGCCGATGTCTGTGCGCGGGTACCCGAGTCAGTTTCAGCTCGACCAAGACAGACGGTACGGCTGCTCACAGCTCGTCGCAAACGACAACCAGAAACTCAGCGTCAGACCGCAGGCGCAGGCGACGAGATCGAGCAAGACGATCGAGCCGCGGTACTTGGCGGGCGAGCACTCGGCGTGGAAGGCGGGCAGGAGCGAGGTGAGGATGCCGATGCCGAGACCGGTCCAGACGCGGAAGAAGATGAGGATGGCGAGGGCGTTGGGGCCGTCGGAGCCGCCTTGGATCTGTGAAAGCGGAGGAGGATCAGTCCAGGTAATCCGGGAGAACTTCGACAGGTCCAGCCTCTACGACTTTGCCCCGACGATCGTTTCCGGTAGAAGACTTACCGCTCCTCCGGTGAGGGCAAATACACAGCCGAGGATCATGGCCCTTCGTCGACCAAGGCGCTCGCCATAGACGGACGCGAAAATTGACCCGACAAGCGCGCCGATCTCGTCTGTTCCGCGACAGTCAGCGCGAATCGCACGAGAAGGGAAGAAGGAAGGACGCACAGATGGCGACTGTTGCACCGAGGAGGGTCGAGTTGTTGGCGAGAGCAGGGAATGTGTCGAGGAAGTCTGCTCCTCCAATCAATCCGCCCATGACTCCCTCTGCGGTATAAGCGTCAGTTCGACGTCCAGAGTGAAGGAAAAGAGCGCTGCGTACGGTCGTATCCGAATCTGCGGACGGGAGGAGGAGAAAGTCAGTCTCGAAGACGGCCTCGAGGCGAGAAGTCGTCCTGCAACGCACAGCAGGAAGCCGATGGCGCAGCAGACAGTCAGCGCCGCCAGAAGGGGTCGCCCCTGGAGCGTGTTGGTGACGGGCTCGTCCCAATACTTCATCGTGCCAGCGTAATCGATCCAAAGCGATGAGGATTCGACCGAGGTGTGCGAGCGAGCGAGCGCGTTCGCGGGGGTTGCAGCAGCGTCGAAGCAGAAGAACAGAACGTGTCGTGGCTCTCCATGGGACCCCGATTCCGCACTGGCGTGGAGGAAGGCGGAAGCTGCTCCGTGAGGGCGTGGAGGAGGAGCGGGTGGGTTCGGGTTTGCCGGCCGACAACCTCGTCCGCAGCTGCGTCCATTCTCTTGATGAGCTCGCGAGACAGCCAGGAACAAACAGAGAGATGCAACCCGCGCGCCGGCGGGAGTCCAAAGTTGCAAGGTCGACCTCCTCGTCCCCCCTCGTCTACAGCTGGACGTCGGCGAGGCTCTTGGCCAATGCCGCAAGTTCCTCCTTGAGCGCCTTGAGCGCCACAACCTCGTCCTCGACAGCGCGGTCGCCCTCCTCGGCCTGGCCCTGCTTGATCCGCCTCACCTTGTCGCCCTGCGCCTTGATCTGCTCCTCGAGCGCGCGCTCCTCCTCCGTCTCGGGCCGCGCCGCTTCGGCTTCGGCAGCAGCCTTCTGCGCAGCCTTCTTCAGCTTGTCCTGCTGCTTCTTCGACAGCTTCTGCTCGCTCGCCGCCGCGATCGCAGCCTTGGCCGCCTCGCCGCCGTACTGTGCGCGCCAGACCGCCGCCATCTTCGGGTCGATGCGCGTAAAGAGGTGCTTGGCCTCGCCGAGCTTGTGGCCGGGGAAGAGGTCAATCGAGAAGGAGTCGGGAATCGCACGCGGGACGGCGTTGAGCTGCGCGAGGATCGAGTCGGACGTCGAGGGCATGTACGGGTGCGAGAGGGCGGCGATGACGTAGATCAGGTTCAGTGCGAGGAGGACGACCTCGGCGGCGCGGGAAGGGTTGTTCTCGAGGAGCGTGTTGTCGAGGCGGTTGTCCTGGATGAACTGGTTCCCGCGCGCCGAGATGTGCATGAGGGTCATGAGGCCACCGCGCAGCTTCTGGTGGTCGAGCTGGTCGACGTAGGTCGCCAAGAGCGTGTTGATCTCGTCGACGAACGCCTTGTCCTCGTCGGCGAAGGGGTAGGGCGAGCCGGAAGCGTAGTCGAACGCGCCGTCCTTCGGGTCGGGGATGACGGAGCCGTACTTGGCGATGGCAAACTTGATGACGCGGTTCGCGTAGTTGCCAAAGTTGTTGAGCAGTTCCGAGTTGTTGCGAGTGATGAAGTCGTCCCAGTTGAACTCGGAGTCGTTCGTCTCGGGGCGGTTCATGAGGAGGTAGTACCGCCAAACCGACGGCGGGACGCCCGTCTCGCGCGCGTTCTGCCCGAAGACGCCGACGTTCTTCGACTTGGAGAACTTCGTCCCCTCGTACTGCAAGTATTCTGCAAAAGACGTGCGAAGAAAGCGTCAGTCTGGCCGCTCGAGCAACCGAGATCCATGCGAACTGGCCCCGCCAGCTCACCGGTTGTCGAGATCGAGTTGAGCATCGTCCACTTGTCGCTGGTGCCCAGCAGGTAGCCGGGGAACAGGACCGTGTGGAAGGGAACTGTTGCACGAGAAGGAAGTCAGCTCAAGCGTCGAAGGACTGCGGGTTCGGCGACTCCGAGCGCACCGTTATCCTGCGATCAAAGAGAAAGTCAGCAACGAACGAAAGCAGCGGAACGAGAGGCGGCTCACCTTGCCCATGAACTGGTAGAGCGTGACGTCCTCTGGCTTTCGCCACCACTGCTGCCACTCGTCCGTGTAGTTGGCGGTGATTGACGGGTAGCCGATCGGCGCATCGAACTGCGGGAGGCGGGTCAGCAGGCGGAGAAGCGAGGCGAAGGAAGCGCGACCCACCCAAACATACATGACCTTGTTCTCCCACTTCGGTCCCAGCTCCTTCGGCAGCTTGACGCCCCACTCCAAGTCACGAGTCATACCGCGACTCTGCAACCCACCACGCAGCCAGCCATCCGTAAATGCCTTGCCGTTCGCCGACCACGTCCCGGTGCTGCTCGACTTCTTGACGAACTCCTCGATCTGCGGTTGCAGCTCGGCGAGCTTGATGTGCAGGTGCGCGGTGAGGCGGGCATTGGGAGTGGTGCCGCAGGCTGAGCAGCGGGGATTGACGAGTTCGAGGGGAGATTCGTAGGTGACGGAGCAGTTCTCGCATTGGTCGCCACGTGCGCCCTGTCATTCGTAGTGGGTTAGCGATGATCTTAGGAAAGCAGAAGAGCGATGCGCACGTCGTAGTTGCACTTGGGGCAGGTGCCCTCGACGTATCGGTCGGCAAGGAAGCGCTTGTCCTTCTCGCAGTAGAGCTGCTTGTTCTCGTGCTCCTCGAGCCAGCCATTCTTGTACAGCTTCAAGAAGATGTCCTGGCAGATCCTGCGGGAGCGAACGAACAGTTGATAGGCTGACAGCAGGGATGAAAGCGCTTTGAACGCACTCAGTCTGCTTCGGAGTCGATGTCCGCCCGAAGTGGTCGAAGCCGATCTCAAACCACTGGTAGGAGTCGGCGTGCAGCTTGTGGTCTGTACGAGAAAAGCGTTAGGTCCTCCTTCCACCGAAGAGAACCCTACAAACGCACACTTGTCGCACAACGCCTGCGGGCTCAGCCCCTCCTTTGCCGCCATGACCTCGGTCGTCGTGCCATATTCGTCCGTTCCGCAGATCTGTAGGATGAGTTTATGTCAGCGTAAGACCGAGCAGCGGACGATGAGTAGCGAGACGGACGTAGAGAACCCGGTGGTTGCGTTGTCGGGAGTAGCGGGCGAAGACGTCGGCAGACAACGTGGACCCGATGATGTTGCCTGCGAGCAAGAGCACCGGTCAGACTGTCAGTACTACATCCAGCAGCTCCTCCACACTCGAGTTGACGGTCATCCCGCCTCGAGGAGATGAAGCTGGGGGAAGGGCGAGACTGACCCAGGTGAGGCTGGTTGTTGACGTAGGGCAACGCAGAAGTGATCAAGACATTGGGAACGCCGTCCTTCTTGGGCAAACTGCGCGCTCAGAGCTGTCAGCGCCTTCATCGCTCGCTCGAGGAGTCGAGGGAAGACTCACGTCTTGCCGGTGTCGTCGCGGTAGTCCTTGAGCTCGACGCCAGGTCGAATCTTGCGAGTGGAAGACTCGGCAGCAGCAGCGGGGTAAGGCGAAGCCATGAGCGCCAGCAAACGAGCGATGCGGTCGAGGGAAAGAAGTGAGGAGGACAAGGTGACTCTTCACGGCTCTCGCTTGGGCGGAAACGGGCTGGAATAGACGCTGAGATGCTCAATAGATCGATTAGGCAGGCTAGAAACCACGCAGAACGAGGAGTGGTGGAGCGAGGGAGAGTAAAGTAGTGAAGGGTCTGTACGAGGGCCGGTGACGGCGAGATAGAGAGGTAAGGGCGAAGGGAATACATACTGGGGAATGCGTGCGAGTCTATAATGCGGGAAGGAAATCTATAGTCATGCGAGAGCGAGGAACGACGACCGTCCTGCTCCTCAACCGATGAGCCCTCGACCAATTCAACTCGACCCGCCAACCGCAAAGTCGTGCGCCAACGCACCCTCCTGCGTCGCCGGATGAGGCCCTTCGCCCAACGTAGCCTGCTCGTGCGGCTTGTCCGCCCTGTTCCCCGCACGAGACCCAGGTCTCGTACCGCCCGGACTGCAGACATCGTCGTACAGCGGCGGATTGAACGAGAGCGGCACGACTCCTCCACCGAGGAAGCCTCGTGCGGCGATGTCGTACGGCGGGACTTGCGAGAGGAAATCGACATCGCTCGGCCCGGCATGCTCGCCTGCTGGTCGTCCGCTCGACGAGACGGACGACGACAAAGCGGGCGAGCTGACGCCTGTTCGGGAAGGCGTGCTGGACATGGGTGAGGGCGAGAGAAGAGGCGGAGGGGTCGGCAGGTAGTGCAGGTGGAAGTTGCTGTTGTGGCCTGGCGAGATCGGGCTGGGCTGGGCGGGAGAAGCAGAGATGGGCGAGGCGCCATTCGACAAGTTGGCCGTCGCCGGATTATGCGGAGGAGTATGGGACGGCGAATTGGACATGAGCGGATGGGTGTGAATCGCTTGAGGCGCGGTGTCCATAGCGAGGGAAGGTCGCGGGGCTGGACCAGTCGAGCCAGTTCGCGCAACGTGTGCAGCAAGCGCATTCGACAGCGCAGACGGTGACGGCGTCCCAGCAGGATCCTCCTGTTGCTGTTGCGGCGCCGTCGACCCGCGCCTCGAGTCGCTGCCAGAGCTGCTCATGTGCAGCATGTCCCGCAAGTTGCTCGCCGAGTTGTTCCGCGAGAACGACGTGAGCGGCCGCAGTGGCTTAGGGAAGTGCAGGTTGAAGAAGCTGCCCGAGGTGTGCGAGCGAGAGAGAGGCGGGCGCTCTTCGTGGTCGCCAGGCGTGGTGGGCGCAGACGCAATCGGCATGGCCATCGACGAGGCGCGGTCAGGACTGCTCGCGCGCGACCCTGGTCGAGAGCTCGGTCGCGAGGGAGGGCGCGAGCCTGGCCGACTGCCTGGTCGAGATGTCGGAGCGGACGTCGGAGGCGAAGTGTGGTCGTTGACGTTGAGCGTGCTGAGCAGTTCCGAGTCGACCCAGTTGCGGTGGTCTTCGGGGTGCTCCTGCTGCTCGGGCGGCGGCGAAGTAGGCTGAGGACTGGCAGGAGTCGAGGAGCGGGCCGAGGTGTCGCGGTGACTGAGGGCGGAGAGCGCCGAGAAGCCGCCGAAGCCGCCGAAGCTACTGTGATGGCTGCTTCTCCGGTCGGGCGATGCGGGGCGAGAAGGAGGGCGCGAGGCGGGAGGAGAGATGCCGGGAGTACCGGTCGGGGTTGTGCGAGTGCTCCAAGGTGTCGGAGCGAAGCCGGACGATGCTGTGAAGTAGCTAGCCGTCTCGGCGTTCGCGATGCGGTCCATCACGTGGTCCTGGTACGACGGCAAGTCGACTTGCGGGACATCCGAGTGCGCGAGGACACCCGACTCGCCGAAGAGAAGGTTGCGCGAGCCGGCGGAAGCGAGTCGCGCTTCGTCCTGCAAGCACGACGCGAGGATGTGAATCGGCAGGGCGCATCGCAGCTCCGAGACGTGGCCATCCGGGTTCTTGATGAAGGCGCTCCACTTGATCTTGTGGTTGACGAAGACGGGATGGACGGCATGCGATGGTGCTGTCCAGATGGGGATTTGGACGTCGACGACGACGTCAATCTCGGTGTCCTGGCCATCGTCGACCTCCTCGTGCTCCTCGTGCGCCGGATGAGGCTGGTGCAGCTCCTCCTCCTCGTCCTCGTCCTCCGGTCCCAGCTGAAACCGTGCGCGCGGTCGACTGGCGCGACCGACCGAGAACGGGTAGCCCGTTTCGTCGCCACGCTCGCGAACGGGCGTACGGGAGCCATGAATGGGCGAGTTGAAACCGGGCGTAGTCGGCGTCGAGACTCCCGAAGGTTGGGCGCCGAGCGAAGAGAGTGAGGCGGACGACTCGATGCGAGGCGCGGGCGTGTTTGCACCGGACGAGCGAGCTGACGGAGCGTCGAGGAAGTTGTATTTGACGACCGTGGCGTCGCGAGCTTCCGAGTGCGACGAGCTCTTCGAGTAGACGGTGCTGCGATGGAAGGAAGATCAGTCTCTCTACCAACGCTCGAACAAGCGAGAATAGACTCACGTGTGCTCGCGAATCGTCGTGATTAGCGAAACGATGCGGACGCCCTTGGCGAGCGGCGAGAATTTGACGGCTACGGGAATCGTGTCTCCCGCGGCATAGGCCTTGTGAGGGATTGTGAACGAGTACATGACCTTGCCAGGCCAAGTGTTCTCTGTGAGCAAAAGAAACGTCAGCATAATGCAAGAAGCGCCGAAAAGAGCAATGCGGACCAATCTCGAGCGTTTGATTGAACTCGACCGCGTCCGCCGGGAAGCTCCTCGACAACCTCACGATCTTCCTCGCCTTCCAATCCGCCGCCGTAAAGCCAGGTCGCTGCGCCAGCGCTTTGAGCTTGTATTCAATGATGCCGGTACCTGAGTACGTGCGAAGACTGGCAGGAAGCGAGCCTGGGACGGTAAGGGAGAAGGGGAAGACGTGGCGGCCGGCCTTGAGTGTATGGACGTGGTGCTGCTCCTTCTTGGCGTCCTCGCGGCTTGTGTGAGAGGAAGGGTTCAGGAAGTTAAAGTCGTGAAAGAAGAGAGGGTGGTCGTGGTGGTGTGTTGACGAGTCGCGCCAGGCCACCTTGGCGACGCCGGTGAAGACGAGCCTGTGTACATGACTTGATCAGCCCAGTCCCTTCGTGCTGAAGCCGAAGTCTGCAAGTGCTCGTCGCCCGCCAGATTAGGACCGGAACTCACGAGACCTCCTTAAGGTCCGTCGGATGCACCAGATTGAGAATCAGCTCGCCGTTGAGAACCGCCGGCTCGAACTCGTCGCCCGTGAAGCCTCGCAGGACGAGGTCATTCGACTCGAGATGGATCTCGAGCGGTTCGGAGCCTGCGTGAGGCATGGTGCGAGAGGGGGTCGATCAGGGTTGGCGAGGGCGGCTGTACCCGGTATAGGCTTGTCAGTATGAGCAGAACCGCTGCACGAAGCGTTCATGGCGGAAAGAGAGGGTGCGAGCCGGGTTGCTGGATCCGGAGAGTTCGGAGACGCACCGGAAGGCGGCGGGTCGACCGGGCAGAGCGCGCAAGTCCCGCAGACCGGCACAGCCGCAGTCACAGTGTCCTCCTCTATCACTCTGGCAGTGTCCCAGGCCAGCCGGTGCGAGTGAGCGCAGAGGTTGGGTCGGGTCGGGCTGTGTGGATTTGGCGAAGGCGTCAGTGATGGTCGCGCGACACGGTGAAGGGCCACAGGGCGCGCCTGATAGCACGAAGAGGACTGCACAGCTACGTACAGGCTTGATCGGACCCTATCCGTGCGACGAGAGGCGAGGCGATTGACGTCGGCGGGCGAGTAGAAGGTCAACGGCGACGAGGGAGCGATACCAGCGCTGGTGGCAACGATGGGCGCGATAAGCAGTCTCAAGCGAGTATGAAACACCAGACCAGCAGTCTCAGCGAGCAAGGCGCGAGCAGAGAGCGAGGCGAGCGTGGCAAAGGCGTCGCTGATATCGACAAGGCGCCTCGAGCTTGACGTTCGCAAGCAGTCGCTTGTATTGCGGAGATACGGTGCACGTTCCAACGGAGACAATAGTGCTGCTACGATCCTTGCGAATGCGAGATGCGGGACAAGACGAGGTTGCGAGGTTGCAAGGGTATCGAGGCGGAAAGGGTGTTCCGGTCGCTGAACGGCGAGAGCGGGTAAGAGCGCGGTCGAGGGTATACGATGGGGTGTCCTGGAGTCGCAGGTATCGAAAGACAGTGCTGGAAAGGTCGGACTGGAAGGGAGAGGGAAGAGTCAGAAGGTCGTCGCCCTCAGGTCCAACGCGCCTTCTTCGCTGGCGAGCCGAGCGAGACCGGCGGGGAGTCGTCTGCTGTCTTGAGCAGCGTCCGCGGGCGGACCTTCGTGCGGGCTTGCGCAAGCGTCGCGCAGCGTTTCGCGACCTGCAAGACGTCGAGCTGTTCGAACAAGAGTATCAGCGGTTTGCGCAAGTCCTGAGCAAAGGAAAGGCCACTCACGATGTGTGGCGTAATCTTGGGCGCCTGGATGCCCGTCGCGCCAGGGTTGTCGCCGTGCAGAGCGCGAGTGAGCGAGTCGGCCCGCAAAGCGAGAACGTCTCGATGCGCCATGTCGTAGCAGAAACGGATCTCGCTGCGCCCGGCAACGTCGCGGAAGGGTCTGGCACGGTAGGAGGAGTAGGCAGGAGGAGCTTTGGCAGGTGAACGGGGTGCTGCGGCGGGAGAAGGCGGCGCTGTCAGGGTGCTGTTGGAAGGGTGCGAAGAGGAGACGACAACCGTGGCGGTTTGCGAAGACGATGTCGAGCCGAGCGAGGTGACCGCAGCTTGCGTCAGGTCGTCCGGGATCTGCGACCACGCCAAACCGTCGTCGCCATACGAATCCTCCATTTCAACATCTTCCGCCGCGGGAGCCTTCGGGACCGTCACCTCCTTTGCGTGAAGTACGGTGACTTCGGATGACGAGGTCGAGATGGCGAGGGCTTCGGTGACGGCGATAGCAGGTGGGCGAGCGGGAGAAGCGTCCTGGAGGCGGCGGAGTAGCGTGACACCGTTCGCTGGCGGGACGAAGGTCGGTACGAGGGGTTCGATGTAAGCGCAAGAAGCCTGCGCGAAGGCGGAGTCAGCGAGGGCTGAGAAGAGGAGAGTGAGCTGAACTGACCATGAGCACCCGCACATTCGCTGCGCCCGCCGGACCCTGCAAATGTGCCGATTGAAACGCATTGTCTACGACGAGACTCCAGAAGCGCTTCGAGAGCTGTAGTAGCGCCTCCTTCTGGTTCTTTGACGAGCCGCTCCATTCCTTGCTCTTGCTGGGTGACTTGGTCGGCGAGCCTGGTGCGCCGGCTGCGCACTCGGTACGGTCGCGCAGCTCGCGGTCGCGGCGCCATTCGGAGAAAAGCTGCCTGTACTGCGCGTAGATGGACTGCGGAGGAAAAGAATCAGCGCGGAACAGCGTGATGAAAGCAGAGAAAGCCGACGCACCTTGACGTGCTCGAGAATGACGCAGAGGTCGTCGAAGAGCGCAGGCGAAGCGTGGCGAGCATTGGCAGCCGGTTCCCACGCCGTAGTCCAAGGGTCGGCGAGATCTCCTTCGACGGTGTAGACGAGGCTGTCGAGTCGGTCGGACCAGCTCATCTTGGCGGCGTCAACGGCCTTCTCGCCTTCGCGAATGAGCTCGTCTGCATTGAAGAGGCGTAAGCTGACCGTGAAGAGCGGGGGAGACCGTGACAGCGCACCCATCACATGCTTGCCCTGCTCAGCGGGCCTCTTGGCGTACTTGACGTTTTTCGCCGCGGTCTTGCCGTCCTCGCAGAGCGTCCACCGCGGCTTGTCCTTGTACGGCTCGAAAAAGGTGGCCTTCAGCTCCTTCCACTTGTCGGGCGAGAACGAGAAGCCCTGCTTCCGACCGTCGAGCGCCTTGCAGAAGAGGTGGCCCGCCTGCGAGCGACAGAGTCAGCTTCGAGTCCGAAGCGACAAAGAGAAGCTGCGCACCTCAGACGTAAGCGGGTGGTCCAAGCCAAGCGTGTAGGCTAGCGTGGTGTGATAGACTGAGAGAACGCCGTACTGCGTGCCAGCATGCAACCCCTCCATGAAGGCGCGCGCAAGGGCCGCGTCATCGTGCGAGTCGATCATCGGCTTGACGTGATCGACGACTCGTCGGCGGTCGACTTCGAACCAGTCGGGGTCGGCGAAAGGAGGATCGGCGAAGGAAGGGTTAGCTTTTGACGAGTCGAACCCGGCGACGAGCTCAGGGTTGGTCATGACGACGAGCTTGTCGCCGTCGTAGTCTCCGCCTGCGGAAAGCGGTCGTCAGCGAGGGAGACGGGAAGGGAGAGAAACTTGACGGACCGGAGAGAATCGAGCAGAGCGACCGCTCGCCCTTCGTCGAGACGATGATTACGTCGCAATACGCCGCGTACGCTTCACAAAGCACACCTGTCGCCCTGTCAGGAGCAAGTAGATCAGCCTCTGGTCTGAACGAGAGGCGTAGGGCCACGCACTTTTGTATGTCGCACGGCTGAATTGCTGGCGACCGAGTGAGGAGAGCCGGACCGAGGACGGCACCGATCTGCAAGCCGTTGGCATCGAGCGGACGCTCGCTCAGCTGGAAGAAGAATTGGCCCTCATCGAGGATGCCGAGCTGCAAGAGCGGTCCGCGTCAGCCTCGAAGTCGTCCGATTCGTACTGCGGCTAGACTCACGTGGTCGGCGACGACGAAGGCGGTATACGAGTAGTCTTCGGCGATGCGGAAGCTGATTTGCTTCCGGATCAAGCTCTCCTCGACGCGCTTGAGCTTGTCGGCGAGGTGCGGGTTCTGGCGAGGGTCGAAGCCGGATTGCTGCGGACCGAAGGGGGCTGAGCTCAAGCTGAATGGGCGAGCGAGAAGCTGGACCCACCAGCATCTCGACGACTACCTCGGCGACCGTGTTGGGCGCGCCAGATGTTGGGTCCAACCTCGCATCCTGGACGAAGCTCGTGACGTCCTGCTCTTGCTGCTCGTCGACCTGGTCAAGGTCATCGTCGAAAGCGCCTGGGCCGTCGCTGTTCGTCCGTTTGAGGCTACCGGGATTCGACGTGATGCGAGCCTTCGAGGTGCGGTCTTCGAGAATGTTGCACTGCCTCTGCACGTGGTAGAGCAACGTCGGGAGGTCGGGATAGTCCCACAGGACTCGTCGAACTGCGTGAGGGAGAATGGTCGGCCATTGTGCACGAGCAGAGTGTGCGCGGGCTATAGACTCACTTTCGTCAATCTGCTTCTTCAGCATCTCGCGAAAGACGTTTGTCGGCACGCCGCAGTGTGCGAGGACCTGCGGCGGAGAATCATCAGCGCGACTCCATCGAGAGAGACGCCAGAACAGCGCACCTCAAACATCTGCTTCCCAAGCTTCGACCCAGTCTTCCCGCTCGGTACGCTGTGCAATTCGAACGTGAAGCTCTCCGTCCTGTGGTCCTTGAACTTCCATTGACTGTCCCGGACCTCGATCCAGACGTCGTTGTCGCCTTGAGCCGTCCAGCGGTTCCAAGGCGTTCGAGGAGCGAGTGTCCAGACGCCTGCCGCGCAGCACCGAATGAGCTTAACGAGGCAAGGTGGTTCAGGAACAAGTTGTATGCACCTTTGCCCGGTCCGATACGTCCCTGCGCGACTGTAGGCATCGCAGCCGCCGTCACCTTCGCTTCTCGCCCGGACGCAGCGAGCTTCTGTGCGACGACCCGCATCGCCTGCACGCATATCCGTCAGCGTGGTGAGGGATAGACGAGGGAGACGCAAGCGCACACCCATGCTGATCAGCGAACAGCCGTCCGTCATGACGACTTCTTCCTTCTGATCAGGCGGTCCCTCGACCCAGACCGGCTTGAGGGTCGTCGGACCGATGCAGCTGTAGACGCTGCCGTCTTTGTCGACAAGGTGGAACTTGAGAATGGGTCGCGTTCGGCCCTGCTCGAATGGTCGGAGCTGGATGAACACGTCGGACGAGGGCGAGTCGATGGTGGCGTAGTCCAGCTGCCAGACCATCTCAACCGAAGGTGCGCCGGCGTAAGGCTTGACCGACCCGCGGATACAGCTTGGAACGTAAGGAGGCGGGAGAAGTCGCTGCGCCTCGAGCGGCATCTTCGAGCGGAACTCGTCGCAAATGGCATTCATGGCGGAGAAGGAGAGTTTGAGCGTGTCGCTGTTGATGTCCGGCGTGCGGAAGACTTGTTCACAGCGGAAGATGACGGTCGGGGTCTGCGGAGGCGAGCGCTTAGCAGGGCCTTGTGAGGCGAAGCTGGACAACCCACGGTCGTCGTCAAACCCAGCTCGAACCGAGCGGCGTACTTGGCAACCGACATCGACCCGTTGAGCTCGACGTCAAGGTACTGCGGGAGAGCTCGTCAGCTACGGCTCAAGTCTTAGCAAAGCTAGACGCACCCGCTGCGCAAAGTCGACGAGCGAAATCGTCTCCAATCCCTCGCCGCTCTCGGCCCAATACACCGCCGTCCCGTCTTTCCAGCAAAACGGTCGGTACTGTCGGCCGAATAGGACGAGAGGATGGTCGAAGAAGGTCTTGATAGCGGATCGGATCGGGTCTTCGCCTTTCGTCGAGGAGGGGTTGCTGTCGAGGGGTGTTCCTGCTCGCCGGACGAGGTCGTCCTCCAAAACGAGACGCTGCGAGCGAAATGTGTCAGTGCGGGACAACGCTGGCGAAAGTAGGAGAACTCACGAAGAAGCGGTCGCTGCCGAATCGCCGATACAGCGCCGAACCCATCCCCGCCGCTGGAGGCGCCAATCTCACGCTCAATCGCTCAGGCTTCGCCTTCCCGTCCCTCGCAATCGACAAGTTGCTCGAGAAGTGGATCGTCCCGCGCTTAAAAGCGGCCTCGAGCTCCTTCTTCGACTCGTACTGCGGGACTTCGACGAGCAGGCCGCGGTCGTACGGCTTAATTCGGCGAGGGAGGAGAGCGGCGGCGAGATAGGAGGACATCTCGTCGAGGTGATCCCGCTCGACTCCGTCGACGATCTTGTAAGGGTAGCAAGGCAATTGGACGGCGCTTTGCTGTGAGTATGGACTTGGTAAGGTGCGACTCGAGAGGCTAGCGGGAGTGGACGCACCGACAAGCCTGCGTGTAGGTAACGCGCATGTTCGTATTGATGTAGCCAAGAGCATGAAGAGAGCATCCGGAGGTGGCTCGGAGCGTTAACCAAGACGATGCCTACGCGGGGGTCGTGGTCAACTAAGTCCTGTGAGACGAGTGAGGGAAGACGCACGGCCATTTTCAAGTCGCCAATCGTCCGTCACACCACCTGCTCCTGTGGTCGAACCCTTCGAGACCGGCGCAAAAATGTTGACAGGCTTGGCGGCTTGAGGAGAGAGGAGCGAGGTCGTGCTGGAGGTTCTGAGCGGCGAGAGAGCCTTCATCGGTCGAGGCGGAGCGGCGGACGGCACTAAAACGTCGACATGGCGCGCCTTGGACGGCGTTCTCGGGGCCGCCATGGGTTGCTCGTCTCAACCGAGGCTCGCGGGAGGGGAGCAAGGCAAGAAATGCTGCGAAAAGGCTCGTGGTGAGCTTCTGGCGCTTATCCCTCGATACTGCAGACCTTTCGACACACCTAAGCTCGGCTCCACGTCCCGCCTCAGCCCAGGAAGGGCCGTGTCGCCGGTGAACTCGTCGAGAAGGGTGTGCGGGGAGATGAGGAGGAAGGGGATGGAGAGCGCCGCGAGAAGCTTGGTTCGCCGGTCGTAGAAGTCCAGTCCGATACAAGCGCACTCTCGAGCAGCCCAAGCGAAGCGAAGCAGACGAAGCGAGGCGAGCTGGGCCAACCCTCCTGGCTTCGACGAGGACCGCTTCTTTCCACCGCGGCAATGCTGTCCCGGAACGCTCTTCGCTTGCTGAGATGCTCGTGTACACGTTCTAGAGCTACTGCGCGGTCGTCTTCAGCGTCGGCGCGGCGGGCGAACGTGATCCGCGAGCTGGAGGAGCGAGGGATGTTGGCAGAGCTGACGAGGTGCGCACGCTCTCTGGTGCGCTCGAGTCGACGTAGAAAGATGCTGACAGACTCGCACAAGCTAGTCGAGCGGCGCGGACCCACGTCGAGTCGCCCACCACCGTCTATCTCGGCGTCGACCCCTCTGCCCGCTCCCTTCACGTCGGAAACCTCCTCGCCCTCATCGGATTGCTGCATTTCCGGCTGCATGGTCACACTGCGGTGGCGCTGGTGAGTTCCTCTTGTCTTTGGCGGGGGGAGAGACGGCTGACTGGTCTTGCACAGATCGGTGGAGCGACTGGAGCGATTGGCGACCCCTCCGGACGGTCGACAGAACGCAACGCCTTGTCGCCCGAAGTGCTCGCCAGCAACGTCGAAAGCATCACGAAGCAGTTTACCACATTCCTCGAGCGCGGCGTCACGTTTGCTCAGTCGCGGACACGGCGAAGAGACGCAGAAGAGGCGGCGAGGGGGGACGGCGGCTCGGTCAAGGTCGTCAACAACCTCGACTGGACAGGGTCGATGACTCTCATCGACTTCCTGAGTTCGGTCGGCAAGATGGCGCGGGTGTCGACGATGCTGTCGCGGGAAAGGTGCGTCCGGTCCGCCTTCTCGCTGTGCTTCTTTCGCTCACCCGGTTTCTCGCAGCGTCAAATCCCGCCTCGAATCCTCCTCCGGCATCTCCTTCACCGAGTTCTCCTACCAACTCCTGCAAGCCTACGACTTTCTCCGACTACACCGTGACCTCGGATGCACGATGCAGCTCGGCGGGTCCGACCAGCTGGGCAACATCGTCAGCGGCATCGACCTGATCCGACGGTCGAACTTTATCGAGTCGGGCGAGGGAGAAGGAGAGGCGAAGGAGGATCCGGCGTTTGGGTTGACGTTCCCGCTCCTTACGACGGCGGCGGGCGAGAAGTTTGGGAAGAGTGCGGGCAACGCGATCTGGCTGGACCCGGCGATGACGTCGCCGTTCGAGGTGTACCAGGTGCGTCGAGCCGGAGTTTCGCCAGACCCTGTGCTGACAATTTACGGTGCCAGTTCTTCCTGCGAACGACCGACGAGGAGGTTGAGAAGTACCTCAAAATCTTCACCTTCATTCGCGTAGTCGAAATCGAGGGCATCATGCAGGACCACAAGGTGCGTCAGGCTGTCGTGCTCGTCCCGAATTTCTTCACGAATCGATTCTCTCACAGGCGAACCCGAAGAACCGTATCGCGCAGAAGGTCCTCGCCGCCGAGGCCACCGAGCTGATACACGGCGGTGCGTTGCGTGCCTTTCATGCTTCGAGCTGAATGCTGACCCTTCGTGGCGCAGCCACCGGCCTGAATCAAGCGCTCGCCGCGACGTCCGTCTTCTACGGCTCCGACCTCGCCTCGCTCATCACGCCCGAGATCATCCAAGCGCTCGACGGTGCCGCGACATCTTCAGCCTCGACCGCTGCGATACCCTCGCTTCTCGCTCGGCTACCGAAGGAGGAGTTCCTCGGACAGGCATTGGAGAAGCTGGCTATCGCGAGCGGGCTGATGGCGTCGAAGAGTGACTTTGCTCTCGCTCTGAGTCTGCGGAGTTGCGCTGACCAGCTTTCGCGTGCAGCACAAGCCCGAAAGGCCATCGAGGCGGGTACGATCCAGTTGAACGGAGCGCGGATCCCGCCTAAAAGCTATCAGCGTACGATCAGCGATGCGGATCTGCTGGACGGGCGACTCGTGGTGATCAAGGCGGGCAAGACGGCGCACAAGGTGGTGTTGCTCGAGTAGATGAAGCGCAATGTAGGCTTCGCAGCTCACGACAGTCGTGATGAGGCGCTGTCTCTCTATTTGAGTCTCAGCTTGCCCTGTATCGAGGTCCACGTCCTCTTTGGCAGAACGATGCGACCGAAGAGCATCTCACGCGGAGCAGAGGACGTTCGCTCTCGATGGATTGACGCTACGGCGGGGTCCTCGAAAGTGCTTCAGATTGTACAACAACACAACGACGGCAACAAAGCAAGCAAGTAAGACTCAGAAGTGCACAGGAGACGAGGGAAACGTGGAAATAGCGGTCATGTAGGAGGAGGAGGAGAACTCAGTGCGAGGCGCGAGCACGTGAGGAGGGGCTTTCTTCGAAGTCGATCAGGTCACGCATGTCGCCGTGTCCAGAGTCCGACGAGTGTCCCTTCGCATATGGTGAGCCGGGGGACAAATCGAAGTGGCTCGGCTGATCGTCGGTACGGTAGAAGGTGTAGGGCGGAGGGAGATCCGCGAGGTGCGCGCCGAGGTCGCCGACGATGCGAGCAGAGGGATTGCGTGGCGGTATGCGCGTGATTGGAGGCGGGATAGGCTTCGTGCGGTAGTCGGGGTTGTCAGAGTGGAGAAAGGCGAGCTGAGCCGGAGGCAATCTGCCGAGCGCTGTCGATGACTGCGTCAGTGACTTTTTCGGATGTACATATATGTGCACGCACCTTTCTTCTCCGCTTCGAATCTCGCGAGGACCCAATCTGCCGCGACAAGCGCGCCTTCCGTCCACTCTTGCCGCGCCGCCTCCGGCCAGTAACTCGAGAGATTGCCACCAGCGCCCTCCGCATACTCTTCCAGCGCCTGGTACGCGTGCTCGGCGAGCACTTTACGCCGCGCTAGCCAGTCGAAGAAGAAATAGTGCGCGCGATAAAGAACTGGATCAAGGCAGTCAGCTGTCAGGATCGCCCGTCTCGACGTGCGCGGAGACGCACCTGAGTAGCCTATGTCCAGCATCGTTACCCGCTCATCCAGCTCACGCTCGAGCTCCCGCAACTCACGGCGAGCTCCGCCACCCTTCGCCAGCTGATCCCGTACAACGTCGAGGCAGCCCTGTAGCTCGCTGAGCTCCTCGTCTTTGCCATACCAGTGCTCGAGGGGCACCGTGCGCCAAATGAGCTCGCATTCGAGCGAATAACGCGGTGGCCGGTCGGCGACGTAGCGCGGGTCTACGCGGCAGAAGAAGGGGCCGAGTTGACGGGCAAGGCGGGGAGGTACCAGGCCGTGCTTGTATCCTGAGGGGACCTCTGAGGGGCTGCGTGACCTCCTGAAGAGCATGATGCGCTGGCAGCGGAGTGAAGTGATGAGGAATGCGAGAGGGCGGGGTGAGGTGACAACGGCGCGCGGGAGGTTTCCGCTTGCGGTGACGGCGTTCCCGAGACGCTTTTGCGGGCTGTAGCAGTCGCCAAACCTCAGCCAGCGAGGCGCGAGTGACGGGTTTGGGGCTGACCCTCGTGCGCGCGCCTCTCTCGCTCCATCCCCTCTCCTGCTTCATCAGAAACTGCTGGCTTGAGCTCTAGAACACGCTCACGATCCAGCAAACGACGCTATACGACGCAGAATCGCCGAATAGACGCCAGCCTCGCCTCGCGAGCGGCTTTCGGTAAGTCCCCTCCTCTTCTCCAAGACTGCCTCTCTGCGCGGTGTACGAGCGGCAAAGCGGGTGGTGTGCATTGCTGTCAAGCGAGGGAACTGTACGGATCACGAGCGCGGGACAAAGGGGACGAAGGGTGCGGCGAGGCAGAGATTGCTGGCGAGGAGAGATTGGACGAGGAGGAAGAGGAGGACGTCAAAGCCGACGGGCGGGTCGAATAGGCGGCGACGATGGGCGACAGTGAAGGTCAAGTAGGCGAGAATGATGAAGACTATCTGGAGGGGACATACGACCGTGATGGTCAAGAGCGGGTTTCCGCTGAAGGCGGGAACGAAGAAGGCGCAGAGATTGGCTATGGCGTTCAGGACGACGACGGTGGCGAAGCTGTCGAGACAACAGTCAGCACAGCTGAGGAAGGATCGCGCGCTGACTCACAACTCTTTCTCCGTACGTGTGACAGGGTTGTTGGATGCCCGATTGACGAAGACGGCGATAGTCCCGTCGACGCCTCGCAGCACAGCGCCAGCTGTAGGATCCTCTGTGAGTCTTTCTGCTGCTCGCGCGCGCGTCGAGCATCGGATGCACCAAGAGCGATAGCCATCGCCAGATTCCCGAGTATCCCGATGCCGTAAATATTCGCGCAGTCGTACGCCTCGTTGTGCTCAGGCTTCCCGAGCCAGAACAGCCACCAGAAGTGTGCCTTGGCGACAAGTTGCGGGCAAGTGAGGCTGTCGAGCGAGGCTTTCTGCCAGTGGAGGATGTACCGCCCGACGGACCAGCCCAGGCTCAGGACGGCCACCCAACAGTAAACGGCGCGGACGAAGAGTGCTGCGGGATGCGCATGAGCGTTGTTGGCAGATGAAGCTTGAGGCAGGACCCACCTGGACCTTTCTCGCACCCCCAGCGCTTGATGTTCTGCCCGATCTCACGCGCTGACGCGACGCTCCTCGCCCACGCCGCAGAGAGTCCACGACCGCTCGCTCGTACGGCTGTATGACCCGCAGGTGTGGCGCCGTGTCCCGGGACGCGCCTTTCCAAACCCTCACCCGCTTCGACGTCCCCGTCATCGCGCCCGTCGCCGCGCCCGCCAACTGCCGCATGGTCGTCGACCATCTGCTGCTCGATGGTATCCATTCGGACGTCGCTGGCGGATCTACCGAGGCTGCCGAAGTGCGTCGCGTTCGATCCTTCGCTGCTGACGCTGCTTGAGGTGCTGGGCGGAGCAGGGATGAGGGAGGCATCGAAGGCTGGAGCTTCGTCGATCTCTGGCACATCCAGGACTGGGATGACAACGCCGCTGGGGCTTGTGTCACCCCCCGGAGACGGAATCGAGGGAGGGACGCTCGACGACCGCCCGAAGAAACGGTGGAAGGCGCTGCTGAGCATGCTGACCGTTGTGGACGGCATTGAGGCTGTTCTCTGGGCCTGCAGGGTGGCAGAGCTGCTTAGCGAGTGATGGGACGACCTCTACCCCGGACCGCTCCTCGCTCGCGCTGATTCGGCTCTCGCTCTCGACGCTCATCGCTCGTCCCTGCTGGTTCTTTGCTCTGGACGCGTATCTCTTGTGCTTTCTCCCAGCGATCCGCTCTTCCAGCCTCCCGCCGTTCGTGTCGTTGCTTCCGACGGGCCTGCAGTTTGATGAAGAATGAACGAGGTCGTAGACTGTAGACACGCAGATTGTTGCAATGCCAGTACGTTCACGAGCATCCCACCCTTCCTGGCTTGCCAACGACGCGCAGGACGGCCCGCCAGTGTGCCGTCGTGGTGCACTCGCGAGCCACTCACCTCCTCCGCCTCTTCCGCTTCGCCAGTTCCGCTTTCACGCTCGAGTTACCGCTTGGACGGCTTGTACAGCTGCTGAAGCGACCGATTCATGCCGACAAGTGTGTTCTGGACCCCTCCCGCAGCGTCGGCGGCCACCTGCAGAGCTGGATAGGCGACGAGGACGAGAGGGATCAACCGGGATGCACAGAGCACGGGCCGGCTTGCGCTTCGGCTGAGGGGTGCACACGGTCTACAAAAGGATGCAGCAGAAGCGACGAGGGCGTCACTTCGATGGGACGGGTGCTAGGCGGATTCTTGCGTTCGATGAGGAGGTGGCGGTGTGTGTGTCGCAACAGGAGGGGCTTTGCGGGCGTTGCGAGGGGCAGAGCAGGCCTTGTCGAGGCTACCAGAGCGTCGTGAACGGGAACGGGCGCTCAGAACATCGCCAAATTCGATGTCGAGCGATTCGTCGCTGACCTTTGGTCTTCCTTCCCTCGCAGACTCTCAAGACGGGCATGCAGCGCAGCTGAGCACTCGTCCCTCAACCCGCTTGTGAGCAATAGCAAGTATGAGAACAAACAAGTGCGGCCACCTTCCCCTCGTCCCTCCTTACCTCCACCTCCCCTTGTCTCCCTTCTGCCTCGCAGATCATCCTCATCACGACCGGTACCACAACGCGACCGAAATCATCGTCAGCTCGCTGGTGTCGTCGCATGGCTACAGCTCGGTGAGTCTCGCCCCCTCGACTGCAGCGCACGAGCCTGAACTCTTTCTCGCAGAGCTTGGTCGCGCCCTCGCCGCGAACCAGCCTTGTCAACGGCGCCGCGACCTACCAGTGCCAGCTCGTCGAGCTGGAATCGACATGCAAGCAGAAGACGCCCCGCGACATGCCTGAGCTTCGCTTCCCGCCTGACACTCGTCGAGTCCGCCTTCGCTTCATTAACGTCGGCGCGCATCGTGGGTCTTGACAAGGCGTTCGAGATCAACTCGCTGACGCTGCTGTCGTACAGCCATCAACTGGGTCCCGGTCGACGAGCACGAGCCATACGTCAGTCGGCGCGTTCTTTCGCGCTTCTGCCGCCGAAGTTTTCTTACTCTTCTTTCGTTCGCAGAGGCCGACAACACGCAGAAGCTGCCTGTCCAGGTCTATCGCATTTCTGTCGTGCGTACTGCCTCTCGTACCTCTCTAGCTCGGCGGATGCTGACCTCCCGCCTGCAGAACGTCGCGCAGAGGTTCGACGCCACCTCGACGCCACCTCGTATGCATCCCGCTGACTTATCAATCTCGCAGGTATTCGGGCTTCCTCCTCACCTCCGGCCACCGCATCGGCGACTCATTCTACCTCATGCGGCTTGCTTCGGCGCCGACTTCCCCGACCCTGACCCGCAGACGCGCATCGTCATCCGCATCGCCGATGAGGGTCACCGACTCGCCAGGACGCTGCCGAGGAGCCGTGAGTGGAACGACCCGACGACTGGCAATTGGACCGACCTCGACGAGAGTGCGTCGCGTCCTCAAGTTTGTCCGCTCCGCGCTGACGCCTGCGACTGTGCAGGACTGCTCGAGCCAATCGTCGTCCAGCACGCGCCGCCCCAAGCCGACCAGATCTCGTTCTTCAACTCGTCGCGCATCGGACCTCTCACGACGACCGACGAGGCGGGCCTTAGCGACGGCATCAGCTTCCTCGAGTGGACGCTCAACAACATTAATTGGTGCGTCGGAGCGGCGCCGCTTCCCTCGCGGAATTCTGCTGACCTTGCTTATCATCGCGCGTCGCAGCGAGAACTTCGCTGGCTTGAACCAAGCGCTCGCCGCAACGTCCGTCTTCTACGGCTCCGACCTCGCTTCGCTCATCACACCCAAGCTCATCCAAGCGCTCGACGGTGCCGCGATGTCTTCAGCCTCGACTGCTGCGATTTTTTCGCTTCTCGCTCGGCTACCGAAGGAGGACTTCGTCGGACAGGCATTGGAGAAGCTGGCTATTGCGAGCGGGCTTATGGCGTCGAAGAGTGACTTTGCTCTCGCTCTGAGTCTGCGGAGTTGCACTGACCAGCTTTCGCGTGCAGCACAAGCCCGAAAGGCCATCGAGGCGGGTACGATCCAGCTCAACGGCACGCGCATCCCGCCTAAAAGCCATCAGCGCACGATCAGCGAGGCGGATCTGCTAGACAGGCGACTCGTGGTGATCAAGGCGGGCAAGACGGCGCACAAGGCGGTGTTGCTCGAGTAGAAGAAGCGTAACCTAGACTTTCGACCCCCGATATCTGGCGTTCGCGAGTCCGCCTTTGTTGGGAACCCCGAGCCACTCGTCCCCTTCTTGGGTCGTTGTCGTCCTGCTAGCGAAGCGCGCCGCTTGCAGGAGGGAAGAAGGGAAGTCCCCTCGTTGTAGCAAACTCAAGGCGCACTCGGGAGCGCAGAAACTCTGACAGAGGAACTTTGAACAACAAAAACTAGTGTACGGGCTGCGACTGGAGAGTACGTGAGGGAACAGAACAACAGCGAAGAACGGTAGACTCGGTGGGAAGGTTCGTCGAGATGTTGAGCTAGAGTGCGGCGTAAGAACGGGGAAATGGGGGGCAGGGTTCGTTGTCGAGGTCGATGAGGTCGGAAATCAGGCCGCGGCCAGAGTCTGACGAGTGACCCTTGGAGAAGGACGAGTCGGGCGACGAATCGGTGCAATGAGGCTCGTCGTTGTCCTCATCAGACGAATAAAGGGGAGGCGGAGCGGGTTTTTGGGCACGCGAGAGACCCATGATGCGTGCTGAAGGATTGCGCGGCGGTACGACGACGATTGCCGGCAATACGCAGTCGTTGAAGTAGCTCGGATCGTCGGTGTTGAGGAAGGCGAGTTGCGCTGGGCCCAGATGTCCTGTGCCTGCGAACCGAGCAATGTCAGCGGTTTCTCAATTGAGTGTGGGTTCAACGCACAGCTTCGTTCGGCCACAAAGCGCCCCAACAGCCAATCTGCCCGCACATTGGCACCCTCTGAGCACTTGTGCCGCGCCGCCGGCGGCCAATACGGCAACGGTCCTGCTGCAGAACCCTCCGCGTACTCTTCGAGACCTTGATAGACGTACTGCACCGGAAGATGCCGCCTGCGAAGCCAGTCGTAGAAGCGTTGTTGCGCGTGGACGAGCACTGTAGGGCGTTCGGATCAGCTGCTGCCGCGATCCACAGAAGCTTGCGGACACGCACCCGTGTAGCCCATCCTCACGTCGTAGACGCGATCAGCCAGTTCCTGCTGCAACTCCTTGGGCTCGGCTTGTACTGTCCTCCCTTCGCCAGGATTCTCCTGCACCGTGTACAGCTGCCCCAAGACCCCGGCTTCGTGGTCCACCTTGGTCAACCACGTCTCCTCCGGCACGGCACGCCAGAGAAGTTCGCACTCGAGCGAGTAACGCGGCGGGGAGGCGGGATCGTGGAATGGATGGTCGGGGAACGCAAATGGCGCGAGTTGCTGGGCGATGTGCGGCGGTACCAGTCCGTGATTGTACCTAGGCTTGGTCGACGATCTCCACCTCTTCTGCTGCCACAGCTGCGCCATGGAGGACTCGCCGACGCTGGCTGGCGATGTGAACGTCGAGGGTTGGCGATCGGGCGATGGGCGCTTGCCGGGTGCCGCTGTCGGTGGATACGGAAGCACAGAGACCGGACAGAAGCTGCGTGCAAGCAGGAGGACAAAGGGGCGTAGCAAGGGCGAGACTGCGCCGGGGCTGGGGGCAGCGCGCAACTCGAGGCGAAAGTGGCAGGGGAAAAGCTGCTCCAGAGAAAGCACTCGAGGTCCCGCAACACCCGACGAGCGGTTAAACTGGTTCTCCAGACGTGATTCGTCGAAACTGATGAAGACGGATGGTGAGGGAACAAGTTGCGAGGGACAGGAAGTCGCGATGGCGGCTCGTGTGAGCCTGTGGGAGTCTGCTCAAACGGTGAGTTCGTCCTCAGAGCGATGTAGCACGCAGCGAGTGAAGAGGAGGAGAACAAGGAGGGAACGCGAGGAGACCACGCTCGTCGACATTCTTGGGACAGTCTTGCTGACTTGAGTGGGACACTAGAGGTCTTGGAAGTCACGCGGATCCTGGAGAACTCGCTTCGAACGAGCTGAACCAGCGACTTCGCCTCCTCCGCCTCTCTTTACCTCTCTCGCTCGTCCCGCTCACTCCGTCTACGCACACTCGCTTCGCAGGACTAGCTGGCTCCACGATGCCTCCTCGCAAAGCTCCAGCAACCCGCTCAACCGATGTTCCGCCGCCCGCGAAGCGCGTCGTACCCACTCGTCGCGCTGCTCAACGGCGCCAACCGAGTGCGGACATTGCTGCACCAGAGCACGGCGAGGTCCGGCCAGAGCGACACGAGCTGGAGCAGACAGGCACGCTTCCGCTCGTCCCGCCCAGCTCGAACTTTCACACCGTCCTCCGCCTCTTCTTCCACTCGGACCACTGGGTGCTCCCTCTCCGAGCCGACGTCGACGCGCTCCTCTTGGGGTTCGATCAGCGGTGGGCAAGCAGGACGGGCGAGGAGAGTCCGATGCAGGTCATGAGGAAGCTGTGGAGCGAGATGGGCTGGAAGTGGGTATTGCTGCTCGGGTGTCCAGAGGGTCCGCTGAGGAGAGGATGGGGACAGACGGTCGTGAGGGCGTTCGTGGGTGCGTCGCCAGGTTCTCTACTTCTCTCTGTATGCCTTGATGCTGCCGGAGAGCGCGGCTGTGCTTTGTGAGCCCATCGAGCGAGTCACTAACATCTTCTCCGTCTCGCTTTCGCAGAACACCTCAAAGTCGGCGTCGCTCCGCTCCGACAGGCTGCGGCCTTCCTCGCGCTCTACCTCCTCACGCAAACGCAGGCCAAGGGCGCCGAAAAGCTGTTCATCCAGGTCGATCCAGGTGCGTCTTCCACTCGCTGTGATCACCGCAGTGCAGCTCACGAGGCTGAAGTCGCAAGCTCTGCGTGCAGACGCCTTCGAATACATCACCTCCCTTCCCTCTCGCTTGGCTCCCGCTCTCGACACAGCTCCTGTCGATTCCGCCTCTCCCGCTGCTTCGACTCCACCTCCATCCGCCGACCTCGCGTTCGCCCTGTCGGTCCTCCTCCAGACCTCCTCATTCCACCTCGCTCCCTCGGTCTCGAGCCAAGCCTGGCCATTCGTTCACGTCGAGCGGAACGCCAAGCTCGTTCGCGAGAAGCGGGAGAGGGCTTTGCTCGTGCTGGGTGCGGAGGAAGAGCTGAAGCGGATCACGCGGGGAGACTTTGATGCTGGTGAGGCGAGCGAGGAGAGGGATACGAAGCGGAAGCGGCGGAATGACGAAGCCGAGGAGAACGAGGCAGGTGCTGCGGGCGAGAAGGCTGCCGCAGATGCGAACTCGAACGCGGATGGCTGGCTCGCGAATCGCCTCGTTGAGCTTTCGACCGTCTACACCGAAGCCAAAACCGCCTCGTCCGCCGGCATCGCTTCGACCGCCGCCGCACCCTTTCTGCCTCCTCGACCCTCGACTCTCACGCAACCCGCGACATCCCTCCAAGCGTCAATCCTCGAGCGAGCGAAGTCGATGATGCGCGATAGGCTGCGGGAGCTCGAGGTGAAAGAGGCGGATGCACCGGACTTGCTCGACCTGGTCGGATGGATGCGGACGAGAAACACAGCGTAGCGCGACTGCGGGGATGTCCTCAGCGCAGTCGGCGGGACGAGCGGCTGTTGCAGTAGCAGACGAACAGCAACATGAAGTTTTTGTGCCTCCGCATCTCCCGAGCAAGGCAGCAGGCTGAAGGACGAGCAAGAGCGAGGTGAGGCGGACAATCGCGATAGGCTGCTACTCTGCATCGTTCTGAAGCCGAGCGGTCGTCACACTTTGAGCCGAGCCGGGAGGAGTCTCGAAAGCCTGCTCGGGACGAGGTAGAAGTGCACTTTGGTGGACAGCTCGCCTCTCCTGCGTTCAGAGCGTTCTGACCTTGTACACTCCTAGTTGCAGCATTCCCAACTACATTCGACCTTGGTCAGCACAGAGGCCACCGCTCGCCCTTGAACGCTCCGCCTGGCTCGCGCTGCCAGCGCATCTCGTCGCTAGCGGTCAAGGATTCGCGATACGCGACCTTGGTAACCTTGGTGCATTGCAAGGTGAAAAGCAGAAATGACGAGACTGGGACCGAGGCAGGCAAGCTTGCGCGAGGAGAGGCGGGCGACGGTCTTGGCGTCGAACGAAGCGGGAGTCGGATCGGCAGCCGTTACGCGGAGGATGTCGAATCGCGAAAGGCGAAGCTCTTGCAGCGTTGGGAACGATTCAAGGAAACCGAGGAAGTGGTCGAACTCTTCCTGCGGGTCCATGTGCGTGAGCGTGCCGATGCATGCGAAGAACAAACGCTCGCTACTCGCCGTTGAAGTCAAGTCGCCGTAGCCATCGAGAGAGAGAAACGTGACGCTTGGAAGAAGGAAGACCGGTTGCGTCCACTTGAAGGACTCGATGCGACATAGAGACAGCGAGCGAAGGGCTGAAGGGTGCAGGTTTCGAAAGATGTGATGAAGGTCGGCTTGACAGAACTCGTTTTCCTCGGAGCTGACCTCAGTCGCTTGACGCAATGTTGGGAAAGCAAAGGCAAGCTCTTCGAGAGGCAGAGCCGGATTAGTCTGCGTCGGCGTTCGAAGTCAGCGGGGTGGAGGTCGGGGGCGCCGGGCGTGTGGATGCACCGGTTCGCACATGTAGGCCGTGAGAGACTCGATGAACTGAGCTGGCTCAAACGCCTCCATCTCGTCGCCAGGGTTGAGCTCGAGACGACGGACGCTGTGCCAAGGAATGTGGTTCCTTCCCATCGCGAAGTGTCCAATCGTTCACCGCGTCAAGCGACGGAATCCGGGTGCGAGAACATCAATCAAACTTTCGTCGTCTACCGCGAGGTGGCGCACGAGCGGCAGGTCGCGGTCGAGGCGCAAACTGTCCCAGGAGGCGGACCGCGTGTAGTCGTGCCCGGACAGGCGGAGGAACCTCAAGCTCGTCAAGCTTTTCAGCGCTGCGACGAGGGGCGCGGAGTCGATTGGTGTGAGAACCGATGTACTCCCGATGTCGAGCGTCGTGAGGTGTGAGAGCTTGCCGAGAGCAAAGCAAGCGAGGTTGAAGGTACTTCTCTGCAGGTGTATCACTGCGTGCCGGACCCGTTCGGCGTATTTCGGATGGGCGAAGAAGGCGGCTAGTATAGGATCTTGTACACGTCGGGCAATTGGACTGGTAGGGTCGGCCAAGAGGGTGAATCGGCTCGTCCAGAAGGGCAGCGCGATGTTGAAGATCCGCTTGTCGAGAAGGATGTATCGCAACGATCCGCGCAATCCTCTAGTGGTCCGAGAACGCGACTCCTTGAGGCTCTGGTGCAGTTGGGTGAAGATGTGCTGGAGGATTCCGGTCGGAAGGGAGCTGAGCGCTGAGCGATCTCGGAGCGGTCATGACGAGTCCTGCAGGCGACGAGGGTAATCAGCTCACTCGCTCGGTACTCAAGAGTCATGGGTGAGCCAGTAACGCACCTCGCGAGCCGTTCTCGGCTGGTGTCGCCTTTCCAGCATCCTCATCAGGCGAACGGGAGAGTTGGTTCGAGAGGCGCGAGGACGGCTCGTCGGTCGGTGCGGCAGGGTCGGTAGACATTTCGAGGGTCCCAAAGAAAGCTGAGAAGCTGAGCTAGCCAGCAAGTGGCGATCCTGAGCGAAGCAGCGTGGTGGAGAAGGAAGAGAGGGGAGTGAGAGCGGGCAGGACGAGTCTTCGGCGCCAATCTCGTCCCGAAAGCACCAACTGAAGTACAGGATACACGGATAAGGATACAAGAAGACCTGCAATCCCAAAAAGTAGTGGTCCGTCGGAACCTCGCCGCGCCCGCTTCTCCTCCTCCGCTCAATCTCAAGTCCATCTCCTCACCTCTCACCCGACATGCCACTTCTCCGCCTCAAACGGTGCCCTCGACCCCTCCCTCGTCCAGCGCATCTCAACTGATTCCAACCTCGCTCGGTACCGCACCTCCCTGATTTCCGTCCAAAGGAGCGCGAACAAGAACGACATCCAGTGCGGGTAGGCGAAGGCGAATCTGTGAGGTGGGAGGAGGGACATGCATTCGGCGGTGTGGTCGCTGTCGAAGGCGGGCATGTCTTCGTCGTCGTCGAAGAAGACGAAGTCCTCGAGGCAGCGGGGGTGGTCGATCCAGTGGGTGTAGGCGATGCGGACGACTCGCACGTCTGGGAAGCTGCGAACGAAGGCCGCAAGGCGAGCGGCGCGGTTCTGTACAAGCAATTGCCGCTCAGCATGCGATGCAAGCAGAAAAGGGAGCGGGCAACTACGCACCTCGTCCACGATGGGCTCTGACATGTCGATCGTGAGCGTCTTGACCCCGCACAGAACAAACGACATCGCGTCGGGCAAGCGGTCGAAGTGCGAGATGTGCAGTGACGCGAGGCGGGTCTTGCGCAAGTTGAAGAAGAGCGACTCGAGTGTGCTGTTGAGCTTGCCAAAGTCGGCTTTGCGAACGTAGGGAACGTTGAATTCGAGGTGCTTGAGCGGGAGGGTCTGCAGGAGCGAGGTCAGAACGGAAACACCTCTTGCGAAGGTCGCCAACTCACCTCCAACATCGCCGCTGCCATCACCTCGACCTCCAACAATTTGAGCGTCCACAAGTCCTTGACGTCCACTACGAGGCTCTCGAGCGTCGTCCAGGGAATGCCGGTCCCAGGGTGAGCGGTGACCTCGTTGCGCGACTTGTAGCGCATCGTGAGGTGCTTGAGGTGCCCGAGGCTGCCGTGCCACTCTACCGGGATGCCCATGCCGTCGATTTCGAGCGTCCGGAGTGAGAGGAGGTGCCGGTCGAGGCGGATTATGGGCGAGCCTTCCTTGATGCCGTCGAACTCGCGGAAGCGGAGATACTCGAGGTGCTGGAAGGACGGCAGGACGGCGAGGAAGGCGGGTGGGAGAGGCTCCGAGGTGTTCGCGTTGGACCAGCAGGTGATTGTCAAGCGCCGCAGGTTGCGCAAGAACATGAGGGTGGTGCATTGAAGACGAGGCGAGGAGGAGGAAAGGTAGCCGTTGAATTCGGTGATGTACTGGGTGGCTGGCCATCCCGGTTTGAGCCCGCGCGTGAGGATGCCGGTCATGATGCGATCCTGGACGACGTCGTCCTCGTTGATGGTCATCGTGCTCATCCAGAGACCGTATGTAAGGCGGTAGATGCGCTTGTTGAGCGTCGTGTAGCCCAACGGCGCGATGATGCCGCTCGGAATGAACGTCTCGATCTTTTCGATCTCGGCGAGGCGTCGGTCGCCTTGGTTCTCGACCGCGTACGAGTTGTACAGGTGCCGAAAGATGCGAGTGAGGAGTTCGTCGGAGAGGGTTTCGAGCGTGCGTCGGGCTTGTCTGCCGTTTAGCGCTGTCAAGACACAATCGTCAGCTTTGGCGTCGCCCTGTAAACAAGAGGAAAGGAACGCACTGCCGACAACATAGCCGTCCTCCTGCTTGATGCGCTTCGCCTGGACGACGTCGATTGGCCGAGCGATTGAGAGGCCGAGACCGATAGATCCAGGCATCGTAGCGATAGTGTGCAAGTCAAGCATGAGAGCGAGAGTGCGGAGGGAGGAAGAGAGAGCAAAGAAGCGGAGGAGCGGGACGAGGAGGACGACGGCTGGAGCGGTGTGGGGGACTGAGAGCTGGACAGTGCACTGTTCGCGACACTGCACTGTCGCGACACCCAGGTGTTCGATCGCAACGACACCGGGGTGTCCGCTGCCGTCGAGGGAAGGCGACACCGCGCTGTTCTGGAGCACTGAGCCTCGTCGATTCACTCGTAATGAGCAGGGGAAGACACGGTGCACAGCGGGCGAAGGGTCCTCGTACGACCTGCTGCACGGCGGCGCGGTGTGAGCGGGAGAGAGCAAAAGAGAAGGGAAGAGTGAGAGGGAGAGAGAGAGAGAGAGAGACGCAAAAAGAAGAACCTGCTCAGTGGCGGGATCGAACCGCCGACATCGGACTAAACACAGAAAGTATTAGGTCCGCATCATAACCAACTAGATCAACCGAGCTTGCTATGTGAATCGTTGTGAAACTTACATGTGTATCACGTTAGCTGATTACCCCACTTGTATTGGACTTCACCCCCTGCCGCTCTTCCCTCTCTCGAGTTCGCCTCTCACCGCCCTTCGCACGCGCTGTGACTGCCTGCCATGCTCGCGCGCTCTCAGGGACCACGGCTGGACCCGAACCAGGAGAACCCGCACCGCCAGCCGCACAAGACGCCCGCGCGTCCTGCTCTCGCCGGCAAGAACGCAACGACAGCGGGACCCGCTCCCGTCACGGGCGGCAAGGGCGTGCTCGGACAGACTGTGAGGACGGGAAGGGTGCTCGGTGCGAAGGACAGGAACCAGGGGAAGCACGGGAACGCGCCCGGTGAGTTCCATCACATCGACTCGCTCGGATGGTTCAGTGAGGCGGGAGACTTGCCTGCGTCCTCGTTGGCCGTGTGGGAATCGTCGGATGTGTCGTGCAAGGGGCACATGTCGGTGTGGCAAGCCGGACTGACCTCGCCTTCGCTACGCGCACGCAGAACCCGCCGCACTCCTCTTCACGGGCAAGCCCTCGACCTCGACCTCCTCGAACGCCGAAGCCGGTCCATCCTGCCAGCCTCTCCAGCTCCAACAACCTCCACAGGCATTCAAGACTCCCCTGCCGAACCGCTCCCTCCGCCCCGTCCAGGACTTCAAGACGCATGCGACTGCTTTGAGGCCGAAGCATGCGCCTTCAATGCTTGTTGGGTCGCCGGATGTGTCGATGGAAGCTGAGGTGGAGAATGAGCAGAATGAGCCGGAGGAGGAGGAGGACAGGGAGGTCGAGTACGCTGGCGGAAGTTCGAGGGATTACGGTGCGTCCCCGGTTTCGTTATCTATTCTCGCCCCCTTGCTCACTCACAGTTGCCTGCGCAGACGAACCGTACATCCCCGACTGGGATGAGCCCGACTACAAGACGGCAGGCTTCGGCGAGGCAGCCCTCTCGATGCCGCTTGTCCCGCAGATCGACCTCGACGAGTGGTTCAAGGAGGACGAGATCGCTCGCAAGGCGTTCAAGGCGGAACTTGACCCAGAGATTGAGAAGCCGCTGGGTGCGCTTGCTTTCGTCCGCATCAAGGCTGTCGAGGCTGACTTTGTCCTGTTCGCCAGCTCTGCGTGAGGACGACTCGCCTCAGCCAATCTTTCCACTCCCGAGACGCCGCCAACCGCTTGGCGTCAAGTCGAATAACGGCTCAACGCCTTCAACTGGCGCTCCTGCCGCTCGTCCCGGTTGGGCTGTCAGGCCTGTTGCGGGCGGTTCCTCGCTCGGCAAGGGTCCGGCGTCGACTCGTCGCCCGCTCGCACCTTCGACTACTAGCAGCGCTGCTCGCCGCCCTCCTACCACCGTCCCTGCTTCGTCCAGCTCGCTGCGCCCTGGCATGACAAGCCGTCCTCCCGCCTCCTCGGCCACAGCCAAGCCCGCCCTCCCCTCCTCCACGCTCCGCAAGCCCCTCGCTCCCTCCTCTCGACCAGCCACGACTTCCACCCTCACCCGCCCACGCGCACCCCCGCCTAAACCGCTCCTCTTCTCCCGCCCTTCCTCGTCCGCCTCCGCTTCTTCTCCCGCCCTCCGTACTCCAACCACGCCCGCTCAGCGTAAAGCGGAGCAGAACGAGTTGGAGCGCGAGTTGGGCGCCTTCGGGATCGTGGAAGATGAGGCGGGGTTGGAGTTGCTCGGTGCGAGTGAGGGGTTAGGAGCGAGGGGTTTCGCAGACGAGGAAGGAGGAGAGTTCAGGCTTGAGCTTGAGCTTGAGCTCTGAGCGAGCGTATAGGTGGTTCTGTGCGAAAGCGGCCGGCTGGACCGGTTATGCGCCTCGAAGATTTGCCCTCGCTCTCCTCTCTCGCTTTCTCACTCGTTTTGCCGCGTAGATAATCATCCCTTCCCCATTCTGCCTTGTCCATTCCGTAGCCATCCCCAGCTTTGCCCAGAGACTGTTTCTTGTCCTTGATATTCGCATCTTTCTGCTTTGCCTCTTCGTCACTGCCGTGTCGTTTCGCTACGGCGCAGTTGGGAGAGAACGCCATATTACAACAATAAGTCACTGCCGTCTGTACCGCACTGCTCGTGTGTCGTGCTCGTCATACTACTCCTCGACGACCCGCCCTCCCTCGCGCTTCCCACTCCCCCAGGTCGTCTTCCTCATCCGAATGAGGCGCCGCCGCCTTCTCCAGCGAAAGCGTCCACTTCTTCTGCTCCTCCCTCCACCGACTAACAGTCTCCTTCGTCTCCCTCCTCGTGCTCTCGTCCGGCCCAAACTCGTCCCTCACCTCGGCTTCTCCGTCGAGCGCCCGCAAGCCGCTGTAGTCGATCGTTGCGCGTTGTTGAGGTGCAGCGGGTGCAGCGGCGAGACGTGGAGAAGCGGGGGAGTTGGAAGGTGATGGTGCGAGGTGGGCGTTTATGGTTCGTCGGGCGGAAAGGGTGGTAAAGAGCGAGAGGGCGTAGCAGGGCGGTAGCGGGACTGTATAAGGACATGTCAGCTCGCAGCGCGGAGGAAGGTGTGAAGGAGCATACACCAGAAGGCGAAGTGGGCGAAGGTCGAGTTGTAGTCGGTGTCGGGCGTCGCAGAGGCTACAGCGGCTGTTCGCAGACTAGGTCAGCCCGAGCATCGCCGTGGAGAGGACAAGCGAACGTACCTCCTCCCACTGCCAAGACAGCTGTATAAGCTGCGGTCCTCAACGCCGTCTGGATCAACTTCTTGAGAAGCGTGTCCGTGTTGGCGTTGAACCCCTGAATCCGTCGATGCAGCGTGAAGGCGAAGCAAAGGGAGATAGCGACGTCGCATGCGGCTGATGACCAGAGCCAGAGCGAGACGGCGTCGTTATAGGTGAAGGGAAGGATGTTGTCGATCGTGCCGTTGAAGTACTGCACGCGAGGGAGGGTGAGCTTGGGAGCAGGAACTGCGCGAAGATGGGCACGCACCATAATACCTGTTGCGCAGGTCAGGATCGCGCCTGTGAAGGCTGCGAGAACGAGGACGCCGCCGACGAGGAGGAAGAGGTTCCGAGTCCAGCGCTGGTGAAGGAGCTGCGAGTGGGCCACGTTAGCCCGATCCTCCGCAGAGAACGGCGCGCTACACACCGAAGCCGCACGAAAGATGAGGAGGATCTGGACGGGTGCAGCAACGATGGCGCCGAGGAGGGGGATAACGGAGTCGAGAGGGACGCCGTTGAAGATGTCGTCCGGTGTGCGCTTGACCGTGACTGTGTGAGGACTATCAGCGCAAGTCAAGATCGAGCGATGGAATGAACGTACCGGCCCAGTACATTGTGTCTGCATACTGCACGACCTCGTACACACTCACGAGGAAGCACACGAGCACAAGGGTCGTCTTGACGGGCCAAGACAGCCGGCGGTAGAGGTCGCCCCGCGCATACTGGTACTGCAGGACGATGTAGACGCCATACAGGACGAGCGATAGTCCGGATCCGACAAACTGAGGCGCGACGAGTGCGGCGGTCTGGTGCTGGAGGACAGAGAAGCTGCGCAGCGGTTGCGCGTCCGCCATTCGTTACGGGCTCAGTCCAGCAGCAGTCGTCGTCGTGAGCAGCGGACAACACTCCAGCATCGACCGCGCACTGCGGCGAGACGAGGGCAACGCAATCGGAGCGACAGGTCGTTCCAGGTCGTCCAGCCAAAGTTCCCGAAAGAACACAGACTCCCGAAAGCTTGTTGTTCTGCGGTCCAGGCCACGCCCTGTGCCATTCACCGTTCTTCGCACGTGGCGGCGTGCGTTCGTTGGCGCGCGTTCGAGGGAGCGGTTCGAGGAGAGATGGCGCGGCGAGATGCGGGAAAGCTGGCGGCGGGCGTGGAGATGTTGTAAGCCTGCGTGTATTAGCGTGTGGCAGAGCTCGCAGAACTTGAAGCCCGCCTGACGAGGTAGCAGCAGGATGACGAGAAGATCGAGGGCGAGAAGTGCGCACGACACCTCGACACTCGCCGAATCCGCCTCCAAGAGAGCAATGCAAGGACGCAGGAATGAATGCAATGCGAGTCCGACGTGAAGAATGGACAACAATCGAGACATGAACGTGAACACAACCTCCGACTCCCGCCCTCTAGACGGCGCAATACGCCTTCCCTGGCCGTAGATCCGCAAAGGGCACATCCTCCACTTCTCCTAGCCCGTGTATCGCTCCTCCGCCCTCCAGTCCTAGAGACGGCATCCAATCACTCCGTTCCTCCACCCGCCTCACGATCTTCACCTCCTCCTTCTCCTCCGCATCCGACCCCGCGTCGTCCAGCCTCACCGAAACAACCGCACCGTGCGACGGATGCGCGCTCCGAGCCGAGTTGAGCGCGCTCAAGTCGAGCGCTACTCGTGGAGGGACGGAAGTGCGGTGCGAGTTTGGGTCTGCGGCGGCGCCGAAGGCGCGTGAGAGGTGTTGTTGGACTGTTTTGCGGGTTGTGAGGGTCGTGTAGAGCGAGAGGGCGTAGCATGGAGGGAGGGGGACTGTCGGGCGTCAGCAGCGTCAGCATCTTGCGAGTCGAAGCGCGGTGAAGGCGAGAGAGCGTACACCAGAAAGCAAAGTGTGCGTAGGCTGCGTTGACGTCGTTGTCGTTGGTCGCCGAGGCCACGATGGCTGCGGAGATGGGTGGTCAGCGGTTCGTCCGCTCGAAGCGATCGCAAAGCAACCAATCGGCTCACCTCCTCCGACAGCCAACAACGCCGTATAGGCCGCCGTCTTGAGCGACACCTTGATCAACTTGCGCAGCAACGAGTCGGTACTGTCATTGAAGCCTTGGATGCGGCGGCTGAGTGTGATGGTCAGGCAGATGGAGATGGCGAGGTCGACGAAGGCCGACGTCCAGAGCCAGATCGAAGCAGCGTTGTTGTAGGTGAGAGGGGCGATGTTCTCGATTGTACCGACGACGTACTGCGCAAGTACGAGGTCAGCTGCGCAGGAACTCAAGCGGGTTCAAACGAAATCGTCCTCACCATCATGAACGTCGCGCACATTAGGACAGCCCCAGCGAAGGCCGTGACGATTCCGACGCCCACAACCGACCAGAAAGCCCAGCGAATCCATCGAGTTCGCAGGAGCTGTAAGAACGACTGCCGTCAGTTGCCGTTCCTCGGCTGAGCAATGGTTCGAGATGGACGCACCGCACCAGCTCGGATAGCAAGGAGGCACTGGACGGGCACCCCGACACAGGCGGCGACAAGGGGGATAACAGAGTCGAGCGCGACGCCGTTGAAGATGTGCTCGACGGTGCGGTTCGCCGTCACTGCAGGTGCGAGGAATGAGCTCGACCGCCAGTGAAGTTGGAGAGAGGAGCCCACCCATCCAGTAGAGCGTGTCCGCCGCCTGGACCAGCTCGAACGCTGTTGTGCATAGGAAAACGGCCCACAGCGTCGTCTTGACCGAGGTGGACAGGCGCGGGTACAGCTCGTTCGACACGTAGTTCCAGTGGAGGACGATGTAGACGCCGAAGAACAGCAAGGAGACTTGCGAGCCGATTGCTTGCGGGAGGAGAAGCGCGATGATTTCCCGCTGTTCGGAACGCCGGACGAGGTCGACGGGCGCCATGGCGGGATTCGTGAGAGCGGTCGTGCGAGCAGTGTCGCGTCAAGCGTCGAAGCAGGAGGAGGAGAACCGAGCATCGCAGTCCTGTCCAGCAGTGTCCACCGCTCGCCCGGCGATCTCAGCGCGGGAGCGAGAAAACACCCCAGAGCGGGAGGTGGTGCCCACCGCCGCCTCCTGCGAGGATTGCGTCGATTGCGAGAGATGCTGAAGCCTGCAATCGCCAGTCTCGCGGATCTCCTCGTCCGTGCGAGAATCCCTCGTCCTCGTCTCCTGAAGCCCATGGAGGCGAACACATCGACAGGCGACGCTGGCTGGCCGAGGAGTGCAAATCGGATCGCCAGCAGCTCGGTAGGTCCCTCTTGACCACAGCAAGCAGCTGGACGGGCAGCATCCGCCTGAGCAGAGTGTGGTCGTGGTCGAAGGAGGAGGAGGAACCTCTTCGCTCGTCGACATTGTCTGCGACTGGCTGGGCTGCTGAGTTGGGCTACTTGATACGCAGTAGTCGCCTCGCCCCGCCCGCAGGCTGCCATCCCGCCCGCCCAGCGCTCCCGTCGCTCCTTCCCCTCCTCCTTCGACGCGTCGACCTGAACGACTTCTCGGCGCGATGGGCGGCTGGCGGTGAGCTGATCGAGCTGCGACGGTTCGCTCGAGCGGACTGGAGCCGTGTACGAAGCAGCGGATGCTGTCGAAGGTCACGCAGGCAGGGCGGCCTCGTCTTCGAGGTGGTCGGACTCTGCCTCGCTCGCTGCTTGCTGCGGGAGGTTGCGCCTTGTTGCCTGAGATCCGGTCTGTGCTCTCGTTTGCGGCTTTTCTGCGACGCGCTCGTCACGCTTTCGCCGGGTCGGTCGTGGGGCTTCAACCTGGTGACGTCGAGCGAACGGTCCATTTCTGGCCGCTCTGCTCGCTTCCTTCTCCCTCTCCACTCAACGAGGACAACCCAACATGTGCGTACACTTCGCTTGTGAGACGCCCGACGAGCGCCGAGCTGACCGGACCTCGTTGTCCCTGTCCTCGCAGGTCCAACACTCCCGCACCTGCCAACCCCGCTGCCTCGACCACCTCCGGCGCCGCAGTCAGCACTACTCAGCGCGAGGACACCGGCGCAGGCACTGCTTTCGGCGGCGCTGAGACCACCCCTCTTCACTCCACCCACTCGCACGCTTCTCACTCCGCTACTCCCTCTTCGACCCACTCTCATTCTCACGCCGCAACTGGCGCGACCACCGGTACCGGCCCCGTCGTCGACACGACCCAGCGCCAGGAGGTCGGCGCAGGCTCGGGTGCCGGAACCGAGACCGCGCCTCTTCACTCGACTCACTCGCACGCCTCGCACACCGGAACTCCCGCTCCCGCCAACCCCGCTTCTTCCACCACGTCCGGTGCCGCAGTCGACTCGACCCAGCGCCAGGACACGGGTGCCGGAAACGTCGCTTCGGGCGCTGAGACGGGTGCTGCTGCTGCTGGCGAAGGTGCTGAGGGTTCGGCGGCGACGGGGCCTGAGGGTGGATACCCTGAGCAGGTGCACGCGGGCAAGCTTGGTTACGGGCCGCACTACGCTGGAAACCCCGGCATTAGCGACCAGCTCAAGGGAACCGAGGAGATTATCAAGGGCAAGGTGCGCCACCGCGCTTGCGCACTCGCTTTCAAGAGAGGAGAACTGACGATGCTTCTCGCTCTCTGCAGCTCACGCACAAGCCCGAGCTCGTCCAGCAAGGCCACGACCGCAAGGACGGCGTCCTCGCCGAGCGCAAGCGCGAGTACGAAGCCGAGCACGACGACGGCGCGTTCTCCAAGCCCGCAGAGGGACAGGGCAACCCTGGCGGTGCGAAGGGCGCGAACGCCCCGGCTGGCGAGGCGGCGGGCGCGAAGAATGTTCGTGAGAGCGGAGATGTCGCGGCGGACAAGGCGGCGACCGCTTCGACCAAGACCAACTAGGACCCAGTGTGCTGAGCATGTACATACCCCTCCCATTTGAGTGCAATTCCCCTGAGCAGTGTCCGTCTCTGCCTCGTCGTTAAAGAGAGTCGTCCTTCGACAGCTGTTTCCTCGCTTCCTCGTCCGCCGGAAGCGCCGGGTGTGCCTCGGTTGAGCTCGCCAGATCGTTTTGCGCAACGTCTGACCGAGCACGACGCAACCCGGACTCTGTCGCGAGATGCCGTCCTGCCTCCGTCATCACTTTCCCTCTTCCTCTCTTCCACTCACTGGCATCGCTTGACGACTTGCTAAGCTCGCGCATCATGTCTGTTCCTACTCTTCCGCTCTCTGACGGCACGCAGATCCCGTCGCTCGCTTGGGGAAACGTGAGTTCAGCGTCCCTCCACTTCATCCCGGAGAATGGGTCCGGCAGCGGCGGCAGGAGCGCTGGGAGGAATGGGCGAGACAGAAGGGGCACGAGGACGGCCTTGAGAGCGCGTGGACAGGAGAATGCGGGCTCCGCTGACCTTCCGTGGCTGTCCTCGCAGGGTACGGGCGACGCGAAGAAGACCGCGACCGAGAGCGGCCAGCTCGCCATCAAGGTCGGTATCCGGCACATCGACACGGCCCAGGGCTACGAGAACGAGAAGGAGACGGGCGAGTCGATCGCTATCGCGGAGAAGGACAACGGGATCAAGGCAGGCGAGATCTACTTGACGACTAAGCGTGCGTTCGCCGCTGCTCATAACGAGCGACCTGAGCGCTGACAGTTCTTTTGTCACAGTCTCGACGGAGAAGGGCGACCCCACGAACCCGGGCATCTCGCTCGAAGAGCTCCGCGACTCGGTCCGCGGCTCGCTCCAGCGTCTCGGTCGCCAGCCCAACCTCGTCCTCATCCACAACCCCTTCGTTCCGCCCAAGGGCAAGCTCGTCGAGTTCTGGAAGATCCTAGAGGAAATGAAGGACAAGGGCGAGTTGACGGCTTCGCTCGGCGTTTCCAACTTCCGGCCGCAGGTGCGTTTGTTCTCATCTCCTCGCTAGGATGCGGCTTACACGAGGTTCTACAGGACTTTGAGGAGCTGTTGCCACACTGCAAGTACCCGCCTGTCATCAACCAGCTCGGTACGTATCCTCCTGGCCCAAATCCTCGCAATTCGCTCACCCGCTTGCCTCGCGCAGAATACCACCCCTACGTCCTCACGCACCTCCAGCCCGTCCTCGACATTATGGAGAAGCACAACATCCGCGTCGAGTCGTACGGCGGCCTCTCCCCTCTCCTGCGACACCCGACCGGCGGACCCATCAAGCCTCTCCTCGAGAAACTCGCGGCGCGTCTCTCGAAGGAGACAGGCAAGGATGTCGATGCTGCCATGGCGCTCATCCTGTGGCAGAGGTCGAAGGGCGTCGTCGTCGTGACGGCTTCAGGCAACGCCGAGCGGATCAAGAAGCTTTCGCTCACGCAAGAGCTGCCCGACTTGACGAAGGAGGAGGTTGACAAGATCGAGGCTGTCGGCCGCAAGATCCACTACCGTGCTTACGTGCGTCTCGGTGTCGTTCTTCGCCTGCTTTGCGAGTCGAGCTGACTCTTCGCTTCGCAGGACGAGCACATGTGCGTCGACTTCCCGGCGCCCGACCTCCCCAAGGACGCATAAGTCCGCAAAAGAACCCCGTCGCAATGCAGTTGTAGTGTCATCGAGCTTGCGAGCGGAGCGAAGGCGAGAGTCTTGCTTGCGAAGGTCAGTCTTCTGACGCCTCTCTTTGCTGCTTCTCGATGCTGGATCCACTCGCCAGCGTGCGCTGTGACCACTGGTAATGTGTCAATGCTAGCGGTGAGGAAGCGCAACCAGGATTCGTCGCTTGAACTCCTCCTCTCCTCGACAAGTTGACTTGCGCGTCCTGCAAGAGCGAGCGGCAGGGTCTCCTACTCATCGGCTAAATTTGTCGTCTCTTCGCTGCCGTTACGGACGTCGAACCGTGCCAGCCTCATCAGCAGACAGACGCATGGTCGACGGACGAAGGCGACCAGCCTCGCAGAGATCTTCACCGCCTGCGCTCCTCGTCCGCACACGAGTCGCTTATGCCGAGCTACAGCCCTTCACGTGCTCTGTGTGTGCCGCGCTAACTGCGCACAGGAAGGAGCAGCTGCTCGCCGCCGAACAAAGCGGTCGACGAAGGCGGCAGGGATGGCTGGCCCGACTGAAGATCCCCTGACAATCCTCCCCCGATCACTGATGCTGATGCGGAAGGCTGTGTACGTTGATGGCATCACCCCAATGGGTCACTCGCCAAGTCGCCAAAGGCGCGGGAACGTCGAGCGGCAACGCATCGGCGCTCCTCGTCGCAAGCCCGGTACCGATTTCGCTCTCTGTGCATCTCTCGCGATTCCTGGCTGTCCAGACGTGCTCTATCAGCCAGCGAAGCCCAAGTCGGTGCATCCGGAAACGGCTGAAGGCGACGAACGACTGCCGGATTCGGCGACAGCAGGTCCTCGACTTCTTCCGTCTTCAGCAATTCCAGCACAGCCGGACGCATTGCGCCGGACGTTCTCTATGGCCACGCTGCCTCGATGGTCCTGCGCCGGGGGCAAACGAATTTGTCGCTGACCGCAGCGGAGACTGCCCGGACGGCGGCGTCGCTTTGTCCTCTCTCCCTCCTTCTCCTCGCTCACCACTGCTGTCCAGCGTGCCCCAGCTCTCCTTTGCGTCTTTCTCCCCGCCCCACAAGCCGGACTTGTCGAGCGACGACCTCTTGCAGTAGTCAGGACTACCGCCACCTTTCGCCTTCACTCCTCGCCTCGCCTTTTCCCTCGGCCTGATCCGACTGGTTCGCATCATGCTTTCAACGTCTACTTCCCTATCCCTCGCCGCCATCGCGATGTTCGCGACGCAGGCCGCCGCGCACATGTCCATTTGGTACGCCGCCTTCCTCCTCCTCCTTGAGGACTTTCCTGACGTTCCTTCGTCGTGTAGGCACCCGTCGATGTACGGCGTCGGGCCAGGATGGTCTTACGACGCAGGAGACCCCGTCGCGCCCCTCGGACCGAACTGGGGCAACCGAGACGACTGGTGGTTTCGAGGACCAGGTTTTCGAAGTCTCCCGCCTCAGTCTGGGGCTGTCCTGGAGCTCCCGGCTGGTGGAAGCGTCGAGCTAGAAATCGCCTGTCATTATGCCTTTTCTTCCTACGGCTACGCGACGACTACGCCAGGTTCTGCGCTCGATGCATGCCCTGGACCCAATGCCGGGCCGTACCACGTCAGTTAATCTTTCCTCGAGCCTTCTACGACGTACTAATGACTCAATAAACAGTCTGGCGACCCGCTTTCGACCGAAATCGACGACAACCTCCTCTCTGGCTGCGCGTTGGGAATTGCGGATGTCGACAACATTAACGATGTGACGATGGACAACCTCGCCATCTTCTCCGTTCAGCACGACTGCGTCAAGCAGAAGAACACGAACTTCGAGATCCCCGCCAAGATGCCGGCGTGCACGGGCGAGAAGTGCATCTGCGTGCGTTCTCCTGCTCCTCGACCTCATTCTCCCGCCTAACGTCTCTTCCGTCGCAGGGCTGGTTCTGGCTTGCCAACAATGGCACGGCGAACTTCTACATGACCGGCTTCGACTGCAAGGTGACGGGCTCGCCCGCCGACGCTACGCCCATCGCCCCGCCTCAGGACCCGGTCTTCTGCAAGAACAACCCGTCGTCCTGCACGACCGGCTCCAAGCGCCCCATATACGCTTACAACACGCCTTCGAACGTCCCCTGGATCGGCAACAACGACCGCGCCGGCTACCACCAGAGCTGGTCGTTCGGCACGAACGGCGCTCAGAACGACATCTTCATGCCCGCTGGCTACAACGTCACGGCGTACAAGCAGGCGATTGGAGGCGGCAATGCAGCTTCGCCCGTCCCCGAGACGCCGACTGGCGCCAACGGAGCGACCGACCTCGCGGTGACGGCTTCGGCTGTCGCTTCTTCGTCTGCCCTCGGTCAGGGTCCCTACAGCGCCATTGACGGGCTTACTGGCGGCTACCTCGCCGACGGAACCGGCAACGAGAACGCCGAATGGTCGTCGAATGGGCAGACTGCAGGCTCCTGGATCAAGCTCGCCTGGTCTTCGCCCGTCACCTTCAACCAGATCCAGCTCTTTGACCGCCCGAACCTCGACGATCAGGTCATGGCAGGCAACGTCACGTTCGCCGATGGATCGAGCGTCCTCTTCGGCACCCTCCCCAACGACGGCTCCTCGCCGCTCATCCTCAACTTTGCCTCGCCGATTACGACGTCGTCACTCAACCTTACCATCACCGCCGTCAGCAGCTCGACGAAGAACTCCGGCCTCAGCGAGATCGAGATCTTCAGCGTTCCCGCCTCGTCCTTCACGACTTCGCCAGTCTCTGTCGTCCCTGGTCCTCAGTCCACCCACACGACGACGACCGTTGCGCCGACGACGACTTCGGCATCTGTATCGTCGACGCACACTTCGGCTGCAGTCACCACGTCGTCGTCGGTCGTCAGCAGCGCCTCGGCAAATTCGACCTCGTTCCACTCGTCTTCCATCCTTTCTACGACACTTCCGGCTACCACGTCGAAGACGACGCAGGTCACGTCGCCGTCGTCCACGGTCAGTAAGACGTCGACGCCGGTCAGCTCGTCCTCTACAACCTCGAAGCCTGCGGCCAGCTTGTCTTCCGTCAACCAGACTTCCAGTCACCCTGCTACGACGTCGTCCTCCTCCTCCACGTCCTCGTCCCTCGCACCGACTACGTCTTCGAGCGTTAGCAAGACCACCAGTGCATCGGCCTCGCCTTCGTCTAGCAGCAGCCGCTCTTCGTCCGCCCTCTCCTCGACATCTTCTCGCCCTGCGACGACCGCCGCACCGACAACAACGTCGAAGAGCTCCACAACGACGACAAAACTGGCGACTACGACCACACCTGTCTTGGCGGCCTCGCCAAGTCCCTCCCTCATCGACCTTGCCCGCGTCGCCGTAGCCACCGCCTCCTCTCAGCTTCTCGGCCAGCCCGCCAGTGGCGCGATTGACGGCATTGTCGGCGGCATCGTTCCGGGTACGCGCTACATCATGCACCAGGAGTGGACGTCTGCCGGCCAGGGCGTTGGGGCGTGGCTTCTCTTGACCTGGACGACGCCCGTCACCTTCAACGAGATCGTCCTCCACGTACGCTCGCCTTTCTTCCGGCGCCTTTTGCCACGGGCTAACAATCGTGTGCCTACAGGACCGCCCGAACCTCCAGGACCAAATCCTCGGCGGCAACTTGACCTTCGCAGACGGGACGGGCGTCTCGTTCGGCCCTCTCGCCAACGACGGCTCCGCTACGCCCATCTACCTCTCCAAGTCGATCACGACGACGAGCCTGAAGATGTACATCTCGAAGGTGTCGAGCACGACGACGAGCATCGGCCTCTCGGAGATCATGGTCTATCAGGTGCCCAACCCGAGGTTCCCGGCAGCCAGCGTCTTGACGCCCACCAAGGCGCCTGTCGTCCTGGCGGCGACGCCCGCAACGACCACGGCGACGTCGAGTGTCAAGGCCTCGTCGACTGCGGCCGCCGCATCCTCCTCCTCGACCTCGAGCAAGATTGTCTGGTGAGTCTCCCAGCCCTCCTTCACTCATTCGACACAGTACACTGACGCTTCTCGTGATCTCCAGGTACCTCGCTCCTCCGTCTACCCAGGTTCTCGCGGTCGTCAACCCGAAGGCGACACAGACTCAGGCGCCGCAAAAGCGTCACGCTCGCGACTTCCGCCTCGACGCTTGACGTCTTGCGCCCTTCTCTATGTAGCGATGCTCTCGTCCCCGGTGTAGCAATATGTAGATACGACCCTCGCACGCAGGTCCACCTACACTCGTTTAGACTGGTTCTCCCTCTATCTTTCCGTAATGACGACGCGTCTCTCCCGGTCAACAATCGAGCATGCGAAAAGGTTGCAGATGCGAGAGAGAAAAATGCTACAGCCTGCTCGCCCGCCTCAAACGCCAATCTCCGCCTCGAGCATCGCCGCGTAGAAATCGCCCGCAACAACGGGTTCGTACTTGGCCTTGCCCGACGGACCTTCAAGACCAGGGATGCAGGAGATGAGCGCGTCGGGATTCGGGTTGCAGAAGTAGGCGATGCTGCGTCGAGTCTTGGTCATGCCTCCCTCGTCGCCTCCCGACTCGCGCGGCGGAAGGACGGCGCGGTGGACGGTCGACTTGAGCATGTCATTCGACCAGCGAGCGAGATTGTCGCCAAAGTTGACGACGACTGTCCCAGGCTTCGGCTTCACCGGCACCCATTCGCCATTCGGACCCTCGATCTCCAGCCCGCCAGTGTTGTCCTGCCAGAGGAGGGTCGTCGTGCCAAAGTCGGTATGCGCGCCAATGCGGTTGTTCGAGCCTTGACGAGGGACCGGAGGGTAGTGAAGTAGCCGAAGGCAGTGATTGCGGCCGTTGATCTGCGGAAGGAAGAAATCGGGAGGGAGAGAGAGCGAGATGGCGAGGAGCGACATGAGGCGGAGGTGAAGTTGGTCGCAAAGCTGGTGGAAGCGGTTCATAGTCTGTTGACAGGACGTGTGAGCCTCTGAAGGGGTCAGAATCGGGACGAGCGAGCGTACAGCTTTGAACCCTGGCAAGTCCTCCTCCTTCGGCCAATGTTCCGGGTATTGCGGATCGCTGTCGTTGCCGATCTCAAACGTCTCTCTGTTGACGGTCTAGTCAACAAAGCCGTTCGAAGTGGAGCGATGTCAGGAAGCACGACTCACTTCTGGTCTCTGCTCGCCTCCCGCTCTGACTCGATCTGGTTCGGGTTCTTGCTCAAGCTCGCCTGTGAGCTAGCCGTTAGCACCTCCCTTGTCGATAGAGAGCGAGAAGGGACGTACCTGCTCACGGCCGAAGGAAAGGTACCCTCGATTCGCCTTGCTCGACACATACTCCAGCTCGTCCTTCTTCTCCTGCGGCAGGCTGAAGAAGCGCTCGTTCTGCATGACAGGATAGGACGACGGAAGGGTCAGCCTCCCTCCCGTTGGCCATGTCCACCGCCAACCGAGAGTCGTCCCGAGGACTGAGGAAAGCAGCCCGACTTACATACTCGAACACCTCCTGCACGAGCTCCGCCGGCACCACGCTCTCCCATCCCGTCACATACGCGAATCCAACCTGGCTGGCGGCGTTGACAAAGGCCTGAGCGACTGCGCGGTCCTGCTCGGGAGTGGAGGCGCCAGAGAGGTAGCTCGACAGGTCGATCGTGTTGAGCATAGCTGTGAGCGTTGTGTACGTGCGTGATGCGCCCCCAAACCGCGAGAAGAGCGAGAAAGCGGGACGAGAAGCAACTCCAAGCGATGAGGAGCGAGCGAGAAGACGGCTGATGCGGGGACGGTGCGGGGCGTGCACAGCGTTAGCCAGCAGCGGCAGCCAAGCGGCAGCGTTGTCGACTTGCAGCAGACTTGGCGCGAATAGCTCGTGGCGAGCAGTGGGATGAGGAGAAAGAGGTAGCGAGGGGAGCAAGACGTCAAGAGGATGGACAACAGAGGCTGAATATGCAGGATGAGGGCGGCTGAATAGTCTACAAGATTGTAAGACGGCATGCGACGTGGTGAAAGCGTTGGTCAAAGAAGAGGATTCACTCGACGACGCCAAAGAACCGCTCCTGGAACCGGATGACCTCCTTGGCGAGCCGGTCCATCATGGCGAGACTCGCCGGACTCGCTGCCGATGTGAGGAGAGGAGCGGAGGAGGCGCCGGGTAGAGGAGGGAGGGCAGCGAGGGTGAAGTCGACTGCTGCTGAGGACGAAGGGACGGGTGTTGTGCCGCTGACGCCTCGAGGCGTGCCGATAGCGCTTGACGATCTTGAAGCGCTCCCGCCTGCCGAACCAGACGTCGATGCGCCGCCGCTAGACGAGCCCGCCTTCTCCGACCGCTCCTTCTCCCTCGCCTCCTTGATCCGCTCGTTCGCGTCCCGCAGGAGCTCCCACCGCTTGTCCCGCTCGCTCATCTCCACCTGCACCTTCGTGACGAACTCGAGCACCGTACGCGCCCGCTTGCGCATCTCGGGCATCGTGACCCGCTTGCCGGGGAAGCGGACTTTCGTAGGCGGTTCAAGGGTCGGAGGTGCAGTCGGGTCGACAACGGACGGGACTTCAAGGAGTTGAGGCGACTGAGAGGGAAGGAGGGGAGCGAGGTGTCGCAGGTGTTCGGGGAGTCCCCAGCCGAAAGCACCGCTTGACGTCGCAGCGCCGGTGCCGATCTTGCCGCTCGAACCGCTCGCTTCGCCGTTCCCGTGCGAGCTAAAGGACGCATGCGAGGCGCCGCCGCGCTTGATGGGCGATTTGCCGCCGCCTCGACCGTGAGCGCCGTGTCCGCCTCGCCCGCGGTAGGTGTACTGGTTCGGGTGCTTGCCGCGTCCGCTTGTATGCACAGGTACTGGCGACGGTTCAGGTGACGCTGTATGAGGCCCAGGGTTCGTCAGATTTGCGAAAGGGAGAAGCGGAGCTCAGGCAGAGCGCACCTTCTGCTTCTGCGACCTCCTCGTCCGCCTTCTCATCCAGTGCCATGCTAGACTCGCCTGCATCGTGCTCCACGTCCTCCTTTGCGTTCTCTTCCTCGTGTTCGTCTCCGTCTCGTCGCTCCTCAGAGACGCTCTGCCGCCGCTTCGCATCGACTCGCTCATCCTCCTCGCCCTCCGCTCCTCCGTCGGCTCCATCGTCGTGACCCGCTAGCTGGCCGTCATCCGCATCGATGGCCTCCTCCTTCGGCTCGATGTCCTCGCCGTCTCCATCGGGTGCTGGCGACTCGTCTTCGGCGTTTGAGGGCGAGCGGCGACTCCGAGGACCGCTTTTGCTGCGAGCGTAATGGAGGTCAGCGGGCCGAGTGCATATGAGTCAAAGCACCAGAGCACAGAAATGCTGCGATGCCTGGCGAGTTCGCCGCAGGCTGAACTTACCCTTTCGCACCCTTCTTGCCCGTCACGACGACCTTTCCCTTGGCGCCCGGCTCGGCCCCGACAGGCTTCTTTCCCTTTCCTCTCCCTCCCGCACCGCTAATGATGATCTCCTCGACCTCGTCCTCCTCATCCCCGCTCCCGTCCTCCTCACTCCCACTAAGCTCCCCATTCCTCGCCTTCTCCAACTTGGCCCTCATAGCCGCCGTCCCATGCTCCAGTATACTCAACGCAATCGCATCGTCGTAAGCCGCGTCGCGCGAGTTCATCGTGTTGCGCTTCTTGGGCGCCGACGAGTTCGAGGAGGGAAAGGCGGTCGAGGCGGGCTTGTGATCTGCGTTGTGGTCGTGGAGGAAGGCGTGGACCATGGCGGCGTCGGCGGATTCGCGGGGCTTGTGGCCTTTGCCGGAGGCGTCGCGCGTCGAGGTGGGCGAACCGCCGCGGCCGGCTGCGGGAGCGGACGATTTGCGGCTGACTTTGCGGAGGAGGCTGCGAAAGGATAAACTGTGAGTTAGCTCGCCGTAGCTTGTGCCCTGTGAGCAGGCGAGTCGAGGAGAGAAACGCAAGCTCACCCTCCGGGACCGTGTAGGCTCGGTTTGCACAGCTCGCAGAAGTAGCGGTTCGGGCATTCCTGTAGAGATGCAGGCGTCAGTGTACGGTTCGAATAGAAGTGCTGCATGACACTGTGTTGTCCCGCAACTAGGCGGTACGGCAAACGGCAAGCTGGTGAACGCACCTTCTCGTCCCAGAGGCCGACGCAAGCGCCGTGCTGCCAACACTTGCACGTGTCGCACTGGATCATCAGGCCGGAAGCCATCTCCTCGTCTGCAAAAAGACCCGAGAACGATCAGCACACTTGCTCGAAGAACGATCGGAGGCGAACAACATCGAGGGGCCAAACTTACTGTCCTGCCCGCACACGCATCTCGTTACGCCTCCATCGCCGTCTTCATCCTCGTCCTCCTCGCCCTCCTCCTCCCCTCCATCTGCCTCGATATCGTCCTCGAGTTCCGCCCCGACACCCAGCTCCTCTTCCCTCAGACTCTTCCTCCCGCTCGTACTCCTCTTCGCTCGCTTCGACCCGCCGCTGTAATCGTCCTCGGCAAGCGCAGCAGACGCAGAGCGCTTGCCTGTCCCTCTTCCGCCGCTGGACGAACCCTTGGCGCCCTTCTTGCCTGCTGCTGATCCGCCGCGCCCGCCCTTCTTGCTAGACGTTGCGGGTGGACTCATTGAGTGGGTAGTCGGTCGTTTCTAGTCGGGAAGGAGGGATGGCGGGTGAGTGTAGGCGGAGTGGGGAGGGCGGGCGGTGAGAGTGAGCGGGGTCGACGGCGAGTTGCGGTCGACAGAGATCGTAGTAGAGCTCCTGTTAGACGTCGTTCACCGTGTCCCACCCTTCTACGCTCCGTGTCGAGGCGGCAGTCGGGCTGATGCTGTCGAGGCGGTGAGCAAGCCCGAAACGAGCTCGTCCGGCGCAGGAGAAACGCTGGCGCGAGTGTGCGTGGCTTGTGTAGCTTCGATAGAGCAGTCTCAGCCCAGTGAAAGCCAGCTAGGCGCGCCGTGAGCGGTGGTCGCGTCGTTGTCGCCGGGAGAGAGTCGGCGCTCACTCGCTCAGCTCTGCCACTCTCGCTCGCTCGCTCGCAGGGGCCCTGTCAAGCTATGAATGCTCGCTAGCTACGCTTAGAAACCGACACCAGCACTCGCATACCCGCGCGAGCTCTTCTCGCCGCTGTGTCGCCCCGCTCCCTCGACTCGCCCCAACTGCAGTCAATCCATCGCGAGGTACTAATATGCGCATTCAGGATCGTAAAAGGTTCGCGCGGATAGATGCCGGGACGACGAAGGACGACCGAGCGGGGTGGCAGCCGGGACGGGCACTGTCAACGAGCTTCGAAACAAGTTGTCGGGTTTCGAGGGCGCTCGAGCGAACGGGACAACTTGGACGGGAGTTGCATGACGAAGCCTGTGTGCTTGAGCTTGGCGTTCGTAGGCGGCGCCGCTTCGACACACTGTCAGGCGTCCCCTCGTCGCTCTTCTCTGTTCGCCTCGCTTAGCTATGCAGGGCTGGGCGCAGTTCAGCCTTCGAATGCGTCAAAAAAATGAAACGACAAAACTGCTACTGCTGTCGGCTACACCCGCTAATCCCCCTCACGTCTGACCTCGCCCCGCAGGCAAACTCTCCTTCCTCGCCCTCCTCCCCCCGCGCACGACCTCCTGCTTGACCTCCCCGACATCTTGGATCCTCCACCACTCATCCAGCCACTTGACCCAGTCGACGCACTCGTCCGCCTCGTCCATCACCTCGTCCGCGCATCCTCGTTGGCTCGCTCGGGTGGTGGTGGAGATGTACAGCTTCTTGTAGGACGTAGAGGGAGAAGGCGGAGAGGGAAAGCAGTTCAGGATATCGTTCACGGCCAGGCTAGGGAAGGCAGTGAGCGGAGGGACCGGTTGTCGAGGCGAGAAGGAACGCCATTCGCGGCGGAGGCAGACGGGAAGGGTGGAGCAGCGTCGGCGCGGCGATGCGAGGTCGTCTTCGAAGTCCGAGTCGCCGAGGTCGTCCTTCGGTACGTCGCCCTCCAGACTCGTGGTCAGAGTCGACGCAGGAAAAGCGGGCGAGGACTCATCGGAGTAGGCGCTCCCCGATGAGCGACTCGAAGGCGCGATTGTCATATTCGACGTCGTGCGGCGGACATCTACTGACTACCGAAGTCAGCCGGCACGTCGAGCGGGACGACGCAGGACGAAGTGCGGGACGTACGAGCTTTGAACGACTGGACTTTGCGTTCCTTTTTCTCCTCCTTGACTCCGAAACACCGTCGCACGAACCGCTTGACCTTGTACAGCGGCCGTGCTTGTCGTCGCAGGTCGTCGAGGTATTCGGCTCGGACGGAGGAGACGACTGGTGGTGTGCGTTCGAGGGAGAAGGAGGCGCTCGAGTATCGCATCGAGACGAGCGTCCCCGTCGGAGCCTGCGAGATGAAGAAAGGAGAGCAAGCATGTGCGACAAGGAGGCTTGTCCCGTTCGACAGTCCCGAAGGAAGGCGGAACCGAAATTGTGACAAGACCATCTCCTCGACGTCTCGTCCAGCACAGAGAGCGTGCGTGCAGCGAGGACTGTCGCTGCTGACGCAGAGAGACTGATCGAGAGAGTGCTGTTGATTGACGAACCGCAAGTTCCAACGTCAAGAAACTCCTACCGCCCTCTTCCCCTTCCCCTCCTCCCTCCTCCGTCCCTCCTCGAATTCTCGAAATCCCTCTCCCTCTGGGCCAACAACCCATCGCGTTCCCTCTCCCTCTGAGCCATCATCGCATCGCGCTGCCTCTCCCTCTCATCCCTCACGGCCTCGTACTCCCTGTTCTGCGCCGCGCGCATCGCATCGTACTCCCTATCCCGCACCGCGCGCTCCCTCTCCCTCAAATCCTCGTACTCCCTCCCCTTCGCACTCCTCTTCGCATCCGCAAACTCCGGATCATCCAAGAACCTCTTCCCTCCTGCCCTTCCCGACGCTCCTCCACCTCCTCCTCCTGCCCTGTACGGTCCCGGCGTGTCGTAAGGAAGCGGAGGAGTCGGGCCTGTGATAGGCGGAGGAGGGTAAGCGGGTGAGCGGGACGGAGGGGGGTGAGGAGGGAAGGGGGTTTGGCGAGTCGGTGGTGGGAGGGGAGGGGGAGGTCCGAAGGTTTGCTGAGGCGGTGGAGGAGGGCCAAAGCGCGGGTGTTGCGCCGGCGGAGGACGCGGTGGGCCATCAGCGAAAGGAGGACCCGGAGGAGGTCCACGACGACTCTCGCGCTCGCGGTCCCAATCGTCATACCACAACGATGGCCCACCACGGCCACTCGAGTTGCGTAGCGGGTCGTGGAGCGGAAGCTGAGGAGGAGGGGGAGGGGGAGAGCGGAACGAGGAGCGGGAGGGAGGACCTGGCGGACCTGGCGGGCCCGGTGGGTAGAAGCTCGATGGAGGTGGGTGAGGAGAGCGCGTCGAGGGCGGCGGCGGCGGGAAAGGCGGAGGAGGGCCGTTGGCGAACGCAGGAGGAGGCGGACGTGAAGAGCGACCGAAGCGTCCGGGTGGCGAGAGCGAGCGACGCTGCACACATGCGATCCAGTCAGTGAGCGCGACAAGCGTGAGAAAGGAAAAGAGTTGGGTACGCACCGGTCCTGCACGGCTACGATCCCTCAACTCCGCATCCCACGCATCCGCATCCGGTAGTCCCGCGCCTCGACCACCCGGCGGGGGTGGCATCGGCATAGGCTGCCTGGACGCACGCGGAGGCGAGCGCGGCGGTGGGAGCATCGGCGGACTACGAGGAGGAGGAGGAGGCCCGCGCCAGCCCGCTGACGGGGGCGGAGGGTGAGGTGAGAGCGAGCGGCGCCTGAAGGGCGGAGGACCTGGAGGGCCGGGCGGGAAGAAGCGGTCTGGTGGAGCAAGCGGGCCTGAGGGCGGGCGGTCGAATGGAGCGCGAGGATGAGGTGGTGGAGGAGAGCGACGAGACTCATAGGGAAGTTCTCCTGAGAACCGCCGGGGACGGGGCGATAGACTGCGCCTGCGGGGGGGAGAGCGCGAGTAGCCACCGTTGCCGCCACGAGGAGGCGGACCACGCTGTTGCGGCGACCGAAGCTGCGGAGGAGGAGGAGGAGGCGAGATCGGTCTACCTCGCAACTCGTTCGAGAAGCGTCGGCCGCGCGGGGGAGGAGGCGAGTGAGGCCGCCGGTCAGGCGAGTGAGGGCGGTGGTGCGCCTGTCTGCCCGGTCCTCCAGAGCTGCGGTCCTTCTTCCCGCGCCCGCGTCCACGCTCGCGCTCCTTCCCCCGCCCTCGTCCGTGCCCGCGCGACGACCTGTCCCTCTCCTTCTCCCGCTGTGCCGTCGCATTCGTCGAGACCGATGCGCTGGTCGCGACCGACAACGCCGGCGACGGAGCCCTGTTCCTCCCCTTCTCCTCTCCCTCCTCCTCAACCTGCGCCTCCTCCTCCTGCTGCCGAACCGCCCCGACCTCCTCCTCAATCACCCTCTTCTTCTCCTCCAACAACCGTTTCTCCATCTCGAGTCTCGCGAGAACCGCTTTCCGCCCCTCTTGCTGCTGCGCAGGAGCGGGAGAAGGGTCGGGAGCGGGCGAAGGAGACTCGACCATATCGCTTCCCGAGTCGGTCCCTCGCGCTGCGAGGCGCTCGCGTTCGAGGGCGAGGCGGAGGGCGAGGCGGTTGGCGATTCGTTGGGCGGGCGTCAGAGTCGCGTCGGCCGTGGCCGTGTCGGAGGCGGAAGGGGCGGCGGCGGAAGAGACAGGCTCGGCGTGCGCCGCGGGAGTATGTACATGCGCGAGAGACGAAGATGCGGGCGCAGACACGGACGACGAGGCTTGTTCAACAGACACAGCGTCGGTTTCGGCTTCGGGTCGAGTCTGGGTCTGGGTCTGGGTCTGGCTCGACGAACTGGTGCTCATGGCGACACTCGAGTAGCCCGTCCTGTGTGCAAACAGCGTCGAAGGGTCGAAGTCGTCGTCCGAGTCCGAGTCTTCGCTCGAGGAAGAGGGAGAGGCGTCCTGATCCATCTTCTCCTGTCCCTGCGCGGGTTCTGACACGATCGCAGGCGCAGGCTCGGGTTCGGGCTCGACGTAATCTTCAAGCTCCATCTCGTCGTCGTCGTCGAGGGTCACAGGCGCGGCAGGCGTTGTATGTACAGGTCCAGTCTCGAGAGCAACCGTCGCAGAGTCAGGCGTCGAGTCTTTGAAAGCAGGCGGGTCGGAGGTGGTGGTGGTGATCGTGACAGGCTCTTCGTCGTGCTCGTGGCGTTCACTGGCAGGCGTGTGCTGCTGCTGTTCGTCCCGCACACCTCGGTCCTCGTCAGTCGGCTCAACCTCGCTGCTGCGGTCTCCTGGCTGCGGCTGGTGCTCGTTGGCCAGTCGCTTGACAGGCAAAGGGTGAAGCTTTGCGGGCACTCTGAAGAGCGGGTGTGTGCCCGCGAGGATGTCGTCGCGGAGGGAGCGGAGGAGAGTGAGGTCGCTGTGCGGAGTCGGAGTCGGTGCGGATGGGTCGTGTGCGATGGCCTGCAGTGCCATGCCTCGTTGGGAGTCCCAGCTGTGCTCTTCGAGTCTGTAGCTCGCGTGCGAGAGGTGAGCGGGTGAGGAGAGAGAGGGAGAGAGCGCGAGATCTCGTCGTCCGCTCGCCCTTTCGAGTTGCTTCCAAGGAGTGAGATGGTGTGGCAGTCCAGCCGAATCCATTGGTGCACACAGCTAGTCCCCAAGTGGCGTGTGTGAGGCTGTCGAGGGGTGCACCTTTGGGACTTGGCCGTTTCAGCGCGCGGTTGGCTGAGCTCGCCTCGTCGACGGCGCCTCGCTCGCCTTGCTCCCCCCGGTTGTCCGATCCTCGCACAAGGTACGCTAGCACTCCCACTGACTAGCTCACCGTATTCTCCAGCGCTGACCCTCTCGCCCCGTCCAACTCGCGCGCCATTCCGTCCACCCGTTCGCCCGCTGCACCACCCTCAAACTTCGCCTCGCACCCGCCAACTCGCCCTCACCGCACACCTGACCGCCCTGCGACCGTCTTCAACGTACTCTGCACACTCGAAAACCCCTCTCCAACTGCTCACCCGCCTCCCCGCCGTCGCCGCACACTCGAATCGCCAACCCGCGTCCCTGCTCACCCACCCACCCACTCTCTCTCACCCGCACAGATGCCCAAGATCTACAAGCCCGGCAAGGTTGCGCTCGTCCTCTCCGGACGCTACGCCGGCCGCAAGGTCGTCGTCATCCGCCAGTCGGACGAGGGCACCAAGGTGCGCGCCTTCGCTTTCCGCACCTTTCGACTCGCGTCGGCAGATGGGGCGGGATGGCAGCGGGCATTGAGGAGAGGATCTGGGATGCATTTATGGGCAGGATTGAGGGAACGAGCGGGGCGGGGCAGACAGGCGAGCTTCGGACAGGGACATTCCCCGAGCTGACACCTACCTCTTCGCTCCCGTTCCCGTTCACAACGCACAGGAGCGCCCCTACCCCCACGCCATCGTCGCCGGCATCGAGCGCTACCCGCGCAAGGTGACCAAGTCGATGGGCAAGAAGCGTATCGAGAAGGTATGCTCCCCGCCCTTCCCTCTCCTACTTGTGCAGCAGGACGCTGACTGTGATGTTTCGGTACGTGCGCGCAGAGGTCGAAGGTTAAGCCTTTCATCAAGGTACATTCCGCCGTTCTGAGAGTGGAGGGGTCCGGGTGGTCGAGCTGGGGCGGGTCGAGCAGCATCTCGGGGGGGAGAGGGCAGGAGCGGCTACAGAGAGCGCTGGCACAGGCGGGACGCGTCGCAGAGTTGTCGAGTGTGCGGTCGGTGGCGATGCGCGCAGACGGGGGGACATGGGTTAGAGGGGGAGATGCTGCTCGGCTGCCGGGAGTAGTGCGGACGGACTCGACAGTAGGACAGCTCGCTGACCCTTCTCGCTTGCATCCTTCACCTCGCACATCTCTCTGTCGCCGATCCGATCCGCCCTCCGCCTCCACCTCGGAACTCTCTCCTCCCTACCCTCGCACTCGAAACAGTCGATCAACTACAACCACCTCCTCCCCACTCGCTACGCTCTCGAGCTCGAGGGCCTCAAGGGCGTCGTCGCGCCCGAGACGTTCAAGGAGGTTTCGAGCCGCGAGGACTCGAAGAAGCAGGTCAAGAAGCTCTTTGAGGAGCGCTACCTCCAGGGAAAGAACAGGTGGTTCTTCACTGCTGTGCGTTTTTCGCGTCTCCTTCCTCTCGGCCTTTCGAACAGCGGGACTGCGTTTCGAGCGGTCCCGCGGGTTCTCAAGAGTCGCCCGGTGGAACGCGATCGCTGACATCCCTCCTTTGCTCGCCGACAGCTCCGCTTCTAAGCGCGCTCCTACAGCGTGAAGGGATCCGGGGGTCAGTGTAGTAGAGACGGACCGTGCTGCTCCACCTTTTCGTTCGTCTGCACCGGGGGTGTGCACTTGTACGAGCTTGTGCGACTGGCCTGCGGTCTGTCGATGGCGAGAGAGGCTGGCTTGGGGCTGCGTGCTTTATTTCGACGCTCTGTGGCTTTGATCGCTGGCACCTCGCCGTCGTCGCGCCTTAAGCTGCCCTCGCAGCTCTCGTCGCCTCTCTTGCTCCTCCTCCTCACTCGCTTTCTCGCTCTCCCCACTCAAGACTGCTCGCGATGCCCACGCTCGACACTCTCCCAGTCCCACTGTGCGTCCCATCAACTCGCTCGCTTCTCCCCACTCGCTCCTGACCTCCTATATCCTCCCCGCCCTCCAAAGCCTCCTCGACCTCGCATCCCACCTCGCCTCCGCTTCCTCGCCGTTCTCCTGGCCCCTCACGCGCATCACACATGGACGCTACATGCCCTTCTCCCGTCCGTCGGCGGATCTCGTTGCCCTGGCGAGTACGAACAAGCGCTTGAGGGAGGTCCTGCGAGAGAGGGCGTTCAGGTGCTTGGAGGTGGGCGAGTTGAGGGAGGGGTTGGAGTGCTCGGAGAGTTATCAGGAGGAGGTGGAGTGGCTGGCGAGCGAGGAGGGAGAGCGGGTGTTGCGGTGCGTGAGGTGCGTCGGTTTCGCTTCTTCGACGGTGCAGCCAGGCGATGGCTGATGTGAGGTCGAGCAGGGCGCTGTGGATTGCCCCGCTCCTTCCGAGGGGTATCGAGGCGCTCGCCAAGTGCCTCGAGGTGCGTCGTCTCGACGCTCGTCTCGCCCGCTCGCTGACCTTCGCAACCCTCGCCTCGAACAGCGCATGCCCAACCTCCAGCAGGTCGTCTACTCGTCCTCCCTCCCTTTTCCTTCAATCTTCGTCGACCCGCTTCTCGCGCTCGACTCGTTCACCTCGCTCCACTTCGACTCGAGCAGCGTCGAATCGCTCCCTCACATCCTCCCCCTCGCTCGCAAAGTCACCGACCTCTCGCTCGAGACACGCGCGGCGTATCCAGTGCCGAAGGAGAGCCTCGACCTTTGTCCCGTCACGGTCGCGTACGAGCGTCGCCGCCTAGTCCCTTGGGACATGAAGAACCTCCCGACCCGCGAGGAGCAGTTCCAGGCTCTCGTCGACGGACTCGTGACGTACCTCCACCATGCGCAAGACACGCTCGAGATGCTCGTCGTCGACGGATCGCACATCGCACCTCACTGCGACGCGCTCGAGTGGACGACCTCGCCGCCCTCGACGAGGTGGTTCGAGCAAGTCTTCCGTCACTTCACTCTTACTCGCAGGGCATTCCCGCGCATCGAGCGACTCGCGCTCAACTTTGCGAGCGTCAAGAGCGAGGTTATGGATGAATTGGTCGAGATGGTCGCCGGGCGGATTAGGTGGCTCGACATCGACGGCTTTGAGCGCGAGTATGTCAAGCCTCCCGCAGCCTTTCCGCGTCTCGAGTTCTTGTGAGTCGACGACTCGTGAATTGGCGCGAGCACGAACCAGGCTGATGAGGACGACTCCGCAGCCGCACAATCTTTGCGGACAAGGTCAGCGTCGCCGCCTTCGTGTCCAGGGTCGTTGCGAGTCCTCGCCTCACCTAGTACGTCTTCGCGCGGTCCTTTGTGCTATCTGAGCTCGCTGACCCTCGAAGCCGACAGACTCACCCTTAACGGCCTCATCCCTCACGAGATCCCTCAAATCTTTTACTCTTCCATCGCCTGCCGCGAAACCCTCCGCGAACTCGTCCTCCAGACGCTTCAGGCTGCACCGTTCTACGTCGGCGAGTTGCGCGTGATCGCGCTCAGCTGCCCGAATTTGGAGTTGGTTGACCTCAAGGCGACTTGGGGCGGCGAGGCGGTGAGACCCGCGGCTAGCTTTTCCTCTTCCGAAATCTCGCTGAATCCGCACCTACGTCCGGCAGGTCGACTTCCTCGATGCCCTCTCCTCCCTCCGCAAGCTCCGCACCTTCTCCTTCGACCATCCCTGGGAGAAACCCTCCGGCCCTCGTCCCTGGGTGGACGGGCGCACGATTCGCTCGGACCGTAACGGCGACTTCCAAGTCATCAGTTGCTTTGGGACGTCGATCGAGCACGAGATGAGGCGGAGGATCCGTGAGTTTCCGCTCCTCTCCTACGGTCTCGCTTCCGACACGCAAGTTCGACCCGCTCCTACTGACCGCCTGATATTCGCGACACAGTGGAAGACATCGACGCCGTCCGTCCAACCTACACGACCCGCTTCCTCGCCTTCGCCTCCGACCACCCGCTCCTCACCCTCCTCGTCTGGCACGCAACCGAAGTCGTCGAATGGTACTGGCGCTTCAAGCGGGTTGGCGCGGGAGTCGCGGTGGAGAGTGACTACGTGTGGTTGCCGTACAAGGAGGACGTGCTCAAGGCGGAGGGGGAGAATGGGGAGGAGGGCGAGGAGAAGGCGCCGGCTGGGGTGTTTGCTCGCTTTCCTGTCGCTTGATGGGCGGGATCGGAGTCACTTGTAGGGTGGGCTTGATGTAGGCCTGGGTCACTTGCTCTCGAGGTAGGTCTGGCGTCGTCGAGGAGGTCAGGCAGGAGAAGCGGCGTCTCCAGCTTCTTGTGGGACGTCCGGCCGCGCTTGAACGCCTTTGAATGCTTCTCGACGCCCTTTCTTACCAACCCGAAAGCCCTCGTGCTCATGGACCTTTGCTTGTCGTCGCCCTTTGCCTCTCTCCCTCCTCCCTTTCACTTGCTCTTTCCTGCCCGCTCGCAACGTCGTTCAAGCTGCTGGAGATGCCTTCTCTCGACTCTCTGCCTGTCCCGCTGTGCGCTCCAGTCACAGGCAAGCCCTCGCACGCCGCGCTGACTGCCTTTTCCCTGCCTCGCTCAGTCTCCTCGAACTCGCTTCCCACCTCGAAGACCGCGAAGAGTTCCCGAGCCCGTGGAATCGCTTTACACAGAATTGCGTGGCGCCGGCCGTCTCCGCCTCCAAGGCGCTGATTTCGCTGTCCAGCACTTGCAAGAGGTTGCGCGAGGTCTTCGAGGAGAAGGTCTTCGGCTGCCTCAGCGTGGGAGAGATGGTGGAGGACGTGATTGCGACGAGCGCGTATCAGGAATAGGTGGAGTGGCTGGCGAAACACGGCGGAGCGGTTGTTAAGCATGTCAAGTGCGTCTCGACACGCTCTTCCAGGAGAGGACGACCTGACCCGGCTCTTTCCGCCTCGCAGAATCCTCGAGGTCGCTCCTCTCCTCCCAAAGGGCATCGAAGCTCTGGCCGAGTGCATGAAGGTGCGCGCAGCCCGCAAAGACTTGCGAACTCCGCTGACCTTCGCAAACGCCCTGCAGAACATGGTGCACCTCGAGAAGATCGTCTGGGCGTCCTCGCTTCCCCTCCCTCCGCTCTTCGTAACCGTCCTCAAGAAGCTCGACTGCTTTCACGCCCTCGACTTCGAGGCCGGCTGCGTCGAGTCGCACCCGCACATCCTGCCTCTTGTTGACAAGCTCACCGACGTCGACTTCGAGTCCGAGATCCTCCCCAGTCTTCCCGCCGCTAGCATCAAGCTCTGTCCGGTCACCGTCGCCTCGCGCAGGAGGAGCAAGAAGAAGTGGGATGAGCGCAACCTGCCAACTCCGCAAGAACAGACCGACGCCTTCGTCAAGGGTCTCGCCGCCTACCTGCCTCTCGCAGCCGACACGCTGGAGTCGCTCATGATTAACGGCGCCGGTATTGCGCCCGACGTTGAAGATCCCGGCTACCTCCGCGACCCAGCCGCCAACTGGTTCCACAACTTGTTCGATACGATGGCGGGAACGACGCAGCAGCGCATCTACCTGGACTTCCCTCGCCTCACTCGTCTCTGCATCAAGGTCGCCAAGGTCGACTGCGTCGCCATAACCCACCTCCTCAAGGCGCGCGCGGAGAGCTTCACCCACCTCCAGCTCGACGGGAACGACCGCAAGACGTACGCCTCGCCGCCTCGCGCTTTCCCCCGCCTCGAGTACTTGTGAGTTCCGTCAGTGGCCCGCTATGTTCGCGCACCTGACCCCATCGCTTCTGCAGCTGCACGATCTTTTACGATGAGGTCAAGGTCGCCAAGTTCGTCAAGAAGGTCGTCGCAAGTCCGAAGCTCGCCTAGTGAGTCGTCTCGAACGCTCTTTCAACCCGGTAGAAGCTGAACACTCGCACCTCGTAGCCTCAACCTGAACGGCCTTCGTCCCGACGAGGTTGGGCAGATCTTCGGGTCGACGATGGCCTGCCGCGAGACGCTTCGCGAGCTCAATCTGCAGAGCCTCCAAACCGAAGGGCTTCGTGTCGGCCAGATGAACCTCGTCGCGAGGAGTTGCCCGAACCTCGAGGTCCTCAAGCTCAGGGCGACTTGGGCAGGCGAAGCCGTGGGTTGCATCCGCATGCCTCCTCTCGCATCCTCTCACCTGACGAGCGCCCGCCCATACTCGGCGAACAGATTGACTTCCTCCACGCCCTCAAGCCGCTCAAGAAGCTTCGCTTCCTCCTCTTCGACCACCCGTGGGAGAAAGGACGCGACTGGCCGTTCCCCGACCCTGACGGGCGCACCATCCGCTCCGAGCGCGACGGAGACTTCCGTATCGTTAGCTGTTTCGGGACGTCAATGGAAGTCGAGATCAGGCGCAGGATCCGTCAGTCCCGCTTTTCCGCCTTCGTCGTTCTCGAGCTGACGGTGTCCCTGCAGTCGAGGACATCGCCGCCGTCCGCCCGATGTACAAGTCTCGTTTCCTCGCCTTCGCATCCGACCACCCGCGCCTCGTCTTTGTCGACTGGCACGCCACCGAGGCGGTACAGTGGCACTGGCGCTTCAAGCGTGTCGGTGACAAGGTGGAAGTCGAGAGCGACAAGGCTCACGTGTCGTACGAGGAGGAAGCTGCGGCGGAGAGGCAGCAAGGAGGCGCAGGAGCGGGAGGGCAGGGCTGGGGAGGGGTGTTCATGCGCTTGCCGAGGAACGCTTGAGCTGGTGGACGAGGAGTCGCTTCGCTTCGCAGTGTCTCTGCATCGTAGTCGCTCGTTCGCTCAACGAGACGCGAGGAGAGAAACCGTCAATGCAACCACGCGAACTTTCGTCGAGTTCACCCCAAATCTACCCAAACCAGCGAGAAAGCCGAGCCCAGAGACTGTGGAGGGTTACGCCGACGCCGGCGCCTGGTCCTCGATCTTCTTGAGCGGGACAGGCTCGGACAACTGAGCGGTCGGGACGCCGAGGTGGATGAGCCTGCACCCGATGCTTGATCAGTCTCGGGTGCGGGTGAAGGGAGGGAGGGAGAAGGGGACGCACTTGGAGAAAGCCTTGGAGAAGTCGGAGAAGAAGGCGTTCTCGTCCTTGGCGTACTTGTCGGTGTACTGACGGAATCCCTTGTCGGTCATGAGCGCCATGTCGGTGCGGAGCTGTTCGCCGTCCTCGTCAGCCGAGTCTTCCGAACAAGCGCGAGAGTGGAGACGCACCATCATGAGCGACTTGTCGGACTTGTTCTCGAACTGAGGAGGACCCTTCCACTTGCGCTCCTGCCATTTCTCGTCCTCGAGCAGGCGGTAGTACTCGTTCCTGCGGCGCGCAAGGCGTCAGTTCCCGTTCCCGATTCACAAGCAGCGTGGGAGCTCACGAGAAGGTAGTCGGCGCGTACTGTGAGCCCGAAGCGAGTCAGCAAGGAAGGCAGTCGAGGACGAAGAGGACCCGCACGCACCTGCCAAGGCCCATCGAATCCAGAGCGGTCAACATGGCACCTTCCGAGCGCGTGCGCGCCCGAGAGCGCGACAATCTCCTGGTCGTTGAAGCCCATGCGGTAGAAGATCTTGCGGACGTGGTCGGCGCCCTTGTCGCCGTCGGGGAGGCGGCCGTCGGGCGTGCAATTCTCGACGTTGCTGCAACAAGATCCGCGTCAGCCAATGCTGGGCAATGCAGCTAGGAAGCGCGACGCACCCGTCCTTGCGGCCTGCGCGCCAAGGGATGTAGGGGCCGCCCATCTCCTGGATGGCGCAGACACCGGCGAGGGTCTGCGCGCGCTGATGTTGTCAGTAACAGGCTCAGAGTGCCACACGGATCCTGCGGACGCACCCAGAGGTCGGAGTAGGTGATCTCGGGGAACTTCTTCTTGACGATCTCGAGCCGGTTGCGGGCGTGCTCAAGACCCGCGTTGGCGCCGTGGTTCGCCTCGGGCGCGAAACGCATCGTCGCGCCGTTCGATCCGCCGTTTCCAGACTCCTTGTCGTACGTGCCCGACGCGTGCCAGGCGAGACGAACGAGGACAGGTCCGTACGAGCCGTCGTCGTAGTTCTCGTCCTCGAGGATGTCGGCGATCGCGTTGTAGACCTTCTGGTAGTCGACCTGCTGCGGGCTCGCTGCGTCCTTGACGCTGCGGTTGTCTGACGAGTCGCGGGTGTAGAGGTACAGTCCGCCTCCGAGTGCGCCGGCACCGAGGAGACCGAAGAGGAGGCCGTTGTTGCTTCCGCCGTTGCCCTTGGGCGCCGACGATGCCTCGGACGCGAATGCGCGGCGTGCAGAAGCGCGGGCGAGCTGGGGAGCCGCACGGACGGCGAGGCGGGGGGTTGCGGTGCGGAGGACGGAGGCAAAGGCCATGGTTGCGCGGGTGGATCGGATCGGGGTGCAGAGGGTCTGTGTGGGTGTCTGTGTGAGTCTTGTGTGCTTCCGCCACTCGTTCCCGCTGCACGACGAGTGTGAAGGGGTGGTGTGGGGCGGGGGAGGCCGCGTTCGAGTTGGGAGAAGCGCAGGTAGGGAGACTGCGAGTGTGCGCACCTGTGAGAGTGTCAAGCGAGTGCTCTGAGTGGATAGAACAGCGAGTGCGAGTGCTCGAGCGGGTGCAAGGCGAAGGAGCGTGACCAAGGGCGAGCGTGCATTTGTCAAACCCGACAACCCGTCCACCGTGATTGGCCAGCGCAAGTACTCCGCCTTACTCGCTTTCCGTGCATTCTAGCCGTGTACGAGCCGAATGAAGGCGCTCATGTGTCGCAGGAGATCGAAGCGGAGCGAGAAAGCGCGCGACGCAGGTCGAGGAGGGGAGAGGAGGCGACTCGATCGAGGGAGAGCGGTTTGGCGGAGGGTCCTGCCGCTCTTGTTCGTGCTCGTAAGTGTCGCAGCAGAGCCCTGCAAGCACACGGGACGCTTCAAAGCTTCTCGTCCGGGAGGTGAGCGTCCCAAGTCGCTGCCAGAGACTAATCCTCCGTCCTTTGCACGCTGAATACGCCCTTTCTCGTCCCTTGTTCTGCCTCGTAGCCTGTACTGCAGCTCTGATATGCTGTTGTTGCCGCCAGCTCGGCCTGCGAAGCGGGTTGTAGCCGTCGAGAGCGAGAGCCTCCTCGTCCCGGCCATCGCTTCGCTCTCCTCGACACCGCTCAGTACGCCCGGCAGCGAGTTCTACCACTCGAAGCGCTCACAAAGGCACGCTCGTGTCGACGGCGCGACCAGCGGGAAGGAGTCGAAGCAGAAGGTGAGAAGCGAGAGAGGTAAGTGCGTTGTAATGAGACTGTTGTCGCGCATACAAAAGGGTTGTAATGACTCGCGTCCCGCTAAAGGCCCTCCCACGACGCTTGGGGGCTCGTTTACTGACTCACGGAGATGAAGAAGGTTCGCTCATGCACTAGCGAGCGCGAGAAGTCCGAGATCGACGTGGAAGATCGAGGTGAAAGGGCGGCGGAGCACGTTCTGAGCCAGGGTCGAACTCGTACCGCAACCGAGTCATCTCGCTTCTTCTGCGCCTCCCCTCAAGTAAGACCGATGCATCTCTCCTCACCACTTCAACTCGCTCTCGCTCCCTCGTCAGCGCTCGGGGGAGTTGAAGTCCTCCGTGAAGCTCACCCTCGCCTGACCGGGGGCTCTCACCGTCGTCGGCTGCGCTCGCTCGAGACGACGCCGCCGACTGGCCGCGTTACCACTTGTCGTCGCCGCACACAAAAGCACTTCTAATATGTACGTTCTCGTGTCTGATCGACTTTCTCTCAGCACCCCTACGGGGGTTGCATACAATAAACTTGTTCGTCGAGCCACATGCACGGATATCTTCCAGCGACTTCGGTCTTGACCTTCTTCACAAACCACAGGGAACGATACAGAGAAGATTAGCATGGCCCCTGCACAAGGATGACACATGCATGTCAGAAAGGTTGTCTCTATGGAGACCAATTTTTTGAACACCTCGCCGCCCCTCACCCGGTTGGTTCGTCCTCTCGAACCCCTACGATTTCTGGGGCACTCTGCGACTCGATAAGCTGCAAACGAGCGAGCGCGCGGCAGGAGACGAGGACCTCCCTCCCTCCCTCCCTCGACCTGCCGACAAGTCCCTCCGCAACTCCTCCTTGCTTGCGCCGTGCGTTCACTCTCGCACTCGGGCGTCAAGGAGCTGGCGAGGAAGTCAGCGAGGCACGACGGGCGACGAGGAGGAGACACTCCTCCCTCCCTCCCTCGACCTGCCGACAACTCTCTCCGCTCCTTCCGCGACTCCTCCCTGCTGGCGCTCTGCGTTCACGCTCGCACTTGGACGTCAATGAGCTGGCGAGGAGATCAGGCGAGGCTGGCAGCAACGAGGAGGAGATCCTCTCCCTGGCTCGACCGCCCGACCTTCGCCTCGACAACTCCCGCCTCCGCTCCTTCCGCTCCTTCCGCTCCTTCTCGCTGATTCCGCCTGCCATGGACGCACACATCCGAGCGGCAGGGAGCTTGCTAGGTAATCGGCAAGGCTAGCAGGGAGCGACGGGGTTGGGAGGAAACGCTCGCCTGCCTCTACAGCAACTGCCGCTTCGTCCTCCCTCCTTCCTCCCATCGTCCGCGTCAGCCCACTCGACAAGTTCGACGACGAATCTCGCGCTGGACAGAGACACCGCAATACAACGCCTTCTTCACCGTTTGTCGCATCTCTCGAGAGGTTGGCGCAGGCAGTACTCGATTGCGGTTGCTACGAGCTTGGGCCGAGCTCCCAGCTACTCTCTGGTGGTCTGTGCGTCTGCTCGAAGCGCAAAACGGAAACATTGCGGAGCTTTGCCGGACGACTGATGAGGATTCGAGGAGGAGGAGGAGGGGAGCGACACAACGCTTCGCACGGGCGCGCAGACCCGTTGAAGTCTCGCAGAGTGTCTCCACAGGCACCTCAACCCATCAACGCTTCCCTGCGCGAGGTGGCCTTTCGGTTCCACCTGCTCCACCTCTCTCCTTCCTCCCCTTCACTCGCTCGCGCACGCTCACCGCTAGAGCGTACGTCACACTGCTAGAATGGCTGCTCCCGCCGCTCCGAATGCTGCCAACCCTGCGCCCGCACCGTTCGAGCACAAGCTCGTCAAGTTCGACCTCGAGGGACACTTCCACTACACCTTCACTCTCGACCTCGAGCTCGACTTGACGGACCCGAAGCTGGACAAGAAGTTCAAGCTAGAAGGAGTGCCGCTCGCTGGGGAATGGACGTGCACGTGCAGGGTGGCGGGCGAAGACGTGGTCTTTGACGTGCTGCACGGCACTCTGCCTGTCGCTTTCTTCGGCAAACATGCGGAGATCGTGCTGAAGTTTCACTGGCGGGATGGATGCACTTCGAACTTAGTGGTCTTGTCGTGCTTCGAGGATGGGCCTATGCCGGCGGCGAATCCCCAACAGCCAGGGAAGGGCTACGGCGGGTTTCGCATCAAAGTGCAGCCTCACATCTTCAAGACGGCAGCTACGTCATCTTCTGGAAGCTTCGACGTCAAGACGCACCGTTCATACCGCCTTGCCATGGCGATCCACTCCCGCGGTCTTGAACCTACGCCAGAAGCAGGGATGCTGATCAAGCGGATGCCTGGTGCGCTGGCTTTCTCTGTTCTGCCTGCTGTATGCTTCGCTAATGCGCTACTCTCAGGACTTGACCTTGCTGCTACTCCGCACGACGTCCGACTCTTCTTCCCTAAGCTCGAGATTGAATTGTGGTCGGAGTCGTCCATTCTCAGCCGCTCCTCTTCCTACTTCAAGACGCTCTTCGCTTCTGGCTTTGACGAGAACAAGATGATTTGCTCGGGAGTGCACAGCTCAATCAGTTCAGCTGCGTCCCCCCACGTCGACGCGCACGCCTTCGAGGATTCGGACAGCGAGACAGACGAGCTCTTCATCAAGAAACATCCAATCCGACAGCAGTCTGGGGGAGTACGCCTCGCTCACAAGCAGGTCAATATCACGAGTACAGCCTTCACAACCTACCGAGCTGTCCTCGCCTACCTTCGAACCGGCTACATCGCCTTTGCGCCGCTCTCCTCGACTTTCCCTTTCGAACGGAGTGCTTTCGCGCCAAGTCGCATCTCGGAGGTCACTGCCGCCGTCTCTTCGAACCCTTCTCTTCCTTACCCCGCCTCGCCCAAGTCGACTTTCCGACTCGCTCACCTCCTCGAGCTCGACGACCTGCAGAAACTTTGCCTCGCCAACCTTGCAAAGCAGCTCACTGTCGACTGCGCGGCCGTCGAACTCTTCTCCGAGACTTCGGTCTGCTACGACGACTGGCGAAAGGTTGTACTCGACTTTGTCGCCGACAACTGCGACGCCGTCACAGCCTCGAGCGCATGGGCGGAGGTGACCGACAAGGTCAAGCGGGATGAGATCCGTGGCTCAGGCCCGATCATGCTCGAGTTGTTTGAGCGCAAGGTGCCGAAGACCGGTGCGTCGCCTCCGCTCCGGCTGGTGTTCGCTTACCGATCTGCTCTTGTATCTCTCAGCTCATTCCTGCATTGCGACGTAGGACTACGCTTTCTCATCGCGAATCCAGCTACTTGACTGCAATCGTTGCCTGTCTAACCCTACGCACCTTCTCGCTCGTCTGCGTGTGAGACTCGGCTCTGGCTCGCGGGCGAGCTTTGCGCGGGCGACTTCTTTCAATCGATCGCTCAACGAGGAGCAACATGAGGCGGGAAGACGGACGGGTGGCGGAGGAGCAGGCTGAAAGCCTCGCAAGAAAGAGGGAGAGCGTGTGGGCGGAGCAGCAAGTGTCTCGTCGAGGCGAACTCTCCGTCCGGTGTACATGCGCTACAAAATGGCGCAAGGAGCAGCATGCAGGAATATGGGGAAGTCCGAGGTTGGAGCGTGAGTGGGAGTAGCGTCAAAGGGAGGAGGCAGCTTGGGTTACTGCGACTTCACCCCTAGTCTTCGTCCTTGTCCTTGCACCTTTGGCACCTCCAAAAAGCAGCTGAGGCGCTACAGGCTCTAGCACGAGCAGAGCGAGACGAGTGAGCGTTGGGGCGCAGGCAGGAAGGTGAAAACAGCGTCCCTCTCCTGCGGCTACCGATTCGCCCCTCCTCACTGCTACAGAACTTGTAGTCATCTGATGAATGCTGATAACGGCGCGATCAACCTGAGAGACCAGATGAAGGGGAGGAGTGCGAAGGGGAAGGGAATGGGTGGTAATGGTCAACGCTGCCTCATTTGCAAGCGAGCGCATGTCTAAGCCTGTGGAAGTATCAGTCGAACAAGAGGAAGCCAGAAGGTGAGTGGATGTGACGCTAGTGAGGCGAGGCAGAGAGGCTCAATCGCAGGCGACGAAGCGGAGCGTCTCCTCTTGGTCGCCTGACGGGACGTCGTACGTCGTCATGTGAAAAGCGGAGCGAGCAAATACGCGCGTAGTCGAAAGACAGAAAGGAGCGCCAGCGGACTGGAGAGCCGGCGGGAGCGGCAGTCGTTGCCGCCAGCTTTGCCAGTCTCCGAGCAAGCCCTTGCCCTTCAAGTGCACACGCCAATGCAAGTGTCATGCGCAAATAAGCAACAATGAGTGCTCGCCAGGCGGAGGAGCCAGCGGGAAAAAGAAGTCGATGGTCAGGACGGCCAGCGTCTCCCACCTCCGTCAATGGTAGCCTCGCTGATTCCTTAGTGCACTCCCTGCCACTCAAGTGGGTGCATCCATGTGAAGGGCAATCAGCGAGGTGTCGCAGAAGGACCGAAGGCCGGAAGTCATCAAGGCGAAGGTACTCGGCCGTCTAGGGAGGAAGGCGTCTCCTCCTCGTCGCCTGTCGTGCCTCACCTGATCTCCTAGCAAGCTCCGTGACGTCCAAGTGCGAGAGTGAACGCGGAGCGCAAGCAGGGAGAAGTTGCGGCAGGAGCGACGTGAGTTGGAAGGAAGAGCGTGTCGTCCTCGTCGCCGTTCGCGTGCTTGCTCGTTTGCAGCTTATCGAGTCGCAGAGTGCCCCAGAAATCATAGGGGTTCGAGAGGACGAACCAACCGGGTGAGGGGCGCCGGGGTGCCAAAAAAATGAGCTTCCTTAGAAGCTAACCTTTCTGACATGCATGTGTCATCCTTGTGCAGGGGCCATGCTAATCTTCTCTGTATCGTTCCCTGTGGTTTGTGAAGAAGGTCAAGACCGAAGTCGCTGGAAGATATCCGTGCATGTGGCTCGACGAACAAGTTTATTGTATGCAACCCCCGTAGGGGTGCTGAGGTCGACGCAGCGAATCTGCTTATAAAGGCCTGGCTTTTTGGGGGGTTGACGACGACGAGTGGTAGCGCGGCGAGTCGGCGGCGTCGTCTCGAGCGAGCGCAGCCGACGACGGTGAGAGCGCCCGGTCAGGCGAGGGTGAAAGCGCTGGGTCATCCCGCCAGGGCGGTAACCGCTCGAGCTGCATCTTTGGAAGACGACGCGAAGCTGGAAAGGCTGAAGAGGCGGCGTTGCGGGAGATTCGAGGAGGAGAGGAGGGTGAAGGTGGTCCAGGTCGCTCCGTGCTAGTCGTCGAGGCGCTTTCAGAGCGTGTTGCCGCACAGGGAGGCGCATCCCCAACGCAGTATTGAGCCTTGGAAAAGCCTCAGCTCAGATGGCAGTCGGAGTCAGAGGTCGAGCGAGGATGGGCGGCCGTCGCTTCACGCGGCTGCGAGGGCTGCGCACTGCTACGAGAGTGAGTCACGAGGGTCTTTGGCGTGACAGGAGCTGTGTATGGACCTGCAAGCGTTCGGACAACGAAGCGAGTTGAGGAGCAAGACCCAGGCGTGCCAGACTTCGCTCGAAACGCAGCAGGGCGTGTAAAGCTCGGTACCTGCCTTTAGCTGTGAGCTGCTTCAGCTACCCAGCGCCTCGCAACAGGTCGGCGGGCTGCGTGCTGGCGCGATAAACTCCTCGGCGACTGGTGATCAAGAAGAGGATGGTCGAATGAGCGGCAGCCGGTGCACGGGATCAGCGCTAGGGCTCAATTGATCCGGCCTAGACCAGCAGCGCTGATTCCGCAGCTGTGCGAGGTATGCGAGCGTCGAGAGGGAGGAGAAGAGGTCAAGGGGAGGAACGCCGTCCCGCGAGAAGCTGCTCTGGTGGCTCGGACGGGGACAAGACGTTGCTTTGGGTAATCGCGATGCGTCCGACAAGAGCCGGGCGAGCGGAGGATTTCACGTTCCCTCGCCCAGATCCTTTGAATGTACATGGGCGGATTGATTACGACACAGACGATATGTACGACGTGCGCCACGCCTTGAGCTCCTCCTAGATCCTCTCCTTCCGCGCCTCCCTCGTCTCGCGCTCCTTAAGCAGGTCGGTCAGCCTCGACTCCCAGACGGGCACCTCGGCGAGCTTCTGCTCGAGCGACTGCTTCTCCTCCTGCAGTGCGAGACGCTCTTCCCAGTTGAGCGGACCGAAGGCGTAGTCGCCGCCGCCGAGGTACTGCAGGAGGGCAAGATCAGCGAGGAGAGGCGCTTGAAGGGCGAGAAGACGAACCTGGAGGATGTACTTGTGGTACTTCCACAGAGACGGGCGGTGTGAGACGGTGAGGAGGGTGATGCCGAGCTCTGCGCAGCGCAGGAAGTCGAAGTCAGCGCGCGGCGAGAGCGAACGAGAGGCGAAGCCGACTCACCAGTCGCCCGCTCGTAGAAAGTTTGCTCAATCTGCAGGGTCACGGCACTCGTGCACTCGTCGAGAATAGCGTACTGCGGGTGTGCAGGACGATCAGCTTGAAGCGAGCCGGAGGCTGTGAGTCGGCGCGCACCTTCGGGCAATGGTAGAACAACCGGGCCATCGCTAGCCTCTGCTTGTCGCCTCCCGACAACGCGTCCCTCCACTCGCGCTGCGTGTCCCATCCGCCTTCGCGCTCAACGATTGAGTCGAGCTCGAGCATCTTGAGGATGTCGAGGAGGTTGGCGTCGGTGATTCCGCCTGCGAACGCCAGGAAGTCAGCGGTGGACGCAACCGGAAGTCGGAGGCGCGAACGCACGCTCAAGCATCTGCGCGCGAGAATGCGGATAGATGATCTGGTCGCGAAGGGTGCCGAGCGAGAGGTACGGTCGCTGCGGGATGTAGGTGAACTCGGACGCGGGAGGCTTGGTGACGGTGCCGCCTGCGAGCGAGCATCGTCAGCGCGGGTTTAGGAACGAGGGAAACGAGGGCGACGCACCGTAGATGGGCCACAAGCCGCCGAGGATGCGGAACAACGACGACTTGCCCGTCCCGTTTCCACCGACGACGAGAAGGTGGTTCTGCGCGAGGAGATTGTGAGATCGCCCTCACAAAAAGCGGCACCCCACTCGCCCGCGCTTTCGCTAGGCAAGGATAGGCGATAGCTTGTGAAGCGCGACTCACGCCAGGCTTGACGTAGAAACTCAGGCTCTTGATCAAGACGTCGCCTGCATTCATCACTCGTCAGCTAGCGCTCCACCAAAGCGAATGAAAGGACGCACCGTTCGGCGTGACGATGGGGACCTTGTCGAAGATGATCTCGTCGTCAGAGTGGATGATCTTGCCGCGACCTTGCAGGACTGCGAGACGAGATGCGAGTCAGTCTGCGGATCCCCCCTTCAATTACCAAGCACCGCCGGCTCTGGCACGAGCGAGCGCAACTCACTCTTCGCGTTCTCCGCGACCTCCTCATCCTTCCCAACCGTCCGTCCCGCCGTGCTCCCGCCTCCCACAAGTTTCTTCTGGTACCGGCCAGCCTTGACGTCGTCCATCGTGTCGAGAAGTTCGGAGACGCGGGCGGTGTAGCCAGAAAGCTCGGAGAGGTCGCGGTAGGTCGACATGAGGCGCTGCGGGTGAGAGCTTGTGAGCGAGTGAAACAGCCTGAGGACACAAGAGAGGGACGTACGCCAAGAGCGTCGGATGCGGAGAGCAGCAGACGACGGTTGGTAACGAAGCCTGCGAGCGGGACCATCAGTGCTGCGTCGAGGGGAGCGAGAGAGACGGTACGCACCCTCTGTCCTGCTCCCAAAGTCGATCCCCCCGCCCGCTCCACCGCTCATGCCCAACAACCGCATCCCAAACACCGGCACCGCGCAAACACAAAGCCCCAAGCTGCCCCAGACCCACTTGACGATCGCCTCCTCGACAAGCGAGTACGCCATCCTCATCCTGAACACGCGGTTGACGTGGCGGATCAAGGCGTAGTAGGTGCGCTCGATAATGTTCTTTTCGGTCTCGGAACCGCGCAGGAGGGCGATCTCTTCGGCGTGTTCGAGCAGGCGTGTGTGAGAGAATCGGTATTCGCCTTCGAGACGCTGCTCTTCCGCGGCGTAGCGACCGAAGGGTGGGGTCGCCCACTTGACTGTGCGTGATAAAGCGAGTCAGTGTGGGCGTGAAAAGCGAGGGACGGAGCGGGACGAACGCAAGGCGGCGGAAGCCTGGACGATGATGGTGAGCGCGATGAGGCCTTCAGCACCGACATTGCGCGAGAGCTGCCAGTTGTACAGGATGACGTCGAGAATCGGCTTGGCGATGTTCGAGCTGCGGAAGACGCGTTCGCACAAAGCCGCCAGGTCAGCGCCCGCCCAACCTGCTCGACAACGCACACGCAAACGCACTAGATCTCTGCGAGCGACGTGCTGAACTTCTGAATGTCGACCACGATGAGCTGGTCTGCGTTCTTGATGCGGTCGTCGAGGTTGCCGAGTGCGTAAAAGGTCGTTCCGTCGAGGTAGTCTTCGTGGACTTTCTTTGTCAGGCGGGTGCGGTAGGCGATGGCTGTGACGAGCCGGGTGTCAGCGCGAGTTAGGACAGAGATGAGGGGGAGAATAGAACGCACCCAGCTTGCTCTGGAGGTAAGTGAGCATCGAGTTGGTATACGTCGCCGGCACAGCAACCGCCATCCACGTCACGATCCTAATCAAGAACTGTCGCGGCTGCGCGCGGACGAGGGCAGAGACGATCGAGCCGTCGAGCGAGGCGACGTAGAGGGAGAGGAGGGTTCGGAGGACGAGGAAGAAGGAGTGCAGGAGGAGGAGGGAGGCTTCTTTGGAGCGGAAGGAGGGGAGGACGATGCGGAGGAGGCGGGTCAGGCGCTGGAAGAAAAGGGCGTCGACCTGCGTGAGCCGTCGCCAGTAACGAAAAGCGAGTCCGGTCAGCCATTCCGACCTGCGGTTACTCGCGCAATGCAGCAGGATCATTACGCACCTCGACCCTCGGTCCTCTCCGCTTCCGTCGTCCACCCGCTCCTCCCCGTCCTACAGTCTCAACAGCCCCAGCCGCACTCTTCTGGGTTACGTCGCCCGGTCCGCCCGGTTTCCCCTGTGCGCCTTGCGTCTGCTGCGCGGCTTTTGCTTTGCGCTTGGAGGAGGGGCCGCCTGTCAGGCCGGCGTAGGTCTGCGAGCGCGAGAAAGGAGAGCATTAGCATGCGCTTCTCGAGGTACTGGGAATCCAGCCCAACCACCCGCCTCTCGGGGCGAGTGCTTTCACGATGCGACACCCTCAGAGCGACGAGATACCCTGGCGCGACTCACATTCTGGAGGACGTAGGCCGAGAAGGCGACCATCATGAGACTCGAGTACCTCCTCCTGTGCTGGATGTAGTGCGCCGCAAACGGCATCGCATACTCGTCCCTCAGCTTGCGACGCAGTGTGGACTGTGCAGGGGCCATCTTTGCGGCGAGAGAGGGGTGGAGAGTCGTGCGAGCGAGATGAGAGTGATGAGGGAGGTGGGGAGTGAAAGGGGAGATGGGGCGGTTGCTGGTGAGGCTGGGTGGGTTGTAGCAGTCCTTGAGAGTAGCCGATGCACAGTCGCAGCCTCCAGCGAGCTCCTCAGCGGTGAGCGAGCGTGTGAGGACGAGACGAAGCGGCGAAGTCCTGCGAGAACACCGGGTCGCTCACCCTGTCCGTGTACGCCGACCAACTCGACGGCAGTACATTGCAGTACTGCACCGATAAAGGACACTCGGAAAGGCTCACAGTCGAGGTCAAGTCGAGGGAGGAGTTTGACGGCAACCGCGGACTTTGCTCGACTCCGCCTGGCTATTTTCTGATAGTCCGTGTACTGGCAAGCTTACGTTACCGTGCTTACATCGTCTGTACGCAGCAGTTCGCGTGCGTGATGCGGCCGACTCGTCTCCGAGCGAGGTTTCCGACTTGACGTCGCTTCCTCCACTTTTCAACACCTCGCTCACCTGCTTGCACTGCTTCTTACAGCACCAGCTACACGCGCAGACAACCCAGCTACCCACCCAAACCACCGCGGACTCGAACGAGCGCGTTTCATCCACTCCTCGCTCTCCTCAACCGAACCCCCACAAACGCCTCACACCGCTTATCATGGCTCCGCACGGCTCAGGCTACGACTCTCCGAGACTCTCTGTCCCCATGCACGACTTGCACGAGCGAGCGCCGACGCCGCAGAGCATCACGCGCCGCCGACTCGACATCTCGCCCAAGAAGCATCGCAAGTGCGTACAGTCTGCTTCCTGTTCCATCGTGCGAAGCTGACTTGGTAGCTTTGTCGCAGGGCGTCCGCGCCCCTGCAAGTCGTCTTTGTCGGAGTCGCCGTTCGTGACCGCTCCGACCTCGACGACAAGGGGCCCGAGTATGCGGTCGCTGTCAGCGACGGTACCGGCATCGTTCAGGCGAGCACGCCTATGCAAGCGCTTCAAAAGGGACTAGGCAGCTGACGGACTCTCCCGCAGGCCGAGCACAATTTCCGCCCGAAGGGCGAGTCGTGCTCCGACGCTCTCGAGTACATCCTCGACCTCGCGAAGAAGTACTCAACGCAGCGCGGTCACAAGGTGCGTTGCGGACGCTTTTATCGGTCGCAGAGATCGCTGCTGACCGCCGGAAACACTCCTTCGCAGATCCAAATCCTCGCGCTCGCGCGCACCTGCACCGGCTTGAAAGAAGAATCGACTTTCACGCCCTCGCCCCTCCCGTCTTCCGGCAAACCCGACTTCCTAACCCGCGTCTGGCTCGAACTCGATGCGATCCCTTACCTCGGCTCGCACGATGCTGCAGAGGGTCAGTTTTCGCTTGATGCGCAGGCGACGGCTGCGGTTGAGGAGGCGTTGGGAAATTTGGTGCCCATGTCCAGCTCGACGGTCAAGATCTCGGTTAGCCCGTTGCGTCAGGTGCTCGGTGCGTGACATCTCCACCCTCCCAGCGACACACGTTGACTTCGCATCTCGCAGTCGACGCCGACTTCCGAGTCCACCTCTACTCCCTCCCCGTTCTCAAATCCATCACCTCCCCGGCGCTATGGAACACCTTCAGCGGCCTCGGCCAAGCGCTCGCAGCGCAAAAGACCAACGTCGCCTTCTTCTCGGCCACTCCGCGTGGCGGTGGTGTTGCGCTCATGGTGCGTGCGCTGATTGAGCGAGCCGAGTGTGGTGCTGATGCTTGTACGACGGCAGCGACACTCGCTCATGCGGATCTGGAACGCGGCGGGCTTGAATGTGAGGTGGTATGTCCCGGCGGGCGATGCGAGCGTCTTCAACATCACGTGCGTTCTCTTACTCTCTTCCCCTTTCCCTGCCCTCGCTCACACTCGTCGCTCACTCCGCAGCAAGCGCAAATTCCACGTACGCTCCTCCCTCCCTCCCTTTTCTGGGCGGACCTTCCTAATCCCCCTCTTCTTGCGCAGAACGTCCTCCAAGGCGTCGCAGACCCTGACGTCCTCCTCCACGACGACGACAAAGCGCTCTTCGAGGCCTGGACCTCGCATAACTTCAAGAGGTTTTGGGCTGGAGAGGACAGTCCGTTGAGGAGGTTGGATATTGCGGTGATTGATGATCCCCAACGTGCGTACTACACACGGCTTGTCGGGTCCGCCAGCCGAAGGGAAGAGGAGACTGACTACGTTGTGTTGCCGTGCGCACAGTCACCGCCTTGATCCCCATCATCCGCCGCGATTCGCCCCGCACCAAGATCGTCTTCCGCTCGCACATCCAGAGTGCGTCCCCCTTCCTTGTCCTTCTCCTCCTTCGTATCGCTGATGGGGAGCGAGCAGTTCGCGCCGACCTGATCGACAAGGGCGAGAAGCAGCAGAAGGCGACGTGGGACTACCTTTGGAGCTTTATCAAGCAGGCGGATTTGTTCGTTTCGGTGCGTACTTGCTCTTCCTCTCTTCGATGAGATGGTAGCTGATGAGGGCGGACGAACAGCACCCGGTCAAAGAGTTTGTTCCGAAGGTCGTGATGGACAACCTGCCCGTCGTCTACATGCCTCGTGCGTCCCTTCCGCATCATCTCTCACGCTCCGGTCTTGCCGGGTCGAGCTGAGCTGACATTCTCGTATCGGTGCGCGCGCAGCCTCAACCGACCCACTCGACGGCCTCAATAAGCCGATCGAGAAGAGCGTCCTGAACACTTACCGCCACACCTTTGACTCCGCCGTTCAGGTGCGCTGTAGACTCGTACATTCTACGAGCGAGCGAGCGCTGACGGTTTGGACTGAGTCGCGCAGTCGTCGGACGGACGGAAGGTCGACTGGAATCGTGGGTACATCATCCAGGTCGCTCGGTTCGACCCGTCGAAGGTGCGCAACCCTCTCCTCCTGCACCGCTTCAGCTCGATGCTTACGGGGCTGGCGGTACAGGGCATCCCGCACCTCGCTGAGGGCTACCGCCTTTTCCGCGAGCATGCTGAGAAGACGGGCGAATTCGAGCACCCTCCTCAGCTTATCATGGTGCGCGAGCGCTCCTTCAGCCTCTCAATACCGCGCTGAAACTAACTTGAGCGTTACTCCTAACAGACCGGCCACTCCTCCGTCGACGACCCGGACGGCACGCTCGTCCTCCACCAGCTGCACGAGCAAATCCAGGACAAGAAGTTCGATGGGATCCGGGAGGACATCTACGCCATCCGCGCTCCGCCTTCCGGTGCGTTTCTCTCGCCTCGCTCTGCTGTTCTCCCTCGACTGACGGAGACGCGCGTTCAGACCGCCTCCTCAACGCCATGTTGCGCGGCTCGGACGTTGTGTGCCAGGTCTCGACCCGTGAAGGGTACGAGATCAAAGTCACCGAGGCGGTTCACAAGGGAAAATGGGTCATCGCGACCAAGTGAGCTCTCCTCTCCATCTCGACTCGGGGAGGGCTCGCCGGCTGAATCGTTCATTGTGCAGGGCCGGAGGAATCCCGCTACAGGTTAGGAATGGCGTCGACGGCGAAATTGTCGAAACGGAGGACCCGCAGGGTGAGCAGACGCTGTCTCCTCCGAGCGGCACAAATGAGTCTGACCGCTTCACCGCGGCAGGTATCGCCAACGCGCTCATCAACTTCTACGCCAACGACAAATTGAAGAGCAGCCGGAGCGAGAAGACGGCCAACGACATTCACGATGTGCGAGGCGGACGGCAGTGCGTCCGACTTCTCGACCAGCCTCTTGGCCCACAGCCGCTGACGCGTGTCCCGCAGCTCCGACAAGGACGCTGGGCCTTCGGAGCGCGACCTCTCGGTTGGCAACGCGACGATGTGGCACCTGAACTGGGCGAAGCTGATCGGCTTGTCGGGGCACATCAAGCTGACGAAGGAACAAGAAGCGCTCTGCGACTGGCTCGACATCGCGCGCGATGGCCGGCAGTGCAGCGTCGAATCGATTCGGAACAAGCGCGTTTGGGAGGACGTGCTCGTGCCCGGCTTTGCGAAGGAGGACAAGAAGTAGAGCGACGATAATGCCGCTGCGGCGTGTTCTCGCGTGTGCATAGTTGAATATAATCCGTATCTATCAGCGTTTGAGATCGCTCCTCCCGCCTCATCGCGCACCCGCAAGACTGGGGGCGTTTCCGGCGTTGTACAGCTTGTGCTCGAGGTAACGGATTACGCCGTGTCGCGGGTCGTCTCCAGCAGCCTCCTGTTGCGACTTGTAGACCGTCGCCTTTGCTGTGCGAATGTTGAGCGCGAACGGTGAAGGCGAAAGTCCGGCCGCAGGTCGTCCAGGAGCCTTCTTGCCGTACTTCCACTCCTGCCGCACCTTCTCCTCCCACTCGTCCAGCTTCCACCACTTCGCCTCAGCCCGCATGATCGGACCGCCCAGCTCGAGGCGTAACCTGGCTGGCAAGTGTTGCGGATCTTGCTCGAGGATTGAGGGATGCAGGAACTGGTTCGTCGACGGGAGAGGCGGAGAAGTCGGCGTGGGAAAGGGACGGTCGTGAGGAGGTGCGACGTGTAGGGGAGCTGTCAGACGAAAAAAAAACGTCAGCACATGGTCTCGTCGAGAATGTGAAGCGACGTACTGTAAGGCGCAAGAGTGCCCCAAGGCGCAGCTGCCGAACCATCCGTTGCGTCCCGGAGGAGAAGGTCGCGGTCGTGCGCGACGTGCTCCTGAACCTGTGAGACGAGCCAGTGCAGCGAAAGGAGCGCAAGGTCGTGCTTGGAGTACCCGCCTCCGACGTCTGCGGACGAGTCAGGTGTGAGCCTCGAGGAAAAGAAGCACACGAGAAAGTGTACGCACCCGTATGGGACCCAGCGAACCACACCTGCCGCAAAACTTGCCCAGCCCTCTTCCCGTCCTTTCCCTGAACCAGGATGGCGGGCGCGTACGCTTGTCTGTGCTCGTGTAGCGAGAGAGCCTGGAAGACGTGTGAGACCACGTCTGGACCCTCTAGCTGTTCGTTGTGCGTCGAGAAAGGCGAGAGGTGGAGCTGGGCGCCTGCTTTCGAGGTGGAGTGAAAGTGGTAGAGCGGGACCTGCGGCCGAATGGTCAGCTAAAGCCGCCGGGACTCGAGCGAAACCGAACGCACCGTGTCAAAGAGCCCTAGCACAGTAATATAGGCCTTGCTCTTCATCTGCAGCAGCTGCTCCTGCCGGAAAGCGCCAATCTTGGCCATTTCCTCAGCAAGTGCACTCGCCGCTCTCCGCCCGCGCTTAGTCGCTGGATCTCGATGGCGGCATAATAGGTCGAAGAGAAGCGGGAACGATGCAAGGGTGGATTTCGGGTCGAGGATGCCAATCAGCGAGATGAGGGTTGTCAAGAGGCGGCAGACGTAGGCGCCGCGCGAAAAGCCAAAGAGGAGTATCTGCAGAAGGCGTGTGAGCGTCGTAAAGTCATTCCGGATTGTCGAAGGACTCGCCTCGTCTCCCACAGCCCAATTCTGAGCGATAAAATAGTACGCCTGGCGAACTTCGGTGAGCAGGCCATCTCCGAAGGCGCCCTGACATACACACGCGGTCAACAAGGAACCTGATGTGCTGAAAGACTCGACGCACCTGCCAAGCCGCCTCAAAGATCTGCTCGCCCGTTCCAAGTCCCGGAAAGTACATCTTGATCTGCTCTACCGCTTCATGCTGGCGGGTGTCTGTCCGCTCAATAGCGTTACAGACCCTGCCGATGTTGGTGAGCATTATTTCGTTTGTTTGGAAGAGAGCAGATTCCCAGCTGTTAGGTGAGGGAGTCAGCTGGCGGCGGGAGAGAGAGAGAGACCAGAGAGAGTGGAGGAGGAGCACGCACGTTCCGTCGCAGCAGATCACGATACGACGCATCTTCGAAGGTAGCGACAGCGATGACACTCAAGCGTGAGGCGCAGGAAGGAATGGAGGAAGGGAGCGACGAGCGAAGAAGCGAGGTCCGGAGACACCGCGGAGGGCCGCGAGGGTGAGGCGAGCAATCCAGCACGCGTACAGGCATAGTAGCAGATTCGGCAGCAGCCCAGCGTGCGAATAGCGCCAGCCAGTGCCTTCGAGTGACAGGTCGAGGACGAAGAGAGGTCGCCCTCGTTCTCTCGCGTCGCCAACTGCCACCCGCTGGCAAGGATGGCCGACGCGCAGACTAGCAGCTCGTTTGCGAGTGCACTGACAGCATGGAAGGGTGCGCTTGCCCTCTTTGTCGCTTGCAGACACGCTCACAGCTGATCCCGCCCCACACCTCGCGACAGACATCAAGCTGCACGACCTCCAGCGCACAATGGACGCGCAGGGGTTGGAGATCGTCGAGGGACAGAAGGACAGCTTGGTTGGGCGGAAGAAGCTCGCGGAACAGACGAGGGGTGCGTCAGTCTCCTCGACTGCCGTGTCCCGACTGATGAGGCGAATGAAGGCGCCTTGGGCTGTCGGTCCGGGCTCTTGAAGGCGAAACTGACCGAGTGACCTTCTACTGTCGTTGAGCAGAGTTCAAGAAGGTCCCGGACGAGGAGAAGGGTCCAGTCTTCAAGACGCTCCTCAAGGGTGCGCTCGCATTTCCTCCTCTTGCAACAGTCTCTCGCTGACTCGGCCGCCTTCTCTTCACAGCCTATCAGACCGAGATCGACAACCTGACGCGGCGGTCAAAGGTGGCGGAGAATGCGTTTCTGAGTGTCTACAAGCTGTTGGCGGAGGCGCCAGATCCGTTTCCTCTGCTCGATGCGGCTGTGGTGCGCCCTGCTGTCGTCTTTGTCCCCGTCAGCCGTCATATTGATCGCTCTCAACAGGACCAAACGGCTCGCGCGTCTGAGGCCAAGGTACTGGAGATGGAACTTGCGCGCTCGAAAGACGAGATCGCGTCTCTCAAGCAGCAGCTCGTCGAGTCGCAGTCGGTCGAGAAGGAGAAGAAGAAGTTGGCGGACAAGGTTGAGCGGCTTGAGGCGAAGGTACGTTTCACCTGGCGCGTTTGTGATCGACCACCCAGGCTGACCGTCCTTGACGGCGCAGATGGAAGACATGATCCACGACCGGGTCTCGTCGAAGGAGGCAGAGCTACATGCGACGTACGACGAGCGATTGCGAAACTACGAGGAACGGTGCGTCCAGCCGAGAACCCTTTACGCTTTGAAGCTACTGACTGAACTCGCCCGGCAGCGAGAAGGACCTGCAGCGCCAGGTCACGGTTGCCCGTTCGCAGCTTCGTGAGTTGCGAACGACAGCCGACACCAACCAAGCGCGTCTGTTCGACCACTCGCAGCGACAAGGTGTGCTCGCTCCATTATTCCCTCTGGCTTCGGCTGACTTAATGCCCGCCACAGACCAGGAGACCGTCGCTCGACTTGCGGAAGCCGACCTCGTCGCGCAAGACCTTGAGCGCGCGAATGCCCGTGTTGCGGAAGTTGAGCGGAGGAACGAGAAGCTGCGTGCGGAGATCGAGGCGGTGCGAAGCGGGACTGAGACGGCCAGTCGGTTAGTTGCGACCGCAATTCGCCCTTCTTGACGCTGCTGCTGACAATCCTCTGCGACAGCGTCGGTGTTCTGGAAGCGCAAGTCTCGGACCTCCAGACCGAAGCGACCCGCCTCATCCGCTCGCTCGACTCGCAGAAGGAGGCTTTCGAATCCGAGCGGTCTGATCTGCAGAAGAAGGTCGGGCAGCTCGAGAAGGATCAGGCGGCTAAGGCGCAGGAGATTGAGACGCTCGGCGAGAAGGTGAAGCAGTTTGCGGACTACGACGAGATCAAGCGCGAGCTCGAGATCATGAAGGTGCGCTCCGTTTCGCTCGACCAAGAGCGATGCACGGCTGACAGTCCTTGCGCAGTACGTCGAGTTCGCCGGCATGGACCTCGATGACGTTCCGGGCGAGTCGGGAGACTCCGTCGCCGACCTTGTTCGACTTCCCGACCCGAACGCCGACAAAGCGAACCAGCACCGCGGAAAGCCCCTCGAGAACCTTCTCATGGCGAAGAACCGCAAGCTTCAGGACGAGGTCACGTCGCTCCGAGTCGCGCACGACGAGCTCGTTTCGGCGCACGAGGGGATGCTCGGCGAGTTCGAGCAGCTGCAGGCGCGTTGCGAGGAGCAGAAACAGCTCGTGGACAGGCTGGAGAACGATCTCGTCAGGATCAACGAGTCGCGGGCGGGAGGCGGGGCGGCGGGACAGGGAGGGCCAGACGCGCATGCGAGGGAGGATCCGTTGGCGGGACTGCAGCTTGGCAAGAAGGCGAGTCTGCTAGTTCCCTCGCCCCTTCAGTGCTGACGATCTTCGCTTGACAGGCGCAGGACGCCCCGCCAGTGCAGCCTCATCCGTTCCAGAGCTCGGCGGAGACATCCATCTTGCCTATCATCACCTCGCAACGAGACCGCTTCCGTCAACGGAATGGCGAGCTCGAGGAGGTGAGTTGTGACTTGAGCTCGATTGAGCACACATACTCACCAGCTTTCCTCACGCAGGAGCTGCGACGGCAATTCAACACGATCACCGAGCTTCGAGGCGAGATCAAGACGCTCCAGACCGACAACCTCAAGCTGTACGAGAAGGTGCGGTACCTTCAGTCGTACCGCGACGAGGGCATGGCAGCGCGTCAGCAGGCCGGCTTCTCGAACGTCGTGCGTGGGGACGAGGAGCTGGGCAAATACCACAACAAGTACGAGGAGAGCATGAACCCGTTCGAGGCGTTCAAGGGACGAGTGAGTGCGATCTCGCTCTCGAGTGCTCTCTCGTGCTGACCAGCTCTCGCCGCAGGAACGAGGCCGCGCGATCCACGGTCTCAACCCGCTCGAAAAGGTCCTCCTCTCGCTCTCGACCGTCGTCCTCTCGAACCGCATCACCCGCAACCTCTTTGTTCTCTACGCCTTCGGGCTGCATTTCTTCGTCCTCTCGACGCTGTATCACTACACGCAGTCGGCCGACAAGGCGTTGCCGGTCGTTCAGCCGCCGATCTAGCGGCGCGGGCGGGTCTCGGCGTGTCTCGCTGCCGTGCATTGTGCAATACGTACATTGTCGCATCTTGCTCAGTGCCGGCAGAGCGGCCCCTCGGTTTGAGCTGATGAGGAGGAGCGGGAGGAGTAGCACTCCTGGATCAGCTTGGCCAGGTTTCAGGGGAGTCAGCCAGTACCGTGAGAGCCTAGAGAGCGCCCTGCAAGCCCTTCAGCTCCCGAAGCAGCTGTTAGTCATGAACGAACCGTCCCTCTCCTCCTCGACTTTCCACCACCCGCTCGCGTTCCGCTCTCACGCTCTCTAGCCGCTCAGCTACCCCGTCTACCGCCTTTTCTCCATCTCACACACACACCATGGGCGGCAACGTCCCTCGCAAGCTCAACGCCGTCAAGCAGGCGCTCGAGAACCTCCGTACTGGTCCCTCCGCACGACCGCTCCCCAAGATCGTTGACATGCTGTCCGTGCGGGCGAACCACGTCAAGCACAACGCAGGAGCACGGTGCGCACACTCACTGCCTTCCAACGGGTCAAGCGAGCTGACACCCCTCTCTTCGGGCGATTCTCATCAGGCATTGGGTCAAGCAGGCCCTGCCCTCGCTGCGGTATGCGAACCCCGACGTACGGTTCGCGATGGAGGATATTCCGAAGGTCACGCAGAAGGAAGAGGCAGAGATGGCGCCGGACGCACCACGACCTTGGAAGCAGGAACCGGGTCTGACAGTCACTTTCCGTGCGTCCTCTGCTCCCTTACACTGTTTCTCTGATGCGCGAGCTCATGCAGAGTGTTGTACGCGGTGCAGACGAAAACACCGGGCTCAAACCCGTCTTCTACCCCCTCCCCTCCCAACGAGCCGACAAGCTCATCGCGCGGTTCTGGACGACCTTTGGCTCAGAAGAGGCGTTGCGGGCTTTCGCGCAGGGCAAGGCGAGCGTGAGCGACACGCAGAAGATCCAGGGGGCGAGGGTGCAGCCGGAGGATGTCGAGGCGGAACAGCAGGAACCGGCGGCGGATGTGGCGGCTGGGGCGGAGGCGAAGGAGGCGGCGTAGATGCGGCATGGGATCGACGGGAGACTCGCAACTCGCATGTACTCTCAAAGGATGCGGCGAGGAGAGGTGCGGAGTGAATGAACGAGTTGCGAGGAGAGAGAGGTATCCAACTGCGGGAAAATTGCGAGCGCTCGTAACGAGGTGAGCGAGCGAAGAGGAACAAGTGCTGGTGCGATAAAGACGAGAAGACGGAGCCTCTAGAGTGTCTACTCGGGCGCGCGAGAGAAAGTCTACACACAACGAGGATTGGAAACGGAAGTATGCTGGGGAGCACGCCGGCTCGACCGGCGACCCTGCGATCACGCCAGCGAGGCGAAACTCCTATTCGGAGTCGCGTACCGTGATGGAGAGCCGTAGCGGGGCCGGTCGTCCGCCTCTTCATCCTCGTCCCCGTCCCGCGAGGCAAACACCGTCGTCCCCTCCTCCTCCGCCGCTTCAGGTACCGCCTCGTACCCGACCGGTCTGTTAACCGGCACGCGTCCCACACTTCCCCCGCTCGAGCTCCTGCTCAATGCAAGCGCTCCCTCCTTCCCTTCCTCCCCCTCGCCTCCAAGACGCCTCAACATCCTCTCGCCATACTCATCCCAATTCTCCCCGTCCCTCCGCGCGTAGAACAGCCGCTCGTAGCCGTTTGTGAGGCCGAGGGAGTAGTGTCTTCGGTCGAGAGCGCGGAGGCGAGTGCGCTCGAAGAGGGTGAAGGAGAGGAGGGAGTAGAAGGTCCCGCAGAGGAGGTCGATCGCGAAGTGGTGGTGGAGGTATTGCGTTGACTGCGACGAGACGTGCGATGGTCAGTCGCAACGCATTCTGCAAGTAGGCCGAACACCACAAGCTAGAGGTCCTCGAGCCATCGAGGAGAGAGCGCTCGAACTCACCCAAAACATCCAAAAGCAATAAACAAGCATAAAGCTCAACCCTCTATAGCCCCTGGAGTATCGTGTGACGAACAAGCCGCAGCAGATGGACGTCGCGGCGTGGAGGGAGGGGATGGCGCCGAATACGACGGGGCCGTGGCCGAAGGCTTTGGTGTAGATGTGGGCTGCGACGACGAGGCGTCAGTACACGGTTGCACGGATAAGCGAAAACGGAGGAGGAGGAAAAGGGAGGGGAGGAGCGAGGGAGGAAAGGGAGGGACGTACTGCCGAGGATGCTGTCTACCCGGATCAGGCCAGCTGGGTTACCGGGGTAGGAGTAGTCGGGTTGTGCGGCATCGATGCCGTAGACGTCGTAGCTGTTGAGCGGGAAGGTACGGAGGGGAGGAGAGGAGGGAGTCAGTCTGCTCTTCGCGGAACCAAGACCTCGACGTCTCCACCAGCAAGGAGTGACGTCAAGAACGTCTCCGAAGAGCAAACGGACTCACAACCACGGCGCCGCGTTCGGGAAAACCAAATGAGTCGCCAACCCCGCCAAGTTCTGCGCTCCCAGCGTCCATCCAAACGCGCACGCGGCACCTTGCGACCCGAAGCCCCAGATCCACCAGCCAGCGATGATGGGCGAGGCGAAGTGGAGGGCGCCGTAGGAGCCGAAGGCGAGGAGGTCGAGGTGGTTGCTCTGCGGGCGAGAGGGAGGGGGTCAGCAAGGCGGCGCTTTCGACGATGTTTGTTCGCCTCGTTGCGAGTGAAAAGGACGTGGAACGCACCACTTCTGCCTCGCCCAGCTTGGCCGACAGCCACAACAGCGTCGGGAACGCCAAGATGCTCGCCGCGTACGCCCTCCCCCTCCCGCGCTCCTCGCCCTTCTTGTCCCCATCGCCTGCGCACCCACACCCAACGCAGTCAGTTCCGTCGCAGTTCGAAAGGGAATGCCAAGCCTCTGGAAGCGTATTCGGCTCGCGAGACTCACTCCAATAATAGACGACGCGGGCGAGCGGCAGGAGCGAGAGGGTGACGAGGAGGATTCCTGCTGGCGCGAGGAGGAGACGGTTCAGGCGTGGCAGGAGGTCGATGTGTATCTGTGCCAGGAAGCTTAAGAGTCAGCCCCCTTGGCAGAGGGAAGCGAGGTCGGGATCGTCCCCTCGATCTAATCTCGCGACGCACGGGCGGACGGATGTCGCTGGGGATGTGCTTCGCCTGCTTGAACAGAAACGTCCACAGGAACGGAGGAAATGCTCCGACTGTTGTATCCCGTCCCATCCGAACAGCCCTCGTCAGCTGTGCCCGCTCACACGACCATGACGCCGCGTCTGTCGAGGCGAGGGTCGGTTCCTCTGCGGCGCGAGGGAGAGACGGACGCACCGAGAACAGTCCACAACCTGTATGGCACCGATGCGCCATTCAGCAGCACCCACCGACAGTGCAGCAGCACCGCACCCACCGTCGCGAGGAGGGTGCCAAGACGCAGGCGACGCAGACCGGCTGCCATGCGCGCCTCGCTCGTCCTTTCCCTGTGGCCGGTCAGGCGTGCGTGTGTAAAGAACGAGTGTGTAGGAGTGTGTTGCGCTGCTCAGGCGGGTCGTCGAGGGTTGGAGCGAGCTGCTTCGGAGGTTTGGTCGGTCGAGGAGGCGGAGGGGGACTCGGACAGCGCTGGCCGTGTGCGATAACTTGGTGGGCTCGCTGGACAGTCTCAGCAGGTAGCCAGCACCCTCGCACGAGCTGGAACGGACACAAGGAAGCTCGAGACGGAGCGAGCTGGCTTCGGATGCTCGTGCGGAGAGGGACGCGTTGCTGCGCTCGGCCTTGCTCCCCGCCAACCCGTTGCTATCGGCCGGGGACATCTCAAGCTTTTCTTCACTCCTTCTCGAACGAGGAGAGCAACGACGAGCGCGAACAGGCGAGCGAGGAAAGCGCCGAGACAAGCGAGCAGCGTCCGAGACTTGGGAAGCGACGCTTGGCGGACGACGACGACGACGGCTCGCTCAGGAAAGGTGTTCGACAATGCCTCGTTGCAAGATGCAGCACAGACACTCGAGTACTAGGCTGTGTCGTCGGGGAAGTCGTCAGCGAATGGCGTGACGAGGGCCAGGGCGAGAGAGAAGCGGGACGCACAAGCCTTGACCGGCTTGCGCTTGAACGACTCCAGCATGATCGGCGCCGCACCAGCTACCTCGTCCCTCTCGACTTTTCCCTCCATCTCCACCCACGCGCTCGAAGCAGTCACCGCATCGCAGTTGTCGACCACAAAGTCGAGCACGACTTGGCGCCAGGCGTCGTAGCAGACCGAAGTATCGCTGAAGAGCTCGAAGGGCGCGCAGTCGATGGTAAGCTGCTTTGAGAAGTTCGCGAGGCAGAGGTGCTGAAGCTCGTCGAGCTCGAGGAGGTGAGCGAGTCGGAAAGTCGACTTGGGCGAGACAGGGTAGGGGAGCGAAGGGTCGGAAGAGACGGCGGCTTCGATGCGAGAGGCGCGGGTAGGCTTCTCTGCGTCTGCCTCTGCGAAGAATGTAGAGGAAAGCGGCGCAAAGGCGATGTAACCAGTTCGGAGGTAGGCGAGGACGGCGCGATAGGTCGTGAAGGCGGTCTTGGTGATCTGAATCTCCTTGTACGGGAGCTGCAGCTCGTCGCGCTCGTGCTGCGAAGGCGGATGCGCCTCAAAGTAGGGCTGGTCTGTCTCCTCGTCCGAGTCGTCAAAGTCCTGCGCACCGGCATCGGCGGCGGCCGCTGTCGCTGAACCAAGACGAGTCTTGGGGCGCTTCGAAGGCACAGAGACGGCTTCGGCAAAGGCAGACGAGAGAAGAGTCTTGAAGTACGGAGAAGAGCGCGACAAGAAACTTGAGTCGGCCCACAAGTCCGCTTCGTGCTGAGGGAAAAAGAGGCGAACGTTTTGAGGCGTGGCGGCGAGGTCAAGCGCTGCAAGTCGGAAGTGTCAACACACTTATCCAACTGACCGCGACAAGTCAGCTCACCCGGCATTCGCCTGATCAGCACTTCCGCCTCGGAAGTAGGTTGACTGCCCAGCGTTTCCATCTCGAATACAACGCGATATGAGCGGTGGCGTCCAAGGTTGTACTCGCCGTTGGATCGCTTGGCCGTAGCCTCCAAATCAGAACGCGAAACAGTCATCTTGAAGCCCGTGAAAGCTTTTCCCGTGTTATCCGGATTGGCTTCGGGTTGGGGACGCGGTGCTTGCCACCAAGACGCAGCCTCGAGCAGCCTGCAGGCGCTGCCGTGCACTCGGAATAGTCTTAGCCTGCATCTCGTCCGCGAACCGAAGATACCGTCTGGCAAGTCACCATGTCGAACAGAGATGCACACGTCTTCTCCGTCTCCCTGCACGCGCAGGTCCAGTGTCCAGCGAGAGGCACTCCCTCCAACTCGAACTTCTTGTCCAGCTCGGTATCCGTCAAGTCGAGCTCGAGGTCGAGAGTGAAGGTGTAGTGGAAGTGTCCCTCGAGGTCGAACTTGACGAGCTTGTGCTCGAAGGGCGTGGGCGCAGGGCTAGGAGCATTCTGAGCAGCGGTAGCAGCCATTCTAGCAGCGCAGCAAGGGCTCTAGCGGTGAGCGTGCGCGAGCGAGTGAGGGGGAGAAGGGAGAGGCGCGAGCAGGTGGAAGCGGGAGGCCACCTCGCGAAGGGCCAGACTGACGAGCTGGAGTGGGTCAGAAGAAGGCTGACAGACGCTTATGAGCCTTGCACAGTCGCGCGAAGCCGTGTGTCGCCGACCCTCTCCTCCTCGAATCCTCATCAGCGACTTGCGAGCGCGAGTCTAGCCGTGCGTCAACGAGACGAAACAGCATGCCAAGCGCAGAACAAGACTGACCCCATGTGTCAAAGTGCGATCTCGAGCGTGATGAGCGGAGAAGAAGCCTGGGTCAAGCGGTCAAGTCCGGACTCTGCTCAGCGCGGTACGAACGGCGACGGTTGAAGCTCCTGACTGAAACCCCGAAGAACTTCGATACTAATCCTCATCTGCCCTGACTGAACCGCCTCTACTCGATCCAAGCCCCGAGCCCCAAGTCCTCCCTCCTCGACTTGCCCTCGCCCGTGAAGAACGGCTTCGAGCCGAGCGAGACGGCGCGGTGACCCGTGCGGTTGTAGCCGGTGTAGTCGAGGGTGACTACGTCCAGGTGAAGGAGAGTCAGCGAAGACAGTGGAGGAAGCAGGTCTCGGGACGCACCGTTGTGGTAGCTCGAAGTGTTGCTCCACAGCGCGACGTCGTCCTTGTCCCACTTGAAGCGAACCTGCAAGTCGTGGTTCTCCTTGACGAGCGTGAAGAGGTACTTGAGCAGGTGGTCCGACTCGTCTTCGCTCAGCTCGACGATCCTGCAGGCGTGAGAGCGCGAGCGTCAGCCCGGTCATCAAAGCGCGCGCATCCAGGCCGAGCGCCCAGCGCAAGGTCATGCAGATGTATTCGAACGTACCGCTTGGTAAAGACCTGGTTCACGAACAAGCCTTTCCAGCCCGTCACCGGGTTGACCGTGATGAGCGGGTGAACAGCCTGGAGGTTCGCGCCCTTGTTCAGAGAGTGTCCGCGCACGCCGTCATAAAGCGGCTTCTGTTGGCTGAAACGGGACGAGCAGTCAGCGGTCGTCGAGGTGAGCTCAGGGTGAGGGGACGCACAGCTCGGCAACCTTGTGGAAGTGGTTGCCATCGTGAAGGGCGGTCAGGCCTTCGAGGAACTTGGCGAGGGCGGGAGTCAGGCGGTCGTAGGCCTGGCGAAGGAAATTCGAAGCGGAGTGTCAGCCCTCGCTCAGAACCTTTGTTCCCCGCGGCTGGCGAAACGTACCTCGTATGCGCTGGCCTACCGTGAGAGCCGGAGCGATCGCGCATGCCGTCAGCCTCTTCGATTGCTCCACTCATCGCCGACTCGAGCGAGGAGACGCACCCAGAGCGTGTCTCCGCCGTTCTCAGGGATTTCCCACACGTTGAGGATGGCGATGTCAGACGGGACGGGCTCGAAAGTGATACTGGAGCAGAGAGTCATGCGAAGTTCAGCGAGATGACGAAGACGGAAGACTGGGGGGAGCGAGTCAGATTGCGGGACTCACTCGGTGTGCCATCCGCGCGAGGCGAGCAAGCTGCCGCTCTGGCGGGAGCGTTTCCTGCCGGCGACACTGCTACCAGTCAGTCTCAGGTCTCGGCGTATGCTCAGCGAAAGGACGACTCACAACGCCTTGGCAGTAATCGGCGAGATCTCGTTGTCGTCGCGGTGCTTCTCAGTCGGGTGGATGTGCAGGCCACCCCACTCGGTACCGGCTGCCGAGGCCGTGAGCTGTCCGAGTTTCGTTGCGAGGCGCTTGAGCTGGTCGTTCGTGAGTTGGGCCTGCTGTTCCTTGAAAAAGACGACATTGCGGCGGTGAACTGCTCGGGACGACGTGTTGGTCAGCCTAGGCGAGAACCGTTGAAAGGGCGACGACGCACTCGTGATGGCCAGCTCCTTGAGCAAGTCGTCGGCATTGGGCGCGTCAAGCAAGTCGACAAGCTGGACGCCGCGGAATTGCGTTCCGATGACAGGCGTAAGCTCAACCGGCTTGTACTGGTCGAGCGCGCCGGTCGACTTGAGCGGGTTGAGCGAGCCGGAAAGCGAGAGCGAGCCAACGGCGGAAGGGAGAGTTTCGGTTTGGGTAGCCATTGTCGAGGTGAGAAGTGTGAAGGAAAGAGCGAAGGGTGAGACGAGGAGCAGGTCCAAGGCATTCGAGCAGCTGGCGTGATGCCATCGAGCGTATACGCAAGGAGAGCGGAAGACGGATGGCACAAGCCGATGTTGGGATGATGCGGGGCCTGCGAAGCGGTCGGAACGGACGGAGGTTCCGTCGTTGGCGATAACGCTCAGTCAACTCCCACAACAAACGAATCGACCCGGGTTGACCGGGATGACGTGCGATGAGGCGACGAGAGGCGAAGATGGCGAAATGGGAGAAGGCGTGAGAGCGGTCGCAAGCGGGTCGTCGGGCTGTTCGGCGGCTCGGAAATGCCCTCGGATGGTCCGTCACCCTGCCAGCTTCCGCCCGTCTTCCCCGTCGGGTGCGCAGGCGGTTGGCGAGAGTCGAGAGTCGGGTGGAGGACGGGAGTCACCCAAGTGAGCCGGCTGAGCGCAAGTCAGCGTGGTTGGTCATGACTAAAGCCTGCAAAACAGTCAGCGCAGCAGCCGAGCCCGTTCGAGCGGGAGAGGCCGCGAGAGGACGAGGCAGAGGAGAGGTTGGCTTAGGATTGTGAACCCCTCGAGCTCGCTGTGCTTTCCTGCTGCTTCAGGAGACCGGAGCGACACTCAAGAGACCGTCTGAGTTGCCCCTGCGCTCCCCAGCGTCTCCTCCCCTCCTCCCCATCCTCATCACTTTCCGCTCCGAACGTGCGAACTCGACCCTTGTGCAGCCTGCCAGCATGGTCAATGCTCCCACGACGAGCGAGGACTTCTCGCGTTTCTCCCTTCGGCGGTTAGGCGTGACGAGGGAGCGAGTACGGACGGTTGCATGTTAGTCTCGGCTGTCAAACAAGCCGTGCGGACGCACAAGTCTGGTTGATCGTGCTGATCCGGCATCTCCCTGCGCCCAGGGAACCTCGACGGTCGACGCTTGGCGGCTGGCGGCTCGCCGTCTCTGCGAATCTTCCTCCCCGACAAAGGTGCGTGCCTGCTTGCTACGATGCATAGTGGAGCTTCCGCTAATGTAGGCCTGCCACAGATACACGAACAAGTACAGAGTGTCGGGGTCACACAGGCGAAGTGTCTTGCGTGCGGTGGAGTCCAGTACATCCCGAACGACTCGCGAGCGTGAGCAGCGGAGGTGCGTTGCTACCCTCGCCTCTCGGACCTTGAGCTCCTCGTCTCAAGGCGTGACTGACATTGGGGACCGGCTTTGCATGCACAGATGACAAAGCTCTGCACTTCTGGTTCGTCCCCTTCACGCACTTCGCAAAATGCTTGGACGTTGTCGCTGACTGCGCTTTCTTCCTGTCTGCAGGGACATCAGACGTGCGCTTCTTCATGAGTAGCAAGCGTTGCGCAGTAGCTGACAGCTTGTATTTCGTCGTGAGCAGAGGGATCGAAGCCAACGTCGACTATCGAGACTTACGGCAACAACATCCATATGAACTGGTCGCCGGACGGCAAGACTATCGTCGTCGGAACGACAAAGGATCGGCTGATGTGGGTGGACGTTGAGGAGCAGCGGGTGGTGAATCGGATAGACATGGACAAGGAGGTGCGCTTCCCTGTGCCGTTTCTTCCAGTACGAAGTCCGCTGACAGCGCGAGCGCAACTCGCAGACGAACGACACGCAGTTCTCGCACAACGGCTCGCTACTCTACACTGGCGTCGAAGGAAGCGTTCGCATCTCGGCCTTCCCGTCAAATGAGCTCGTTTACACCGTCCCTATGACCTCGATGCCGGTCGGCATGCTCGACCTCGACCCACGAGGCCGGTAAGTCCGCCGTCCGCCTCCTCTAGCAGTTGCACAGCTAACCTAGCTCACACCACCTCCAGATACCTCCTCGCTGGCGGGAATGACGCGACCGTCAGCCTGTGGGAAACGGAGGAATGGACTTGCGCAGCGTCCGCAGGTCACCACGAGTGCGTCGCATTCGTGCCCGATACGCCGACCCGCCTAACAAGCTCTCCTCGCAGCGGCCCTCTCCTCACCTGCCGCTTCAACCACGATGGCAGTCTCGTTGCGTCGATAGCGACAGGCGACGTCGTCATCGTGCGTTTGTTTGACAAGCAGCGAAGTTTGCGGAGCTGACCTCGCACTTGCGGCGCAGTCTTCCGTTCCCGGCCTCAAGAAGGAGCACTCGATCCCCTTCCCGGACGGTGCAAGCCAAGACCTCGCATGGCACCCCAGTCGGAATGTGCTCGCGTATGCAGGGAACGAGCTCTGCATCTGGGGGTACGGAGTGTAGAGGCTGTGTCCTGCCAGCCTGTCGGCTTCGACTCTTCCACTACGCAGTCTTCGCGAGTTCGTGACTGTTGGCAATGCAGACGGAACGCGCAAGCTCATGCAGAAAGTGACAACGAGAAAGTCGAAAGCACAACAAGGGAAGGAAAGCCCGCGATCAGCTGCGCAACAGCTCGTCCGCCACCTCTTCGTCCGAGTCCATGTCCATCGCTTCTTCCTGGCTGGGATGGGCGAGAGCGGCCTGCTTGACCGCTGCCTTGCGGAAAAAGTCGAGCGTCGACTGCTTGCGACCCGCCGCCTCGTCGTCCTCCCGCTCCAGCTTCTGCCTCTTCGCCTCGTTCCCGTTCGCCGTCTCCTTCCGCTTGATCGCCTTCTCGTCCTCTTCCGACAGTCCGAAGGCGCTCTTCTCGCCCCTCGCGCTCATGAGCTGGTACGTGAGCGAGTACTTGAGGCTCGTCAAGAGGTTCTTGGCGTGCAAGCGTTCGACCTGCAATCCTTTCCTCGCGTCAGCACGGAGACGCGAGTCGAGCGTCTCGATGCGGCGGATGATAGGCTCGAGCGTCCTACGATGCTCGACGCGAAGGTCGGAAACGACGAGAGGGTCGGCGAGCGAGGTGAGGGAGAGGGCGAGGAGCTTGACTTGCTCGATCAGGTTGGCGTCGGCGAAGGGGGGTTCGCCTGTCAGCGCCAGCGGGCGCAATGGGCTCTTCGCGGGCGGCGAGTCGAGGAGTGCAAGGACGGAGGGGAGGACGCTATCGAGGAGCGATGGGCGGGCGAGGGCGTTGGCGACACTCGAGTCGGTTGCGATGAAGGACCAGGCGAGCCAGTCGCGGAGCGATTTGTTCGCCTGTGAGTCGTGCGGGATCGTCTGCAGCACGACAGCCTGCGTCAAGTGTCGAGCACGGCGATACACAGTGACGAGCTGGCGGAATGCGTTGGTCCTCTGCGCGGCAAAAAGCGATCAGGGGAAGCTTGAGCTGCTGTGCTGAGCGGTACGTACTGCCGCAGAGCCAGCCGGCATCGACGCGAACAAGCACTGGAGGGTCCAGGTGAAGGTCGAACGCATCAAGGCGGAGTGCGGGTCGACGGCAAGACGGATGAGGAGAACAGCGAGGCGAGAGGCGTCTTCGTCCGAGAACAACCGCCTGTGGGGGTATACGGACGTCAGCGAGAGTCTCGAGACTGCAAAGCGATAGGAAACGGACCCGTGCAAGCAGAGAACCTGCACAACACTGCACCACCGGCGGATTGCTGGCATCCGTTGTGCAGCGCTGAAGAGCAGCTGGGCCTTACGCGGCGCCCGAACGAACTCGTCCTCGTCATTGTAGTCCTCATCCGCAGCCCTGAGAGTGCTGGAGAACGACCGGTCTCGGGGAACGTCGACGGCGTGAGGCTTCGCTCCAAGCTTGACCAGCATGCTGCCAAGGTAATCGGCGTCGACGAGCGAAGACGCGGGCTCCGCGTCTTGCGAGCGGGAAGCCGTATGCGCGGCGATGCGAGCGAGGAGATCGACGAGGCGGTCGCCGGCGGACGTTTCGCAAGGATCGCAGACTGTGGTGTGCAAGAATGAATACAGCTCGAGGCTGGATCGGAGATCTCAACTCACGCAGTTCGATGATCCAGCGGGACGCGACTCGGTGGTCTTCGGGAGAACCGATCCCGCCCGAATTCAGTGGCGAGAATAGCGTGACGGCCGACGGGAAGGGCGTGGACGACGTGAAGATGCCTGCGAAAAGCAGAAGGCGAATCAGCTTCGTTCGGCGAGGCGCATGGATGGGAGGGCTTACCTCGTAGCGCCTGCGCGATCTGCCCCCTCCAGCCATCGCCGACATACTGGGCCTTGTCCTGCTGATCGATGGACCACATCTTCGACGGCCTCCAAAAGGTCCGCAAATCCAGCTGTTCCTCCGACTCCACCATTGCCTCCCTCTCTTGCTTCTCCCGCTCCGTCTCCTCGTTCAGTAGGCTCTCCAAGGCGGCCGCCTTCTTCTTCGTCGCGGCCGGGAGGGCGCCCGGTGCCGGAAGGTCCTCGTCGGAGTCTTCGGCGAGCGCGGAAGTCACGACCGACAAGTCGAGGGGCTTGACGCTGCCGAGAACTGATGGTGCTTCGAGGTCGGAAGTCATCGAGGTGTCGGATCCAGTATCGAGATCCTGCGCACGTAGGTATCGTCAGCACGCTTAACTTTCCGAGAAAAGCGACAAGAACGCACATCGTCGGACTCCACCTCTTTCTTCCGGCCCAGCTCCGTCTTCCACTTCGCATACCACTCGTCCGTGTGACCCTTCTTCTCCCTCGCTGCGCGGTCCTTCATGATCCTGTCAAACTGGAGGACCGAACGCTTCGTCGTGTCGTCCATCAAGCCGAGCGAGTTCGTGACCTTTTGGGCTTTCGACGTCTTCGTCGAGGAGGATGCGACCCGCTTGGCGGATTTCGACGGGCTGTAGTGGTCCGTCTCGCGCTTCTCCCGACTCGAGCGGCGCGGTTCGTCGGCGAGTGGATCAGGAGAGACGGTCGTTGGCGCTGTCGCAGCGAAAGGCGAAGTGTCGGCGGTCGAGGCGAGCGTCTCGCCTGCTTCGCGTCGGGCCTTGGCGCGATTGAGGAAGTCGGCGAGCTCGTCGTCCTCCGACTCTGCCTCTGACTCGCTCGAGGAAGAGGAGGAGCTGGACCCCGAGTCGGACGCTTCTGTGCGACCGCGCCGAGGCGTCCTGCGCGACTTGGCAGGCGAAGGACTGCCCTCGCGATCGTCCGAGTCGTCGTCCGAGCCCTCGCTGCTCGATGCGTCGTGCATGAAGGCGTCCCACTCGCTCGTCAAGCCGTCCCTCGCCTTCCTGACCTCGTTCTTCTTGAAGCTGGGCGCCGCAACCGCCTTTCCCTTCCCCTTGCCCCTCGCGACAGGCGTGGTCTTCTTCAACGACGCCGTACGAGAGCCCGGCACCGGCTTTGTCTCGATGATAAGCTCAAAATTGTGCTTGCGAGGCGACCTGGGCTTGGTGGTCGATCCGCTCGTCCAAGTTGCCGCGCGCGAGAGCGGCCGCTTCGGCGTCGGTGCGAGAGACGACAGAGGCGATCCAGTCGGGTCGCGAACGTAGCTCGGGCCGCCTTCTGGCGTCCTTGGGGCGTCCCGCTTGTCGAGGTCGGCGAGTCGACGCAGCGCCGGCGAGGTGAGGTTGCTTGGACCAGCAACAGCGTTGGCGTCCGTGTTCGGCTGCACTGGCGAGTGAACGGCAGAACAAGAGCCGCGACGAGGCGTCGAAGGCTGTGAAGGGGTGATCGTGGAGAGAGAGGAGTCGGACGGGTTCGAGCGCATCTCTGGCCGCGGAGAGCTTCGAAGCAGGCGCAGGTTGGGCGAGTCGGGCAGTCCTCGACAGGGAGAGTCGTCGGGACGTGCGCGCTTCAAGGGAGAGGAGGAAGATGCAGCCGTGACAGAGACGGCGGGAGTGGCGCGACGACGTGGAGAGGAGCGTGTGCCAGAGTCGTCGCGGTCGTCCTCTAAGACGTTCGGGAGAGACCTGCTGCCGGAACGGAGAGGACGGGGTGTCGTTGGAAGACCGCCAGTCGCCTTCTTCGGAGTCGAGGGCGCAGACTTGCGCATGGGCGACGCGGGCGGCGGCATGAGCTCTTCGGCAGTCTTCTTGAGCGGGCTGAAGACGCCGTTGTTCTGCTTCGAGCTGGAGGCGAGAGGCGCGGCGGGTCGAGCAGGGGAAGCGAGAGACGAAGGTTTGGCCGGCGAGACGGACGCAGTCGGTTCCCGCTTGATCTGCAATCCTTGAGCGCCCGAAACGCCCGCCCTAGGCGTCGTCGAGCCTGTGCGAGAAGCCGTCTTCGGGCGCGTAACGACGACGATCTCGCTGTCGTCCGAGTCGTCGAGGACGGACGACGAGGCGGACGGCGACGACATCGTCAAGTCCATCACATCCCGCCCGAGTTCGTCCCGCATCACCTTGTACTTCCTGATCCTGGCACTGCCTCGCGAGCGCTTCGGCGGCGAGACCGACGCCCCCGCAAGCAGGCCAACCCTCCTTCTCCCCTCCGACTCTGAATCCGAGATTTCGATCGTCCTCCGCGCTGCAATCTCCTTCTTGACCTGCATCAGCATGGCAGATTTGTCGCTCGGCGAGGCAGTGAGGTCGATCTGGCGGCTGGGCGTGATGGAGCATTGGCGAGAGGGATTGCGACGAGGCGTGAGGGATTCAGACTTGACAAAGGCGTCCGGCATCCTCACAGAATATCGCGCCTCGTTCTCGTCCTCCTCGTCTGCAGGCGTCAGCAACCTGGGCGACCTGCGCGGCGCTGTTGAAGTCGAAGGAGCCGCGAGCGAAGTACCCGACGAGGAGGCGAGCGAGGCAGACACCGCCCTCGCTGCTCGTGAGGGGCCTGCGACAGGTCCATCCTCCTTCTGCGTGCCCTTCTCGATGCTGCTGAGCGACTGCGTGCCCCTCAGCGGCGCCTTGCCCTTGCCATCGCCCTTCCCGCCTGATCCAGAGGACCCTGCTTCTCCTCCGCCGACAGCGCGCGCGGGCAGCTGTTCCATGCCTGTACGGATTGGCGAGGATGTCGCCGGCGTTCCCTCGTCCGACTTGACCGCAGGCGACGACGAGAAGTAGAACAACAGCGACGCCTTGCCCGTCGCGGGGGGACCAGATGGAGCGGGTTTCCTGCGTCGTCAAACAAGCGGGACGCGTTCAGCGCGGTTTGTAGCGTACGAGAACTCGTGCAGCGAGCGCCTCGAGGTGCACTGACCTGCCCATGCTCGCGGTCGGGCCGTGTTCGCAGTCGCGCTCCTCCAAACGCGCACCGCGTCGCTCGCTCTCGACAACAACCGCGACAAGCACGCTTTCTGTAGCGCCCGTAGCACTCGCAACGTCCTTTGAAAAGACTTCTCTCGCTCGCAAGTCGCTCGGAACGACACCGGATGTGAACGATGCGTATGAATACAAACTGCTGCACTGCTCATAAGATTCGTGTAAAGGTCTTGACTCTTCTGGAGGGAGTTCTAGTCGTCTAGGAACTGTTCGAATTGTCGGCGCACGACCAGGGCGTTCCACCGCTCGCGGCGTACGAGTCGCGGATCGAGATGACCGAGCCGTATGTGCCGCCGACCATGATGAAGGAGCCGCCGACCACGATGAAGGCGTTGACCGCAACGAGGAACCAGAACCACTTGGTGCGCTTCTCGGCCGTCTTGAAGCGCGGCCAGTAGTCGAAGAACCACATGACCGAGACCGCCTGGAGGGAGAACATGGTGCCGAAGAGGGCGCCGACGAGGCCGACGAGGCCGCCGAAGACGGGGATGGCCGAGGCGATGATGTACGAAAAGATGAGGCAACCAAGTGTGCAGGAGAGCCAGACGATCCAGTGAGTCGGCGTCGAGTGGGTAAGGTGATGCGAGTTGCGGAGGAAGCGGACAAAGAGCCACTTGGCCGGCAAGTGGGTGTAGATGACCGCGGCGGCGAGGAGTCCGGGCAGGGCGAGGCCGTACGAGATGCGCTTGAGGAGGACGCCGGCGGTGCCGAGCGCGGGCGACGCGACGTACTGTCCGGCGTAGCAGTAGACCTGTGAAAACGAACGACGAGCGAGTCAGTAAAGCTGAGGAGCAGGAACTGGCGGCGAAGGAACTGGAGATCGCGAAGGAAGGGCAGGGAGCCGTGCGGTTGAGGAGGGCGAGAGACTCACGACGACGCCGATCACGATGTAGAAGACGGTGACAAAGGTCTGGCAGGTGATGACGGCTTTTCCGTAGTCGCGGGTGTTGCGCATCTCGCAAGCGATGGGAAGGCTGCGAGTCAAAGGAGTCAGCTAGGTCTCCTTCGACGACGACGAGAGGAGAGCTCGACGCACAAGGCAGCGGTACCGGCGTAGGCAAAGACGAGGTTTCCGATGGCGTTCATGGCGTCCGCGAACGACGGGTGGCCCCAGATAACGATGTTGAGGTCCATCGGGCCTTCCTGAGGCGCGAGCGACGGGCGTCCTCCGGCACCGACGGCGATGGTGACGGTCAAGATGGAGACGATCATCGAGGCGAGTCCGACCCATCCAACCCACTTGATGCCGCCGAGCGTGCGGAGCGAGGCGAGAGGGTAGGTCGCGACTGCCGCGACGACGACGAAGACGGCGGTGCAGGTGCCATGGAGGGAGATGGCGTTCAGGGCGGTCGAGAGACCGAGGAGCGCAGAGCCGACGATGCAGGTCATGACTGTGAGGCGCGAGAGACGGTCAGTTTGCGAAGCGAAGTTTGGCGAGGAGGCTTGGGGGGACGTACGGAGCCAGTAACCGACGCCAAAGATCTCGCGGCCGACACGGCCAAACATCAACGCGCCACAGTCGGAAACGGAGTCTGTCAGGAGAGGACTGTCAGCCCGCTGCGAGGTCCGCGGAGGGAGAGGAGGCGGACTCACAGACGGTCGGGTGCTTGAGCTTGAAGATTCCGATGTAGTAATCGGTCCACGTCGTCAGAACGGCGATAACGACTAGGATGATCACGCCCGGTGCCAGTCCAAGCGTGTGGAAGACGTCGGGAATGTTGAGGACACCCAAACCGATTTGGGTCTGCAAGGAGGTCACCTTCGTCAGCAGCGGTTCCATCGCTCGGCGCTCAGTGAGAGACTTGACACACCTTCATCAAGAGGATACTGGTCGAGATCCAGCCGACGCTGTGCGAAGACGACGACCCATGTCAGCGACCAATTCTCCCGAGCAGACGGATCCTCCGGCTCGACCTCGACGACTCACCTCTTGTAGTTGACCGTGCCGTCTCCCTGAGCACCAAAGACACCGTCGACCTCAATCTCGTTCACGCGCGCCTCCTCATCGATACGAGCATCAACCCCAGACTGGACGACGGTGCCGTCCTCCTTCTCCCTCATGGCTGGCTTCTCCTGGGACGACTTGGACGTGGATGGTGCGCGACTGAAGCCCATAGCAGGCGAGTATCGGTGTATGAGCAAGGGCGTAGGTATCGAGCAGAGACGCCGAGGCCGGCGATGAGTGAGGTGAGGGAAGAGGGCGAAGGGGCGCAAAGATGGACAAGCGCGGTCGGTGACCCCGGACGAGTGAGCAAGATTGGCAAGCCGCGTAACGTGGAGGAGCCTGCGAAGCTTTTCAGCGAGCAGAGAGGAGAGGGAGATAGAAAGGGGGGCCCGCTGGACCGGTGAGGAGGCGAGCGTGGAAAAAGCGCAAGCGTCGGAGAACGTCGTCTGTGTGCGGATCCGAAGTCTTGCCAGGGTTCTCCGAGGCCGAGGAGGACGAGGAAAAGTTGGCTCGCGAGCCGACCGAGGCGTCCCCCCGGAGCGTTGCCCCCTTTGGTCCCCCTTGACGTTGAGCGTATCCGTGCAAGCTTGGCGATCCTCCTCAGACTGTATCGCTGTCCGTCCTGCGCACAGCAGACCCGAGCCGTTGCGCGTGAGTGCCGTGCTGTGACGCCTTGCGCGAGCCGAAGTCCACCTCCTCCCGCTGCTCGAGCTCAGCGACCAGTGGCAAACTCATCCGATGCTGCTCTACGGGATACCGCCCAAGCCATTTCTTCTGTGGCGTGCGCCCTTCCGCACAAGCGCGGGACGAGAGCGGGGTCGGCAAGGCGGCAGGAGGAAAAGCTGTTCGGAGGCGGGGTCGGCGCCAAGACGGAAGCGTCCGTTCAGTCGACTTCAGCATGTCAACTCTGAGAGAAGTCAATCCTGATCCACGACAGCGCGCGTCGACATGTTGGGAGGAGGTTGAGCGAGGAGGAGAAGGTCCGACAGACGCACCTCACCCGATTCTGCTGGACCGCTTGCTCGCACAGACTGCTGCACCCACCTGACCCCGATCAGAGTCGTCCCCGTCTGCTCGCCGCGTGGAGCGGGATGCTCGGGCCTGCTTCTTCGCTGAGTGCGATGGGCCAACACCTCTTCAACGCCTCGCGCGAGGCTGAGACCGACTCGAGCGCCAGCAGCAGCAGCCAGACTCTTCCAGCGTCGTCGTGGCAGCCTGCGCCGTCGACTTCAGCAGGCTTGGGGAGACAGAGATGGGGAGGCAATGAGGGAGCGAAGGGAGGAAGCAAGTTGGGTGGTGCGACTCAGCAAGTAGACGAGTCGAAGCCTGTGCGGTCAACGATGCTCCAGCCGACCACGCCGACCAAGCCAGCGACCAACTCTCGCGCTCCTACGCCCAGCTGGACCAAGGCCGACTTTGTTCCCTTCAGTCCCGTTCGCACAACGACTTCGACCGACTCTTCGCCCGTAAAATCATTCTCGCCGCCCGGTCCGACGCAGCGACGGACGAAGGAAGAGATCGAGCGGAAGAAGGAGGAGGCAATGCAGCGGGTGCGCGGACGCTTCCCTCGCACAGAGCTGTAGGGAAGGCTAACTTCGCTCGAGCAGCTCAAGGCCAAGGCGGAGGAGAAGAAGCGCCTGGAGCGACAGAAGAAGCGCGAGCAGCTCGCCGCGCAGTCGCTCTCCAAGTTCGGCTTCAAGATCACCGTGGCGAGCGCCGGCATTTCGCGCTACGGGACGGGCAAGGGCGGCGTCAAGAAGGTGGAACCCGACGCTCGCTCGCCTTCGCCTCAGAAGCCGAAGGAGTGGGCGCCGGACGAGCGGTGCTCGGACGAACAGCGGGCCGTCCTCGAGCAGGTCAAGGCGGGCGGCAACGTCTTCTTCACCGGTTCCGCTGGTGTCGGCAAGTCGTTCCTGCTCAAGGAGGTGACGCGGCTGCTCGACTACCTCGAACGACCGTACCAGGTCACGGCGACGACGGGAATCGCCGCCCTCCAGATCAGCGGCATCACGATTCATTCGTTCGCCGGCATCGGGCTCGGCAAGGAGGCGATCAACGTCCTGTACGACCGCATCAAGCGCTCGAAGGAGAAGGAGAAGGTCTGGCTGCACACTCGATGCCTGATCATCGACGAGGTATCCATGTCGCCGGCCGACCTCTTTACCAAGCTCAACATTCTCGGCAAGCTCATCCGCAAGAGCAACTTGCCTTTCGGTGCGTTAAGCTTCTCAGCTATCGATAGCAGTAGCTGACGGTGCAGTTTTCAGGCGGCATGCAGCTCATCGTCTCGGGCGACTTCTTCCAGCTCCCGCCCGTTCCCGAAGCCTTCTCCGACATGCGATGCATGCGATGCGGTATGATCTAGCTCTCCCGCTTTCGTCTACTCGCGCTGACCGAATTGCTGCGCTACAGACCACACCCACCTGACCAAGGTCGACCTGCACGATGCCTGCGTCCCGTACGAAGAGCGCGCCAAAGGCGTCCCACCGGCCGACATCATGCGCTGCACCGACATCGTCAAGCGCGACGGCGGCATCATTGCAGGCTGCGGCTTCGAGCGGAGGATCCGGCGGTTCGCGTTCGAGACGGAGGCTTGGTGCGATGGCCTTCCCTGCGCCGCCGAGTCCGGCTGCTCACGCTTCCGTTGACAGGGCGGAGTGCAACTTCCTCGTCATGGAGCTTACGAAGGTGAGACCGTTTCTGGCACGAACTGCAAAGTGCCGGTCTGACCGTTCCTCGCCAGGTTTTCCGTCAAGATCATCCTGTCTTCATCGCCACACTTGAGAAGATCCGTCGCGGCATCTGCGACGACGAGTGCACGCGCTTTCTCGCAAATTGCGGAGCAGAACTCGGCAAAGGCGGCAACATCGACATTCAGGTGCGTCCGACTTCACCCTGCGATTCGAGCGAGCCGCTTATCTCGTTAGCCCATCGCAGCCGACAAATCTCTACCCGCTCCGTAAAGCTGTCGACGACGAGAACCGGCGCGAGTTCGAGAAGCTCAAGGAGCAGGCGTATACCTTCCAAGCTCTCGACGACTCGCGCGGTGCCTACGCCGAGTCCGTTCTGGGCGAGCGGGTGCGTCAACCTCTTTCCGTAAAGACTCGCGACTGATTTTCGGCGACGGTAGCTCGCCAACGTCCCGCCGAGCAAGACTCTACAGCTGAAGAAGGGAGCGCAGGTCCTCCTCTTGGCCAACCTCGACGTGAAGAGTGAGTCTCGCCGTCCTCATGTACGTAACGCCACTAACATGACGTACTTGCAGACGGTCTTGTGAACGGGTCTCGCGGCGTCATCGTCGACTGGGTCGACCGAGACGCCGTCCCTCTCGACAGCGATTCTGACGAGCCCGTCTGGCCGGGACAGACGCAGCGGAAGAAGAGTGCTGGCGGAGGGATGTTTGGAGGCGAGGAATGGCGGGAGAAGGCGGCCGAGTTGTGGGCGGACAAGCAGGAGGTCGAGGTGTTCCCGCTCGTCTACTTTGCTACGGGCCGGCAGCGTGAGTTCCGCTCTGCTTCTGTCACGTCGCTCGAAGCTGAGGCTTTTGCGCACAGTCATCATCCGCCCGCACACCTGGTGCATCGACATCGACAAGCACAACACGGTCGCTCGTACGCAGTTGCCGCTCCAATTGGCGTGGTCCGTCGCGTCCCTCTTCCGGCAGAGGCGATTGCGACTGACTTCTTCACTTGCTCGCTCACAGGGCTTTGACGATCCACAAGTCGCAAGGACAGTCACTCGACGCGGTCGGTGTCCGTTTGACCTCGACGTTCGAGAAGGGCCAGTGCGTGGAGACGTTGAGTGTCTCCCTTCAGCGCGGACTAACCTGATTGTCTCCGCAGAGCGTATGTCGCTCTGTCGCGATGCCGCAAGCCGGAAGGGATGAAGATCGACGGATTCCGACCAGGCGTCGTGATGGGTGCGTTTCGACTCTCCGCTCTCTACGTGAAGTTCTCCTGACGCTTCTCGCGCACATGCAGCTCATCCAGTCGTTACTATCTTCTATGACTGCATCAAGAACAAGACGCCTTTGTACGCTACGTCTCTCGTCACGCAGTCGAGCTCGCCTCAATGTGCTGACGCCGACTCCGCTCCACAGCTTCATCACAGCGGTCCCGCCCGTCAACCCGCTCGACTTCGTCCCGGATTTCGACCCACTCGTCGACAAGCTCAGTCGCATCTTCGGTCGACCAACCGGTCCCATTCCGCCCGGCTCAGCTGTTCTCGCTCCGGGGCAGAAGAAGCCGGCGCAAACGTACGTCAACCCAGGAGCACAACTCGTCGCGCCACCGCCACCTCGAGTCGGCTGGAAGGAACTCCTCGCTCAGGCGGCCGACGCTTTCATCGGGGCCGGCGGCTGCGCCTCGGCGACCGACTGGAAGGACATCGACGTCAACAAGCCCGGCTTTGACGATGCGAGCGTCTTCACGGCTGAGGCATACCGCGTGATCAGCCACGCGACGCGGCGGAAGAGGAAGAGCAGCAATTCGGCGCCGCCTGCTTCCGAGGTCGATTCTGACTCGACAGGCAACGACACTCTGGACAGTATCGCCATTGACGGTGTCAAGCAGGAGAGGACAGGCGGGGCGGGTGACGGAGGGAAGGGCAAGAAGGCAAAGAGGAAGCGTCCGAGGAAGCGGGTCGGGCACTAGAAGGTCGTCGGCGGCTTGTCGGCACGGTTCAACTGGCTGTTTCGTGTCCCTTGTTGATGTACATGTCACGTAATTCGCCTCGCAGGGCCGTTCAGCATCTTCACTTCGTGCCGCGGCAGCCCCACCTCGCTCTTTCTCCTTCTCCTGCTCGCCTCACGCTCTCGTCGGCGCTCCTTGCTCGCCTATCTTCCTGCTCTCCTACTTGCCTCACTCCTACGCCAGGCTCCCGCCATGCCTCTGCCTCCCGGCGCCGAACCGCCTCTTCCGCCCGCGTCGCTTTCGACGTCGCTCAACTACTCTGCATCCAATCCTACGACGCTGCTTGACCGCCTGGCCGTCCGCGAACTCATGGAGGGCTTCCCTGCTCACCGCGATGCCTGCGAGTGGAGGAAGATGAGGGCACTCTTTGCGGAGGAGGATGCCTGTAAGCCGTCTTCTGCTCGACACTGTCTTCTCTCTCGCCGACCGTGAGGAGCCGAGTATTGACAAGTGGTTCGCCGCAGATGTCTTCACGACTTGGAGCGGTGGAGTCCCGATTGACCGGTTCATCGAAATCTCGTACGTCTTCTCCTGCTTTGCCTCCCTCTTCTTCGCGAAAGCGTCGTTGTTGATGCGGTCTCAATCTGTCTCGTTGCCCAGAGAGGCTGGCTTCGCCAAGGGCGTCAAGATTGCTGTGAGTCTTACCATTCCTCCTGCGCTCCCTGCGCCTCCTTAACGCTGTTCGTCGCAGCACCGGGTCAACGGCGGTACTGTCGACGTCGCTATCTCGGGACCTGCAGCTGGAAAGCGTGGACTTGGCAAGCTGAAGGCGTATGTCGCAGCCTTTCCTCCTTCTGCCCGTCATCGCTAACTTGCCGCGTGCCCTTCCAGCACAATCACGCAGCGCTTCACGATGCCGACAGAAACGGAGGGCGAGACATGTGAGGTCGACGTCGAGGCTGACTGCCGGTACGCACGTCCGGGTCCGTCGCAAAAGCGCCTCACTGACACTTCGCACTCCAGGCTCTGCTTCTTCGTCGAGAAGAAGGCGAACGGTGAATGGAAGAATCACTTCTTCAAGGGTAAGAGCTCTCCCCTCATGTCCTCAAGCCGGCAGCTGACTCGAGCTTTGCCCGGCTGCAGGTTTCTACGAAAAAGACCGTGCCATTCCGGTCGACCCTCGACGAATCCCTCGCTTCGACGACGAGAAGCTTGCATCGTTCCCTGAAGGCTACCGCTACCTCGCATACGGTCAGAGCGCTGCGTACAAGATCAAGCTGGACCTGCCTCAGTCGCGCGGTGCGTCTCCTCCTCCGTGGCTCGGAACGAGCAGAACCTGACACCAGTCGACTTCCGCTGCGTCAGGCGAAGAGCACGACAGGTTCTATGAGTCATTCATACACTGGCTGGAAGGCGCGAGTATCGAGACGATGAAGCAAGAGCTGGGTGTCTGATGGAAAAGTCGCCTTTGCCATTCAAACCCAGTCGTTCTACTCAGCCGACAACTTTGAGAGCGTTTGCTCGCTCTGCAACCCCCATGTATGCGAGCTTCTCGGCGTCGTGCTTCTGCTACACAAGGTTCGCTCGCCTGAGAAGGTCGAGGTGGAACCGCGCGTGCGCATCCGCGAGAGAGCAACGATGGTGTTGATAACAACGACATGGCACAAATATCTGCAAAAGAGACAATCCGGATACTGACGGACGGTGGGAGCGGGTCTAAGGCCGCCAGACGGGCAAGGGAGGGCGGGGCGTCCTGTTCGCACGAGGTGTGGCGGTGGCTGACGCCGGAGCTGTAGTCGTTCCACCTCGTGACGAAGACGCGAAGCTGTTGCGCGGTCGCAGGGGGAAGGATCGGCGGACTGACATGGATGTGGTTGATTGCGCGAGATCGGTCTTGCCAACGCTCGAGACGGACGTCGCGAGGTAGTCGCGAAGCGAGTTCGAGGATGGCGAGGCTGAGAGCGACTCGCGCAATGCACTCGAGCTGATCCATTGCGGCTCGCTGCCGAGATTCGCCGAGAGAGACGTCGAAGGCGAGATTGTGAGGCCGTTGGCAACGCCGAAATGGGTGATAATGAACCTGCGAGTGTATAGGTCAGCACACGGCGCTTGAAAAATGGAGAGCTGGACTTACTGCGCAAGGTCGAGCCAACCGCCGCCGACACGCACCTGCAACGGGCAAAGCGTGAGGTTATCGCAGCGAGAAGCGCGACAGGCGACGCACCATCACCTGCTTACTGCGCAGGATGCGGCAGAAGTACAGCCGGCCGCCGATATTGTAGACACCGCTTTCGTCCGTCCAGCGACCTTCCGCAACCTCGATCGGAACGTGCAAGTTGGGCAGCGAGTTGACCACGTTCGCAACTTCGCGATCAAGTTTGTTGTAGACGTTCGGGCGATACGGCTGCGTTGACCGTGGCGGAGTCTGGCGAAGGGTGCGGACGACAGGAGTTGAAACGCTTCGAACTGATGGCTTCTCCGTTCGAGGCCGCTCGACCGCAACGCTGCTGAAAAGGTTAGGGCGCCTGACGGAGCCTTGCGAGGACGACGCTGACGAGACCCTGCGATCGGTCCTTGGAGTGACGGGAGCCTTGTCAAGACTGGCAGCCGAGCTGTCCCGCCGACTCGCAGATCGCGTCGACTGGCGGAGACGAGGCTTGACCGGCGTATCGAACGAAAAGGGCTGAGGCACGGTCGAAGCGTTCGGGGGAAGCGGCGACAACGCTTGGCGGGGTGTGCGAACCGGGAGGCGGCTGCTTCTTCGTAAACGAGGAGTCTGTTCGTCCGAAGTCGGTCGGCGAGGGCGAGGCGTCTGCGGCGCAACATTACCGGGAGTACCGTTCGAGGTCGAGGAGCTGACCAGAGACGACGCTGTCGAGGTGCGAGATGTCGAGCGGGAGACGGACGAACGAGTGGATTGAATGGAAGTGGCCTGAGAGGATGGCCGCGATGGCGTTCTGTGGGCCGCAGGAGGTGGCGCAGCTTTGGTTCCCGACGCCGCAGAGGTGGATGATGACGCCGAGCCTGCGCGCGGGCGGATCTCCTCGACGAGACCCAGCATCTCGCTCCACGTGTCCTCGATACGGCGTATTGCTCGCTCCACTCGTCCGTCATCAGCGAGAGGGATCGCTTCGACCCGAACGGCCGTGACTGCCTCGCTGGCTGCAACGAGTGCGTCGGAAAGCGGAAGGACTGGCGACGCCGCGGGATCAGGCGTGACGGGCGGGGCGTCGGGCGTGGAGGCATCGACAGCATTCAGGAGGTCACTCAAGGTCGAGTCGGCTTTCGCGAGGAAGTCGGAAAATCGTGCGAGAGCTGCGACTCGTCTCACCTCCTTGCCCTTGTCCTCGATATAGCGCTCAATTGAGGGCAGGTCGGCCCACACGAGCGTCTCGTCGGAATTTCCAGCGAGAGCGACCAACTCGTTGCGGCATGTCGCCAGCTCGCCATCCATGACTGCCGCTTCTGCTGCCGGTGGCAGGACGAGAGTCGACGGCGATAGCCAACCAGCTGTCTCAATTCGCTCAATCCGTCGGCGGAGCTCGCTGAAGGCTGCAGGCTCGTCCGAAGGTGTCTCGAATGCGAATGGGTCGAGGGCGACGTCTTCGTCCGGGAATGCGAGGGTAGCGGCGGTCGAATCCTGCTGCGCCGTTGTAGGCTTGTTCGCTGGTTCGTCCGTTCTCGCTGGAACCTGTTGTGACCCGAGCGACAGACGAGGCGTCTCGCGAGCGCTGTGCGCAAGGCGCTCGGAGCGATCCCGAAGACCTTCAAGCCGAGCGCGTCTCGAGGTTTGCAGGTCGATGTCGACGGAGGACCGGCGACTCGCGTCGACGAGATCGTCGAGAGCGACTGAGAGCGGTGCAAGGTCGAGCGTGAGTAGCGTCGTTCGGCGACAGTCGAGGTCGGGACGAAGGACATCTGGCAAAAGCATGTGAGCACGAAGTCTATGCGCATGTTCGACGGGCTCACCGGTCAAGGTCGACGTCTCCGAGACCTCTCGCGCATCTTCAGCGTCCTCCTCCAGCGCGTCGACCGTGCGCTCCGCCTCGAGACAGGCTCCGTCCCATGTTCTCGCCTTTTGCATGACTGCGAGGACGTTGGCGCTCTGTCGTGCTTCGTCGACGAGGCCGAGTATCCGTAGGCATGAGTTGTTGAGGAACGCTCGGACGTGGTCGTCCTGCTCGGCGAGGTGAAGAAGATCGGCAGACCCGTTTGTCGAAGACGGCGGAGAAGCGGGCGCCAGGAGAGGGACGGACGTTGCGACGTTTACAACGAGAACTTCGACGTCCGCTGTGCAGACTTCGAGCCGGGCGCGGATGGTACCAATTTCCTCGTCGCCGGGAAGTCCGTCGGCTGGACCACCCACAACAGCATCCAGCTCGTGCAATGTCCCTCGCAGTTCCGCCGTCGTAGCCTCGGCCCGCTCAACGAAGGCTTGAACGCTGCGCGACTGCCGGCGAAGACCGTCCACCTGCGAGGCGAGCTCGTCGAGCGCATTGATGCGCCCGATAACGCTGGCGGAGCGTTCGTGGAGATGACGGCGCAGCGCATCAAGAGTCGACCTGTCCAGAAAGGCGAGGGCTGGCGACACGCTAGTCGAGAACAGGTCGTTGACTTCGGTTCGCACCATGGTGACGACGGAGGCGGCGTCGTCCGCCTCGATCGGCGCCATCCGGCCCTCGCGCCATTTGGTCGTCTCGACGAACTCGAGCAAGTTCTGCTCAACCTCCCCAATCTGCCGCTCAGCGCCATCAATCGTCCTGCACGCCGCCCGCAGAGTCGATACATCGTCCCTCCGCTTCGTCTCGGCGTCTAGCTGCTCAATAACGCCGAGTCGCTGGGCACGAAGGTTCGCGGCCGCGTCCTTGACCTCCTTTCGCAGCGCCGCGCAGATCTTGCGATCCGCAAGCTCGACGACGCATCTTGCGGCGTCTTTCTGTACCGTCTCCGTCTGCTCGAGCGCGGCCGCTACTTGCATCGCCAGCCTGTCCCACCCCTGCTCGAACTCAGCACCGGTTTCGCTGGCGTCAAGAACAGCCAAGCCATCCGCCAGCCTCGCCGGTCGCCCCCCGATAGCTTGGACGTCCCGCTGGAATGTCGCCAGCTCGTCGCCAAGCTGATCAAGCGTCGTTCGGACAGCTCGTGCCGACTCGACAGCGCTTCGATCCGCTGTGTATTGGGTGGTCGCTGTTTCTGCCGAACGCGTCGCCTCCTTCGCATCCCTGAGATGCTGCTGGAGAAAGGCGACGAGCTCGCCGTTGTGAGCGGACTGATCAGGCGCAGACGGGTGCAGTGGTCGCGGGAGGTCGTGAAGATCTGCTCGGATGTCGTCGAGTTCGCGCTCGAGATCGACAAGGCAAGGAGCAAAGTCGGCCGTTGTCGTGAAGGACGGTAGTTCGGCTTGGGCAGCGAGTACATCCGCCTCGAGCGTTCGTGCGCTAGCGGTGATGGCGCCGAGTCGGCGGAAGAGGTGATCGGCCGCAGACCGCTGCGAGACGAGCTGCTCGGCGAACTGGTGCAAACCCTCGCTGATCGCTTTGACCGAGTCCTCGAGACGGTCTTGCTCGTCGAGAAACGATTCGGGAAGCGGGGAAGTGGACGAGTCGATGAGCTTGTCGAGGAAAGAGGCGGACAGCGGGACTGCCGAGGCGGAAAGGGTGCGCGACTGGGTCGTCAAGGTCGACAGGGAAAGGGAGAGGAGATTCGCGGTCGCGGTTGATGCACGTAGTGTCGAAGAAGACGTCGACGAGCTAAGAGTCGTCAAGTCGCGTGAAGATGACGAGAAAGCGAGCATTGTCGAGCTGGACGAGCGGGTCAGGTCCGACTTGGGTGCAAGAAGGCCTGACGCGCTGTGCGCCAGAGTTGATTCGTTCGCGGAGGTCGGGGACCATCGAGCTTTGGCGACAAAGGTCGGCAGGTCGGCGAGAAGGCGCCGGCGAGACGTCCACGCCGACGCAGTCGCTTCTTCCCACCTGAGAACCGCCCGTCAGCGGCCACGACACGTCACAGCAGGTTGAGCGGACGCCCGACGCACTTCAGGCGGTAACCAAGCAGAGTGAGCGCTTTTCGGCGCTGGCGCAGGAGTGAGAGAAGCTTGTCGACGGCGAAGAGGGTTGTAAGGGTAAGCTCGATAAGGTCGGTGTCACGAGGGGAGAGCTCCTGCTTGCTCCGCTCTGCATGTTTCTCGAGAGTCAATGCAGCTCCGAGAAGACAACAACGGTGAACGGAGACGCACCTCGAGCAATGTTGCGCATTTTGACGAGGTCTCCCATGTCGTACGCCTGGATCTCGCGCTCAATGCGGTCATGCTCCGCCCACCAAGCTTCAAGTTCCTCGTTGGAGACTGGAGAACGCGCTGGAGGTTCGGGAGTCGTGACCTCGACATGCGGGAGGGAGGAGAGGAACTGCGGGAGAAAATGCGTGTCAACCAGCGCCGTGGCTTGCTAATTGCGATAGGGTGACTCACCTGAATCTTCTCCTCGATCCACACCTTCTTCTCGGCGAATCTGCGCGCCAGCGGCGGGACAACCCAGTCAGTCAACTCCCTTTCACGCCCGACCTTCTCTTGACAGCGACGCACAGGCTAAGCTCCAGCACTTCCTCGCCAGCTAGCTCATCGCCATTGGAGCTCAATGCGGAGCTCTTCGCCCGGCGGCCTGGCGCCCGCGGTGTCGAGGGAAGGGCCGTCGACATCGCGCCGGGATGAGGGGCAACTGGCGACCTCGGGCGCGGGAAGCACAATGCGCGCGTTCGAGCAGGCGCTGCGCCAGCGCTGGGCGAGTTGAGCGGGCAGAACAAGCGGAAGAAAAGCGTTCGTTCGAATGCGAAGAAAGGAAGACGCGAGGCGCGAGCGAGCGATCTCTGAACAACGTCAACGAGGCGGCTTCCGTAGCTTGCGTGACAGTCCCAGCGTCTCGAAGAGAGAGGAACTGTATTGAGAAAGCAGCGGGTGCTATCAAGGTCGAGGGGAGCTCAGGTTTGACATCGGAATCCATTCGTCAATCGGCAGAAGCTTCGGTCGACGCTCGTCCACCACCTTACGAGGTGCTACACACTCAGCGAATCTTGTCAAGCGGCCTGCGAGAGACGAGCATCAGCCTGTCGAACGATGGGCAACAAAGACGAGGGAAAAGCGCACCGATTGAAACCTCCCTTGCGGTTCATGTACTGCAAGACGATTGGATGGTGGTCAGTCAACGTCAACGGGCGGAAGCGCAGGGACACTCACTTGACGATAGTGCCGTTCTTGCCGCTTGCTCACAGCGGAAATGTCGTCCTCGTGCGCCTTGCCCTGCACAGCGGCGTGATCAGCGTACTGTACTCATCGAAAAACGAAACACGACGGAATTCTTGACGCACCTGCGTTGTGCCGAACCCGCCGAAGCCCATCAATGCCGCGATGTCCTGCTCATCGACCTCAGCCGCATCGTCCGCCGTGACCACACCCGGCTCTTTCCCCTTCCCTGCGCGCTTCTCTTTCCGCTCGTCTTGGTCGTCGTCCCGCCTACGGTCGCGCGGAGCAGGAGGAGGAGAGCGCGACCGGGGAGAACGACTTCGGGACGGAGAGCGCGAGTCGCGTCGTCGTCGAGGCGGAGAACTGGAAGGAGAGCGAGTGTGGCGGCGCCCAGAGCGTGGTGGAGGAGAGCGAGATCGGTAGCCGCCTGCACACACGCAAGGGAGAGTGAAACGTTCAGCGAACCTGGTCGAACAGAGTGCCGAATACGGGGGTGTACGAGACGCACCACGATCCCGTCTGCTGTAATCGTCGTCGTAGTCGTACGCCCTGGGCCTGCCACCACGCCCGCCGTCCCCGTCCCGCCTGACTGGACTCCTGCTCCTCCGCCGTTCGTAGCCTCCTCCGCGGTACCCTCCGCCCCGGTCCCGCTCGTAGTCACGGTCGTAGCCTCGTCCTCCACCCCTGTAGTCCCTGTCGTACCCGCCGCGTCCTCCCGCGCCGTAGCCGTTGCGGTCGCCAGGAGTCCGTGAGTCGCGAGACGAGTCGACGTCGTCGTAGCTGACGGGCGCGCGTCCTCCGTAGGGGAGTCCTCCTCCTCGGTAGCTCATTCTAGCAGTGCAAGCGTGGCAAGCGTGAGAAGCAGCGAGGTGGACTGTTCCAACGTCACTTCTCCCTCAACAGCTCACCTATAGGACCCGCTTCATGCTCAAGCGCAGCCTTTTGCCGCTGCTACTCGCTCGAACCTACGCACAACAAGTCCCACTGCCACCCAGCTTCCGCCCAAGCATGTCTAGAGGTCGCGACGGATCCTCATCATTGAATGGCGGAGAAGAGGGTGGTCTCCCCGTCTTCCCTCGAAAGAACAGTGGGTCCGCCCGCTTTTTGACAAGGACGACGTCTTCGAGCTGCTAGCGGGGCCGGAACGCGCGAAGGCGGGCTGTTGAGGGTCGCTCCACCTAGCTCTCCTCGAGATCGCCTGTCTCTCGGCTCGAAAAACGGCTTACCTGACGCTATTCTTTGACTCTTCCAGTCTTTGGCGACACCTTGCGTCCCGCACCCGTCGGCGATGGCCCGACGACTGGGTTCTTCCGCAACGTGCGCTCACTCTTGGCTCTCCCTCGAGATTCAGACGCAGCTAACCGACGCAGCTCCTCCGCAGAACTTCTGCGACGCCAGTCCTCACGACCCTGGCTCGCACACCGTTGCGGCTGTCGTGACGCCGACGTTCCTCGATTTCAGCAGGAGTGCGTAGTCCTTACTTCTCCTGAACCTCGCTCAGATGGGCAGATCCGGTCAAGCTTCAACTCAGCGAGCCGGAATTTGACTGACACAACCTCCCTACAGGTCGCGGTAACGACTTGTGGCCGCTCTTCCCTCGCCTGCGCCAATCCGCCCCCTCGTCCGTCTCGACGTCCCAATCAACCACTTCCCCTCCCTGCGTCTGGTGCCTCTGCGCCTCTCGCTGGTACGAAGCTCTCAAAGCGGCTGCCTCTCATCCGCTCGGCGAGCAGATCGTACCGCGCGTCGTGCTCGAGGCGACGCATGAAAGGGCACCGCTTGATGGCGGGTTCTCGAAGGAGGAGTTGGAGAGGTTTGCGGTTGGAGGAGATGGTACGGGCGGAGCTGGAGGGAGTGGAAGTGGGCCTGCCGGTGTCACTGGCTGGGAGATCGCTGGAGGCGCAACGGGCGAGAAGATTGGGAGGTGAAGAATTCCGTTCTCTTGCGCTTTTTCCTCGTAGTACATATTGTTGCCCTCGCTCTGCACATATTGTAAAGAATGACACGTCGCGTTCCAACACAAACAAGCTACAAGAAACGAAGAGTGGGCTGGAGAAGCTACATTTTGGTAAGCGATCCGCCCTCCACCAACTCGCTCCGAAGTGCACCACGCCTGCACTTCGCGCTCACTCCCAATGACCCTCGAGCGCCTTCCCATCAATCAAACCCTCGAGCCCCATCTCCTTCAACGCCTTCTTCGCTTCCCCGCCGTCCTTCTGACCCTCAATGCTCTTCTCCAACTCTTTCTCCTCCTTGTCAAGCTCCTTCTCCGCTTTCTCGCCAATGTCCTGAACTGCTTCGTGCTTCGAGGGAATGAGGAGAAGTTCGGCGCCCGGGTAGTCGAGCAGTTCGGGAGGAGAGGCGGGGATGAACTTGGTGTGGAAGAGCTTCTTGTACTCGGGCGGGAACTGCGAGCGCGACCCGAACGTTGACGCGAGAACGCGCGGCAGGTAGAGCGAGCGGGAGACAGACCTGAGGGTGCTTGCTAGCTGGCTGGTTACCAACCGCCGGGTTCGTGGACGGCGCCTCGGGGTTCTTGACCTGGAGCGTAAAAGCGCCTTCGTGCTGGATGTGAAGCGCCTCTTGCACCTCGCCCATCTGCAGCCGGGGCAAGCTGATGAGGCTGGGATACGAGTAAGGAAGGCCAAAGGAACGGGAGACGCACCTCGTGAGGAACGGCGATCTCGTAGGCGAAGTAGGTGTGATAGACGGCAGACTCGTTCGCCGAGTCCTTCGGGTAGTTTTCGACCGTGTAGAGGACGTAGGCACCCGAGGCAGCGACCCGAGCGCCCGCTTGGTGGCGGGTTCCTGCGGATGCGGCGAGCGTCAGTACGTTCGTTCAGGCGCTTCGAGAGAGAGCGGTCGAGACTGACCGCGCGTCTTGGTCTCGTAAGTCTTCGGTCCGAGACCCTCCTTGAGCGCCTTCATGTCCTCGCCGACATTGACGACCTGGCCCCAGATCGGGCGAGTCGACTCGCTGGCGTCGGGCAGAGCCTTCTTGCCGATCGCGATGAGGCGGTGGAGCTTCGAGCCGTGTGGGACGACGAGGAGGTGGAAGCGCTGGACGTCGTCGAGCGATTCGGGGTGGTCGATCTCGACTTTCGGGCGGTAGATGAAGTAGACGTGGCCCTTCTCGATGATGCCTGTCAAACAAAGGCGTGAGTAACTGGCCTCGCACAGTTCGAGGGAGGTCGAACGCACCATGCTTCCTCTCTGCGTCGGGCTCGGGCAGGTGAGCGGGGACCTGTCCAGGCTGGGCGTTGCCCTCAACGATGTCTCCCTTCGGCTCCTCGTGCTTCTTGTCCTCGCTCATACCCGCCGGCCTCCTGCCCTCGTCCTTCTTCTCCTCGCCCTTCTCCTCGTGCTGCTCCTCATGCTTGACGACCTTTTTCTGCACGTGCTTGCCCTTTCCGCCCTTGCTAGTCGGCTTCTTGTGCTGCTCGTCCTCGTCTCCGCCGTCCTCCTCGTCCTTCTTTGCGACGACCTTCTTCCTTTTGGGCGAGCTGCCTCCCTCGGCAGCGTGGCGCTTGTCGCCGGTCGAAGCGGCGGGCTTGTCGTCGTCGTGCGAGCGTGTGGTCACCATGGCAGGTTGACAGCTTCAGCGAGTGAATCGTCGAGGCAAGAGAGGCAAAAGCGACGTCACCACGGGAGGCCAACTTCGCCGCGCGCGTCGACGCGATGTCAACTTGACAGCGATGAGGAGGAGGAGAACGAGGGTTGCAGGCGTTTCGGAGGCTAGCGATGCTGCCCATCGTGTTCAGCAGAATCGCGAACCTGGATGCAGGACTTCACCGGGCTTCGCGAGCTGTTGTCGCCGTCCTTCCTCTCGCTCACACGGCTCTCCCTCCTGCTCCTCACTCGCTCACACCCGCTGCACCCGCTGGAGCGTTTGCTGCACTGCTAGGATGGCTGAACCCGCTGAAGTCGATTTCGCGCCGCGCCTCGTCAAGCAGACCGTTGAAGGCGCCTTCCACCACACGATCACCTGCGACCTCGAGCTCAACCTGATGGACCCCGACCTGGACGAGCGCTTCGACTTGGACGACGTTCCTCTGGCGGGGGATTGGGCGCTGGAAGTTGAGAGACGGGACAACCTTATCTGCCTTCGAGCCGTTCATGGCAGCCGATGGGGTGCGCGCGTTCACACGAACGTGAAGCTTTATTACACGGCGGGAGGGCAGCATACGCTGCTGAAGGAGTCGAGATGGCATCTAATGCCCCGGCCAGATCGAGCAGAAGCTGGGAGGGTCTTCGTCAATTTTGTGTCCAAGATCCCTCTCGACCTCCTGATGAGCTCCGGTACCGCGAATGCGCATGGCTATGACCCCAACACGCATCGAAACTACCGCTGTGTCATCTACTTCGATGCGCGAGGTGGCCGACCCTTGCCGGAAGCGCAGACGTTGATCCAGCGACTGCCTGGTAGGTCATCACCCCCCCACTCTGCGCATGCGAGTGTTACTGATCTCATGTCTGCAGCCGTTGAGCTTTCGCCGGCACCCGCGAATGTGCGCATCTTCTTTCCGACGTGCGAAGCCGAACTCTGGGCGGATTCCGGCTTCCTCAATCGCTCCTCGCCTTACTTCAAAACTCTTCTCTCATCCGACTTTGCGGAGGCTGTCACCATGCCGTCGAAGCGACCCAGAACCCGTGACGACTCGACAGCCGCCACTACATTAGTCGATGCCGACGCGAAGGACTTTGACGACTCTGACAACGAGACGGACAAGCTTTACTTCGAGAAGCACCCGGCTTTGCAGCACAAGCGCGACGAGCTGCAGCACCCGTTCAAGGAGATCAAGATCACCGCGACTGCCTTTACGACCTATCGAGCCGTTCTCGCCTTCCTCCGAACTGGCTTCATCGCTTTCGCGCCACTGTCTTCCACGCTCCCCGAATCCGACGCGCCCGGCATCTCGACTCGTCGCACGCGCATCGAAGACGCTGTCTCAGCGAACCCGTCTCTTCCCTACCCCGTCTCGCCCAAATCGACTTACCGCCTCGCCCATCTCCTCGAGCTCAAGGAGCTCCAGCAGCTCTCCCTCGCCAACCTCTCCGAGCAGCTCACGCCCGACTCTGCGCCAAAGGAGCTCTTCTCCGACACGACCGTCTGCTACGACGCTTGGCGAAACGTCATCCTCGATTACATCGTCAAGAACTGCGATGCGGTGACGAAGTCAGCCGCATGGACTGAAGCGACGAGTCGTGTTGAGCGCGACGAAGTGCCAGGAGCGGCGCCGATCATGCTGGATCTGTTCAAGCGCAAGGTTATCAAGACGGGTGCGTTCCCCTCCTCGCTTCATCGTGCCCGGCTTGCCTCGCTGACTCGTTAAATGCTGCACTGTCGTGTACAGCCTAGACCGTCACACTCCTCGCGCTATACTTGTACAGCCGTTCAGCACGCATCATTTCTCGCAATCCAATCTCGCGTACCTCGCCTTTTCTTCTCCCGCTCGACAGTGTGCCGTCTGAGCGACTGGGCGTCCGTCATCATGCTTGTCGTGAGCTTCGGCGATGCTGAAAGTGAATGAACAGCTGGTGGCAACGCGGGTAACTAGCTTGCGCGCCGTTCTGCTGCTTGGAAGCGAGTCCCACGAACTGCACTGCTCTCGCTTGGCTTGCCCCTTCGGCCGCTGTCCTGGAATGTGCTCTATTGCACGAAGCGAGCCGACGCGTAGACCAGCAACGCGTCGCAGCACTTCCTCTGAGCCGACTGATGAGGATTCGAAGAGGAGGAGGAGAGCGACACAACGCTTCGCACGGGTGCGCAGACCCGTTGCAGGCTCACAGAGTGTCTCCAAAGCAACCTTAACCCATCAACGCTTTCCTGCGCGAGGTGGGCTCCCGGTTCCACCTGCTCGCGCCTCTCTCCCTCCTCCCCTTCACTCGCTCGCACACACTCACCCGCTGGAGCTCTCGCAGTACCGCTAAGATGGCTGCGCTCGCTGCTCAGAATGTCGTCAACCCCCTCCTCGTCAAGCAGACCGTTGAGGGGTCCTTCCATCACACGATCACTTGCGACCTCGACCTCGACCTGATGGAACCCAACCTGGACGAACGATTCGAGCTGGACGGTGTGCCGCTGGCAGGGACCTGGATGTGCGACGTCAACAGGCGCGCGGACTGTGTCGACATCGTCCTCAACTTTGGCGCCCTCTCCGCTGGTCGATGGGGACCGCAAATTCGCGTCCTCCTTCGCTTCTTTTACCTGACGGACGGACAGCAGGTCCTGCTGGAAGAAGTCGCTTGGGGGAGGGACCCTGCGCCGCGGCTGGATCCGGAATTGGGAGGAGTGTGCAATAGCTATTTGCTCGACATCCCGCTTGGCAAGGTCAACGATGCGGCCGCTGCGTCTTCCAGCGCATTCAATCCGGTCGAACATCGCGCTTATCGCCTCATCATCGACATCCACTCGCGACCCACCAAACCTACTCTTGAAGCGGAGAGGTTGATCAGGCGCATGCCTGGTGAGCAGAGCCTCGAGCCAGACCTGCCCGCTTGCTGACAGAGATACTTACAGATACCGATCTGTCGGCTTTCACGCACAATGTCCGACTCTTCTTTCCCCGTCACGATGCCGACCTTTGGCCCGAATCGAGTGTTCTGTCTCGCGCGTCGCCGTATTTCAGAACACTTCTCGCCAGCGACTTCGCCGAGAGCGTCACCGTGCCACAAAAGCGGAAGCGTACGGCCAGTGCGACGACGGGAACGGCAGCTCCTGCTCCAACTGATGCAGATGCGGCAGACCCGGACGGCCAGGGCTTCGAAGACTCTGACAACGAGACGGACAAGCTTTACTTCGAGAAGCACCCGGCTTTGCAGCACAAGCGCGACGAGCTGCAGCACCCGTTCAAGGAGATCAAGATCACCGCGACTGCCTTTACGACCTATCGAGCCGTCCTGGCCTACCTCCGAACTGGCTTCATCGCCTTTGCGCCACTTTCCTCCACTCTCCCCGTGCCCGATGAGACCGACATCTCGACTCGCAAATCGCGCATTGAGGCGGCCATTTCTGCGAGATCGTCCCTGCCCTATCCCGTCTCGCCCAAGTCGATATATCGCCTCGCCCATCTTCTCGAGATTGCGCCACTCCAGACTCTGTGTCTTGCCAATCTTTCCAAGCAGTTGACGATCAATTGCGCGCCCGCCGAGCTCTTCACCGACATGTGCGTCTGCTACGACGCCTGGCGCAACGTCGTCCTCGACTACATCGTCAAGAACTGCGACGCCGTCACAAAGTCGGCGGGATGGACTGAAGCGACGAGCAGGGTCGAGCGCGACGAGGTCCCCAGAGCGGGGCCGATCATGCTCGAGCTGTTCAAGCGCAAGGTCCTCAAGACAGGCGCGTTCTCGTTCTCGTTTCTCTCTAACCAGTCCGGCTCGCTGACTCGACCCGCTCCACCGTTGATCTTCTACAGCCTAGATCTTCACTCTCTTCTGGCTTTCGCTCGTACAGCCGTCCAGCGCGTGTCGCTCCGCGCAATCCGATCCCTCGTCCTCACCATTCTTCATCTCGCCCGAGAGTACACCGTCTGAGCGACGTGCGCGTCGAGTCATGACGCTTGTCATGCGCCTTGGCGTGCGGAGCGAGAAAAGGAGATGCCGACGACAGGGCTTTCTCGCTTGCTCGCCGTTCCGCTGCTTCGAGGAACTCGCTGCATTGCTCTCGCTTGGGCCTGCCGCTTCGGCTGCTGATCTGAATTGTACTCTGATGCCTGAAGCGAGCCTACCCGTAGACCAGCAACGCGTCGCAGCACTTCCTCTGAGCCGACTGATGAGGCAAGATGAGGATTCGAGGAGGAGAGGGTGGGCGACACACGGCTTCGCGCGGTTGTGCAAGGCTCAGAAGCGTCTGCCAGCCTTCTTCAAACCCAGTTCACCTCGTCAACGCGTTCCCGCGCGAGGTGGCCTTCCGGTTCCACCTGCTCGCGCTTTTCTCCTTCCTGCCCTACACTCGCTCGCACACACTCATCTCTAGAGCTCGCGCTGCACTGTTAAGATGGCTACTCCCGCCGCTCAGAATGCTGCCAACCCTGCGCCCGCGCCGACCGAGCACAAACTCGTCAAGTTCCACCTCGAGGGACACTTCCACTACACCTTCACCGTCGACCTCGAGCTCGACTTGGCGGACCCGAAGCTGGACAAGAAGTTCAACCTCGAAGGAGTACCGCTCGTCGGCAAGTGGCAGTGCGGCTTCCGGTCTTCCGACAATGGCAGCATCCGCGTACAAGTCTGGCACGGTTTCTTGCCGGTCGGCATTTGGGGCGCACGATCGACGGTACTGCTCGAAATTTTCTCCGTCAAGGGATCACAAGCGGAATGCGTCGACAGTTCGAAGTGGCAGCCTCGTCCGAACCCGTCGCTCAATTCCCAATCTTCGAAGTCATTCACCCACTATTACTTAACCATCAAGCCAGAGATGCTGACGCGGGCGGCTGAGGCTTTTGAAGACGACCTCAAAGTCCATCGTACCTATCGGGTGACGTTCTCCATTGACTCGGGCGGAGCTGAACCTCCTCAGATGCTGCTCAATCGGCTGCCTGGTGAGCGGCACTGCTCTTTGTTTGTTCGCAGACGTACTGAGCCTTCATTGCGCGCGCAGCACTCGAGCTGTCCACGCCGCACAAAAGCGTCCGTTTCTTCTTCCCCCAGCATGAAGCCGCCTTGTGGGCCGAATCGCGCTTCTTGTCTCAGTCTTCTCCGTACTTCAAGACTCTTCTCTCGTCTGCGTTTGCCGAAGCCGTCTCTGTCCTTTCGAAGCGCCCCAAGACTCGTCGTGGTTCAGCGACAGCGGCCGCTGCCGATGCCCGCGCGCAGGACTTTGACGACTCGGACGACGAGACGGACGAGCTCTACTTTCAGGCGCATCCGCCTTCGCAGCACGAGCGCGACGAGCTGCAGCACTCGTACAAGGAGATCAAGATCGCCAAGACCGCCTTCACGACCTATCGAGCCGTCCTCGCCTACCTCCGAACTGGCTTCATCGCATTCGCGCCACTGTCCTCGACGTTCTCTTCAGAGAACGACCCAGACGGTCCGACTCGCAGGTCTCGCATCGAGGGAGCCGTCTCCTCCGACCCGACTCTGCCTTACCCGGCCTCTCCCAAGTCAACTTTCCGACTCGCTCACCTCCTCGAGCTCGCCGTGCTTCAGCACCTCTGCCTCACGAACCTCTCGAAGCAGCTTACTTCCGAGTCGGCGACCTACGAGCTCTTCTCCGACACCTCAATCTGCTACGATGCCTGGCGCAAGGTCGTCCTCGACTTTATCGTCGAGCATTACAATGCCGTCACGAGCTCGGTAAGCTGGAAGGCCGAAACGGCGAAGGTCAGGCGCGACGAGATTACAGGAGCGGCGCCGATCATGCTCGAACTGCTTGAGCTCAGGGCGGCGAAAACAGGTGCGTCTCCGATGGGATCGCCAACTCTGGCAGATTCAGCTTCACCAACGTGCACTCTCGCTCTCGCTCGCAGCTTGACTGCGATGGCGGGTGGTACGGTAACGCAGCATCACCTCGCAACACGAAGAATCTCTTCCGATCCATGGATCGCACGTTCAGCTGCGAGAAGGGAGACAAACGGGTATCCATGCAGAAAATGCTACGCAATAAGATGATTAGGCGAGAACGAAAGCGCCAGCGACCAGCGCCGCACCCGCAACGAGCGCATCGACTGCTCCGCTCCTTCCAGCAGCCGAAGTCGAGCCACTCGCGGCCGACGAGCCCGACGCCGCCGACGTGCCGTTCGTGCCAGGCGACGCAACCTTGAGACCGCTCGGGCAGCTGGCTTGCTGCGAGGTCGTGTTCATCGAGTTGGTGGAGTAGACATACGACGAGCCGAGGCAGGTACCCTGCGGACGAGTGGCGAGTCAGCGACGTCTCTCCGAGAGAAGACCTCGAGAGCGCACGTCTGAGCTGAGAGCGGCGACCGCAACAAAGGGGAAGCTGGAGTTGACGTTCCCGACTTGCGTCTCGAAACCGGTCTTCGTCGTATTGGCCAGCTGTGTCGTCACGCTCGACTCGTTCGCGCCGCCGAGGAGTACCCAGCGTGCGACGCTCGTCGCGCCGTTCCAGGATGCGTAGGCGGAGGACGAGTTGACGGCGACGGAGGGCGAAGTGAGCGGGTTGCCTGACCAGGATTGCTTGAAGGCGCGGTACGACATGACGAGGTTCTGCGAGGGAACAGGAAGGGTCAGCTGGTGCTCCTCAACAGGGCAGTCTGTCAAAGCGGGATGAGAGGCGGTGGGATCGGAGCGTCACTCACCTCAGTCGTGCCGAAAGTGACATCTTGCACGATTGATCCGCTGCGAGAGGTTGACTGTCAGTGGGGGAAAAGCTACTCAATGGACGAGCGTGGCTCACTCGGGCGCATACTCGGTAAAGTAGGGCACAGCTCCCCATCCGATGAAAGTGTTGCCGTTGTCGAGCGGCTGGACGGAACCTTGCGACGGAGCGACGTTGTTGAACGAGGGAATCCACTCCTGCATGACCTGTAGGCGAGAGAGTCGTCAGCAGAAAAGAGCAGCAGACCTCCTCGTTCCTCGAACGCACCGTCGCAGTCCAGGCGTTCGTGTCGAGCTCGAGGACGAGACCGCGAGCAGTAGGTTCAGAGGGTGCTCCGCCGCCAGCGGCATTGTCGACTGCGAGGCGGGCGCGTCAGCGAAGGCTCGGAGACGACGGGCAGGAAGCGGAACTCACAAAGCGAGATGTTGAAGCGCCCCGATGTGACGTCTTGCCCGGCCATGACGCGAGCGTCGTGCTGATACCAACTGCGAGTGTGAGCGACGGTGGGTGAGTCATTTGCTCGAACGAAACGTTCGAGGAGAGCCGGCAGGGGAAAGGAATGGCGTCGACGCACAAGGTCGCGTTCGTTCCCATCGTGAAGTTGCTGTTCTTGCCGCCGAGACGCCACAGGATGTCGCCGTTCTGGCCGTCGATGTAGTAAATCGTCGACGGGCCGCGCAAGCTGACGAGCCAGTTGCCCGTGCTGGACACCTTCTCGAGCGAGTTGATGTGGCACCAATCGAACGGCTTTGAGCTCGAGTTGCCGTCATCCTGGACCGTGAAGTATGACTCGCCCGTGTTCATGTGCGCGAGCGCGCTCCATTCGAACATGAGCTTGTCCGTTTCGCCCGAGAGGTCCACCTCCTGGAAGACGCAGTCAAACGTCCAGCCCGTCCCCGTGCCGTTCGACGGCGTCAAGTCGGTCTCGGTGAGTCGCCACGCCTCGACGAGCGCCGTGTTGTTCTCCGTGAGGAGGAACTCGTGAAAGTCGGCGGCGTTGTCGGCCGCGTTGCTCGTCGAGTTGATGGTCGAGACCTGCTTTATGAGGCTGTAGTTGCTCGAGAGGAGGTTCCAGTGGCCGACGCCGTAGCCCGCCGAATAGAACTGGCCCGAGAAGAACGTCAAGACGTCCTCTCCGCGGTACTTCTGCACAATTGTGTTCATCGAGTCGGTGTAGCCGTCCTCGGCACCCGACCAGATCAGAGAGCCTGTTTGAGATCCAGGTCAGAGAAAGGAGCGCAACGACCGAGGAGAACAGCGGGGACATACCGTTGTTGTCCATGATCAGGGGCGCTGGCTGCGAGGTCCCCGTCCCCCGGTACGACAGCATCGTGTAGTTCCCATCAATCGGCTTGCTCATGTCGTAAGTGAGGACGTTGAACTCTGGCGGTGTGAGCGGCGACGAGTGGAAAGTCTGGACGGGGTCGACCGTCTGCCACCAGGTCGACGAGTTGTCCCTCACGACGGAGTCGGCCTGGACGAGTGCTATGCTCGCTGCGGCCGTTGTGGCGGCTACGGCGGCGCGTCTGAGCATAGCGATGGGTGGAAACGAGTGTCGGTGTCGGCGGAGACGGTGTGGGGGCGTCGCGGTTGAGAAGGCCAAGCGCGCGTCGCTCTTCGCCGGTCGCTGCTTCTCGAGCGCTCTCGAGTAGCAAGAAGGAGAGCACGAGTCGCGGAGCACAGGAAAGGACGCCGCACGCGACTGCGCGGGAGCGGAGCGCTGTTCGGACTGCGCCTCCACCGTCGGATGCCGCAAGGGGCCGCGATCGAGATGCGCAGGCAATCTTAGAGCAGGCCACAAGAATAGCCGCGCCGAGCGAGCGAGGCCAGCGACGAGGCAACCGCTGGACAGGCGTCGTCGCATCCACAGCGGCCGACGATGAGCCAGCGCGAGGACGAGTCGCTGCTTGCTCAGCGGCAAGGCATGCTCGACGCATAACTCGTATCGAGACGGAGGAACCGCGGGAGACGCCCGGCCATGCTCGCCGGCGCTGGTGCGCAGCCTTTGCGATCCTCCTCGCAGGCAGGCCTTGGCGAAAGAGCGCAGGATGTGCTGCAACGCCGGCGCAGAGATACATACTGCCGCGTCGCGGCGCACTGCAAGAAAGGTCTTCTACTGAAGAGACGGTGAAGCGAGGGCGGACGGGAGGGGAGGGCGAGCGTCGAGACAGTGTTCATGGCGGGTGTCGAGAGCGTTCATGCGCGAAGAACAGGCGCGATACCCTTCTCGATGTCGGCGTAGACCTCCTCGATGCTCTTGGACGAGTCGATCTGCAAGATAGGCCGGTCAGCGGAGACTGGAAGGGTGCTCGTGAGATGGCAGCTCACGTCGACGACCTTGGCCTGCTTGCGGTAGTAGTCCACGACCGGCATAGAGGTGTTGACGAAAGTCTCTGCGACGATGGAAGGTGTCAGTATAAGCAGCAATGCGTGGCAGGAGCGGGCACCCGTCTGCGCGAAGATGTAGTCTCGCAGGTCTGCCTGAAGCAATCGCGCCGAACTCACGGAAGCGCTTCTTGATGCTCTCTGCGTTGTCGTCATCTCGTCCAGAAGTCTTGCCGCGCTCGAGCAGTCGCTCGAGGAGGATCGGTTCGGGGCAGACGAGGAAGAGGACGAGGGAGGAGGGGCAGACCTGCGGGTGACAGACGGTTTAGCGTGGTATCGCCTTCAAGCCGGCCATAGCGTTGAGTGGAAGGGCAGCACGCACCGTCTCGTCAAACTTGACAGCCTGGTCCATCTGCCGCGGGAAGCCATCAATCAAGAACCTCCGCGCCGGGATACCCTTGACGCCGCCGTTCGCATCCGCCTCCTTCGCCTCGCCCGCCTCGGAGCTCATGGCCGCGCGCATGGCGTTCTCGAGGAGCTTGATCGTGACCTCCATAGGAACGATCTTGCCCTCCGTGATGTACTCCTTGATCATGGCGCCGAACTGCGAGCCTTCGCGCTGCTGTTCTGCGCGGAGGAGGTCGCCGGCTACGTGCAGGGAGGAAAGTCGAAAGTTGTTGAAATGACGTGCAAGGGAGGAGAACAGGGTCAGCAAGCAGGACAGCTGAGCAGGGGAGGCAGCTCGTACCGGACAGGTGAACGAAGCCATGGTGCTGTACGAGGCGGGCGCACTGCGTGCCCTTGCCTGTTTGCGGGAAGTAAGCGAGTGTATGCGATGAGACGAGGCGGTGGACGAGGAGGATTGGCGGGAGCCAGCTGGTCAGCAGAGTGCGCTGTACGAACACAGAGAGAGAGGCCTGCACACACCTGCACCCGGTCCACCCAGCACGAAGATGACAGTCACCTCCTTGGGGTCGAACGCCGGCGAGGAAGTCGCGCTGGTCGTGGCAGTCGTCCCGCGTTCTGCTGCAGCGACGGACATTCTGGCGGGTACTGAAGGTATCTGAAGGAGCGAAGGGGAGGAGAACAAGCCGAGCTGAGCCGTGCGATGCGAGGAAGCGGTCGTGGACGAGGGAGAGCGGGAGAGGAGGAGGAGGACGAAGTTGAAGGAGTCGCAACAACCGCAAAGGCTGGTCTGCTGCGGCAGCCTAGATCGGATTCGGGTAGTCTTTCCTCCTGGCGTGCTCGCGGGCGTCCTTGCTGCGCTTGTCGAGGGTCGACTTGAAGACGAAGGCGGACGCTGCGATGATCCCGACGACGGCGAGCGGGATGGCGAGGTTGCGGGACGCTGGTGGCTTCTGTGGAGGGGTCGCAGGCATCACACTGCCGCTCTGAGCCGAAAGCGAGGTGTCGACGTCCAACCCGGACCTCGCGGAGAGGGTTGGAAGAGAACCGCTCGCTCGCTCACCGCTATCTGGCTTGGACGGGCTCATACACCGTTGAGCAGGCTGCTACAAACTATCGAAACATCTCTAGCCTGCGCTCGTCCCGTCCCAGTCGCTCTCCTCCTCCTCTCGGTCGTCATCTTGCCCCACCTCCTCTCGAACCCGCCGTCCTCGCCATGAACATCGTGGTGCGTAGCGACGTGCTACATATGGGATTGAAGGGCCCACACTGACCCTTCCCCGAACCTCATGCAGGAGACGCTCTTTGGACGGACGAAGACGCCGGCCGAGCGGTTGCGGCAACACCAGCGCGCGCTGCAAAAGGCGCAGCGAGAGCTGGACAGGGAGAGGAGCAAGCTCGAGCAACAGGAGAAGAAGCTCATCATGGACATCAAGAACGGGGCGAGGAAGGGAGAGATTGTGAGTCTCGCTTCAGCCTGTCGCTTCTGTGCCCGGCGTTGGCTGTCCTGCGGCCTTTTCGTCGACGGAAGCAATCGGTACCGTGTGGAAGCTCTGGACGGTCGAAGCGGACGCAGCGAGTGAACCGCAGACTGACCCTTTCGCTTCCCGCAGGGCTCGTGCAAGGTCATGGCGAAGGACCTCGTCCGAACACGGCGATACGTCTCCAAATTCTACACCATGAAGACGCAGCTGCAGGCGGTCTCTCTGCGGATTCAGGGGATGAGGAGCAATCAGCAGATGGCCGAGGCGATGAAGGGAGCGACAAAGGTGCGTTCGGCCTGTTCTCTCCAGCGAGATACGCGGATTGGCCCGCATCCGAGATCGCTCTTCAAAAGCAACGATGTGAGCTGACGCTCACAACTGCTCTCGCCACGCAGGCCATGTCCCTCATGTCCCGCCAGCTCAACCTCCCGCAAATCCAGCGCATCCTGCAAGACTTTGAGAAAGAGTCGTCGATGATGGACATGAAGGAGGAGATGATGGGCGACGCGATCGACGATGCGATGAAGGATGATGTGGGCGAGACGGAGGAGGAAGAGGGAGACAGGATCCTCGAGGAGGTGTTGGCGGAGATTGGCGTTAGCGTCGGTCAGCAGGTGCGTAGTAGGATCTCTCGACCTCTCGCCGCTCTCGCTGACGGTCGCTTTCGCTTGTTCAGCTCGGCGAAGCACCGACCGCACTCCCCGCCTCGAAAGTCTCCGAACCAGGCGTTCGTCGCGCAGTCGCAGTCGGCGAGTCGGCTGGACCTTCTCTTGGTGGCGGAGCAGCGAGCAGCGCAGGACCAGCAGGTGGAGACGCTGGATTGGATGACCTGCAGGCGAGGTTGGACAACCTGAGGCGGGATTGAGTGGGCGATGGAGGCGGGCTCTCGTGTTGTACTGTCGTGCGTGCCGGCATGTATCATTCTTCCTCCTTTTCAGTCTCCATGATCAAGATTCAGCCAACGTCGCATACCCTGGCTCTCTCGCGCTCTCAGTCCTCGCTCGCGCTGCTCTCTTCTCAAAACCGAAGCGATGTATGTTGACTTGCAAGCTGGGTATACGCCGCACGAGGCTCCTCCGCCCGTCACGCCCTGTCAAGCACCTGCCACGTCTTGAGGTCCTGCACGCGCCTGGCCATCTTGTGCAGTCCACCCTTGTCGCCGAGTTGCTCGAGCCAGTCGACCCTGTCCTGCGCCCATCTGAGCACTTCGCGCACGGCCGAAGCCTGTGAAGAGAGTTCCTCGTCGCCGCTGTTGACAAGGAAGTCGACGGCGCGCGTTCCAACGTCGTACTCGAAGGCGATCCCGCGGGTCGTGCACAAGGCCCGATAGGATTCAAAGCTCGACGCGATAGTGCCACTGTGCGACGCTTCGACGCGCAAGCAGCGAAGGGTAGGCGAAAAGATTTCAAGAGGCAGGATCTCTGCGAGGTTCGTGTCGGGGCCGAAGACCATGAGGCAGCGAGGATCGGTCCAAGTTGCTGATGTATAGGGGCATTTGGCGAAGAGGCTCAATGCATGGACGTGATAGTCTGTGGCGTGTATGTGCAAGTTGGCGAGGTGCGGCAAGTCGGCGGGCGCAAACTCGGCGGGTATCTTATCCCACGTATCGCAGGTCAGGCGAAGAGTGCGGACATTGGGCGCCATGCGCTCAATCACACGAGCGATTCGTGGCGACCGGCTGTCAATGGACAACTCTTCGACAGAAGGGAGACGAATGAGGAAGTCAGGCTGCACCGGTTCGCTGATGCCGCTCTTGCCGTCGCCAGACAGGCGCAGCGTGACGAGATGTAGACATTCCTGAAGCGGGGCGAGATGAGGTGCTTTGCTGGGGTCGTAGAATTGGGTCCAGGGAGAAAGGGAGAGCCCCCGAAGTGCGCCGACGTCGATGAACGTTTTGAAGTGCCGCTTCAGATGCGTAGGCGTATCGATCTGCTCGATATGAACCGCGCTGAACCGGGCTTTGGCCAGCTCGAGAGCTTCCTGCGCCATCTGAGCCTGCAGCCTATCGAGAGGTTTGGGCGCTGGAGGCGGCGGAATCGGTTCGCCGTCATCATCGTACTCGGATTCAGGCGAAGTGAACCGTGTCTTGCCCAGCGCAAGATCCCACGTGTAGCAGTTGATGCGAAGCGAATCAAGGCTCGGAAGCCGCTCCAGGTTCGCGGTTGCGGGAACGGCGTTTTCGCGGTCAAACCTGCGGCAGTCGAGAAGCTTGAGGGCCTGCAGCATCGGGGGCGGAACCCGGCCGTACTGGAAGAGGGGGTGCGCGAGTTGGTTTGGCGTGACGATCTGCAGGAACTTACCCTTAGAAACTGGTGGCCGAAGGGTGAGAGTGCGCGCACCTGACGGAGGTAGGGGATGACTGCTGCTCGCAAGATCTTGCTCACACGAGAAAGCGCCCGGATACCGTCGCTGAGCGGCGGCGCATGCCTCTGGAAGAGGGGCTGAGCGAGACGTTCGTCCTGCTCCTTGACGAGGACGACGATGAGCTTGAGAAGCTCGGCCGGCAACGCGTCGAGTCGATACTTCGGCAGCCTCTGCTCGCCGTCGCCCGCGCCGGCATCGCTGTTCGAGGACGACTCGGTCGAGGGGGACATGGCGCGAGAGGCGAGCACCGACGTTGTGCCAAGCGTTTGTCGCGGCGTGGGAGCGTGTGTATGCTCCGAGGCAGGCTGCAGCGCGTGCAAGTGATGCCTGCGATGCGCTGTGAACGGAAGAAGGCGAACCCGCAAGTCCCGACTGATGAGGAGGAGAAGTTGAGGCAACGGCGTCGAGGGCGGTCAGTGGCGGGTTCAGACAGTCCGATAGAGTCTTCACAGCAGCCCGGCAAGGTCACAGTCCGACTCGAGCGAGTTGCGAGAGCGAGAGCCTCGTCTTCGCCTCTCTCCCTCCTCCCGCTCACTGCTGGTCGCGCTCGCTGCGCCTGAACACTGCTGCTGCTTTCAAAGTCACTGCTAGAAGCTTTTCAAGTCGACGCTGCGCACTCGCGTCCGCCCGCATGGCCTCCCTCGACTTCTCCTCTCCCGCTTCCCTCCCCGACATGCCCGCGCCGCCGCCTTCCCCGAGCCACTTTGACAGGCTGCCGACTGAGCTGCTCAAGCACATCGTCGTCTTGGTGCATCAGCAGGACAAGGTGTTCGGCAAAGGTGGCGTCCGCCGCTCTTCGACTCGACCCGACCCCGAGGACGTGTTGTACACGGGGGAAGCTCGTGCACCCGAGCCGGGTGCTTTCAGTTGGTGGTATGGGCGAGGCGTTCACGCCCTCTCGCTCCTCAACAAGCGGCTGCGCGAGTTGTGCCTTCCGGTCCTCCTTCCAGTGCGTCGATTCCTCCTCCCCCCCCCCCCTTTCAACGCGGGGCGAAGGCGTGCTGAGCGACAGGTATACAGACTGCGAAACCTGCTCATTTTGTATCAGCGTTCTTCATTTTCGGCCGCGTTCCTCAAGCGATCCTGGACGGCATCCAGCGTATCGACCTGCGCACTTCGAACGAGTCCGACTTCGTGGCGACCGCTGCGGCACTTTCGAAGCTGAAGAATGTCGACACACTCGAACTCTTCGTCGACGATCGCCTTCCGCTCCATCCACAGTACCATTACAGTGAAGGGGTGTCGGACGTCGGGGAGCCGGCAAGAGCGCTCGCGAAAGAAGCTTTCGGCCGCACCAGCTCGCAGATCAGTTCTCTCGTGCTCCATGAGCCCGGCTACCGCGCCTTCGAGGACACGATCATCCCGTTGTTCGCCCGAACCGACTCCCTGCGATGCCTCAAGTTCCGCGACTTCGGCCAAGCCCTCTTCAACACGGCCCGCGACGTGCCGGCAGCATCTCTACGCAAGATCGCGAGAGACTACGCTTCCCTCACCCATCTGGACCTAAGCGGGGCGGACAGCATCTACTTTGGCCACTTGACTCGCAACGCTCCCTGGACAGACGCCGGACAGTTCTCGTCACTGCGTACGTTCCAGGCTAATGCGACGACTTTCTCGGTCTTCACCTTCATTGAGAGGGCGATGCCGAAGCTCGAGGTGTTGAAGATCGAGTTCACCCAATCCTACAGTTCGCTTGACCAGCTGGACGGGACGTGGACGCTGCCCTCCCTCAAGCGTTTGCAGATCATCGGTCCAAGCAAGATGACCGCCGTCCTCGCCCACCTTCACCTACCTGCTCTCGGATTGCTCAAGATTGCGCTTGTGCGAGCGGAGAATCAGGAGATCGACTGTTCCCGGCTCTTCACGGCGGACACACTTCTGCCGCAGCACGTCGACATGCATTTTGCAGTCGACACGAGTCTGCGCGTCAAGAATGCCGAAGCCGTCGACGCATGGTGCGAAAGGCATGGCATCCGCCTCGTCCACTTCTCCTCGAACATCTTCTACCCGTACTCGCCCGCACCCCCGCCGCAGTACGACGACGAGGCTCTCGAGGACGTCGGCGACGCCATTGATGCCGCGCTGCGGCATGCAGTCCTCCGCAAGCAGCGCCTTCTCGAGTTCAAGGACGCCGACGGCTTACAGGAACTCGCCGCGCTTGTCAAGCCGCTCCGCGAGCGCGAGTTCATCGAGGACATGTAGCAGCTCGAGTGGAATGGTACTTCGCTTGTCATCTCCGCTCAATGTCCTCCCGAGAGTCTTTCGGAAAGCTTTCTGCTCCCTTGCAGGTTGCGCGAAGGGGGCTGGGCGCGCATTGCGCACTTATTTGTTTGCTTTTCTGTTTGCGGGACATCGCTTCTGGCTCAGGGAAGTCAAGGAGAACGCGCTCGCTCGCAAGGGGAAGCCGCCCGCTCGCCTGCTCACAAACTCACGCTCGCGCTCGCAGGTCTCGAGGATTAAGCATCATTCGCAGGAGGCGGCAGCAACGCGACGACTGCTACCTCGCGCTAAGTCAAGGCCACTGCCTGCCGCTGCCTTGCTTCGTACAAGACGTCCCACATTTCCTTCAACCCGCCTGCGTCGCCAAGTCGAGCGAGCCATTCGACGTGCGTTGATGCCCATGCGAGCGTGTCCTGCATCGTGTTCGCCTGAACTGCGGGATCCTCCGGCAAGTCCCCCGGGTTGTCCACTCCCAGCCTGACCTCGAGGGATGCTCCGCGATCCCGGCAGGCTTGGGAGAGCTCCTGCATCTCCTCCGTCGCCCATGCCATCCGACTGCGCGGGGTGAATCGCACGGTGCGGAGCGAGGTGCGCAGCTGCTCGAGTCGCAGCAGGCGGGCGAGGGTGACTCGGCCATGACCCGCGACGCGATAAGTCGAGTCTTCCTGTTCCACCCAGGTGAGCGTGGACAGGGTGCATGTCGAGAATGCTGACAAGACGCTGATGTGATGCCATGAAGCGCGAAGATCGAGGTGGCGCAGGCAGGGTAATTTGGCGAGACGGTCGGCGGAAGAAGGCGACGCCGACTGGTACACGAGCGTCAAATTAACGACATTCGGCGCGAGGTGGTTGACGATTCGCACGACCCGGGGCGAATATCCACGGATCGAGAGGGTGCGGACCGTGGAAAGGCTGGGGAAGTTTTGCAGGCGCTTCGGCTCAGGGTAGTTGAAGGAATCGACGCCGCTGACATGGAGCGTCTCAAGATGAACCAAACGCGAGAGAGCCTGGATGGCGGGCATATCGGCTGTGGTGTAGAACCTCGACCAGGAAGTGAGGGTCAAGCTGGTGAGGGCGGCAGGGTTGGCGAGAAGATCGAGTGTTTGGTCGAAGTCCTGCGGCCTGAGATCGTGTAGTGCAAGAGACTTGAAGCACGAGTTGCCTTGTCGGAGGGCGGTTTGAGCCAGCTGTATCGAAAGGGCTTGCATTGACGCCGCTTCGCGCGCCGACCAAGCATCGCGCGGCCAGGAAGTCTTGTTGTTGACGGAACGTGCGCCGGAATTGACGGCAGACATCGCGTCAGAGTCGGAGGACGAGGACGAATCGGAGGATGAGCTTGACGTGGACGAAGCGTGGCGCGGTTTTAGGGTGCAGTGCAGGACGTTGCAGGAGACCTTGATCGCTTCCAGCTTCGGCAGAGACGCAACGTTGAGGGCCATCGCTGCAAATGTCGTCGGAGTCATCTCGGTGCAGTCGAGGGTCCGGATGTTCTGAACGAGAGCGCGCGGTAGCTGTTGGAACTGGAAAAGCGGGTGGGCAAGTTGGCGGGGGCAAACTTCCTGTGAATGACACGAGTCAATCTGACAGTTCGCGACGTGGTGCACTGATGGCGCACCTGGCAAAGGTACGGCAAGGTCGCCTCCCGCAACCGCCGACAAGTCAACGACAGAACAGCGATGCCTCGTGGGAAGTCTCCATTGATGAGCCATCTTGAGTGGATGTATGGCAAAAGCTCTATCTTGGCGTCTTGAGCGTCGACTTGCTCGACAATGACCTTGAGCAGCTCGGCCGGCAGGAGGTCGAGTCGAGCGTTCGTCTGGAGGAGGTTGGGCGGGTGTGCAAGTGGAGTCGAGGCGGACATGGCCCTTGTCAGAGCGAGGCGAAAGGAGCTAGGAAGTGTAGAAGCAAGGTAGCGACGCCTGCGATGCGGTGTGAAGGGTAGGAAGCAAACCAGTGAGTCGCAACTGATGAGGAGGAGAAGCTGAGACGATGGCGTCGAGGGCGGTCGATGGCAGGCTCAGACGGTACAATGAAGCCCTGAAAGCACCTCAGCAAGGCCACACTTAGCCTCGAGCGAGTTGCGAGAGCGAGAGGCTCGTCTCCGCCTCTTTGCCTCCTCCCGCTCACTTCTGGTCGCGCTCGCTGCGTCCAGAGACTGCTAAGGCACGCGCTACTGCTCAGAGTAGCTCTCAACGCCCACGCTCAACCTCTCCAAGCCGCGCACGCCTCCCACTCGCCTCCTCGTCGACCTCTTCTCGTCCAGCATGTCTTCGCCTACCTCGACCCCGAGCCACTTTGACAGGCTGCCGACCGAGCTGCTCAAGCACATCGTGGTTCTTGTGCACAAGCAGGACCAAGAATTTCGCAAGAGTGGCATGGGAGGGACACGCGTAACGGATCCTTCGAAGAAGAGGAAGAGGGTCTACGACAGCGACTCCGAAGACCTGGACTCGCCACCTCCGGTCATCAGGGACAGCAAGTTCAGTACGTGGCACGGTCGCGGCCTGCACGCTATCTCGCTCCTCAACAAGCGTTTGCGCGAGCTGTGTCTCCCGTTTCTCTGTCCGGTGGGTCCCCCAGTTCCTGCCGACGAGCGCTGCTGACAATGACGACGCGCAGGTCGCCAAAGCTCAGCAGTTTGCCTCCGGTCTCTACCGCTTCGGCGTCATCCCGCAAGCCATCCTCAACGGAGTCCGCCGCATCGACCTGCACACCGCGTCCCTGTCTAAATACGTCGCCGCAGCTGTCGCCCTTCCGCAACTTCCGAACGTCGACACGCTCGAAATTTCGTTGCGACACCAGCTCGCCTCAGATATGCGGTATGTCGCTCCATACTATCCCGAAGCGTCGAGTCCTGCATTTCTCGCGACGAAAGCTTTTCGCAACAATGCTTCTCGCATATCGACACTCGTCGTACACGACGAGCGTCGTACACGACGAGGTCAGAACTGCTTTCACCACGGAGTATCTCTCGAATTTCGCGGATACCGGCACCCTGCTTCGCCTCGAGTTCCGCAATCCCGGCTCGACACTGTTCGAAGAGTCAGCTCATAACTACTCCTCCAGCATACGCCTTCATGTCCTGACGATGCTGCCATGCCTAACGCATCTCGATCTCTCGAGCGCCCCGCCGTTAGAGTGGGACGACTTGCTGAGCGATGACGCGACCTGGCCGGACGAGGCTCGCTTTCCCGCGTTGCGGGACTTCAGTACGAAGTCCTTGTCGTGGTCGGTCTTCCATTTCGTCGAGAAGTGTATGGCACGACTCGTCAAGCTCGATGTCTTCTTTCCCACCGTCATGGAGCCATCCGACCCTCTGCCTTCATCTCCGACCTTGCACCACCTCGAAGCGCTCAGCATCACCGGTCCGCTCCACGCCTTCGCCATACTCGCGCAGCTCAGCCTGCCGAGGGTCAGGACCATCGATCTCACCTTCGCCCTCTTCGACTGGGACGCAACCTTGGACTGCACTGCGATTCTCCCGCCAGACATTCTCTTCGCTCGTCGCGTCAGCCTCCGTATTGCGACGCCGCCGACCACCCGCCTCAAGAACGTCGAGGCGTTCGCCAACTGGTGCGAGCGGCGCGACATCGACTTGTCCTGGACGCCCGGCAGCCGCCTCGCCGTCTTCGATCAACCTTTGACCATCTCCGCAGACGATACCTGCATGTCGAACACCGCCGACGCCGTTCTCGATACGCTCGCATGGGCTTCCGACCATGGCAAGCGACTTTGCGACGTGGGCGACGCCGCAGGCCTGCGAGAACTCGCCGAGCTCGTCAAACCGCTCTGCGAGAGGCGGATCATCGAGGAGATGTAGTCGACCTGCTCCCAAGCTTCTGTGCCTTGAACCTGCTTTTACTCGTGTCCTTCCTCACGACGTGAGTTTCGAGCCGAGTTTACGATCTGCGAGAGCTATCAGCGAACCGCTCGTAATCTCGCTGTTCAGCTCGGTCTCCCGCTCGTACTCTCGTTGTGAAAGCGTGAAAAGCTCATTCGCATTCCATTCAAGCGCGCTCCAACGTCTCCCTGGCATCCACTCCGCCCATCAGGTCAACCATCTCCCGCAAGCCTTTGACGTCGCCGCGACGTTTGAGCCAATCGATGCGGTCCGACATCCACCCGATCAATCCGTCAAGACTCGTTGCGATCTCCGAAGGCGACGAAAGCCCGTTAAGCGTCGACATGCGACTCGACGGAATTCGGGGCTTGTGGTCGAGGGTCTGGGAACCAAACTTGATGCCATGTTGCGCACAGGCGGTCTTGACGCTTTGCATCTCCCCGGGCGGCAAGTCGGTGATTTCGCCGAAGGAGACGATGCGCAGTGAAGGGAAGTCTCCGAGGTGCTCGACAAAGTCGGTGCCCTCAAATGTCTCCCAATAACTCGCGCGCTGCTGGATCCAGACGAGGGTGGCTATCTTGCAGTCGATGAAGGCGGCCAGCCGCGTCAAGCTCGACGCGGGTCCCGTCAAGCGGAGCTCGCGGAGTTGCGGAAAGCGGAGGGCGGCGTGGCGGGCGTCCAGCGGCATCTCCGTGCAGACGAGGTTCAACTTGACGACGTTTGCTGCGAGGCGCTCGACTAGGCGGAGCCAATTCGGGGCTCGAACGTTGATCTGGAGTTCCTGCAGCGACGGAAGGGAGACGACGTCGTCCATGTCGAGCCGTCCTTGCTCGCGAAGGCTGATGTCGCTCAGGTCGAGGGATACAATGCTGTAGCTCGACAGGCAGGAGAACATGCGAAGCTGGTCAAGCTGGATGAAGTTTGGCGAAGGTCCGATGGTAAGGTGCTGCAGAATGTCGCGTCGAGCGAAGACGTTGAGCCAGTTGGCGAACTCGCCCGAATCGACGTCGATCAGAGTCAACGAGCGGATGCGCTGCCTGTGTCGGCGGAAGGCGTCTATCGCGAGCTCGAATTCGAGACGATCGATTGCTGGACGGGCAGGCTGCCCAAGAGCGGCGTTTGCTTGCAATGGCGATGGGTATCTCATCTGGTACGGCGAAAGAGGCAACCACTCAGGCGAGTACAGGGGCGACCTAGGCGAGAAGCACGGCGATGCTGGCGAGTAGCATGGCGAGGTTGGCGAGAAACGCGGTGCCGCTGGCGAGTACTGCGGTGAAGTTGGCAAGAAATGCGGTGATCTTGGCGAGTACCGCGGTGAGGTCGGTGAGAAGCGTGGCGGGGCTGGCGAGAACTGCGGATAAGTCGGGGAGAAAGGCGGCGGGGTCTTCGAGTGCAGTGGTGGGGGCGAAGGCACAAAACGACGGTCTCGAGGGAATCGGCAGCCGGCGTACAGGCCCGAAGAGATCGCGCACAACTTGCCGTAGTCGATCTTGACGGAGGTCAAGTTCGACAGCGCAGGGAGACCTTTGCCGGCCGCCGCGAAAGTCTCGAGTTCAACGCCGCGACAGTCGAGCTCCTCGATGCCGACGAGCATGGCTTGGGGGATGCGGCCGAACTGGAAGATGGGCTGGAGAAGCTGCCGCGCGACGACCACCTGGAGAGGGAGACGATGAAAGTCAACCTACGACTCGGCCGGCTTGCTCGGCTCGTGAACGCACCTTTTTGCAGAGGAACGGCAGCGTGGCGGCGCGCATACGCTTGCAGGTCAAGGACAGCGCGATCAAGCCCTTCTCGAACGGCCACCTCGTCCTCGGAGGCTGCATGTGCTGCGCCCCAGCAAGACGCTCATCCTGCATCGCAACGAAGACCACAACGGTCTCAAGGAGCTCTGCAGGCAGGGTATCGAGACTGGCAGGCCGTCCGAGGCGAGCCCTCTGTTCGGCTGATGAAGACATGGGCGGCTCGAGGGCGGGCAGATGTCGCAGGCGATGGCGATGGCAGTAGTCACAGCAGTTGCTAGCAGCTCTTTGACTCAGCAGCTCGTGCAAGCCAGATCTGCGAAGCGTTGTGAGAGGTAGGAGGCGGGAGGCAGGAGACGAGCGGATTGAGGAGGAGGGGGTGTCACCACTCTGCTAGCTCAGGGAGGCTTGCGAGCTTACGCACAGTCTGGCGACCTTCGACACAATGCTACATTGGCACGACAGGGACGGCTGAGGGTACAATGGAGAGGACTACCTCGAAAAGCGCCTACCGCTTGCCCGCCTCCTTCTGCTCGGTGAAAAGGGTCAGCAAGCGTTTCATAATGACTGCATGAGGGCGACGCGCATCCAAGATGAACTGCGTCAGAGAGCGCAACGCCGCGCTCATCTCCTCTCCTGACGGGCGGATCTGCGACGGCGGCAAGAGGAAGCCGAACACGCCAATGTCGCGCAGCTCAGTGGCGAACGACCAGCGGATCTTGGCGACGGCGTCTGCGTTGACGTGCGGAGAGTCAGTATTCAACGTGACTCAAGGCAGGACGAGGAGGACACGGCGACGCACAGGTCCAGTCGAGGCTCTCGCCAGGACTCGTGAGGCTGACCTCGCAGACCGAGCCCGTCTCAAACTGCCGTCCGTGGACGTCTCGCAGCGCCTTGGCCGCCTGCAAGACCGCCTCGTAGTGGTTCTCCTGGTCGGGAGTCTGGGCGTCGCACGAGTACGAGTAGGGGAACAGCACTGCGAGGCAAAGTGTCAGGGTCGGAGTTGTGAGTGGATGGAGAGGAAGACGCACGCATCTGGCCGAACGAATGGACGTCGAGGAAAGCGTCGACATGGTTCGCATCGTCAAGCAGGTAGTCCCGCAGCGCCTGCAACTCGACGCTCTCGAACTCCTTCGCACCGGGGTACGAGTCGGAGCAAGGGTTTGGTCGGGTACCGGGCTGGAATTTGTGGCCCCAGTTGCGGTTGAGGTCGATGCCGAAGCAGCCGCGAGCGGGGTCGACGCCGACGGGCTGGCGGGACTTGCGCCAGAGGCGGTCCGTCTCCCAAGAGTAGACGTATCCGTCGGGCTGGTCGTGAAAGTGTCAGCGATCTGAGTTACGAGGAGGAGGGACCGGCGAACGAAGCGCGCTGCAGGGAAACTAAGAAGGGAGAACGCTGGGAAACGCCTGACTCACGTTTACGACAGGCACAAAGGTGAACTCGACGGCGTTGAGCAAACGCGTGAAGGGTGTTGAACCAGTGTCGCCCGGCACGACGAGGTCGTGGACGAGGTAGAGGATCGTCGAAGCCGCGATCCACTCCCGCGCGTGCTGCGTGCCCGCGACGACAAAGCCGAGCTTGCCATGCTTCTTGTGCTTGTGCCGCTTGCCCGTGTGCGAGCGACCGCCCTTGCCGGTGAAGACGCTGATGAGCGGTTCCGGTCCCTCCATCTCCTCGTCCTCCTCCTCGACGTCTTCCTCGGCGTCATCCTCCTCAGGCGGCGCCGAAGACGTCATGTTCGATACCTTGACGCCCCAGATATCGCGTCCCTCGCTCGACTTGCCGACACTGACAACGCGAAGCCAGTCGGGGTAGGTTTCCTCGAGCTTGACAAGGATCTCGTGGATGTTGTCGTACGGGTGGTAGGCGTCGTGCATTGGGTCGTCGAGAGTTCGGAGGCTCGAGGAGGAGAGGTTGCGAAGGATGGCGGCAGAGTGAAGTTTCGGGAGCGAAGTCGAGAGACGGTCGCCGACCGGGACTTGCTGCGCCCTCATGGGTGGGCCGTACTCGTCACTGGCCATAGCAACAGTCGCTGCATCCGCCGCCAGACCATCCTTGAAGCCGACAACCGCTTCCCACGCCTTTCCTCGCCGTCCTGCGAACCAGACGTCAAGGTCTGCCTCCTCAAACTGCCTCATTGCCTTCTCCAGTCCCGCCCTCGTCTCCCACTGCACCTTGACAACGCTGTCCTGCCGCACATTGGCGTCGCTGGGCGAGGAGAAGGCGAGTTGGTCGTTCGAAGCGGAGAGCCAGTCGGGAGCGTCGAGGGAAGCGCCGGCGATGATGGGACCAGCGAGGGTCGCCAGCCAGAGCACTTGTCGCCAGCCTGAGCGCATCCTCAGCCCGGTCAAGCGTTGTAAGCGGGACTCGAGGTGCTGTCGCTCGCTGAGAGATGGGGTTGCGCGTCACCAAACCCGCTTTCTTTGCGCTTTCTCCTCCTGCTGCCCGCGTGACTTGCTAGATACGCCCAATAGCACCTTCAGAACCGACAGCAACCACCCGCACACCCACCCAGCGCCGTTGGAACGAGCGAGCGCGATGCCTTCCCTCCCCTCCGCCATCCCGCACGCAACAGCGGCAAACGGCAAAGCTGCAGGCCTGACGAGCTACTTCTCGAGCAAGATTGAAGCGGCCGAGCAGCTCATCCACACCAAGTCCCAGGACTTGCGGCGACTCGAGGCGCAGCGCAACGCACTCAATGCCCGCGTTCGCCTCCTCCGCGAGGAGCTGCAGCTGCTGCAGGAGCCTGGTTCGTACGTCGGAGAGGTCGTCAAGGTCATGGGAAAGAAGAAGGTGCTCGTCAAGGTGCAGCCAGAGGGCAAATACGGTGCGTCTCTTCGCCTCTCCTCGTCACCTCGCTCGCTGCTGACAAGTCGCTTCGTTTCGCTTTCATGCGTACAGTCGTCGACTTTGCCAGCTACATTGATGTCGCCCAGCTCACGCCCAATCTCCGCGTCGCCCTTCGCTCCGACTCTTGTTCGTCTCGGCTCGTTCATTCTCGATGTGAGGCAAGCTGACATGTCTTCCGCTCGCAGACCAGCTCCACTCGATCCTGCCGACAAAGCAGGACCCTCTTGTCGCGCTTATGATGGTCGAGAAGGTGCCCGACTCGACGTACGAGATGGTCGGCGGCTTGGATCAGCAGATCAAGGAGATCAAGGAGGTCATCGAATTGCCCGTCAAGCACCCCGAACTCTTCGACGCGCTCGGTATCGCCCAGCCAAAGGGTGTCCTCCTCTACGGCCCGCCCGGAACCGGAAAGACGCTCCTCGCCCGTGCAGTCGCCCACCACACCGACTGCCGCTTCATCCGTGTCAGCGGTTCCGAGCTCGTGCAGAAGTACATCGGAGAAGGCTCGAGGATGGTTCGCGAGCTGTTCGTCATGGCCAGGGAGCACGCACCGTCAATCATTTTCATGGACGAGATCGACTCGATCGGCTCGTCGCGCGGCGGGTCTGGCGGAGGAGGCGGAGACTCGGAGGTTCAGCGAACGATGCTCGAGCTTCTCAACCAGCTTGACGGATTCGAGGCGACGAAGAACATCAAGGTGCGTTGCCGCGCTGCCGTCGCGCCCTTTCTCCGTTGACACTTCCGCATCTCAGGTCATCATGGCGACGAACCGTATCGACATCCTCGACCCGGCTCTTCTCCGTCCCGGTCGGATAGACCGAAAGATCGAGTTCCCTCCTCCTGGGTGCGTCGTCTCTTCGCCTCGCATGGCGGGCTGAGCTGACGGTTCCGCCTCACACAGCCCCGAAGCTCGCGTCTCGATCCTCCGCATCCACTCGCGCAAGATGTCCCTCCAGCGCGGCATCAACCTCCGCGCGCTCGCCGAAAAGATGGGCAACTGCTCGGGTGCCGAGGTGCGCGGTATCTGTACCGAGGCGGGCATGTACGCGTTGCGCGAGCGGAGGCAGCACGTCACGCAGGAGGACTTTGAGTTGGCTGTTGCCAAGGTGTTGAGGAAGGCGGGCGAGGGCAGCATGTCGTCGACCAAGCTGTTCAACTAGGCTTTCCTCCCTCCTCCCACGCATGCAACGTTGCTCGCATACTTTGTCGACGCCGACGACCGAGAGTACGTTACCACAACATGTCTGAACGGAAGACAGCCTGTACAAGCGAGAGTGCGCGCCTACTTGGCCAGCGCAGCGAGCAAAGCCTGCGAACCGGAATGTCGATCAGCGCAGTTTGCGGGAAGAAAGGTTGGGCGCACGCACCTTGGCATCGTCCGCCTTGCCCGTTGCCTCCGCCTCCTGCTGGAACTGCCCAACGACCGGATCTCCCTCTCCTCCCGCAGCCTGTCCGCCCTCTGCTCCGGTCGCCGCAGGACTCGCCTTCTTCGCCGCCGCCCAGTTGATGAACGCGCTTCGTGAAGTCGCCCAGGGTGCGACGGCGGGAACATTGGAGAGCTTGTCGTAGGGAACGGGGGTGGCGACGAGGTCGGAGAGGCGGGACTGGAGTAGCGAGAGTTGCGAGGCGAGGATGCGGGCGCGGTCGGAAGGGGAGGTGTGCGCAGAGAGTTTGCCTGCGCAACAAACAGCTATCAGGATAATGACTTGACGAGCCTCGCGCCGAATGCGGCCTGTCAACATCAGACGATCGCTCAAACGCACCTGGTTCCCGCAAGTAGCCCACGAGCTCTGCCTGCTCCTGCACCTTTGCCGCCTTGGCCTTGACAAACAATTCCGCGCACGCCAGCTCACGCTCCTTCTGCAGCTCCTCCTCGTAGAGCCGCAATTCCTCCTGGTATTCCGCCAAACTCGCCTCGTCTGCGCCTTTCAAGTCGGGGTTCAGTCGTTCCTGATGCGGCGGAGTTTTGCGGGGTCAGCGAACATCTCGAGAGCCTAGAGAAAGGAAAGGAAGCGCGACGGACGTGATGAGGCAGGGCAATGAAGGGGACGAGGTCGTCGGCAAAGGTGAAGGTGTTTCGCAGGACGAAGATCTCGAACAGGTCAAACTGCGTGTCGATTGCGTCTTCTAGCAGTGTCTCAAGGCGGTAGATGCCCTGCAGAACCGAGCAAGCGCCGTGAGTGCCTTCATCGCCTCGACCCGACGGCGAGGAGGTGTTGAAGGACGGGGAACGGCTCGACGCACCCGCTGGACCTCGTCCTCGTTGAAGCCCTCGACTCCATCATCCACCAGCTTCTGCAGACTCTGCTCGACCTTGGCCGTCGCCGTGTACATCGTCCTGTTTGCGAGGTCCATCCCGCCCTTTGCGAACGTCTCGGGCGCCCAGCCAAAGTGCTCGGTGAGCAGATCGCGCTTCATGCGTGCCACAGCAGGGTCTGTTCGTGGTGTGGGGGCCATCGCAGCAGCAATATAGCGGAGTCGAGTTGAGTGAATGCGGTCAAGAGAGGTTCGCGAGGAGACGCGGTACCGTAAGCGAGCCAAAGAGGAGAGACAAGGGGATTGCAAGGCGTGCAAGGGTACGAGTACAACAACAAGATGCTCTAGAAGGCATTACTCCGCCGGTTCCGCCGTCTCGTCGATGTCGTTCTCGTACTGGTCTCCGCGACCAGCGTAGCCCTCGTCGATGAGCGCGTTGTCGTCCATCAGAGCCTCCGCCTCGCGCTCGTCGACCTCTTGTTGCGCAGGCTCGTCCACGTCCATCGCAGCCGCGACGATGCGCTCCTCCTCAGCCTGCTTGGCTGCGGCTGTCGCGGCGTCCTCCGCGCCGAGATGCTCCTTGACGAGCTGGAGAAGTCGCTCTTGACCCGCCTCGTCGAAGCGTTCGGTCACGTCCTCGATGCACTGGCGAAAAGCGGTCAGCTGCTGGACCAGGCCAAGGAGTGAGGAGGAAACGCACGACGTGAAGCTCGACGGCGGTTGTTGGTGCGAGGTTGACGAGCTGCAGCCGCTCCGCCTTCGTCAAGTCGAATTCCTCGAGCTCGTCAAGCAGCTTGGAGACGGAAGCAGTCGTCTGCCGGCGCATGGGGTGGACGGATTCCTCGAGGTAGCGGAGGGCCTGTGCCGGGAGCGGGGTCAGCACGCTCGCCTCAGATCTCGAGCAAGGAACGCCAACACACCTCAAAGGTCACCGTATGCAAGTCTTGCGGCTGGATCCGCTCAATCTCGTCCCTCGTCCCAAACTCCTCCTTCCTGGGCCCGTTCTTCCTCGCGCGCTGCAACTCCTTGATCCTGCCCGCCCGCTCGTCCCGCTGATCCCGCAGGATCTGCAGCACCTCGTGGTTGCAGAGGAAGCCTGCCCGTTCGTTGAGCGTCTGTTGCGGGGTGGGCGAGATTGATGAGGATGGGAGAAGCGAGCGGGAGAAGTGTAAGCGCGACGGGAAGGCGCAGCGATGACTGGCATGGATCGACGCACCTCCATGGCGACCTTCGAGCCTGTCTAGCAAGCCAACAGAGCGGTTAGCGGGTGCAGACGCTGCCAGACCCTCCCTCGTCCTCCTCTCGCCTCGACCACCCGCTCACTTCGCTCTCACACGCTCTAACTGGCCTGGAAGGCAGCTTGACTGGCTTGAGACCCGCTATTTGATACCCTCCACCTCGTTCCAGCAACCATGGTGCGTTCCTCGAGCTCTCACCGCTCGCGCCGTCATCCCCCACCATCTCGCTCGTCGACCGAACGTCCCAACTGACCTTTCCCGCCGGAACGCACGAAGTCCAACACTCTCCGGCCGTACCTCAACGCAGTCCGAAGCACCCTCACAGCCGCCCTTACTCTCGAACCGTTCCCCTCTCAGCTTGTCGAGCGACACAATGTCCCCGAGGTCGAGGCAGGGTGAGTCGGCGACGCTCGGTTGCGCTGTGCTTGCGCTGTGCTTGCGCTGATAACTCGCGAGCGCGACGCTGCACCCATTCGTCGCCAGTACTCACACCTCCGTCCCTCGTCCCGCAGCTCCACGCCCGAAGTCCTCCTCACCCCCCTCGTGATCGCCCGCAACGCCTCCGAACAAGTCCTGATCGAGCCCTCAATCAACTCTGTCCGACTGAGCATCAAGATCAAGCAAGCAGACGAGATTGAGCGGATCCTCGCGCACAAGTTTACGCGGTTCCTCATGATGCGCGCCGAGGCTTTCGTCGTGCTGAGGAGGGTACCGGTCAAGGGATACGACATCTCGTTCTTGATCACGAATAGGAATGTCGAGGAGATGATGAAGCACAAGTTGGTCGACTTTATCATCGAGTGCGTCGCGCCTCACCTTCTCCCTCCTTTCCTTCACCGAGCTGATCTTTTACGTGTCCTCGCAGGTTCATGGAGGGTTCGTCAGCGCCCACACCCGCCCAAGCGAACGCTCGCTGACCGTTCGCACACACAGTTGTCGACAAAGAAATCTCGGAAGCCAAGCTCTCGATGAACGCACGAGCACGCATCGTCGCCGAGTCGTACCTCTCCGCCGTGCGTCCAGCTCACTTCCTGACCTTCGACTCGCTCGCTGATGCTCGCGGGATGGGCAGTTCGCATGATCTCCGTCGTCCCTCCCACTTTCCTCCATTGTTCCCACTCGTCGCCCGCCTCGCCAGCTGTCCAAGCGAGTACTGTAGATTCCCACCCTTCCGAAACGAAGCCACATTTGCTTCGAACGAACCGCGAGTCGCCGTTCAAGCTAAGAGCCTCGTCGCTCGTCCGCTCTCCTCTCAAGAGCCCCTCTCCGGACGCTGAGGAATCAATACAGCCATGCAGATTGCAAGTTGCGAGATAACCATCGTCCCCCTGCTTCTTCTCCTTCTTCTCCTCGCTCACCGCTTGACCCAAGTCGGCATCTTCCTCGACTTGACGTGTCCGGGTTTCTTGCGCTCGACCATGCGCGGGTCGCGGCGGATCAAGCCGGCTGGATCACATTCCCCACGTCAGCTCAGCTCCAAACCGCGAGAGGGAGAGGGAAAGGGAGGGGAAAAGGGGTGTGTGAACGCACCGCGGTCGAGGATCTCGCGATACGTCGTCTCCGGCTCGCTCCTCCTCCCCGCCTCATACTCGACACGTTCCCACTCTGCCAAAGCCTTACTAACCGCATTCGCGACCGCCTCGCTCTGCGCCGCGATTCCGGACCCATGCACGATCGCAAAGATGTTGAACGCGCCGACCGTGCTGGTGAGCGACAGGGGACGGACGACGGTTTGGCGGTGAGGGTCTTGCGTGAAGTAAGAGGCCAGGGGGCGGTCGTTGACTATGATGCGACCGATGGGCGGGTCCGAGGCGGCGTCGGAGGCAGAGGCAGAGGCGGGGATGATCCACACCTTCGCGTCAGACTGCTTCCTCCCGCCCGTCGCATACACGCGTCCAAACGCATCAACACGTCCCAACCTCCGCTCCTTGCCGACCACGCGCTCCTGGCCTCCCCCAACCTCGACTTTGCGGAACCTCTCCAGCAGCGTCTCGATCTGCGCATACAGGCCCTCGCCCGCGTCGCCCTTGACCGAGTCGACGAGGTCGGGGTCTGAGCCGGCGAGTGCGCGGCCGGAAGCGAGCGCGACGGGGTCGAGGACGAGTCGGGGCGTGCCGTTCGTCGCGAGGTTGTCTGCGAGGCGGTCTGCGATTCGGGCGTGCGGGAGGAGTCCTTCGAGGTTGGACAACAAGGTCGTAAGGCGGCGGTATTGGCGCGCTTTGAGCGGCCCGTCCGTCCCGATGTACGCCTTCATGTCGTCGGGCACACGCCATTTCCTCTCGCGCGGATGGGCGAGGACGGTCCTCCCCGCCTGCGAGTCGATTTCAGGGCTGGCTGCGTTGGCCGTGAGCGCGTCGGGATCGATGGAGCGGAGCAGTCCCTGGCGGAAGAGGTAGGCGCGCGACTGGACGAGGTTGCGCTCGAGGGACGAGACGGTCGCGTTGAAGGTCGGGCGCGCGGTGTACCACAAGTGAGAGGGGGGTTTGGGAGTTTGTCGGACCGGGCCCGCGGGAGAGGACTGGACGGGGAAGAAGGGCTGATGGTGCTGGTGCTGATGGGACGAGGTCGAGGCTGCGCGTGCGCCTGTTGCGGCGTTGCGCAGGGGCTGCCGTGTGCACTGCGCGAGTGCGGTCATCATCCGAGCCAGTCCCAGTCTACGAGAGTGTGAGCGAGAGCGTGTGAAGCGGTGAGCGGTGAGCGAGCGTTGCTGTGTCTGCCAGCTTCCCTCTCGTCGCTCGTCAGCTTGCCACGAGGACGGGTGTGCACTGGCTGTACCTGCACAGGCTGCCACGCTGTGACTACTCGAACCAGCGCAGCGCGACTCTGTCCCTCGTCGACTCGCCGCTCGCTCCACCTCGCACCGGCAGCTCGATGGACGTCGCTCTCTCTCCGCCTCGCTTTTCGTCGCTCGGCGTACGATGGCAAGGTTCTCGTGCGTCGGTGCAGTCCAGGCCAGGCCTCTGTGCGCCAGTTCCGTGTGTCCGGGGCGTGCGAGGGCGAGGCTGCTCGTCGTGTGGGCCTCGACTCGCCCGTGGCCTCGACCCGCTCGACCTCGCATCGACCCTCGAACAGGACTCGCTGCCCCAGCTCGCTGGCTCGCCCTCCTACGCTACAGTGCTAGAGTACATCTGCTCACACTCACTGCTAACAACACACTCACGCTCGAACCGAACCGAACGAGCGACGACAGCCACCCGGGCACAGAAGCTTCCGCCGCCGCTTCTCTCTGCTCGATCACTCGCCTCTCGCCGCGGCACTCCCTCTCGCTCTCTCTCGCTTGAGCAGCCACTCACACGAACAGCACCAGCAACTCGAACACCAGTCACCGCTTCGACACCCCGACGCAACGCCACGCGACTCGGCACCGCGACTTCCAACTCGCACAACCGCCTTTTTCCAATTGAAACAAAAGCAAGGCAGGCAGGCGGGTGCGTTCGAATCTCCATCGTCGTGTGAGGGGGAGCAGCGGGAGTAAAGCAAAGGGGGCTTGTTGGTCGTCGAAGAACGCGCTCGCTGACCACCGAGACTGGCCTTGCTTCTCCCGATCCACAGTTTCGCAATGAGCGACCCCTACGCCGCCGCCGTCTCGCAGGCGTACGACCACACCGGACTCGTCGTCTCGCAATCCGACGCGTACCCGCCCGTCCCAGTCTCGGTCGAACAGCCCTTCCACACCGGCTTGATCGCCACTTCTCCTCCCTACTCCTCCTCGTATTCCGCGACACTCGCCCCTCCTCCTCCTCCACCGCCGCATCCGTCGTTCTTTCGCCAAGACTCGTACGCCTCGGGCGGGACGTCCTCTTCCTCCGGCTCCACTCTCTCCTCCACCCCAAGCGACTCGCTCTTCTACCCCGCTCAAGCATCCTACGAGCCCTACCCCGCTCCCACACCTTACGCACCAACCTCTACGCCTTTCGTTTCCCCCACGCCGCCGACCGCGTCGCACCTACTCCAGCAGCACCAGGCGAACCAGCAGGCGTTCAGGCTGAGTCAGGCGAGTACTGCGCCGCTCGTCTACGGAAAGTACGCTGCGCCTGCGCCGGGAGGAGGGACGGGAGGGCCAGACTCGCCTTCGTCCTCGACGAACGACGCGACAGCCACTTCCTCCTCCCAAGCCGGGCCCTCCAAGTCTCCCATCTCCTCCTCCTCAGCCCCAGGTCCCGGCCCAGAAACCGACTTTACCCAAACGTTCTACGACCCGTTCAAAGTCAAGCACCGTCGGCGCACCTCGGCGCAACAACTTAAAGTCCTCGAACACCACTTCGAGATCAACCCCAAGCCGGATCTGGCGCTCAGGAAGAAGTTGAGCGAGATGTTGGAGATGACGCCGAGGGAGGTGCAGGTTTGGGTGCGTTCCGAGTTCTCTCTTTTCGCTTTCTGTGGGAGCGCGGGCTGATGGTGAGGGTGTGCGCAACGCAGTTCCAGAACCGCAGGGCAAAGGTCAAGAAGCTCAAAGAGCGAGCAGAGCGCGAAGCAGCCCTCTCAGCCGCGACCGCCGCCGCATCCGCCACCGCCACCGCCTCGTCTTCCTCCCTATCCTCCTCGGCCGACCAGCAACCGACGTACCAGCCTCTCCCCCCTCCTCCTCCGCCACCAGCGCACGGTTCACCCCAAGCACGAACGATCTACGGCTCGGACGTCCTAGCCGCGCGGAGGGGAAGCTCACCCGCTATGTTCTCGGGCCTTACCGCTCCCTCTTCCTCCTCCTCCGTCAGCCTCGACCCCTTCGTCCCTCACCCAACCTCTCAACCGTTCCTCCCTCTCCCTCCTCCACCAAACGGATTCGCCCCCTCGGGAGCGGGAGCGAGCGCCTACCCGAGCCCGGTATCGCTAGGCGTCCAAAGCGCGACCCCCTCGCCAAACGACTTTGTGCCGCTCGCAACGACAACGCAGGTTGCGGGTTGGGCAGTGCAGGGCGGGTACCTCGATGCGGTTCCTTCGCAATCGCACTCGCACGGCGCAGGAGGAGGAGGCGCAGGGAGGAGGTTCTCCCTCCCTGCCACGCACACATCCTACCCTTTCCTCCCGCCTCCCTCGCACCCTCATCCCTACGCCCCACCGCCACACGACTCGACCCCGCCGCAAGCACAAGCACAGGCGTACTACCCCTCCATCCCCATCCGCCCAGCTACCGCCGCACCAGCCCCAGCGACCGATCCCTCCGTATCGCCTTCCTCCGCTTCGAGTTTCAGCGGCGGAGGAGGAGGTGAGCAAGGAGTGTGGGGGGATCCAGCGAGCCAAGTATACGCAGTGGACCACCACCCGCATCACCAGCAGCTCTACGCCCCTCCCCCTCCTCCTCCGCAACGAACGACTTACGCACCCGCGCCGGACCCGTCGCAGCAGGTTGGGTGGGCGGATTACTCGCTCTCCCCGGCTCCGGCTCCGGCTCAGGCTCAGGTGGACGGGTATGCGTACTCGGCTGGGAGAAGAGGGTCGACGGTGGCGGGGATGGCGGTGATCGCGGAACATCATCAGCCTCAGCCTCAGTTTGGAGATGCGGTGGTGGGGAGACCGGCGTCGGGCGGGAGCGGAGAGGCGTAGAGTAGGACTGTAGGAGGAAGAGGCATTCGTTTCTCCGTCGTTGATGTTGTCTTGTATCAACTCCGCAATTCACCCATCAGTCCACTCGCACCTCGTCTTTTTTGCAAACGACTCGTCATACACGCCCTTTGCGTCGGTCCAGTCGAGCGAGAGACAGTCTCTCTCTCTCGTGCAAGAGGCGCAAGGAAGAGAGAGGGCTGACGGAATGCAACAATGAGGGCGGGATGTAAGACAACATACGGGAACCTTGGCAATGGGAGAAAAGAGAGGGTATAATCCCGTGAGAGAGGAAGACTGTCTATGAGAGGTGAGAGCGCGCTCAAACGCCAACGATCGACTTGCGCGGTGCGAGCGACGCCCGTCGTGTTGGAACAGGCGGAGGAAGCTCGTCCCGACTCGGTCCCAGCCCCGCTGCAGCAGCCGCTCGAGTCGACAACAGTCTCTGCAAGATCGGGCCTTTGCCTGTGCGAGTTGTCGCGGTCGGCGGAGGGGGCGGGAGGCGAGCGTTGTTTGAAGTGGGCTTCTTCAAGAAGGGCGAGGGGATGTCGTCGTCGTAAGGCGGGAGAGGCTGAGGAGGAGGAGCGCTTCGGACGATCCGTTCGGGACTCGACGCCTGGCGTTGGTGGTGAATCGTCGGCACGGGCGGCGCAGAGTGAATGGAGAATGTCGGGCTGGGGAGACCATTCCCTCCTGCTGCATGCAGGTTCGAGACGGAGACGGAAGTCGGGAGAGGAGCGGAAATGGGGATCGTGATGAGCGACGGCGAGCGGCGGGCTGCTTGGGCTGCGGCAGTCGCGCGGAGGTTGTCGTTCGACGCGGACATCGAGCGCGAGGGTGTCGCGAGCGAGCCGGCTGCTTGTAGGTTGTGCATCGACTTGGAGGCGAGGCGGCGGCGGAGCGAGGGTGAAGGGTTGTAGTCCTTCGTGGGCGTGTCGTCAAGGGACATGAGCGACGACGACGAGTTGACGCGAGGGAAGGGAAGCGCGCCGCTATGAAAGCAGAAATCAGACAAGCAGTCGCGCAGGAAAAAGCAACCCGCGCACCTCTGCCTCCGGTCGTCGAGCGGTCTCCGCGGGACCATGCTCGGCCTGCTCGCTACCCGCGCCACTACCTCCGGCTCGACACCCTGCACGGGCGGTCGGATGTTCTCCCTCTCCGCCTGCTCCCGCTGCTGCTGGCGATGGTACACCTGCGCCCGATGCGCCGCCCAAGCCTGAGCCAACTTCGCCTCATGATCCTTGACGCCTTCTTGCGCGCTTCGCAGGGCGTTCTCACGCGCGAGGATCGCTTGCTCGCGGGCGAGAACGGCAGACTCGCGCGCGAGGACCTCCTTTTCTCGCGCGGCGACATGCTGGTCGCGCAGTCGTAGTTCGCGGGAGCTGCGCGCGTTTAACAGTCAGCGAGCGTGAGGAATGGACTGTGGCGAGTGCACTCACGCTTTCCGCAGCTCGAGCACACGGACCTGCAACCGGACCGAGTCGAGCGCCTGGATCTGCGCCGTGTTTGGGCGGTGTTTGGGCTGCACTCGTGCGGCGTCAGCTCCACGTCCTCTCAGCGGAGAAGATTGAACGCACGTTTTGCCGGAGCATGGCCTTGACGACAGCGCCGAGGTGATTCCCGTAAGGCTTGGGGAGGTCGGGGATCTTGCCCTCGCGGATGAGGACGGCGAGTTCGGGCTGGGTTCGCGCTTCGTGAAAGGGCGGGCTGCAACACGACGCCATGAGCTAAAGCTAGATCCGAGACGGAAGACAGTGAACGCACTGTCCAGCGCAGAGCTCGTAGATCAGGCATCCGAGTGCCCAGATGTCGCTCTTGACGTCGTAAGGCTGGCCGTTGATCAACTCGGGCGACATGTAGTAAGGCGTCTGCACGCCCGATGTCAGCGAAGATCGAAAGGTCCGAGCGGAAGATGCACGCACGCCGACGTAAGTCTGGGTCATCGCCGCCTGCTCCATCGCCTTGCTCAGCCCGAAGTCGCCGAGTTTGAGGTTGTTGTTCTCGTCGAGGAAGACTGTGTGTGTCGAGCGTCAGTATGCGCGGGAGCTGATGCGGGATCGGACGCACCGTTCTCCGGCTTGATGTCGCGGTGGAGGATTACCGGCTTCCTCGCCCCCTTCGCGTCCGTCTCCGAGTGGCAGTCATGCAGCGCGAGCGTGATCTGCGTCAAGTACGCCCAGACGACGTCCTCAGGCAACATGCAACCGGTCTTGCGGCACCGCTGGATCACGCCCGCGAGGTCGCCTCCCGAACAGTACTCCATGAGGATGTAGAGCATGTTGTTGGGCTTGTCGACGAAGCGCTCGTAGTAGCGGACGATGTTGTCGTTTGAGCCGAGCTGTTCGAGGATGTTGCTGTGCCGAGAGAAGCGTGAGCGAGCGGAGGAAGGGAGGAAGCGAAGTCGGGACGCACACTTCCTCCGTCAACTGCTTCAGGTCCCGCTCGTCCATCCGGCCATAATTGAGCTCTTTCCGTGCCATCACCTGTGTGCCACGAAAGAAAAGGGTCAGCCCGCGAACCGCCTTGAACCCTCCCGCGAGGCTCGACGCACCTGGCCGTCCGCCTTCCTCACGACCTTCCGGATGATTCTGAGGATGGGCAATCAGTGTAAGCGGGGATTCACGCAAGGTAGCACGCTCAGCCATCCCAACGGAGCGGATGAGTACGCAGGCGAGCCAAGTTGAACGACCCCCTCACCCGAAGCTGCCAGTCCCAATCACGTCTCCCGCCTCGTAGCTGTTTCGAGCGCGCGCAACCCAATCAAGACACAGTCAGCTCTGCTCTGAGCTCTTGATCGAGCCCGCCGAGCGCGAGGCAAGCGCAACGTTGAGTGACCCCCTCGTCCCCGGACGAGAGACGCACCTCTCCTCCATCGAGCGCGCCGTGCAGACTGGGTGGTTGCCCAGTAACGTCTTGCGACGGGGTACGGGACCCGGGCGGGTCGAGCCTGGCGCGGTTGACGCCATGGCGGGTTTGGGGAGAGACGGGAGGACAAGCGCGAGAGGAGAAGGGGAGGAAGGCGGTTGTCCACGGAGGTAGCGGTTGCTCTTCCTCTCGGAGAGCGTAGATGGCTTGATAGAAAATCGTCTGTTCGTTGCAGACTTATTGAACCCAGAGTGGTGGAAAATGCTTCCGTCAAGAAGTGTGAATCGTCGACCTCATCCCCAGTCGGCCTTGCCTACCGCTTCTACCCTACTACTCCTACGTCCGCAAAGCTGTCTAGTGCGTCTAGAAGCAGAAGACGGCGTCCTGTGCGACGGAGGAAGCGTCGGCGAGGGAACGAGAGAAAGCAGGTGGACAAGGTCGGCGCACCTGCATCTTCGAGATGGTCCGCGGCGCCGGCCACTTGAGCTCGTCGAGGTGCTTCTTCATCGCGTTGATCATCGGAGGAGGGCCTACGAGGTCGAGCAGCGGGACGAGCAAGCGTCGAGTCAATAAAAGCGCAGTTTCGCGAGCCGGTACTTCCGCGACTCACCGCACAGCAGCGCCTTGTGGTCCTCAGCATGCGCAGGCAAGTGCTCCTCAATCATGTCCTTCGACACGAACCCAACGCCGCCCTTCCATCCCTCAGGCGGGTTGTTGAGGACGTAGTAGACCTTGAACTGGTCCGGGTACTTGGCCGCGAGCTCGTCGAGTTCGGCTTTGAGGAGGATGTCGGACTCGTTGACGTTGGCGTAAATCAAGGCGATGTTGGTCCGGTCGAGCGGGTTCTTCATTGCGGCGCGGATGATTTGCTGCGTGCGGGATCGTATGGGTGGTGAAGATGGGCGTCAGCAGCGACTCATCGCCGACGCGACATCATCACTGAACGCCCCGAACGCACCAGCATAGGCGTGATTCCCGTTCCGCCAGCAATCATGCCGATGTTCTTGGCAAAGTCGGGCGAGTAGCGCATCTGTCCCTTCGGGCCCTTGACATCGACATAGTCGCCAATCTTGAGCGTGCTAAAGTGCTTCGAGATGTTGCCCGTCGGGTAGCTCTGCGGTTGGAAGTACGGAAGGAGGAGTCAGTATTCCGGCGAACCGCGGGACAAGGTCGAGATAAGAGGGAGGAGAGGGCTGCGACGCGCGCCGCACCTTGATGAGGAGGTCAAAGAAGCCGACGTCGTCGTCTGACGAAGTCGGGGTGTACGACCGCTGGACGAGCTTGCCCTCGATCGTCGCAGAAACGGAGACGTGCTGTCCGATGGGGAGGCCGAGGATCTGCCCCTTTGGCAGCGCGAATCGGTAGCTGTGCACGATTGGAACGAGTGTCAGCTTACGGCGTCTGGAAAGAGGACCGGCGGGACTAGGGGAACGAACATGGCCGTGTTGGGCGAGATGGCGATCTTGTCAATCAGCTTGAAGCGCTTCCACTGCGTCGGGTCAAGGGCGGCCTTGCGCTCTGTGTGTACGACGTCCCGGTCAGCCTGCATGCGCCGCGGGATGTGTTGGGGGAGCGTACTCGGCTGAAGTTGGAGGAAGGCAAGGGCCGCGAGGACGACGCCGACGGCTGCGGCGAGGATGACCTGGTGCTGCTGGTCGAGGTCTTTCCAGACGGGGAGCAGTGCCATCGTAGCTGGTACAAGCGAGAGAAGGAGCGAGCGAGATGAAGGGGGACAAGGACGAGTTCGCCGACGATGGCAGGGGCATGCTGGACAACCGCGCATCGCTTCACTAACACCGGCTGGGCTACTTGCACGCTAGAACCACTTGATTAACCCCGTTCAGTCGACCCACGCACCCGTTCGAAGCGCCGGAGATGGTCGTCTACTCGTGCGCCTCCTCATCTCCCCACCTCTGCATCGCTCGAACTGACACACCGCGCGCACAGGCTCTACATCTACGACAGGCATTGCACGTGCTGCTTCTACGCCGACCTCACCCAGCGAGCCGCGCCCGAACCGGGGCCCTCTACTCTCCCTTTCGTGCTCCCTCCCTCGTCCAACTCCTCCTCGTCTCAGCCCAACACCGCGGCAAACGGCTCGCTCGACCCGTCAGACGATCGACCGCCGTACGATGTGCCTGATGCACACGCGAACGGCGTCAATGGAGCGGTAGTCGCGGGCGCGGAAAAGGGCAAAGGCAGGCTTGCCTTTGACGAGGAGGCAAAGCTCGTGTACGGCGTCGTCTTCAGCTTGCGAAACATGGTCAACAAGCTCTCCTCAAGGTGCGTGTGCCCACTTTCTCACGGAGATCGCGCTGAATGGAAATTCGTCTCAGAGGGGAAGAATCGTTCCACTCGCTCTCGACCTCGTCCTACAAGCTGCACTACCTGCGAACCCCGACAGCCTATCACTTCGTCCTCCTCTCCTCCCCACAACCGACTTCTCTCCGCCCGCTCCTTCGACAGATCTACACCGGCCCATTCAACGAGTGGATCGTCCGAAACCCGCTTGCACCGGTCGATACAGCGAAGGACGGGAAGGGGATCGATAATGCGGCATTCAGGAGAGCGGTGGAGAAGCTGTTGCAGAGTGCTTGAGAAGCGAGACTCTCGTTGTGCAAGGAGGAGTACTGCATCTAGGTTTCGCTTCGAGGGAGTATCTACGACGAGGCCTTGCTCGCTGCACCTGCTGCTGCCCCCGCTGCGACGGGAGGCGCACCCGCTGCGTACCCAACCTTGAAGCTGCGGGCGTAAGCGAGTCAGTAAGAGAAGCCGATGCAATGGAAGGACGCCCACTCACCCCCAGCCCTGCAACATCCGCACGACCTTGGGCGTGATAGCGAACGTGACGCCGACCCTGAACGGCAACAGTGCGGTCTTGTGAATCGCATAGGCCAAGATAGCCGTCGTCGCGAGCGCCGAGTAATCCTTCTTGCTCTCCTTGTCGACGGCCGCAACCGTCGCCGCGTCCTTACCCTCCGCAGCTGCCTGTGCCGCCTCGGGCGTCGGGTGCGCCTCAGGACCCTTGATGCGGTGCCGCGTGTGTTGGTCCTTGAACTCTTTGATCTCGTGATACGCTCGACTCAACCGCCCTTCTTCGCCGGGCACGGCCGCCTCGGGCGAGCGCTTCCACTTGAGCTGGTCGAGGACCCAGTCTTCGGCTTCTCGGACCCGGTCGGCTCCGACAGCGTAGATGACGACGAAGCAGAGGCCGAAGTCGATGGCTGAGAGGAGGAGGTAAACGGCGAGGGCAGTCCAGCCGTGTTTGCGGAAGAGGTACTTGATCTTTTGCGTGAGGGGGATCTTGGAAGGGTCTTCGGAGGACGAGGAGGAGGATGAGGAGGACTGGCCGGAGGAAGAGGAGGAGGACGACGAGCGTGAGGACTGGTGAGAGGAGGACGAGGTCGAGTTGGGGGCTAGTCGGACCGCAGAGCTCGCCAGCCCTCTTCGGTGCAGCGCCAGTCCGTCAAACGCCGTCCGTTGACTCCACTGCACAGTCAAGGCGGCTGCTTGAGGTGGTCGCGGTGCAGAGAGGGCTGTCCGAACCAAGTGCGATGAGGACGTCGACGAGAAGTTGCGGAGGGCGGCGGGGGAGACGAGGGCGGTTGGTCGCGCAGCAGAGAGACGCAGAGCGGGTACTCGGTGCATTGTGAGCGTTCAGTCGAGCCTCTTGAGCTGTGTAGTGAGCGGTGGAAGCGAGAGAGCAGTTTGCCGAAGTGGTTCGTCCTCGACGGCTCACCAGCACGCTCTGAACAGCTCGTAGGAGTCTGCGCTGGCTTTGACAGGTCGGCAAGATGGCTCCTATGCCGCACAAGCTTCTTCCAGCGGCGATCCCGACCCTCCTTCTCATCCAACACCTCGCAACCTCGTCCCTCGACTCTCCCGAGCCCCACCTCGACCACCTCCTCGCTCTGGCGCTCGAGTGCACGCTCGAGACTGGTCCACCAGTGTCCCTGAAGGCCTGGCTGGGCAGGGCGAGGGGGGAAGACGCGAGTGAGGGATTGTTGGCGGTTGTCGACCATGTCGAGGGAGCGGTAAGTGTGCGGGGACGAGCATCTTTCGGTGGTCTGCGGGACACCGCGAGCTGACTGATGCATGCGGCCCTCGTGCTCATAGACTCGCCGGCTCGCAGCCGGAGGAATGCTTCATACCTTGAGCTGGTTGACATCCTGTGCGTCCCTTCGCCTCTCTTCTCATGTTTGTGTGCTGATGTATTTACTGTCACAGTACTAGAAGGCTTCTCGCTCGTCGCGCCGTCCGAAGACGACGAGGTGCGGCCTGCAATTCCCCTCCTTCGCATCCTCGCTGATTCACGCATTCACAGCTCGCCATGTCTACCGATCCACCGCCTCTCCTCCGCTCCTCCCACCTCGGCATGTACATCCGGCGACTAGGTATCGTGCTCTCGAAGCTCACCTTCGAGGAGACTTGCGCGTGGTGGAAAGACTTTGTGAGATGGATGGAGGGAGAGAAGGCGGGAAAGAGGCGCGAGGTGGATCCGTGAGTCTCGCCACTCTCGTTTCAATCAGCTCGTTTGACGAAGAGATGCGGCGCAGCTTCGCCAAGGCTCGGCTGCGGCAAGACTTCCACCTCTCGCGCGAACTCGTCCGGACCTTCGCAACGAATGGCAACGGCGAGTACGTTACCTCGCTTCCCGAGTCGTTCATGCATTCGTCCTGACATGTGTGTCGGCGTTCAGCGTCTCGCCTCAGCAAGCTCTCCTGCATCTTGCGCTCGTCGAGTACGAAGACGCAGGATTCGCAGAGGCTCGGATGGTACGTCGCCGTCAGTCCAGCTTGGCAGCTCGACTGACGCTTGTATCTTCCTTTGCAGGCCCTGGACGAGGCGACGCATATCGCTCGAACGGTGGTGGACAAGGCATGCCTCGCTGAGTGCACCAGGTGCGGTTGTCCGTGCTTCTCCCTCCAGTCGCTTAGGGACTGACCTTTGCCTCCGACTTCAGTCTGCGCGCACGTCTTGACGCAGCTTCCCCGCCAGCTGCGCAAGCCGCAGAAGGCCAAGCGACCGCCTCGGAAGCGAACGAGCTGGCCGCCGACTCGCCGCACGACTTGCTCTGGGAGATTGAGCGTAGAAGGCGGAATGTACGTAGCTCACGTCTAGAACTACGACGGATGAAGCTGACGCCGGGTCACACAGGGCGACCCCATCGACTCCCTCTTCCCCCTCCTCTACACCTCCCAAGCATCCTACCAATCCTACCTTTTCCCTCCAGTTCCTCCTCCACCCACCACTCGTCAGCCGCAAGACGAAGCGGAGAAGGAGAAGAAGAAGGCGCAGAAGTTGGCGGGCGAGCCGGATCCGGATTGGGAGACGGGGTGGCACGCAGCGGCGGCTGGGTTGTGGGAAGAGATGGGTGAGTCATGCATCAACAGCCGTTTCAGTCCATGAGCTTTAGGGCCCCCGACTGATGTACGAGATCGCTGTCACCAACAGGCATCGACTCGCTCGCTGAACTGCACGAATCGCTCGCCCTCGAATTTATCGACCCGCTCAAACCAAGCTGGGACACCAAGCTCTCCATCCTCTCTCGGCAAGCGCAGAGGGTACGCTTCGTTCCCGCCTCGTCGTCAATGCGCGTCGGGCTGATCCGTCGCTCTGCGCTCGCAGCTCTCCTCGCAGAATCGGCATGCGGCAGCCCTCCAACTCCTGCTCACTGCCGTTGACACGCGCGAGAAGCGCGAAGGGATGGGTTTAAAAGAGGTGAGGGAGTGGCGGGAGATGGTGTGGACCGTTGAGCGGGACTGGGCAAGAAGGGCGTGAGTTCCGGCGTCAAGTTGGTTTGCCCTTGCGGGGTGGTATCGCTGATCTGCTTGGTGTTGTTGATTTTCAGCGGCAGGAAACACGACGAGCAAGCTGCGCAGCGGTTTCTCAGCCGGCCAACTCTCTCGGCAAATTCCGACGAAGTCAGTCTTCGTGTCGCTCGACTGGGACCTCAGCTGATGCGTTCGTTCGCAGGACGCACCCCTTCATACCCGCCTCTCGCAGGCCTACACAACCCACCACCGCGCCACTCAAGCTCTCTCGACCCGCACCCGCCTCACTTCTCTCCTCGACTTGATCGAGCTTCGCCTCGCTTCCGCCGGCCCAGGCGCGACCGCCGAAGCCGAGCGAGGACTGCAGGAGCTGGAGAAAGTGTGGGTCGAGGTGCTTGCGTTGCAAGAGGAGGGTGAGGGAGAAAGCGAGGAGTTGAGCAGGGCGAGGGAGGTCAAGGCGACGCTGGAGATTGTGCTGAGTGCAGGAGAGGGTGAGTCTGGTCTGATGTTTGCTTTGCTGCCACGAGATGCGATGGCGCAGTGATTTCGTCAATCGTCGGCCTCGCTGACTGTCCCCTCTCTCGCAGACTCTCGACTTCCGCCGATTGTCGAAACCCTTGAAGGGTTTCTGCAGAGTACGCTTAGGTCCTGCACATCCTCTTCCCTTCCCTCTACTGACGAATCAATTCTTCGTCAGACTACCTCCGCCTCTCGCTCCTCCCGTCCGTCCTCCGCGTCCTCGACACGCTCACCCGCCTCGCCGACCACTTACACCTCGCCGCCACGGACGCCAGTCAGTCCACACAATGGCGACAGCGAAGAGACCAGTTTGCAACGCGGTGGATCGAGCTGGACGATGCACTGGCCGCTGGGACGGGCATCGAGCAGGACGAGCTGTCATCGAAGGAGCGTTGGGACAAGCTCGCTCGCATCGTCGAGCAGGTGACGAAGGCTGTCGAGATCAGTATTCGGTAGTGCAACGCAGCGCGCGTCTCTCTGGCTTGCGGACGCCTGCACGAGGATAAACGGCTTGGAAGAGGCGATTTACAGGACGGTGGTGCGGAGGCAATGCGGATGCGGCGTGGGGGCGTGCAAAGGGTATGTGAAAGACAACAGTGCGCGAATATCGTTGCGCGGAAAGAGGGAGGCGAGGCGAGTCTACCGGGGCATGTTGGCGCGGGCGAGGTGGTAGTTGATGGACGACACCCGAGGCTTGCCCTTAGGCATCTGTGGCATGGCAAGACAGTTCTCGTCAGCTTCAGCGCGGCCCTCCCGTCCCTGCGAGCCTCGCGAACGCACCGGCTTGCGCATGCACTCCTGCAGCCGCAACATGGCCTCGCGGCACTCGCGCCCGCTGGTGAGGTCGCCGCTGCTCGCCCAGCAGCCAAGCATGGTGGTGAGCTCGAGCGCGCACGGCGCAACGTGGGCCTGCTTGCGGGGTTTGACCTTGTACTGGTGGTCGGGAGGTGGAGCGACGGAAACGAACGGTCAGCTCGGGCTCGTTCGCGCGCGAGTGAGTGGACTGTACGCACCTTGTGAATGTGCATCCTGGCAGCCGCGAGTCCTCCCGAGCGAGCGAGTGCGAGTCGGCGTGTCCAGTGTTCGCCGACGAGCTGAGACCGCTGGTCAACCTCCCGCCTCTCATTGCTCTCGTGCTCAGACTGCTTCTGCTGGATCATTGACGAGCCAGTGTTACTCTATCGACTCGTACAAGCGCACCCCGACTCGTCCCGCGCGGCCAGCCCACCTCCTTCACCTCATCTCGCTTCCCACCCCCGCCACCTCTCCCTAGCCCACAATGTGCGTTAACTCCGCTTGCTGGGGATCCGGGACACTGAGCTAACCCGCTGCACCCCCCAGGCCCCAGAACGAGTACATCGAAGAGTCCATTCGCGTGCGTTCACCTCGACTCGCTTGCATAGCCCCCTCCATTAGCTCACCTCGCTCTCCTCCCGCAGCGCAATGGTCGCCGTCTCGACCACGAGGAGCGTAAGCGTAAGCGCGCAGCGCGTGAGGCGCACAAGGCGTCGCACGTCGCGCAGACGCTCCACGGACACAAGGCCAAGATGCTCCACCAGCGCCGCTACGCCGAGAAGGTTGCGATGAAGAAGACGATCAAGGCGCACGAGGAGCGTGATGTCAAGGCCAAGGACGCGTCGGCCATGCCCGAGGGCGCCCTCCCGACCTACCTCCTCGACCGTGAGGGCCAGAACGACGCGAAGGCGCTTTCGTCGGCGGTCAAGCAGAAGCGCAAGGAGAAGGCGGGCAAGTTTGCCGTGCCTTTGCCCAAGGTCAGGGGTATCGCGGAGGACGAGATGTTCAAGGTCATCAAGACGGGCAAGTCGAAGCGGAAAGGGTGGAAGCGCATGGTTACCAAGGCGACGTTTGTTGGCGAGGTGCGTCCGCGTCAATCTAGTCTGCTCTGCGTGTGCCGACAGCGTTGCTCGCGCAGGACTTTACCCGGAAACCGCCCAAACTCGAGCGATTCATCCGTCCGTCGGCGCTGCGAATGAAGAAGGCGAACGTGACACATCGTGCGTCCTTCTCAGTTCCGTGCTCTCTGCGTTTGACTGACGTCTTCTCTCGCAGCCGAGTTGAAGGCGACGTTCCAGCTGCCCATCATTGGCGTCAAGAAGAACCCGCAGTCGCCGATGGTAAGTCCGCTCCCGTCTTTCGGCGCTCCTTTCTCCCGCTTACATTCGCTTCCTCTGCAGTACACACAACTTGGTGTCATTACCAAGGGTACCGTTATCGAGGTCAACGTTTCGGTATGTTCGTCTCCGCCTTCCCGGCTCCCGCCGGCTGACCTCGCTTTCTGCAGGAACTTGGTCTCGTCACTGCTGGCGGCAAAGTTGTTTGGGGAAAGTACGCGCAGGTTACGAACAATCCTGAACTTGACGGGTGCTGCAACGCACTCCTTCTTACGTGATTTTTGCGCGGAAAAAGTGTTGGAAACACGCGGAGGAGGACGACCTGCGTCGTTATAGCGGACGCACCTCGGCCCCTGACACCCGTCGTCTTCCGCCTCCACTTCCCGCACCACATTTCCGTCTACACCCCCCGCCTACGACTTTCAGCACTCCCTACCGCGACCGCCAGCGGTTGTCATTCTCAGTTGTCCCCGGTTTCCTGAGCTGTACCTCTCTCCTTCCACTTTCTTTCCCACTACTGCGGCATGTTATACCATCACAGCATCGTTCTCCACATTTCTGGCTGCGCAAGAAGAGCGAGACGGCGAGAGCAGAGCGATTGCGAGGAGAGTAGGATCTGCTGCGGCAAAGATTCTCCGCTCACCAGCTGCAATGCCCGCCCGTCCCCTTCGACGCCCTCAATGTCAAGTCACCGTCGGCGCCGCGGGAAGCGGTCATCACCCTTCAGGCGGCTGTCGAGCGAAGATAGAGACTTTCTCGCCCCAGGCGCCTGCTCTGCCCAACTCACGCTCACGACGTCCAACGAATCAGACGAACCATGCATTGCGACCGCGAGAGGAACCGACAAAAGTCACATGTCCCTGAATCCTCTCCTTCTGACGGAGCGGCTTGAGGAAGTCGAGGATCTCGCGCAGGCCCGCCTCGTCGCCAAACTGCAGGAGCTGCTCGCTGTAACGGGTCGTCCAGTCGACACTCGCGCGGATCGAGTCCATCAAGGCTGCGGGAGGCTTCGGGACCCTCGCCCGAGGGGTGTTGCCGACGAGAAGGTCGATGTGCTGCGGCCGCTCCACCTCGAGGGAGACATCGTGCTTGTCGCACCATTGTTGCAGCTTGTCCTCGTTCTTTGTGGCGAAGTGCGAGGGTAGGACGAGGCAGAGCTCCGCGTCTTTCGGGAGGCCGGGGCCGGGTGGCAGCGTCTCGGCCAAGTCGACAACCGCCTGTGTCGTTGAGATGATGAAGAAAGAGACCGCGCCGAGTTGCGGAAGCTGAAGGTGCGGAAGAATGCGCATGATCTGCAAAGGGCCCACAAGGTCGAGGTACTTGAGCTCCGGCAGATTGAAAGTAGAGTCCGCTTGGATGTCCCCGAAGTTGACGTCGTGCGCCGTGTAGATTGCGAGATGTATCAGCTGCGGCATGGCCTTCCTGGCGAAATCGAAGACCTTGATCGAGCGAGCGCTAACTTTGAAGGTGCGCAGCGCTGGGAACTGCAGCTCCGGCACCCAGTCGTCGATATCAGCAAACCAGGTAATCTCAGCGCTTGATGAGTCAACCAAATTCAGCGAGGTCAAGCTCGTGAACTTGCGCGCAATCTGCGCGAGCCCTTCCGCCGGTCTGACGCTCCATCGGTACATGGTTGTCCCGCAATCAATGCCCTTGAGGCGAACGAGCGACCCCGGGTGCGAGAAGATCGAGAGCCAAGCCGTAACGGGCGTGACGAGCTTGTTGTAACTGCGGATTATCAGGACTTTGATGCGCGGGCGGTTGGCCTCGAAAGCCTCTTGCGCGAGTTGGCGCGCGGCGCACAAATCGGCGGTGGACCCATAGTGTTGCGCGTAGTCGGGCGAGATTGGCAGCATCGCCGGGACGTCGAGTTGCGAGAGGTTGGCGAGCTGGGGCAGACGCTCGGCAGCTGCGAAGAAGTCGGTCTCGCCGGTCTCGCGCAGGTCGAGTCGCTTGATCCCGTCGAGCATGGCTTGCGTAATGCGGCCGAAGCGGAAGATAGGCTTCGAGAAGTACGAAGGCTTGGCGACCTGGAGAGCGGTGAGTCAGCAGCGGACCTCTCGCGAAAGACAAGCGGACGAGGAAGAACGCACCGGGCAGAGAAGCGGAAGACAAAGCTCGCGCAATCGCTTGTTCTGGATCGAGAGGGCGTTGACGCCGCGGCCGTACCACCAGCTGACGGTGCCCGGGTCGGCGCGCACCTCTTCGTTCTCGTCGTCGCTCTCGCCGTGATAACGCACTCTCCTCGAAGTCGGCAATGACGCCGAGCGGGCAATGCTGTCCTTCCTGAAGCACTTGTCCTGGAAGGCGACCATCAATACGATGTGCTTGAGCAGCTCGGTCGGCAACCTGTCAAAGTGGCATGGGGAAGGCGGCGGCGCGGGCATGTCGGGGATGGAAGCGGGAGAGGAGAAGTCGAGGGAGGCCATGCGGGCGGACGCAACTGAGCGACGTCGACTCGAAGAGCTTCTGGCAGTGACTTTGCAAGCAGCAGCACTATTCAGGCGCAGCGAGCGCGACCGGAAGTGAACGGGAGGAGGGAGAGAGGCAGAGACGAGTCTCTCGCTCTCGCAACTCGCTCGAGTCGGACTGTGCACCTTGCTGAGCTGCTTATAAGGCCCCATTGTATCGTCTCAACCGGCCGGTGACCACCTTCACCGCCTTCGCCCAGTCGTCTCCTCCTCATCGCAGTCGCGACTGGCGGGTTCGCTTCCTACCCTTCACAACGCTTCGCAGGGATAGCTTGCCAGCGCTGAAGGCTCCTTTCTATCCATTGAACGTGCTCGAGCTTCGACGGACGGTCCACCTGATACCTCTCCGCCCCCCTCCCGCGCCATGTCCTCCTCGAAAGAATCGTCCCCGAACAGCGATGCCGGTGCGCGGGACGGGCTGCAAAGCTCGCCAAAGCACCGACTCGAAGCGCTGCCGGCCGAGCTGCTCAAGCTCATCATCTTGCTCGTCAAGGAACAAGACGAGCGTCTCGAAATCGTCGCCCATACCGTGTTCTCGCCTCCTTGGCGCACAATAGTGCGAGGGAATGGACTCAGCGCCTTGTCCTCGACGTCCAGACGGCTGCGCGAAGCCGCCCTCCCGTTCATGCGCGAGGTGCGCTACCAGTCATTTCCCTCGCTCGTCCTTCGTACTGAACCCTCCAATTCCAGGTCGTCCGTCCACGCCAGCTCACGCACCCACTTTTCCAGCTTGGCGCTCTCCCCCCGGCACTTCTTAGCGGTGTGCGCAAAGTCAATTGCTCTGCCATCAAGCGCGAAACGCTCGCTTCCCTCGTCGCCGGTCTCAGCGTGTTGCCCAACCTCGAAGCAATCGACATTAGCAATGACACTATGTTGTCTCTCACTCGACCACGGTCTTCGGCAGAGGTGGCGGGTTACGGCACTGCCCGCGAGCTTGCAGAAGTTCCGGGCGAGGTCATCAAGAACGCCTTTCGACGCTTTCGCTCGCGTTGGCGCTCAGTCACGTACTTGTACGCGTCGGAGTCCAGGATGGAGCGCCAACTCGAGCCGTTCTGCGACCCGGCATCCATAATACGGCTCGAACTCTTCGAATTCACGCTGGCCGGCGCAAGCCCGCAGCCTCGGCTCGCAGCGCTCAGTCAGTACCGACACTTGACCTCACTGAGCCTGTGCTTCTGTGGCAACGAGATATCCCTCGTCACGGACGTCCCAAGCGTTGTCCAACTCCCCGCTCTGCGGTCGTTCGAGATCGGCGGGTACTACCCCGAAGTCATCCCACTGGCGCAGCAGATGGCGCCAAATGTCGTCGACTTGCGCATCGCTTTCCGTCGGTCCGACTTAGATGCCCCTCCCGTCGCTCTCCATCTGCCGCGTCTTCGCCGCCTGACGGTCGAGATGGCATGGCCGGCCGCCACCCTTCTGTACGCCTTCACCAAGTGCGAGCTCCAGTCTCTCAACTGGATCGAATACGGCCACGAAGACGAGATCTACGTCGACTCAGGCCAAACTCCTGCCGCCTTCGCCGTTCCCCTCGTCAGCGAACTCCCTGCCTCGCTTCGGACGATCACCTTTGAGCCGGACGACGGCCGCCTCTACCAAGGCATGGACAACGGCTGGTCGGACGACGACATCGCCGCGCTCGCCGCGAAGTGTGCCTCGCGAGGTGTTACCTTCGACGTCAAGCCTTATTCGCGCGTCAGGACCGGATATCGCGTGTTCACGGAGAAGCCGTTAAGCTGGGCGTCCAACGCAGAGGAGGTCTGCGAGAAGAAAGGGGCGTCATTGCGCGACCTCTTGGGATGGGCGACGAGGCGAGTCCGTTGGCTCGAGCAGACGGGCGACATTGCGGGCATGCGCGAGATGGTTGAGATGCTCACGGAACTCAAGCAGCGGCAGGTCCTCGAGGAGGCGTAGTGGAAGTGCAATGCGCGGATGTCGGAGCTGCACTTTTGCGCGAGCGAGCGAGCCAGGTTGCGAATAGCGAGAGAGTTGCCGCGAGTAGCGACAGACTTGCCCGCTTCTCCTCTCGGCGAGACGTCTTGCGAGCGAAGCGTATCCTGCTCAGTAAGAAGACATTCGCAACAGCTCGAAGAGGCGGGTAAAGGGAGAGAGCAAAGGCAAAAGGGGGTCACTCTACGTCTAACGCCACTCGGCCAAGAAGTGCGCCTTCGGGTCTTTAGGCTGTGTCGGCTGAGCGAGTCAGCACCCAGCAAGCGAGGTGACCAGACGGAGAGACGCACGATGTCGTTCAAGGCGGTCAGGGGACCGTTCGGCTCGCTGCCCTTCCTCGCGCTGTGAGGACCCGTCTTGGGCTCCTTTCCCGCTGCCAGGTCCTCGAGGATCTGGACCATCGACTCGGGTGTCAAGTCCTCCTGCGAACGGACAGCGTGAGCTTGAAGTAGACGGGAAGGAAAGGAGGAAACGCACGTAGAACTTGTCGTTGATCTGAACCATGGGCGCGTTCGAGCATGCGCCGAGGCACTCGACCTGCACGAAGCGTTTCATCAAATTAGCACAGCGCTCAGGAAAGCCTGACTGAGGGCCGCACCTCGAGCAAGGTGAACTTGTTGTCCTTCGAGGTCTCGCCAACCGAGATGCCGAGGTGGTTCTCAATCGCCCCGACAATCTTGTCCGAGCCGCATCCGCCGAGCATGCAGGGAGTCGTTGTGCAGATCTGGACAAAGTGCTCGCCGACCGGTTCCCTGTGAAGAAGAGGAGTAAGGATAAGCGGCTGATGGGTCGTGAGGAAGTCGCGGGAACGGACCGGTTGAACCTGCGGTCGCCAAAGGGTGTCAGCATGAACTTCAAGCGGACTGTAAGGGAGAGGGCGGGTACGCACATGGTGTAGAACGACGCAACCTCGTACACTCGCATCGGGGGCATCTCGAGGATCTCGGCGACGTGGTTCATGACAGAGATGCTCGTCCAGTTCTTGTTCTGCTTCTGTGCGACCTCGAGCAGGGGAATCACGGCCGCCTTCTTGTACTGAGGCGGGTACTTTGCGATGATCTGCTGGGCAATCTTCTGGTTCTCCGCGTTCAGCTTGAAGGGGATGTTGGGGTTGTTGTAGGACGAGTTTCGGTGCTGTTACACGCATGGCGAGCCAGAACCGCGGTCAGCCTGCGCCGTGACGAGCGATCGCACCGTGCCCGACTCTGCGACGAGGAGGAGAAGCGAGGACGCACGACCATAAGCGCGTCCGACCCCGCGCGCGCGGTGGACGAGAACTGGCGAGCCTGTCGGCTAAACAAGCGGGCAGCGTGCTTCATCGCAGCGGGTGGACGACTTGGTGAGGAGCAGAGGGCGAGCGGAATGAGGAATCGGCTCGCGAGGGTTGGCCGGCGTCGTCTCCAGCTCGCACGGGCTGTGGCTGCCAGGGAGTGCTTTGTGTGTGCTTCAGACTGCTAGCGCTCGCTACAGAACCGTCCAGCCGACTCCCGCGGCCGCCCCGTCTCGCTTGCTCCTCCTCGACCCGCACCGCTTCTCGACTCGCTCCAGTCCTCGTCACGGCCACTGACGGGGTCCAGCATGTCCGAATCGCTCGTGGAAGCCGCGCACAACTCGCCTACGTCGGGGAAGAGGACTCTGGTCGACCTCCCATCAGAGGTTCTCTCGCTGGTTTGCGCCGAAGCACGAAGGCAAGACGAGCGGTGGATCCAGAGCTCCTCCGAGTGGGACTGGGGTAAGTGGTCAGGTTGTCGCACACAGCTAACGGGGGCTGACGCGAAGCTCCCGCAGGCGACGAGCATCTCGGCCGCGGTGCCCGTCGGACGCTTGACCTTTCCAAGGCGAAGGGCCGTCGCGAGTTGTATGAACCCGGCGAGTGGCTTGGACGCTCGCTCTTCGCGCTCTCGCTCGTTTGCCGGCGGGTACGAGCAGCGGCTCGACCCTTCTTGTGCGAGGTGAGCCTTCATATCCTCCTCTGCCAAGTCGTAGCTTACAGCTTGCCTTGCAGAGCATTGACGAGTTCCACATCGGCAAGCCCGTCTTCCGCATTGGCGCCTTGCCGGCCTCGCTCGTCAACTGCGTCTCCCATCTCTCGATCGGTTCGGGAGGTGCGGCGGAACTTGTCAACGCCATCCAAGCCATCCCGATGCTCCCTTCTCTCACCCAGTTCACACTGAGTCTCTCCGTCCTCGGCGCCCACGACCCGATGCACTTCCTCCCGAGCACGGCCATTGATGCAGACCTCTTCGAAGCTCTCCGCGCTAGGCTCGCTTCGATCCCGCATCTCGCGTTCAAATACGTGACGGACGCTTTCCTGCCGATGGTGAAACGTTTCTTCAGCCCTGCGTTGCGGCACCTCGAGCTTCACTCGCAGGTATACTACGACGAGCTGACCGTGCAACTCGGCATCGTTATGAGATACGGCGGCAAACCTCCAGGCTTCTTCGACTTCTGGCCAAACCTGAAGAGTCTCGCGCTCAGCAGTGGCGCCCTCGGCGACTACATACTCGATCAACTTGTCGAGACTCACATTCGCCTCCCGAACTTGCGCATCGCCGACGTTTCGCTGTCGACTCTTCGCGCCGTACCTGTCATTGGTTGGGTCGCACCGAGCCTGACGGCGCTAAGCTTACGACTGCCTCATAGCAACGTTCCCATCGTCACCGTTACCGGTCATCCCGGAGCCTTCCAGCATGTCGAAACTCTCGAACTCTTCGGTCCGCGCGGACTGTCTTCCGCCGTTTCCTGCTTCTCGACTAGCTCACTGCGACATCTTTCAATCACGCTGTCCGACGCTGACAGCCCCGATCCGGGCACGCCTGCCGATTTCCTCCATCGCGAGTCGGCAGTACCCATCCCTCCCAACCTTCGCTCCGTCTCTCTCCACAACATCGCCTCCCCCCCGCCCATTGACTTCATCGCCTTCCGAAGCAGCCTCGAAGCGAGCAACGTCTCGCTCGCGGCGCGGCCGAGGGACTTGAAGCTGATTGCGGAGGACTGCGCGCTCAAGGACGAAGCGAACGAGCTCGCGATGAAGGGGGTTCGTCTGTGCCGTATCAGGGAAACGCTTCAGTGGGCTATGCGGCGCTCAGAGTGGTTGTCGGCGCTTGGCGATTGGAAGGGGCTCGACGAGCTCGAGTGGGCGTTGGAGAGGATGGGCGACGTTCAGGACCGGTTCGAGATGTAGTCGTTGTCCATCTGTCGCTTATAATGTCACAGCGACGTCAAGAACGAGCAAGTTAAGAACTCGACGGGGACCCGCGCCAGAGCGACTCGCTTGTTGCGCGCTCTCCCTCCCTTCGAACCATTGCTGCGTTCCGCGCGTCTGAAGATCGCTCAGCCCGCACTTAGTCCCGCAGGACCCGCTGCTCGTCCTCGGCAGTGCCTCGAATTTTCGACTACGACAGCTGCTGAGACTCACCGACACTACAACACATACGACGATCATGGCCGGCCTCAGCGCGCGGCGTTCTGTAAACAGCTCGCCAGGTTTCGACACCTCTGGTCACTCAAGTTCGAGGATGGTTCTCTCGCCAGCAACTGCGTCATGAGTACCCTTCCGATGGACGAGCTCAGTTTCCCGTCCTTGAGGATCCTCAGGATTGAGGTCAGTCGCGTCACGGACGTGCCGAAGATTAGTCAGCTCGCCCCTCAGCTCTCACACCTCTACCTGCCATCGTCCGTTGCCGACATCGTCGACGACCCTACTCCCACCGCTGCACCCCCTTCCGACTTCTTCATCCATATCCAGTACCTCGAACTCCATGGGCCACCGCTTCTCTCTGCTGCCCTCCGATACTTCGCCTCGTCGCCTCTGGAGTCCCTGCACATCCGCCTGAACGGCGGCGACCACTTTCAAGAGCGCGATCATCTCTTCGCTTCCGGACTCTCTTTCAACCTACCGGCGGCGTTGCGGGACGTATGGTTGACGGGCGCCGATCTACTGGCCGACGACGCACGGCGACTCTTCATCCAGCGCTGCGCCGCGATTGAGGGACACGTCGTCATCGACGACTTTTGCATTCCACGGCCGTCCGAGCCCGTGGCAGGAAGCCAGGCGGGCGAGACGACGGACGAACAAGACGCGGCTCGTATCATGGATGCGGGCGCCGCAGAATCCGAGATGCGGACCGACAAGGTTATGTGGATGGTCGACGCGCTGTGCAGTCGGGCGGACTGGCTCGTAGAGGTCAAGGACGATCATGCGCTGCGCAGCCTGGAGAAGGCGCTGAAGCTGGACAGGCTGTGAAACGATTGAACTTGGGTACATAGCAAGACTCGTGCGAGCGGTTCTCGGAGAGTTGCGGGATGCTATGGACCTTGTTACATTGCAAAACCGGAGACGCTGAACCCAAGATGAAAAGAAGAGGCTACAAATGCGCCGAACCATAATCAGCGCCTGTCCCGACATAGTGCTCAGGCCCTACCAACCCACCACCTCCGAACCAACCGCCCTCCTCGCACTGAACACGCCCTCGGGATCCCATGCCCTCTTCGCCTCCATCAACCTCTCGTAGTTTTCCGCGCCATACCAAACCTTCTGCCAGTCCGCCTCGTAGTAGTTACTCTCGGACGAGTAGGACGCCTGGGGTTGGCCGAGGGAGGAGGCGAGCGTGCCGAGGGCGAGGGTGTGAGAGGTTAGGTAGGTCGAAAGGGAGGAGATGGTAGAGGGAGGAGCGGAGGAGGGCCAGGAGATGGGGAGGTCGATGTGCCTGCGAACGCAATCGAGCTCGTCAATACGCGGTTCTGAAGTGGAGGAGAGAGGAAACGCGTAACGCACAGGAGAGCGGTCCTCCAGCCAGGATTGACAGACGAAGGGAAGTCCGGCTCCTTCTCGACCGCGCCGCCCGCCACTGCAAGCACCTCAACGTCAGCGAGATCCAAATGCTTATCGTACGAGCTCAGCGCACCGAGGTGAACGATCGCGGGACTCGGCGAGTCGGCGAGGAAATTGGCGAGATCGTCCGCTCGTTGCTCGACGACGTCCTTCGGGACTAGCCTGCTGCCAAGGAGAAGTGGAATACCGACTGCGTCGAGCGACTGAAGGGCGTTGGTGAACGCTGCGAGGTGAGAACAATCAGCCTGCGCTCGTCAAGAAGAGGCGAAGGTAGACGCACGACCGCTCCACAACTCGTACCACGACTTGGTCTCGACAAACTCCCAGTCAATGTCGATGTTCGGATCCGCGGCGGAAGCTTCGAAGATTGGCGTGAAGAGGTCCTTCGCGAGCTGGATGTTGTCGGAAGGGAGGATGTAGGCGAAGGGCGTAGGCTCCGGTTTCCGCTGCGCTCGACGACGAGTCAGCCGCGCTCCGGGACAACTGACGAGTGTTGGGTACACGCACGACGTAGGTGTATCCCGCGAACGGTCCGGCCTTGCTCAGCTTCGGCTGCAACTCCGTCCACCGCTTCACCATCTCCCTCCACGCCTGCTTCCCCTCCTCCTTACTCGCATCCGTTCCCTCCTTGAGCCCAAACGAACCAAAGACTCCGACGAAACCAGCGGGCGGGACGTGCGCTTTGAAGGCCGTTTCGAGGACGACGCAGAAGGAGGATCCGCCGCCTCGGAGGGCGGTGAAGAGCGTGGGGTTTTGGTAGGGCGAGCAACGGAGGATGGTGCCGTTTGCGGTGACGACGGTGAATTCGAGGACGTCTGCGTTGAGGACCGTCAGATACGAAGCGGAAGGGGAGTGGGAAGGGAGACGCACTGTCGGCTGCGAGTCCATGCAAAGGCGCAAGCGGTCCATGTCCGCCTCCTAGAACGAATCCACCGCCCGCACCCACAGTCTGGCTCACCCCGCCCGTCACGACCACTCCCGCCTCGTCCGCCGCCTTGTACAGATCTCTCACGATGCTTCCCGCGCCCGCAATGAGCGCTGGAACTCCCTGCGTCCCTTCTGGTGCTCCGGCGGGTACGAACTCCCTCTCGAAACGGGAGTGGTTCAGCCGCCTTGTCCAAAGGGTGAACGACCCTTCGTCCGAAGAGCGGCCGAGGTAATCGTGTCCTGTACTCTTGACCCGCAAGCGGAGGCGGTTCTCCCATGCGAAGGAGACGGCTGATGAGACGTCGGAGGGGGTGTGCGCTTCGAGGACGTAGGCGGGGGTGCGGTCGATGGGAAGGGAGGAGGAGTTGGTCGGTGCGGAAGTTGACGTCCGGGAGGGATCGTCGGGGATGAGGCCTTGGCCGGTTCTATCGACATCGAGCAAGGGCAATTAGTCTCTTGAGGAGAAGACATGGAGAGCTTGAGCGACGGAAACGCACTCAAAGTTGAGGAACATGACACCGGCAGGTTGTTCGAGTCGCCAATCCGCGTCCGCACACTGCGGCTGAACACAGGGGAGAGGTCCATCTGGTCGAATGAGTCGTCCAGCAACAGAAGCGTTCAAAGCGGACCAGGCGTCGAGTGAGGGCCAGCACGGTTGCGAGGGGACACAGTAAGGGAACATTCCGGCGGCGACGCCTGGCGCGGCGAGGGGCTGCGAGACGGGTAGGAGGAGAGCAGGAGAGCAGTCACAGCGAGCAAGAGCCGGCGTCGAGCGAGCACAGACCGTGAGCGAGGACGAGCAAGGTGTTCGATGGTCGAGGGAAAGTGAGCGGGAACGGGACGAGGAAGAGGCGAGCGGTCAGCACGGCGGTACCAAGCTAGAGTGTAGGTAAGGACTGACTATCTGCGTGCCCGCCATCGTCGAGTCTGTCGTTGGGGTCGTCGTCGAGGAGAACGGAGCGGGAGCGGGAGCGGGAGCGGTTCCCCTTGGACCTGGTCCCCGCACGATTTGGATTCACGCTACGACGCGTTCAAGGCGCGTGTGAGCTTGTTTGCGGGATTGTAAACAGAACCAGGCGACACTCGCCTCCTCGACCAAACAACCCCTCGCTCACATCGACACACACGCTAATCTGCTTGCTGGACTCGCTGGACTGGCTCAAGGACTCGCTGGGACACTTGCTGGAACCGAAAGACCCGCCCGCCCGAGTCCACTGACCGTCGTCGCCCAACTCGTCGTCCTCATCGCTCGCACTCGCCCAGGAGCGCCATGGCGACAGCGACGACGCCCAACTCGCACCGCCAGGCCACTCAGTCGCACAACAGCCGCACACACAGCGTGCGCACCGTCTCGTGCGCCCAGCTCGCGCCAGACAGTCGACCCCCAGCCCCGCCCTTCGTCGAACAGCAACTCCGATTCGTGCAGGCGCTCGGCGGCGGAGCGAACGACGTGGGACCGACGTCTGTGCCAATGCAGACCTCACGCATCGATGGCAGGACGGTAGTGGCGGCAGCAGCAGCGGCGGCGGCAGAGTCCCGCAAACGAGCAGCTGTCGAGCAGGACGACACTCGCTCGCCTGATGCGGGAGACAAGCGACAGGCAAAGCGGTCTCGCGGTCCGAACCCTCTGGCGGCACTCTCGGTGAATGCGGCGACGGGAGGTGTGGAGAAAGGGGCGACGGACGGCACGAAGCGCAAGTCGCGCAAGACGTACGCCGGCGCAGAGAAGGAGAAGCTCCAGCACGAGTCGCAGCAGTGGCGCGCCAAGTACCGCAAGGCGTTCCCGTCGTTCACCTTCTACTTTGACGCGATCGACGACTCGACAAAGGCGTCCCTCAGCGCCGCCGTCAAGAAGCTCGGAGCGGTGCGTTCCCGTCCGTTCGCTCCGTGGCTGGCTTCGAAGACTGACTCGCGCTTGGTGTACTCGTGTAGTCGGTCGACAATTTCTTCTCGAAAAAGGTGACCCACGTCGTCACCTCCCGCCCTCTCCCCTCGACCTCCGGCAAGGAGAACGACGGTGCGTCGGCGTCAAAAGCGAGCACATCGGCCTCCGCATCGACGAGTCGCTCCAAGAAGTCGTCTGCGCGGAGTCCAAAGACGTACGAGCTTCCGAACGGACAAAAGTTGTGGCCGTGAGTCTTCCCCTTCTGCGCAAATCGCCGTCGCAAGCTGATGATCGTCCGCGCCGACAGCCTCGCCAACGCAACCGACCACGACAAGAACCCGTTCATCGACTCGCAGGACATCCTGTCCAAGGCGCTCGACTTTGGCCTGAAAGTCTGGGCGAGCGAGAGTGCGTTCCGCGTCCAGTCCCTTCCTCCCATCCCCGCTGACTTGGTGATGCCCGCCTTGCAGAGCTCCAGCTCATCATCGACCGCATCAACCATGCCTCGCCGAACAAGGACAAAGCCTCCCTTTCGCGCGACCCGTCCCTCCCAACCCTTCTGCGCGACGAACAGCTCTACGGCACACGAGAGCGCGACCCGCTCGTCGCCCGCGCGGATATGCACTACTTCCCCTCGACCAAATCGTACCTCCTCGTCGAAGACTCGACGGGCGAACACCGTCCCATCGTCGTGAAGGAGTACGAGCGGCCGAGGAAGAACGAGGTCCCGAGTTGGCCGGTCCTTTGGGGTGGGATTGAGGGTCGCACGGGGTTCTATCACTACGACGGACCGGAAATCACGTACGAAAGGAGGGTCCCGCCTCGGCCTGCTCCTCCACCCGCTGCGACGAGCGGAAAGGCCGGCGGGTTCGGCTCGACTGCTGCGCGTGCCGTCGCTCCGAACCTTCGCCGCACCGTCTCGCTCCAGAACGTCGCGCGCGGACAACAAGCGGCCTACGGCTACCCAGGGTACGAGCCCGCTGGTCGCCGCGACTCGTACATCGCCGCGTCCGGAAACAGCCAGATCATCACGTCCAACATCCAGTCTGCGACGTCGACGGCTGCGAGGTCCGGCGCTGCGCAGGCCAATCGCTTTGGGAATCCCTACGTCGACAAGCGGCTCGCGGTCTTGTCGAACCGCACCGTCTCGGTCGCGGGCGGCAGTATCCTCGGCAGCGGGTCGACGGCTGGTGGGAGCGGCGGCGTCGCGAGCGGTAGCGCAGCAGGGAGCGGCGGACGCCTCGCCGCCCTCAAGCGCAGCGAGCGACCTGGCGCTCTCAAGCGCAGCCTCTCCGTCGACGGCCACCTCGCGCGCGTCCCGAACCCTCCAGTGCGCGACGAGCCGAAGAAGGCAGGGTACTGCGAGAACTGCCGCATCAAGTACGACTGCTTCAGGGAGCACGTTCGCAGTTCGAAGCATCGCCGGTTCGCGCTCAACCCGAAGAACTGGGCGGACCTCGACAGGTTGCTCGAGCGGATCGCACGCAAACCCCTTGAGGCGGGCGAGTGGGACCGCGGCGAGGATGGCGCGTCGAGCGAATTGGCAGCCGACGAGGGGGAGTACGAGGATTCGGGCTACTTCGACGCTAGCCTCCTTGCCGGCGATGCGGAGGACTGCGAGGACGACTCGGCACAGGACGAGGGCGACGAGGACGAGGTCATGGACGAGGGAGAAGAGGAGGACGAGAGCTCGAAGCCGCTCGAGGCTCAGGTTCTCGCGCAGGCCGTGCGCGCCTAGACGGGCGCCGGCATCAACTCCTCGATTTCGCCCACCTCGCATCGGCTCTCTCTCTCTCCCATCGACGTCGCCTTCATCCCTTCGTCTAGCCTCCCCTCCTCACGCTGCATACCCACCGTCACGGAACTCTTCCCTTCCACCTTTTTGAGCATCTACCCCTTCCGTTTTGCATACCCATCCTCTCGCCTTTGCTGCTAGTTTTCCCTTTCACACAACCCACGACTCTTCGCTTTCTCGCATCATCCCTTGTCGCATCGGGTTTTGAAACTTCGCACGTCTTGCACAAACAACGTCTACCCGAACACCACGCCTCCAGCCTGCCCACGCGTCGTCTCTTCGTACAGCGCCATCGTGAGCGACGCCATGAAGCCTGGAAGCGACTGACGCCCGTCGAGCCAGAAGCCGATGCTCCGCCTGACCTCGTCGATGCTCATGACCTTCTCGTCCGTCGCCGAGACAAGCTTGAAGGGCATGGGTCCTCCGGGCCAGGGGTCGAACGCAAGCGAGCGGTCCTTTGATGGCGCGTAGACGGAGGTGACGCGGATGCGGCCGGACTCGAGGAAGGACAGCTGGAAACCGAGCAGTTTCTGAACAGCCAAACGCATCGCTTCCGTCTTCTCGGCGACGGCCTGCGGGGACACACTCAGTCAGCCGCCGCGAATTCGAGAAGCGGGCCAGGAGGGCGCACTTGACCGATCCGCTTGAGCATCGTCTCCTTTTGCTGGACGAGCGCCTTGAGCTTGTCGGCTTCGGCCTGCGCCGAGACGAGCGACTCCCTCGGCACCAGTTGCTGAACCCCAGCACCTTGCTGGGCAAGTGCGCCCCGCTCTATGTCGCCGAGTCGCCGCAAGAGCGCCTGGTTCTCGTTCTTCAGCCGCTCGAGAGTCGCCGTCCGGATCGCATGCTCGACGCGGTCGGGCGAGTCGCGGAACTCGAGAACCTTGGTCGTCTCAGGGTTGTAGGCGCCGCGAATGCCCTGGTTCTCCTCGAGCTGCTCGACCTGAGTCGACAGAGCCTCGAGCTCCTGCTCCATTAGCGCCAGCTCGTTCCGCGCCTCGTCGAGTTCTGAGGGCATGCGAAGACGTGAGATTCGACGAACGCAAGTGTTCAAATGTGTACACGCACCTCGCTGAAGTTCCTCGTTCAAGCGCAACTGCTCCTCGAGCGACTTGCTGACCGCCCCTTCCGAGGCGGCCTCCCGCTTCTCCCGCTCCTCTAGCTCGAGAATTTCGGTCGTATTCCCGCCGTATCGCTCGACGAGGCCCCGCCAGTGCGAGACTTGCTGCGTCAGGCTGGCGACCTCGCGCTTGTGCGCCTCAAGCAGCTCTTCCAGCTCGGCGAGCCTGGCGGTCTTCTGGGCGTCGTAGTTGCCGGCATTGTGGTTGGCCTCCTCGGTCGCGTAGCTGTCCTGCAACCGAGAAGGTCAGTTACGGTGGCGACAAAAGCGGACGAACTGGACCCACGAGATGCCGCTTCAGCATCGCCACCTCTTGACGCAACAGCCCCACCTGTGCGCCGTCCACCCTTGCCTTCTCTTTTGCCGCGTCCAGCTCCTTCGCGGCCTGTTGGAGCTGCTTCTCGAGCTCGACAGCCTTCGCCTCGAGCTGGCCAATGATGCGGTCGCGTCGCTGCAGCTCGAGCTCGTGCGTGTTGAGGCGGTCGCGGAGAGTGGCGTTCTCGATACGGGTCGCGGCGAGGTTCTTGGTGATCTTGCGAGGGGAGGAGAAGGTGTCGGTGTCTTCGGGCTTGACGAAAGCGGACCTGCGCACGACCATTCGTCAGAGGACAACATTTGAGGAAGCAGAGACTCTGCGCACCAGTCCGCCTTCTCTCGCCGCAGCAGCTCGAGCTCGACCGCCTGTCCCGCGAGTTGTTGTCGTAGCTCTTCCGCCGCCTTGACCTTTCGCTCGAGCGATCGGTTCGTCTCCTTCAACAGCTCGATGTTGGCATGCTGTCGCTCGTACGTCTCGACCTTGCGCTGGAGTTTGCCGTTCTCCTTCTCGAGGGTGCGGAGGGTCGAGACTTGGCCTACGAGGTGTAACCGGTCAGCACGCTCGGGAAACGCGCAAAGAACGCTCGCAAACGCACGATGCAGCTCTTCGCGAATGACGGCCGAGTCGCCCGAGTCCTTCGCGCGCATCTTCTCCCCCTCGAGTTCCGCCTCAAGCGCTAGCCGCTGCTTCTTCTCCTCTGTCACCGAATGCAAGCGTTCCTCCGATTCCTGCCGGACGAGCTCGAGTTCTTGCTGCAATGCCGTCGTGCGCGCTTGATGGTGGTTGGCCTGGGCGACCGCCTGATTCGCGGAATGCTCGAGGTCGGTAAACGACTCTTGCAGGTCGATGTGCTCGTCCTTGAGCGAGTCAAGCTGCGACCGCAAGCTCCGCACCTCCTTCTCGAGCTTCTCCTTGGCGCCATTCTCGTCCTCCTTCCGCCTCTGCTCCCGCTCCGCAGCCTCGCGCTCCTTGCCGAGCAAGATGGCCCGATGCCGCTCGAGCTTCTCGATCCGCGCGCTGTACTCGTTCATCTGCGACTGCGCCTTGTCGGCAGCCATCGCCGATTCGAGCTTCTGCCGCTCAGCGGCATGCTTGAACTCCTCGACTTGGCTCAGCGCGCGGGCGAGCTGGCGTTTCAAGGAGGCCGTCTCCGACTCTGCTCGTCCGCATGGTTCAGTCGTGAACGAAGACGAGGTAGCGGGCGCAGCACACCTTGTTGCAAATCGGCTGCACTCGGTCGTCTCTTGAGCGAGCTGATGCGCGAGTCTGGCCGTGCAGAGAGGGGCGCTGCGGACGGAAGGCAGTGTCAGCAGCAGGTCATGCGCATTCACAGGCAGCGTGCTCACGGTCCATCTGCGAGCCGTTCAGGGAAGGACGCCGCATTGGGAGGCGAGAGACGGTGGCCGGCGCGTTCCCTGCGGGCAGAGGACGATGAGTCCTCGGCGTCACCTCTCAATAGACCCGCACGCACCGTAGCTACCCGCCAAATCGCTCGACGACGGCCTCCTCAAGAGCGAACTGCGCCCCACCGTCTGCGGTTCCGAAGGGGTCGCGGAGTTGTCTGCACGGCCGGCGCTTTGGAGTCAGCGATGACAAGAGAAGACTGTCGACTCGTACGCACGTCTCAAGGGCAGGCGCGAGGATCCGACGGACGACACGGCCGTTCGAAGAGTCCGCGATGAGACGAGCGGGGTCTCATACGGCGGCCCAGCGCCAGGGCGATCCATGCCAGCCTGCTAGAGGACTCTCGAAGACGACCAGGTGCGCTCAAGCGGTCAAGCAGCGAGCCTAGCGGGGTCGGGTCGCGGTGTCGTCGTCCAACCTGCTCTTGACCTCCTTCCCTTCACTTGGGCTCGCTCGCATCTCGCTGGACTCGCCGACAATGGCTGAAGCTACCCTTCCTCCCCGTCGCATCGTGTCCTTCCCCGGCGCGCAAGGCACGGCGGCAGTCGAGTCTACCGACCACCTCTCCCTCGTTTTTGACGTTGAGCTGGACTTGAGCGACCCGCAACTGCGCGCGACTTTCCCGCTACCGAAGGACGAGGTGCCGCTGCGCGGGGACTGGGCGTGCAAGGTTTTCTGGCGAGGCGACGAGCTCGTTTGCGCGATACGACACGGTGACCTCCCTCATGGCGCACTCGGTTGGCGGACCTTCTGGCGAGGCGGGCTCTGGTGGCGCGACACCGGCTCGGGTGGCGCAATATGCAGATATGGCTACGACCGGAGCAGGGATCCTCGCCCCAACAAGGACGACGCGGGCGTCCTCTTCACTGGGTTAGACTTGACGGTCCCGAGGGAGGCATTCAAAAGCGCATCGACACATTCCAATGGTGTCTACACTTCTGAAACCCATCGCCAGTACCGCATCGTCTTCGAGTTGCGGCAGGACAAGCGCTGTCCGACCCTCAATCCAGCAGGCGTACTCAACCGACTTCCTGGTAGGGGATGATTCGTTCTGCGACACTATTTGAGAAGCTGAACCTCTACCGTTGCAGATCTCGAGCTGGGCCCATATGCACGCGATGTGCGCTTCATCTTTCCTAAAGTCTGCGGCGAACTTTAGGCACGAAGCGACTTCCTCGTTCGATTGTCGCCCTACTTCAAGACGCTGCTGGCATCTGGTTTCGCTGAATCTGTCTCGGTGCCCTCGAAGCGGGCACGAAGAACGTGGGACAAGCCTCTCTCTACGGCAGACGAGCTTGGCGACGAAGACGTCCAGGATTCGGACGATGATACCGATGAGCTCTATATCGAGAAGCACCCGCCTCAGCCTCAGACTGCGGACGATGAGGCCAAGGGCGCGTATAAGGAGATCAAGATCACCAAGACGGCCTTCTCGACGTATCGAGCCGTCCTCGCCTATCTTCGCACCGGGCACATCGCCTTCGCACCGCTGTCATCGAGCGACCCTATCGACAAGGATACGTCGAAATCGTTTCGCAGAGAATGCATCGAGGACGCTGTCGATGACGACCCGACACTCCCCTACCCTGTCTCTCCTAAGTCGACATACCGCCTTGCCCATCTTCTCGAACTTCCGCGTCTTCAAAGCCAGTGCCTCGCCGAGCTTGAGGAGCGGTTGACTGTATACAGCGCGCCACACGAGCTCTTCGACGGCGCCTCCGTCTGCTACGATGCGTGGCGACGGACCATTATCACGTTCGTTGCGGAGCATTGGCGGGATGTGAAGGGGTCGTCAAACTGACTTGAGGTGGAGGGCAAGATAGCCCGGAACGAGCTGCCGTCGTCCGGTCTGATTATGCTCGAGCTGATGAAAGCGCGTGAGGAGGCAAGAGGTGCGTTCCTCTTCTCTGCCATTCCTCGTCTGGACGCCGCAAGGGCTAACGTTTGGATGCTTGACAGCCTGAATTGGCTAGCGCGGTGGACGGGCTTCCCAGCACAAGGCGCCGAGCAAGGCGAGCGTGTATACACCCTTCACTTCTCACTCCTTGCTGCCGCTTCATTCGCCTGTCAAGGGAAGTCCTCCGAAGCTTACCTTGCGTCTCATGCGGAGGCAGTGAGTACCTCACGAGAGCGCCTGCTCGGACAGCTCCGCGTTGAGAACGAAAGAATCAATGTCGCCCACTCGACAGTCTTAGACCCTCCGAGCCGCTTGAATGATGATACTCCCTCGATCTGCTCGACAGGTTGCACGAGTACTACGCTCACGAAGCCGTGCGAACTTCACTTTGTCCAGAGGGCGGCGCGCCTGGTTGGCGTTGTTCCGCTCCGCTCTCCACGCACAAGCCCGCCCAGACACGCTAGGAGCCTGCTATGAACCGCATCGCCGACCCACTGAGCTTCACGTACGCCCCCACGAGCGCCTCCTCGCCAAACTCCTTCATCAGCTCCTCATCTCTCCCACCCGATTCCTCACTCCTCGTCACCGATACGCTCGATTCGCCCGCTCACTTCCTCCTCCTGCAACTCGTCTCGAACGCTCTGCGACCCTCTGGAGCCGGCCGAGGTGCGCTGCGAGAACTGGATGAACGGAGGAGGGTTGTCATTCTGGGCGTGAAGGAGAGGGAGGAGTACTGGGCGAGTCTGCTGAAGAAGTCCGTGAGTACAAAGGACCACGCGCAGTGTCCAGTCGAAGGACGAGAAACGCCTTGCTTCGCCGCTGACCCCCTGCGTGCCTCGTGCAGGGCGTTCAGCTTGCGACAGAACGGTCCAAAGGCTCCTTCGTCTTCCTCGACTGTTCCTCTCCGACAGAAACCCCCTCATCTCTTCTAAGCGTCGCCGCCTCAGCTCTTGCGCCGCCAGATCAAGCAGCGGATGAATCAAGTCGGAGCAACCCACATCTCGGTCCGCTCATCGTCCTTGACGACGTCTGCACACTGTCGTGGATGGGAATGGCGATGCGAGAGGTGTTGAGATTCTGGGCGGCGTTGCGGCGGCTAACAAGCGAGGTGCGTCGAAAGCGCTTGTCCGTCCTTCACTTGAGCTCTCGCTGATTTTTCTTCTGCGCGGCACATTCATCTCATTGATCGTCACCGTCGGCAGCACTCCGCCTCGCTCGTCACCCTCTTCCACGCCGACTCGCTCTCACCCTCACCCTCTTTTCCCTCTCCCGCCGCGCCCGCTTATGACTCGCCCGAAGACCAGTACCTCTTCCGATCACTGCTGCAGCGGAGCGACTTGTGGGTGGAGGTGACAGGATTGAGCAGCGCGGGGATGGGAGGGCAAGGAGAGGTGCGTGGACTTCCTCTCGAGTGAGGCTGGCACGCCGCTCTCTGCGCGTGTTCTCGCGTGGCACGAGCAAAACAAGCGCTTCTACTGATACGAATTCACCGTCTCGCAGATCACGATCCACCGAGGACCCTCACTCATCTCCCCTCATCCTTCCGCTTCTCCCGCCGCACGCCCTTCATTCGGCAACTGGACCGTAGACGCGCCACGCATAGGTCCAACGGCCGTGCAGTACAAGATGGAAGAAGCAGGGGCGGTGTATCAGGTCAAGGGCGGCGGGACGCTCGGAAGGGCCTGGTAGATGTTGTCGGGTCGAGCAAGTCTTTCGATGCCGCTCGAAACGTTACGAGAAACTAGTCGCGCGCCGAGGCGCTCAGTCGCCAGAATCCCGCAAGCAGAATGAACTCGCCGGAAGCGTGGTTGGACGGATGAACGGAGCATGCGTAATTCTCAACAAGCGCACCCTGCCTACACCGACTCCGCCTTGCTCCGACCTGCTCGAGGAAGCTCCTGCATCAGCTGCCGACCGCGAGCGAGAGGAGACTCGGTACGCACGCATAGCGCCGTCCTTCGCCAGGAGGAGTCGCATCATGATCGGCGCTGCGCCAGGGATCTCGTCCGCGTCGACCTTCTCCTGCACCTCCTTCCAGGCATCCGTCGCGCATACCTTGATCCAGTGCTTGACGACAAAGTCGACGATCGTGTTCCTCCACGAAGCGTGCGCGACCGAGACGTCGCTGAAGAGCTCGTGCGGCGCGATATCCGGCGTAAGGTTCTCCCTCATGCTCGAGAGGCAGAGCGTCTTGAGGTCGTCCAGTTCGAGGCGGTGGGCAAGACGGAAGGCAGACCTCGGGGAGACGAGGTAGGGGTGGTTCCCGTTCCGCGCTGCGGCGTCTTCGATCAGCTGGCGGCGAGAAGGCGAGTCGGGAGCTGCGGCGCTGGAGAAGGAAGAAGAGAGAGGAGCGAATGCGATGTGACCGGTGCGGAGGTAGGCGAGGACGGCGCGGTAGGTCGTGAAGGCCGTCTTACAGATCTTGATCTCCTTGTACGGTGACGGCGAGTCCTCGGGCTCCTGCTTCATCGCCGGATGCTCCTTGAAGTAAATCTCGTCCGTCTCGTCGTCGGAGTCTTCGACGTCCGCGTCATCCTCATCGACCGCAGTTGCGGGCGACTTGCCCTTCGAGGTGCGGGCGCGCTTCGAAGGCACTGTGACCACTTCGGCGGACTCGGAAGCGAGTATCTTCGCAAAGTAGGGGGACGAGCGGGCAAGAATGTCGCTGCGAGCCCAAAGCTCGTCGTCGGTCTCGGAGAAGACGAAGCGGACGTCGTGAGGGTTGGCGAGGAGGTCGAGATCTGCACGTCCAGCAGTCAATAGTGCCGTCCCTCGCGGCGTGACCATCAACGCACCCTGCGAGAAGGCAAGGAGTCGCTCTGGGATCCGCTGCGTCGCTTCGTCTCGGTTGAGCTCGACGGAGATGCGGTACGTGATAGGACGGCGATGAGACGAGGACCTCTCCTTCGGATGCTCTGACAGCCTCGCCGACGATGCAGTGATTGCCCAACCGGTCGAAGCTGAGTGAGGACTTGCTGGCTTCGGCGCAGGAGCCGGGCCCGAGGGGACGGTGGAGCCTTTCAAGTTGACCACCTTGCCGCCGTCCAGCCAGCCAATCCTGATAAAGACGCTGACTTGAGATCCGAAAGCGCCGACTGGAACGGCCCCGTGCTCGATTCGCGCCGTCAAGCTCTGCCCAGCACCCTCATACTCCACGGCCACCTTCCACTGTCCCTCGAGCGGCACGCCCGCAAGGGGTGCCTCCAGCTTGATGGGTCCATTCTCGAGCAGCACTTCGACGTCGGCGCTGATGATGAGGCGATTCGAGACGGAGAAAGCGTTGTCGACAAGTCGCGGGACGTGAGCTGGTGCGGCGGGGGCGGCGACAGCTGGTGTCGCGGCAGCCTTCAGATGAGCGGGCATGAGGTCGCGCATGGCGGTCTGCGTCCTCTCATGCGCAGCGTGTGTCAAGAGGAGCGAGCGAGAAGCGGAAAGGAGAGCGCGACGAGTGAGGCGGTGCAAGTCACTGCGACGACCAGTCTGCGGGCGATGTGGACAGTTCGCAGCCATTGTGCCGATGCTCACGTAGCCTGCAAGAGGACCGGACAGGCGGGCGAGTCCAGCGACGCTTGTCTTCGACGTCTACGGCGAGGCTTCCTGGTTGCTTCCTGGGCTCGCGGCGAGCAGACAGCTGCATGGACAAGCACGAATCCATACGAGTCTTACTTGCAAGATGCTCGAGAGTCGCAAAGTCCAGCGCAGTCAAGGTGAAGCTCTGGCGAAACCGAAGTGCCTTCTCGAGAGGACTCTCCTCTCATTCTCTCGAGCCAACGCCAGCGAGTGCGGGAGCAGACGGGACTGGATGCCGATCAAGCTTGCGAGAGCGGCATAGTCAGCTCAAGACGCGCTGACGGAGTGTGCGAAGCGAGGATCTCAAGCGGAAAACCTGGACGAGCGAATGCGCTTTCTCGCGCCGACTCGCCACAAAGGGCATCGCAAGGCCTGATAGAACCTTACGTTACAGTGTCTAACTCATCCTGTAGACCGCATCAGTCAAATCAGCTGGGAGGGAGACCGGCAAGACCTAATACGCACCCCTCGCCTTCTCCCTCGCCCTGCTCAGCTGCACCATGATCTTCGCCGCACCGGGCACCTCCTCCTCCTCGACCCTCCTCTCAACCTCCTTCCACCCCTTCGTCGCATGCACCGCATCCCAATTCGCCACCACATACTCAATCACCACCCGCCTCCACGCCTCGTGCAAGACCGAGACCTCGTCGAAGAGTTCGTGTGCGGCCGAGTCGGGCGTGAGAGTCTCTTGAACGTTCGAGAGGCAGAGGCGCTGGAGGTCTTCGAGTTCGAGGAGGTGGGCGAGGCGGAAGGTCGATTTGGGCGAGACGGGGTAGGGCATGTCGGGTTTCGCTGCTGCGGCCAGTTTGACACGTGCCTTGCGAGTGTCTTTCGACGACCCTGCGGCTGGGCATGTCGAGGAGAGAGGGGCAAAGGCAATGTAGCCGGTTCGGATGTAGGCGAGGACGGCGCGGTAGGTCGAGAATGCGGTGCCCGTGATCGTCACCTTCTTGTGCTCGATGACCGCATCCTCCTCGCTCTTCTTGGCCGGGTTCCTGCGGAAATAGACACCATCCGTCTCGTCGTCCGAATCATCAAAGTCCTTCTCGGTCGCCGAGACGACCGAGGAGGCCTGGCTCTCGGTCCGCGCCCGTTTAGCCGGAACAGTGATGGAGTCGGCAAAGCCTGACGAAAGGAGCGTCTTGAAGTAGGGAGAGAGGCCGGCCAGAACGTCGGATCGGGTCCAGAGTCTGCCGTTGTGTCGCGGGAAGAAGAGGCAGATGTCGTGCGGATTAGCGAGGAGGTCGAGGGCTGCAGGGAAGAATGTCAGACAACGTACGCAAAGAAGCGCGCCAACGGAGAGGAGAATCGTACTCGGTGAACGGGAGAGGAGGACGTTGCCCCGGGACATGCGCGCCGAAGCAATCCAATTCGAGGCACAGACGGTACCGTTGGGCCCCGGTCGCTTCGTACTTATCCGACGCTACCGCGCGTCGCACATCCCTGAGTGTTGTGGTGCAGCCAAAACTGCGTTCCGCGGCCGTGACTGGAAGTGGTCCCCGTGCACGGGGCGCAGATCTGGTGATATTCACCCACTGACCGCGGTACACGTCGAGCGAAACGTTGTATGTCGCGCTGAATCCCAATGCGCCGACCTCGACCGCTTCATGCTCGAACTGTGCAGTAACAGTACTCCACGCGTAATGGAACCTGATATGCCATTTGCCGGGCAGAGGGACGTTGTCGAGTGTCGCGACGTAGTCCAAATGGTCCGAGAAGTTAATCTTGGCCTCCGCGACGACGATAATCCGCGAGCAAGTCGTCGACTCGCTCTTCAGTGAGCCCGGTTCGACGGCCATACGGTGACCTCGTAGGACGCTGCTGATGTACAGTAATGCCTGTCGGAGCGTTTGGGAGCCTGCAAGGCCAGTGCGAGGCCGGTGAAGGGACGTGAGGGCGCCAACTGATGAGAATGGGGAGGGGAGGAAGAAGGGCGCGGGCGATCGTTGGCGGTGTAGTCGCTCACGCAAGTCGTTCTTGAAGCTCAAGACAAGCGTACGCTGGTCAAGCAAAGCCCAGGCGAGCGGTGTGATGAAGCAGGCCGACGCGAAGGAAGCGGAGGAGAGCGACAACCCACCGACAAGCCAGCTCTCGCCAGACGCCTCGCTCGCCTCTCGCACGGTTGCTCACGCCAGCTTCGAAGAGTGAGGGAACCGTCCGAAGCGTTGCAACCGAAAACTCGGGGGGACTCTGGCCCCGTCCTCTCCGGGCAACACGTCCTCCTGCTCCCCATTTTGCCCCGAAAACACCCTCGCCCACCATCTCCGGCGCGCGGAGCTTAGTAGACGAAACCGAGGACCTTGCCGGCGACGTGCTTGCGGCGGGCCTCCTCGTGGTCCATGATGCCGGCGGAGGTGGTGAGGATGATGTAGCCGAACGAACGGGCGGGGAGGAGCATCGAGACCCACTTCTCGACGTCCGGGAGGCGGATGTTGAAGCGGGGCCTGGCGCACGAGCGTCAGCGAGTGAGCGGCCGAAGGGAAAGGGAGGAAGGAGGGGACCCACGAGATGACACCGCACTTGTTGATGCGACCGTTGAGCTGGACGACAATCTTGTTCGAGCGGTGGTCGTCAATCTCCTCAAACTCCTCGATGTAGCCTGTCGCGTCGCCCGTCAGCGAAAGAAGCGGGAGAGGGCAGGGAAGTTGGCGCGACGCACCGTGCTTCTGCATGACGGTGAGGAAGCGGATGATGACCTTGGAGCTCGGGCGGATGAGCACCTGGCGCTTGCCACGCTTCTCAGCGTTGACAATGTTGTTGAGGCAGTCGGCCTGGATGCACGCGAGCACGGGTCAGCTCCGACGGGTCTTCCGGGGGAGCGGAGAGGGCACGGCGAAACGCACGAGAACGGAGACACGCATGGCTGAGGGTGTCGCAAGGCGTATGTCGAGTCGTAGTCGAGCGTGCGCGAGGGAGAAGGAGAGAACGAAGAAAGAGGTCAGACTCGAGGATCAAGACGTGGTGGTGGACCCGGTCCCCTGCCCTCCAGCAGGGGAGTGCGGGCTGTGTCGGTGGGTGTTCATGGTAAAGTGCCGGAGCTCTGAGCGTACCGTACGGTGTGCTGAGAGCTGGTCGAGGAGGGAGAGGTGGGAGGGAAAGGAGAGGGCCTGCTGATTCGACGCGCGCTCAGGGCGGGGTGAGCTGTGGCTGGTTAGAGTGATGTACTGACCTGCTTGTGGGCTGCAACAAGGGGAGGGGGCGAGTTCGAGTGTCGGACTGGAGAGAGAGAAGCGAGCGGTCGAGGTTTGCGCGCGCCGTCTGAGCGCAACACCCCCTCGTCCCTCGTCCGTGTCCTCCTCAAGCCGCTGACCACCTCCAGACCTTGACCATGTACGCTCACTAAACACTCTGGCACACCATCAACCCACCCGCGAAACAACAACACCCACACGACCCCGCGCCGCCGAGCACCACCGCCCTCGAGTTTTGCCCACCTCGACACACCCTCCCGCGCCCACACACGCCACCAGTCGACTGGTCTGCCCACGGAGAGTGCTCAGAGTGAAGGAATGGCGCGCATGAGGACTCGGACGGGCGCCCAGGAGGTGGTGAAGCGGCGGGACGGGTGGGCTTGGGACCAGCGGGGAGAGGGGGAGCAACTACGCGGGATGGGACGGTTACGGGAGTGACAAGGCTAGGAGGCCAGTACGGTGCAGGAATGGGGCGGACGCAGGGCCGGGCAGACCAGTTCGACTCGACTCGACCTCCCTTGCCCCGACCACCAACACCCGCACCTCGACCCACCTCGAACTGCTGAACTGACCGCTTGTTGATGCGTGTACAGGGGCCGTGTTCGCACCAAGACTGTCAAGCGCGCCTCGCGCGTCGTCATCGAGAAGTACTACCCTCGCTTGACCCTTGACTTGTGAGTCGCGCCTGTTCGAGAGACCCGAAGCCCCGCTGACCACGGTGCTTGGGTGTGCAGCCACACGAACAAGAAGATCTGCGACGAGGTTGCCATCATCCCGTCGAAGCGCCTGCGCAACAAGATTGCCGGCTTCACGACGCACCTCATGAAGCGCATCCAGAAGGGTCCCGTCCGCGGCATCTCGTTCAAGCTCCAGGAGGAGGAGCGCGAGCGCAAGGACAACTACGTCCCCGAGGTCTCGGCTCTCGACTCGCAGGGCGAGCCCCTCGAGGTCGACCCCGACACCAAGGACCTCCTCAAGACGCTCGGCTTTGACGCCCTCCCCGTCAACGTCGTCGTCCCCCAGACCTTCAACGAGCGCCCCGGCCGCCGCAACGTTGTCGGTCTCGGTCGCCGCCAGGACTAAGCGTCGTTCGTTCCCTCGGACTCGTCTCTCCGCGACTTGCACCCCTCCACCCTCTCTCACTCGCTTTCCCTCTTCTATCGCTCTCTCTCCCCTTCGACTCGACTCGCTTTTCACCCTCTTCTCGCCTACCTACACTCTCGCCGCGGCTCTCGTTCGTCAATCAAGCGCTGATAGGCGTCCGCGGTGGGAACTCGGGTTTGGGCAGGGAGGGTATGCGGGGTTGGATTGACGAGCGTGCGGCTGGGTTTCGATGAGGAGGGCAGGGTGTGGTGTAGGGAACGGGGACGAGAACAGGAACGGATTGCGTGGCTGTTTTTCCGTGTACTCTTACACATGCGTCGAGCTTGTCTCGCGAGAGAGAGAGGAGGTTCGTCCATCTCCTCGCAGTTTCCGGGACCGCGTGGGTGCAGTCTCTCTGGCTTGTTCTCCACCTGCTTGAGCTGGTTGTGCTTCGTTGTAAGCCACACGAGAGTGAATGCGAGGTTGGTCTGGTCGGCATCCCCCACCCGGCGCTCTCCTCCTCCTACGCTCCTTCACTTGGCTTACCCGCTCGCCTCGTCGTGCTGCAGTCACTCTAGCTCTCTTTCTCCTCGCTTCCTGCTCCCACGCCCTCCCTCTCAAGCAGCGTCAACTCCCTCCCACACCCTCCGCACCCTCACCCTCCGACTCCAACTCCGCCTCGACCTCCCTCGCACTCGTCCTCGGCCTCACAGGCGCCTTCCTCGGACTCTTGCTGATTGGGACGGGGATGTTTCTAGGCCGGAGGAGGGTGCGGGAGTTCTTTCGCAAGGTGCGTCTCCCCTCGCGGGCCTTTGTGCGTTCGGACGGGGAGAAGGGAGGCTGATGCGACCATCTCGTCGAGCAGCACTTCGGCACCGACCAAGTGAACGGCCAAGAGCCGCCCTCTCCCTCTCCTCCCTCCTCTCCCACCCCTCCAGCCCGCCGACCTCCCCTAACCCACGCTCCCTCGTCAACAAACACTGCCCGACCCGGTACACCGCGTTCGCACCATCCTCCGAGTGGAGTGACGGTTGCTGATAGGCCTGTTGGGAATCCGAGGCCCGAGAGGAGTGGGAGGAGGAGGAGGAGGAGACGGACGCAGAGTCCGGTTGGACTGCCGCTTTAGTGCGTCCCGCTCTCTTGTTTGAGTGACAGAGGAGCTGGTGGGCTGATGAGTCGGGAGAGGATAGCTCGCAGGAACCGGGGGAGGAAGAGATGAGCCTGTTCAAGTCGCAGGACATGTTCGAGTCGCAGCTCGATTTGTCGCTTTCGCTCTCGCGCGCTACGACTGTGGAGCGCTCGTATGAGGATGGGGAGGGGTACGAGTCGGAGCAGGAGGAGGAAGAGGACGAGATCTTCGAGCGAGGAGGAGAGACGAGGGGGAGGCCGTCGATGGAGGGCGCCGCCAGATTGGGCGGGGTGAGTCAGTCGAGTAGTGTGCAAGGGCACGGGCAGGACAGCTCAGGCGCCGCCAGATTGGGCGGGGTGAGTCAGTCGAGTAGTGTGCAAGGGCACGGGCAGGACAGCTCAGGCGCCGGACTCCTCCAGCCCCCTTCGGTACTCTCGCAAGGCCGCCCACGCTCCGCAAGCGAACCCCTCGGCCCTCCACGGCTCTACACCACCTCGCCCAACACGCGCGTCTCCCTCTCACCCTACATGTCGCACACGCCTTCTTCCGGCTCAAGTTCGCCCTTCGCCTCCCGCAGCGGACTAATCGACATCCCCCTCCGCCCGCCCTCTCCTCCCCAAACCCCTCCTCTTCCGTCTCCGCTCGCAACACGCTCACCAGGCCGTCCGACCTACTTCACCACTCACCGCTCGTCGCGCTCCTCACCTATCAACACCCTCACTCCCCCCTCGCCCGCTTCGAGTATCCGGAACGCTGGTCGTCCGCGGGCGTCGACGTTGCAGCGGTTACTTTCCGGCGGTGTGAACGGGTCCACCTCGAGTCTGGCGTCGGGAGGGAGTCCGTATGCGGAGGGCGCAATGGGGCGGACGGCGAGTGCGAGTACGGTTAGCATCAGGACGCAGGAAATCTCGGCGCCTCTTCCGGGTTCATTCGGTGCGTCTCCATGTCTCCTCTCCTTCTCCCTCCCTGCACAGGAGGAGCACTGATGAACGTCTTCGAGGTCGCGCAGTCCATTCATCCTTCATCTTCCCCCGCTCCGGCCCAACTCCTCAACAAGTGGCGTTCATCTCCTCCCGCGAATCACTCGGCGCGTACGGGTACGGGAACGGTGTGGCACCGCCTCACCATCCCCTTTCGCCTACGCTGCCCGAAGCTCCGCCTGCGTTTGGGTTGGATGAGGGAGGGCGAAGGTCGGGCGGGTTGGAGCCTGGTACTGGGGAGGGTGGGGTGAGAGGAAGGGGAAGAAGCGGGAGCGAGGCGAGTAGGATCAGTGGGAGGAGTCCGCTTGCGGTGGAGGTGAGGGAGGGGGAGGGGCAGTCGCCGCCTCGATCGCCTCGCGAGGTCGGACAGCTGGACGAACGCGCGAGTGGGGCGCGGGGCGAGGCCGTCACAGCAGGAGCAGCGCACGTCCCGCCCGAACTCGTCTCTCCTCCTTCCCCAAAACCACCCTCTTCCGCCTCTCCCGCCGTCGACCTCTCCTCCACACGCTCCTCCCGCCCTCATCCACCCGACATCGTCACCCTCGCGCCAACCCCGACCGCCTCAGCCGCTCCTTCGCCCCTTCTTCCGCCGCTGTCGTCCGCTTCGGCGACGGAGCAGTTCTTCGACTATCCGCCTGAGGTGGCGTTGAGGGAAGGTGCGGACGATGCGACTGTCGCTCCGACTTCGACAGCGTGACCAGCACTCGTCTTTCCCTCCGGTTCGTCTTCGCCCTTCTCGCCGACCCCTTTTCACGACTTCGGTTCGCCTTGATCCCCATACTCCCGGCCTTTACCCATCGCACATAGACTCGCTTTAGCAGCGCTATAGACACTTTACCCTGTATCCCCCCTTCGCACTCGTTATTGTTGCCTCTTGGATTCCGTTCGTTCGCAGCTTGGTAAGCCGCTCGTATCTCTCTAGCTCTCGCTCTCATCTTCACACATACGCTGACGACTGGATGCCTTGGCAGGTAGTATTGCTTCGCTCGTGCAAATTGCTCCCTGTGTCTGCACCGCCTCGCTCGTCTCGCCTCCGTCGCGACGCGTCCTGCTTTCCTCGACCATCACTCACTCTCCCTCCCGCACCTTGCTCTCGTCGTTTACCCCGCCAGGATGAGTAGGCGATCGAATGCGACTTCTTCGGGAGCTCCAAGCTCCTAGCACCTACTCTTGTCGCGTCCAAAGCCGCCGCCTACCACTCCCTCGCCTATTCCTTCGACTTCAGGGCCAACATCGTCTCCGGCGAGCCCACGGCCAGCTTTGCGGTCGATCTTGGGGGACCGTGGGGCAAGTGGACGTGCGAGTACGCCCACACGAGTACGGATCTTACGCTCAGCCTCCGTCCCGCCGTCGACATGGGTCCGACGAAGAAGGTTCGCTACCGGCTCAAGCTCAGCATGATGAGAAGCGAATACGACGGCATGCGCTACATCCATCAGACAGACTACAAGCAAGGATGGGACGCCTCGACGGAGGAAGGGAAAATGACTATCCGGGTCAAAAACGACCATTGGGAGGAGGCGGCAGATGCTTCAGAGGGACGATACGATCCGGACTCGCGAGTCCGCTACCGACTCAGCCTCGACTTGGAGATCGGAGACGCGCCCCGACCGCGGGATATCGCCCAGGCCACCGGCATCGAGCCTCTGGTCTTGCTCGACCGCCTGCCGAGTGCGCTCAGATTCCCGCCCTCCCGATGTCGCGCTGATCTCCTCCTGTGTTCACAGCGCTTGAAGTCTCGGGCGCCTCGCCGGACGTTCGACTGTTCTTCCCGGACGCCGTTGAAGGAGGCGCCGAGCTTTGGACGCACTCCGAATTCCTTTCATTCTGTTCGCCTTACATGAAGACACTCCTATCCTCCGACTTCGCCGAAGCTGTCTCTGTACCCGCCAAACGGCGGAAGTCGGAAGGGAAGGCCGCGTTGGCTGGCTCGGGCTCCACGCTCCCCTCGACTACGGACAACGGGCACGATTCCGATGCCGAAACGGACGACACCTACTTTGCACAGAAGCCTCACGAGCTCAAGCATGTGGATCGGGAGTACAAGGAGATTAAGATCACGAAGGCTGCCTTCTCGACGTATCGCGCCGTCCTTGCCTACCTCCGCACCGGCCACATCGCCTTTGCCCCGCTCACTTCCAAATGTACCGCGGTGCAAGACGACACGCAACCGATCCCTCCTCGACAGACTCAGATTGAAACGGCGGCAGCAGAAAACCCCGACCGTCCTTACCTCGTCTCGCCAAAGTCGGTCTACCGCCTCGCGCATCTTCTCGAGCTGCAGAACCTTCAGAGCGCCTGCCTCACAATCCTGCGCGAAGGGGGTCTGACGGTGTCGAGCGCGCCGGCCGAGCTTTTCGACGAAACGTGCGTTCTGCACGAGGCATGGAGGCGGCTCGTCGTCGAGTACATCACACAGAATTGGGAACACGTCAAGAAAACGTCGGCATGGAAGGAGCTTGAGCGCAAGCTGGAGGCAGACGAGATTCCAGGCGCCATGCTGATCATGATGCAGCTGTTCAAGGCGAGGGAGAAGTTCAGTGGGTTGCCTTTCCCTCGTCCGCTCTGTCAACAGCGTCACTGACCTCTTGCTTGGACCGACACTAGGCAAGACTAGCAGTTACTATTGAGGAGAGAGGAGTCAATACGACGAGGGAGGGAAGGAGGACATGCGAGGGAACCTATCGCCCTCGCTCCGCTCGTCAGTCCTACACGTCTGCGTAATTCACTGCATCACATTTGACGTCCTCACGCCGTTTCCTGTCCGTCGTGAACGTTTCCCATTCTTGCCATCGCAGTCGGCCTGGGGGAGGACCCGGCAGCCGAAGAAGGTCGCTCTCTCGCTCCTCACACCACCTCGCTGGACTCGCTGCTGCACGCTATGGCTCAACAGACTGCTTCTGTGTTTCGTCCCGACCTCATGAAGGGCAAGGTCGCCTTTGTCGTGCGTCGATTCGTCTTCATCAGCCCGGCAACCTCCCCACATCGTCCTCGAGCTCACACGGCGCGCACAACAGACTGGCGGCGGATCTGGCATCTGCTATGGCATCACCAAGCAGCTCATGGCTCGTGCGTACACTGGCGCGGTCCCCGCAAGCTGTCAGCGTCGTCCGAACTCACCCCCTCCTCTTGGCAGACGGCGCGAACGCTGCGATCTTCGGCCGGCGCAAGGCAAAGGTCGACTCGGCCGCACAGGAGCTGTCGAAGGAGACTGGGTCGAAGTGCATTGGCATCTCGGGCGACGTCAGGAAGATTGAGACGCTCGAGGCGGCGGTCAAGCAGACCATCGAGGAGTTTGGGCGCATTGATTTTGTCATTGCGGGTGCTGCGGGCAACTTCCTTGCTCCGCTTGACGGTGAGTCGGCGGAACAGGCCACGAATAGACGAGCGGGAGACGAATTTTGCTCTCGCAGCTAGCTGATACTCTCCTTTCGCAGGTCTCTCTTCCAACGCCTTCCGCACCGTTCTTGAGATCGACACCCTTGGCACCTTCAACACCTTCAAGTCGACCATCGACGAGCTCGTCAAGACCAAGGGCTCGCTCATCGCCATCTCTGCGACGCTGCACTATACCGGCATGCCCCTTCAGGCGCACGTCTCGGCGGCCAAGGCGGGCGTCGATGCGTTGATTCGGGCGGTGGCGGTGGAGTATGGACCGCGCGGTGTCCGGGCGAATGTGAGTCTGTCCCTCTTGCGCAAAGGCGTTGGTCTCCTCCTCCGCTACTCCTCCGCGACCGGAGCAGTGGATTCTCCAGTATCGAAGACAATGCTCATCCCTCGCTCCTTTTGCAGTGCATCGCTCCTGGACCAATCGCGGGAACAGAAGGAATGGACCGCCTCATGCCAAAGGAGCTCGTCGACAAGCACACCAGCATGATCCCGCTCCAACGATACGGCTCGATTGACGACATCGCGTGGACGGCGCTCTTCTTGTTCTCGCCCGCCGCCAGCTACGTGACTGGGACTGTCTCGATCGTCGACGGAGGAGATGTGCGTCTTTTCGCTCCTCTTTCTCTCCCTTCTCTTTATGTGACAGTGCTTCAAAAGGAATCTGTCAAGAGGAATCTGACTCTCTCCCTCTTTGCAGTGGCACATGTCGGGCGCGATCGGCGGCGCACCCTACCCAGACGCCTTCTCTGGAGCTGGCGAGGCGCCGGCCAGCAAGCTCTAATCGCTCGGGTCGACGAGGGTTGCCGGAGCACGGGCAGGAGGTCACTCTGCTCGTCGCTGTAAGGCGAACGAAGCTAGACTGGGCTTGTAGAACTACAGTATTCGTTGCGAAGGTCAATGTTGTCGAAGCCTGGCGTCTCCGTGCGTTCGGTCTGCTCTGTTCCGACGTGAGCTTCATGCATACGACTCAAAGTGACGCTTAGCGAGCAGTTCAGCCTTCCACGTCGACGCTGGAGTTGGCGTGACTTTGCTCGACCGCGGCAAGTTCGGCGGCTGTTCCCTCGCTTGGCTTGTTCACCTTCACCTCGCTCTCGAGACTCGCTAGAATGGCATACGGGAGCATCTGGGACGGCTCGTCAGTACCGCTGCTCGCGCGCGTTGGCCAACACCATGGCTGGCTCGCCTCGACACCTCCCCACACCCTCATGTGCGTTCCGCTCCCTCTGCAGCACGACAGTCTCGGCAGTCATGCTGATAAGACGCTTAACGCCGCAACAGCCCCTTCTCGATCTTCGCCATCGTGCATGCGGTCCGCGTTGCGTGCGTGTACCGCGGCATCTCGAGGGCCGGCGGCTACGACAAGCAGCTCGGCAGTGCGTCCGCATTGCCTCCTTTCTGCTCGCAGAGAAGCTGACAACCCTGTGCGGCGTACAGACTTGCAGGCTGCGCTCGTCCCGCTCGTCTTGATTCTCGGCGGCTCGACCATCTCGAGCGTCCTCCTTGGACAAGTTCCGGGTTGGGTCATCACGCCTATCCCTGTTGCGACCTACGGGTACTTTTAACGCGTTTCGAAGGAGGAGAAGACCTGCTGACCGTTGTGCCCGGTTTGCAGGCTGATCCCCCTCCTCGCCGCCAAGTCTGGCCTCGTCTCCTTCGTCCTCTCGCTCCCTACCCTCCCGCGCGAAACCTTCTTCTGCCTCGTCGACGGCTTCTCCCGCATCATGGGCATGACCACCTTCGGCGTCGACATGGTCCTCGCACACGCGAACAACGCCGTCCGCAACTCTCCCTGGGCGATGGTCCTTATTGCGTTCCTCTCGGGCGGCGGTGGAGGGATGATCGTGCCCGCGTTCCGCATGTTTGGGCCCGAGTGGGGATTCAACGCGACGCCGGCGTTCATCAAGACTGGTTTGCCCATTGACGTCTGGAGCGCCGGCTTCATCGGCTACGTCTACGCGTTGAGTCCGCCCCTCCGCCCTTCAGCTGCCCCTCAGCTGACCTTCACCCCTGCAGCACCCTCATTGACGCCCACCCCTTCTTCCGCAAACCCGTCGCCTACTCCCTCACTCACTTCCCGGCTCTCCGCCAGGTCCTCGACGTCCCCAAAGCCTACCTCTCCTCGCCACGCCACACCGTCCTCCTCCAGCCCGCCGAAGCCAAGACGTGAGTGTTGCAGCGATCCTCGCCTGTCTGTTTTGAATGGCACTGACAGGCTTATTGAATCGCTGGAATCCTTACAGCTTCTGCTCGCTCCTCCTCGCCTTCATGCTCTTCATGTCGCGCATCGGACTCCCCCTCCTCCGCCGCACGTTCTCGTCCTCGTCGCCCGCCGGCAAGGCCGCAGCGCAGAAGCGCAAGGCAGTCGCCGCCAACGTCAACAGCGCCAAGCAGGCGACTTCGTCGGCCATTGCGAGCGGAAAGGAGAAGGTCAGGGAGCGGAAGAACCAGTAGAAGCGACGAGGAAAGAAGGGGTAGACAGGAAAGCAGGACTCTCGGTAGTTCTCCGAGCAATAAAAAGCAGGACTTGATATCTTCATCTAGTTGCACGCGCAAGTTGGGAGAATCTACTGGAGGAACTCCCCGAGCTTCTTGACAACCTCGTCGCACTCCTCCTTCGTACCGACCGTCACTCGCAAGCACGCCTCGCAGCCGTACTCGTTCCCGCGGAACCTCACGACCACCTTGTCCGTCTCAGCGAGGTGGAGGTACGCGTCGTGCGCGCGCTTGTTGTCCGGCTTGCCATCCTTGTCGCCCACCTGCGCCATGAGAAAGTTTGCGTCGGGCGCGCCGAGGATGTTGATGATCGCGGGGAGCTTGAGCAGCTCATCCCGGAGGTAGGTGCGGTTGTCGAGGAGGGTTTGGATGTTTTGGCGGAAGAGCGAGAGGCCGGTGGGTGAGAGGGCGCGGAGTGCGAGAGAGGCAGTTGGAGTCGAGATGTTGTAGGGCGCCTTGATGTTATTCAGAACCTGGATGATTTCGGGCGACGAGATGGCGATGCCCAAGCTGTGCGCAGATGGAGACAAAGAGGAGTAGAATCAGTCCTGGCATCGATACCAATCTGTGGAATCATCCAGGGCTCTGAACGCACCGAATCGCAGCAAGTCCGAAACCCTTGCTCAGCGTCTGCATGATGACCAAGTTGCTCCATCCCTCCTCGACCAACAGCCGCACCGCACTCTTGTCCGCACCCGCAAAGTCAATGTACGCCTCATCGACAACGACGAGGCCCTCGTAATCGGGGTTGGAGAGGATGGCGCGGATGTCGTCGAGCGGGATGAGCGTGCCGGTGGGGTTCCCGGGCGAGCAGAGGAAGAGGAGCTTGATAGGGTTGGCAGAGTGGGCGGCTTCGGAGAGTGTTCGGTTGATCTGCGCGCAAGCCAAAGCGTGAGTGACGGAAGCGAAAGAAAGACGGAAGAGAGGAAACACACCTCGTCCACCTTTGGCCGGAAAGCGCCTCCTTCGACGTCCAGGTTCACCTTGACAACCTCGACATCGTTGACCTGCGCGCAAACGCCGTACATACCGTACGTCGGCGGGCAGACGAGGACGCGGTCCTTGCCGGGAATGCACGCGATGCGGAACAAGAGGTCGATGCATTCGTCCGATCCGACGCCGAGGAAGAAGTTGTGCGGGCTGGGGACGTTCCGGAGCTCGCATAGGCGCTGCTTGATGTCGAAGTGCGTGGGCGAAGGGTAGCGGTTGAGATCGAGGTCGTCAAACGAGGCTGCGTGGGCACTCGAAAAGTCAGCTCAGACAGTTGAGCAGGGCCGAGCGCAAGCTACACACTGTCTACTGCGTGTCCGTTCTGCTGCTGCTTCGAGTTCTTGGGCAGAGCGTGTCCGAGTGCGTTCTCGTTGGCGTCGAGGAGAATGCCCTCCGAGTAGTCGTCGCGGGCGCACCGGTAGGGCGCGAGTGCGAGGATGTTCTTGCGGATGGCCTTTTCCAGCGAGAACTGGGGCGGCTTGGAGGCGGAGGCGGCGACCATGGCGAGATTGAGATGAAGAGGCGCAGGTGGTTGGGGAGGACGAGCGGAGTGGCGGTTCGAGCGAGGGATGGCTCGAAGGGTGTATAGCAGTCCTTCAAGAGCGTCAAAAGCCAGTCACAGCAGTTACAGCGGCAGGTCAAGGTGTAGCAGGAGCAGAACCTCTCGCGGAATGACTCTCCCTTGACTTCGCCCGTGGACCCGCTCAACTCGCTTAGAATGACTCGTGTGCGCTTGCTAGACACGCTCGAAGGACATCAGGACCGAGGCAAGTTCACCCGCGGTCTTCCCGCCCCGCTGCTCCCGCTCACCTCCTCGTCGACCCGCAGCCTGGCACGTCGCATGGAACCCCGCCCAGCCGACTCTGGCTTCCTGCTCGACCGACAAATCTGTCCGGCTATACTCCTACGCGCCCGCACCTGCCACATCCGCCGAGGCAGACTCCTCGACAGCCGGTCCTTCGTCATATCGCTTCGCCCTCAAGTCGACTATCCCGACATCCCACTCTCGCACGGTCCGATCCCTCTCCTTCTCTCCAACCGGCGCAACCCTGGCAACCGCCTCATTCGACTCGACAGTCGGCATCTGGTGCCAGGTTTCCGAGGCAGGACTTGACGATGGCGAAGGTGCGAAGGGAGACGAGTGGGAGGCGGTTGATCCGCTCGAAGGGCACGAGAACGAGTGCAAGAGCGTCGCGTGGAGCTCGGACGGACGGCTACTGGCGAGTTGTAGCAGGGATAAGAGCGTCTGGGTTTGGGAAGGTGCGTTGGAAGTCGCTTTCTCCGTCGAATCTGCTACTGATCCTGCTCTACACACCCGCAGCCGTCGGACCAGCAGATTTTGAGTGCTTGGCCGTCTTGATGGAGCACTCGCAGGACGTCAAATGCGTGACATGGCATCCAACCGACGAGGTTCGACTCGCGCTTCTCCTGTCCCTCCGCCTCACTAACACTGTCTCTACCGCAGCTCCTCGCCTCCGCTTCCTACGATGACACGATCAAGCTCTACGGCGCCGACCCCTACGATGACGAGTGGACCTGCATCCACACGCTCACCTCGCACACTGCAACCGTCTGGACGCTCTCCTTCTCCCCTTGCGGTCGCTACCTCGCTTCGGCAGGCGACGACCTCGTTATCAAGCTCTGGGAACGCGTCTCGCTCCTCGAGGACGACGAGAAGCGGAGTGAGGTTCTGGGCGAAGTGGGCGAAGCGAAGCGCGAAGAGGGCGGACGGATGGGTCCCTGGAGTTCTGGAGGCGTGAGGATCGGGATGAAGGAGCGCTGGAAGTGGGTCGAGAGAGGGCAGATTGAGGGCGCGCATGAGAGGACGGTTTATGCGGTTGATTGGGCGAGGGGAGGGGTGAGCGAGGAGGAGGGAGGGTTGGGGAGGATCATCACGGCGGGAGGGGACGGGCGTATCAATGTCTTTCAGATGGTGCGAGCTTTTACTCTTTCAGCTGACGCGAGCGCACGCTGACCTCGTTGACCTCACAGACCAAGCCCACCTCACCCGACGCACCACCTACGCACACCCTCCTCGAGACGATCGAAGACGCCCACGGCGTCTCAGACGTCAACCACGTCGCGTGGTGCCACATCTCTCCCTCGTCGGCGGCAGCAAAACTGCGTGCTCTCGAAGGAGGCGAGGCGGATCCTGCGGATGACGGAGAGGACGAGTCGGGAGTGAAGGAGGATGCGAGGTGGGAGCGCGCGGGGGATATGTTTGCGAGTGCGGGAGACGATGGGTTGGTCAGGGTTTGGATCGTAGACTCGGAGGGTGCGAAGGAATGAAACTGAGGACTCGATTGCGAAAGGGTCATTAGGCGAGTCGTGAGAGAGTGGAGATACGATACAAGCGCACAGCCATAACATAGAGGGCACAACGAGCTAGACAAGGGATATAAACAAGCGGAGGTTCTGCACACAATTTCTCAAACAACAGCCCTATCACCCGTATCGGAGCTAAACGTCCCGCGCTTCTCAATGATGGGCGCATGGTCGGTGAGCGTGTCGGTGCGCGAGAGTGTCGGGCCGAGGTTGTGGTCGTCGGGGTGGCTGTCCGGTTGGAGTTGGGCGGGAGGGGCGACGGGGTGACCTGAAGGTGAGGGAGGGCGGGAGAGGGCGACGCGGAGCCACTGTACGATCATGAACGTTGACTGGCATCAGCTGCTGTGTGTGAGCCAATCGGAGACGTCCTTGTGAGCGCACGGGATGTTCGAGCGCTTCGGCAGCTGTCGGCCGCTCATCTTCGTCAACCGTCAGCAGTTTCCGGATGAAGTCCTTCGCTGCACGAGACGAGTCGGATTAGCGGCCGCGCGAGTCGCTTGGAAGGCGAGACTGCTCACCGGTATCGGAGACGTTGTCCCACGACCGCGGGAAGTAAAGCTTCGTTCTCCGTGCTTCGTCCGCCTGTCGTTCGAGCGAGGTCAGCGTGATCAGGAGTGCGGTGTCGCTGTGGCGACGTACCAGCTTCTCTGGGTCTGTCTCTTTGTAGGGGAATCTGCGGAGAAGAGCAAGTCAGTGCGAAGGTCGCTGTGATGAGGCGTAAGGGAGCGAAGCGAACCGCCCGCCAAGACAGCAGAAAGCTACGACAGACGAGCGAGTCAGCACACTCAGCAGTAAGCAGCAGGGAGTGTCAGCGACGCACCGATGATTCCCAAACTCCACACGTCCGCCTTGAGCCCATACCCACTCCCCTGTCCCCGTCCATCCACCACCCCCTCCTTCGGATACACCTCCGGCGCAGTATACCCCGCCGAGCCCGCAACCGTATGCAGCCGCCCGCCCTTGGGGTCGACGTAAGCTGCCAATCCGAAATCGGAGATCACGCAGTCGTCGTGGCCGATTTCGGGGTGCGAGCCGGGCGGAGTGCGGTAGAGGATCTGTCTTCAGACTGAGATGAGCGGAGAAGGGGGAGAGCGAAGGAGAGACGGACGTTTTCGGGCTTCAGGTCGCGGTGGACGATGTTTCGTGAGTGGAGGTAGGCGACGCCGTCTACCAGCGCGTACATGACCTCCCGCGCTTCTGCCTCGGAGAACCTGCGAGTCAGAGGAGGTCAGTCTGGGTAATTGGGTTGGAGCGAGGAAGCGAGACGAACCGGTAATTCGGCGACTCGATCAAGTGCTCGAACAGCTCTCCACCCGCCGCCAGCTCAAACACGATGTAGATATGTCCCTTGCTCTCGAACCACTCGACTGCGGAGCGTACGACTTAGCGAGGCGAGCCCGAGAAGGGGAGAAGGAACCGCACTGGTCTCGATGATATGCGGGTGCTTGAGCGTCAGCAGCGTGTTCTGGCGGAAGATCTGCTGCGTCATGTCGCGGATGCGGGTCTTGGGGATGATCTTGATGGCGACCTGGCGGGCGGGAGGATCGAAGGGACGGGCGAGGATTCGAGGAGGACAGCATCGGGGAGGAAGGGCGGGGCTGGGTCAGCTTGCGAGGGTTCCCGTCGATATTCCGGGCGCTCATGACCCTACTGCATCGGGAGTTTAAGCGTCTCGAAGCGAGCGAGTCGGCGTACCTCTCTTCCCGTGTCGAGCGCTGTCGCCCTCTTGACCTCTGCGAACCCGCCCCTGCGATGCCCGCCTCGTCAGCCAGCCGTCTTGCTCCAGTCAAGGGTAACGCAGCGCACACTCCGAGAGTCTCCCTGATGGTGTAGTGTCGTTTGCGATGGCTGTTTCGTGCGAAGGTTGCGGGGGGTGAGGTCAGATGCTGTGAGAGTGAGACGACGAGTGGGCTGCGCACTGAGTCTGCGGTTGCCCGCTGATGTAGTCGAACAGGTGCATCGTGTGAGCGTGGTCGAGGCGAACGAGGACGACGTCGACGGCGACGAAAGCGATCCGGTCGCCCTCGGACCCGGCGAGCGAGACCGGACAACCGCGGACTTGCGGGCGACTTGGGCTGGCAGCAATAGGCCCCAGTAGACCGTCAGATGTATTCCACAGTGTGCATGGTTCTGTCAAGGGAAGTATAGAAGCGCCGGCGATTTTCGCAAAGTATGCCACGCCAGAAGCCACCGAACTGCTTGCTGCTTGATCCAGTAAATCTTAATACCGTCTCAAACGGCATTCGCTGCTGCTCAAAAGCGACCATGGACAGTTCCGAGCGAGCGACCCTCTCGCATCTTCAGAGACCCAAGTCCCTTGCGGCTCCCTCTCACACACACCATTGGCACTGCTCCTGCCCTGCTGAGACTGCTCGCCGGGTAGCACAACAGCACAGCGTAAGTAGGCGCACCACATTTGGGCCCTCTTGGCCGTCTGTCGCCCTCGCACTCCCTCGAAGCCGCCGCCATCTCATCAACCCGGCGTCTCGCTCGCGACACGACCGCGTGAGGGGTCGCTTGGAGGCGTGGACTGCCATAGGAGCGGTTACAGCGGCGGGCCAGGCTGCGGGCGCTGTGCGGGTGGGTGATGGGTGCCAGGACGAGGACGGGGTTGTCGAGGTGGAGCAACTCACCAGGGCCAGGCGGGCGGGCGAGGGCAAAGCAGTACGATGTGGCTGTACGGAATCAATGCTGACAAGTCCTCCTGCCGCGCTCACAGCTCTTCAATACCCTCACCTCACCCCCGCCTCCTCCCCCAGCTCTCGCTCGAGTAGGCGGCAATCATGAGGGTCGTCATCAAGTGCGTGGACCGTTCGCGTCGTTTGCCAGTCAGTGCTGACCTGCCGCGTCTCACAGAGGTGGTGTTTGGAAGAACACCGAGGTTTGCTTCGTCGTTTGCCTCCTCCTGGACATGCTGCTGACCTCGCTTCATCTCGCACAGGATGAGATCCTGAAGGCGGCTATCGTGCGTACTTCATGTGTCTCACACTTCGCTGCCGTGCTTACGCTGCTCCCCTCGTCCCACGCAGTCCAAGTACGGCAAGAACCAGTGGGCGCGTATCTCGTCGCTGCTCGTCCGCAAGACGCCCAAGCAGTGCAAGGTGCGTCTTCGCCTTCACATCCCTGCTCGAGCTTTCGCCAACGCTTCTTCCCGCAGGCCCGCTGGACCGAATGGCTCGACCCGGCGATCAAGAAGACCGAGTGGTCCAAGGAAGAAGACGAGAAGCTCCTCCACCTCGCCAAGCTCATGCCGACCCAATGGCGCACCATCGCCCCTATCGTCGGGCGCACCGCGAACCAGTGCCTCGAGCGCTACCAGAAGTTGCTTGATGAAGCCGAGCGTGCGGAGAATGAGGAGCTTGGGCTGGCGGGCGTGGACGATGCGGGACCGAGTGCGGACGATGTCAGGAGGTTGAGGCCGGGTGAGATTGACCCGGACCCTGAGAACAGGCCGGCGAGGCCTGACCCGATCGACATGGATGAGGATGGTGCGTCTCGCTTCGTTTCCCTCTCAGCACTTTGCTTTCTGGCTGACGCGCTACAAACCGCAGAGAAGGAGATGCTCTCCGAGGCGCGCGCGAGGTTGGCCAACACCCAGGGCAAGAAGGCCAAGCGCAAGGCTCGTGAGCGCCAGCTCGAGGAGGCTCGTCGACTCGCTATCCTCCAGAAGAAGCGCGAGCTCAAGGCTGCGGGTATCTTGATGCGCGCCAAGCCGAAGAAGAACGGGATGGGTGCGTCGAGCCTCTGCGACTTTCAGGAGAGAGTGAGCTGACGCGCGAGGATGGAACAGACTACAACGCCGACATTCCGTTCGAGAAGCAGCCTGCGGCGGGCTTCTACGACACGAGCGAGGAGCAAGCGAAGCGAGTCGCCGCTCCGACGGGCAAGACGCTCCGCGAGCTCGAGGGCCACAACCGCAAGAAGGACCGCGAGGAGGCCGAGTCGCGCGAGAAGAAGCGCAAGGCGCGCGAAGCCAAAGACGCCAATGCGGATGCCATGTCGCACTTCGTCCCGACGAAGGATGCCCTGCTCCAGCAGCGCAGGGAGGAGCAGCAGATTAGCAAGAGGAGGAAGTTGGCGCTCCCGGCGCCGCAGGTGGGCGAGCGCGAGCTCGAGGACTTGGTCAAGATTGGACGGGCGGGAGAGTCGGCGAGGGCGATGGTGGACGAGAGCGGGAACGAGGCTAGTCAGGGCTTGTTGGGAGAGTACTCGGCTTTGGCGAACGCGAAGGACGCGAGGACGCCCAGGACCGCCCCGCAGCGTGCGTAGCTGTCCAGCTTCCTAACTCAGGTTGTCTGCTGACGCTATGACTGCTCGCAGACGACAACGTTATGGCCGAAGCGCGCAACCTGCGCAACCTGACCGCCCAGCAGACTCCGCTTCTCGGCGAGGAGAACACGCCCATGCGCGAGCTCGTCGGCCGCACCGGTTTCGAAGGCGCCACGCCTCGCGGTCAAGTCGCTGCTACGCCGAACCCCCTCGCGACACCCTTCCGTGCCGGCCAAGCCGACGTCTCGGCCACTCCCGCCTCGAGCGTTGGCGCGACTCCTCTCCGCACGCCCGCTCGCGACAGTCTCTCGATTAACGACGAGAACGCCTCGATGTACGGTGCGACCCCTCGTGACCAGCGACACCACCTGAACGACGTCAAGCGCCAGCTGCGCGCGGGCTTCTCGACGCTCCCTCAGCCGAAGAACGAGTTCGAGCTCGTCTTGCCCGAGGAAGAGGAGGAGGCTGCGGCTGTCGAGGCTGCCAGTGCCGAGGTGGCGGAGGCTATGCGGATTGAGGACAGGGCTGAGCGGGAGGCGCGTCTCAAGGAGCTGCGCGAGATTGAGGAGAGCAAGGAGCTTGAGCGACGGAGTCAGGCGGTCAAGCGGGGCTTGCCTCGTCCGATCGAGGTCGACGCAGCAGCCATGCTCGCCCAGCTCGAGCTCGAGTCGGACGATTCGGACGCGCCGGAGCAGGACAAGTGGCGCCGCGAGGCCGAGCGCGCCGTCACCATTGAGATGATCCGCCTCCTCGAGCACGACTCGATCGTCTACCCCGTTGCGGGCAGCAAGCGACCGGGCGGAGGCAAGTCGACGCTCCCCCGCATCGCCGACGAGGAACTCGCGGCTGCGCGCAAGACGGTGCACGACGAGATCGCGCAGGCCGTCGGCTTGCCTGGCGCGTCCGAGAAGGTCTTGCGGCGAACGGTCGCGCTCTCGCCAGAGGAGTTCGACAAGGCCTGGCGCCCGAGCTACGACCGCCTCGCGTACGACGCCAAGACGGACCGCTACGTCGACAAGGAGTCGCTGTCTGACGCCGACCGGATCGCCGGCTTCCGCGCGCTGATCGAGTCGAACCGCGACAAGATGGCGTCCGAGTCGGCAAAGGCAGCCAAGGCGGAGAAGCGACTCGGCCAGCTCCTCGGCGGCTACGTCGCGCGGTCGAAGACGCTCGCAGGCAAGCTCTCCGAGAACTACGACGACCTCGCACGGACGCGGATTGAGCTCGAGTCGTTTGCGCGGCTGGCGACGAACGAGGAGGGCGCGATTGTGCGCCGAACGGAGGCCTTGCGCGACGAGGTCGAGAAGCTCGAGCGCAAGGAGCGCGACGGCCAGATGCGCTTCAAGGAGCTCCTCGACCTCAAGGAGCGACTCGAGGCAGAGGTCCAGGAGATGGAGTACGCCGAGGCGGAGCGAATCAACGAGCAGGCGCTTGCGATGGAGGAGTGAGCGAGGAGGACGATGTCGCTTCTCTCCGGCTTCTTTGGATCCGTTTGCTGTTTGCAACTCTGGCACAGTATCAGACGTACACGCGGATGCACTGCGAGTCCGCTCCAACGAAAGATGTCGTCCCCGTCTCTGCGAAGATGCGAAGTCCACCAACACGTTTCAACCTCGGACACCACGCCTCACACCCGCTTGTTGCTTGTCTGCGCCCGCTGCTGAGCTCACGCCGAGCCTTCACGTCCACGAGTAGTCCTGCGAGCTTGATCGCCCCGACATCGCTTCCCTCGTCGCGCGCACCGCGACTTCCCTCCCGTCGACACGCACCGCCAGCCATGATCGACCTGTCGTTCCCTACCTCCACAGATGGATTCACGAGGGCTATCTGTACGTCCACTCGCTTTCTGCGGCCTTCACGGTCTGTCGTTGTAGCGACGCGCTGACCTCGAGGTCGTGCACCTTCCCACCGCTCTCACAGCCGTCATGTGGGTTCTCCTCGTGGAGTCAAGACACATGTGCGAGGCTTGGACTGACTGAGACCTGTGCGCAGCCTGACGAGCGAGATTGGCGACCGCACCTTCCTCATCGCCGCCATTCTTTCGATGCACCACCCTCGCATCACCATCTTCGCCGCCGCCCTTTCCGCGCTGGGTGTCATGTCCTTCCTGTCGGCCCTTCTCGGCAACATCCTTCCCAACCTCCTGCCCAAGCGGTATACGACCGCAGCCGCTGCCATCCTCTTCTTCGTTTTCGGGGCAAAGATGCTGCGGGAAGGGCTCGAGATGGAGGGAGGCGAAGCGGGACGCGAGAAGATGGAGGAGGAGATGCGCGAGGTGCAGAAGGAAGTCGAGGAGGCCGAGGAAGAGGTCACGGGACGACCGACGGGAGTTGCGCTGGGCGACATGGAGGAGGGACGGACATCGACGCCTGCACCGGACGCAGGCGAGCTGCCGCAGCCCGTCACGGGACGGTCACGGCGGAACAGCGTGTCGAAGACGAAGGATAGCGCGCTTGCCGGCATCAAGAACCTCGCGCAGCTCCTCTTTAGCCCTATCTTCATCCAGGCTTTCATCCTCACATTCCTCGCCGAGTGGGGCGATCGCAGCCAGATCACGACGATTGCGCTCGGCGCAGCACATGTGAGTCCGCGTCTGCCGTCGAAAGGATGCATCGGATTGACTTGGACTCGCCTGCAGAACGTCTGGGTCGTCACGGTCGGTACGACGCTCGGCCACTCGGTCTGCACTGGCGGCGCCGTTCTCGGCGGGCGATGGATCTCTCAGCACATCTCGATCAAGCATGGTGCGTATGTCGCTCGACTTGAAGCTTGCCAAAGCTAACCCCGTCTCGCGCAGTCACTCTCGGCGGAGCTGTGCTCTTCCTCATCTTCGGCGTCATGTACTCGTACGAGGCCTACACGTTCACGGAGGAAGTGGTGGTGGGCACGGTACTGTAGACAGACACTCGAGGCAGACTTTCCGGGCATTCTTTCGACGGTACCCTCTCCGCAATAGACTATCGTGCATCCTGCACATTCGCGAGCGAGCACTCGTTTCAGTCAAACACGCTCGCATCGTCCTGCGCCGCCTCACCTCGCTTCACGGCCTTCGCCCGGTCCTTCTCTTCCCGCTCCGCCTCTTCTTGCGCTTTTCGCTTCTTGTATCTGCAACCGTCGGCATCAGCCATGTACTAAGAGGCGAGCGAGTCTGAGCGACTCACAATGCGCTATTCGGGTCTTTCTCAGGATTCCGCGCCCATCGCAACCGGCGGTCAATGTCCTTGACCTTCTCCTTGTCGATGGGGCTCCGCTGTGTCTCCTGGATCATCGCCTGCACCTCGTCGAGCACCTTGATTAAGTCGTCCCGTTGCAGCCTCGTCGCTTCCGGTATGTCCGGTCTCCGCCCTTCCGTCTGCGGTCGCTTCCCGTCCCCATCGACATTCCCGCCCGCCTTGACCTGCTTCTCCTTCCGATCATCCTCTGCCTTCTCTCGCCTCAGATCCTTGTCGCCCAACCAGGTATCAACGAGTGAAGGATCTGCGAGTCGGAGACAGGCGAGAGCGATTTGGGAGGGCGTGTAGACGAGTTCGGCGGGAGTGAGGCGGGAGGTCCGGCAGAATACCTGAGCGCGGGGGAGGGCAGAGGCGACGGAGGAGGCGTCGCAGCCTGCGGTCTGTCCGAAGGGTGGTCAGCGTGCGAGCTAACGAAGGGGCGGCTCAGGGAAGACGGACCTGCAAGTCGAGCACGAGACCGCTCAGAGCGAGGTGCGCGTGGTGGACCTTGTACTCGAAATTTAGACTTTGCGAGACGAGGAATTCGAGCGAGAGGATGTCGGCGGGAGGGGTCTTGACACGGGCGGCGAAGGTGTCGATGGAAGTTGGGAGGTTCTCCGTCTTGGTCGCGAGGAAGACGCAGGTGAGCCTGCGCCGAGGCCAGTGTCAGCCGCTCCTGCATGTTTCATGGAAAGCGGTACGCACATGATGTTCTTCGGGTGGTAGTCCATGCAGGTGTTGCGGAGGTAGAAACGCTTGAGGTACGTGATTGCCGTCGCGAGGACCATCTCCGGGAACTTGAGCGCTCCACAGAGAGCGACTGCCTGCGTCAAGTAGTACCCGACCAGGGCCTGCTCGTCTGCAACCGTGAGGTACTCGATTTCTGAGGGTTCAGGAGGAGTTGCGGGTTGCGAGGGCGGTGCGGAAGTGCTTGACGTGGAGCCGTCCGCCGCTGCTGTCGCTGATGGTATCGCTGTTCTCGAAGCCTGTCGGATACGATGTTAGTTTGTGCAAAGGAGCTTCTACAACGAAGGGGGGGCATACCCTCTCCTCCTCCCACAACTTGCGCACCCGCTCGACCGCCTGCTCGTTTAGCTCCTTCCTGATCTGCTCGAGTTGTTCCTTAGAGTATCGCCAGTGCCTGCGAGGGACGGGATGAGTCCTGCTCAGTCGAGGAGGAGAAGTAACTCACCGAAACTGCGAGGACAGGTGGTAGAGCGGGACAGCCGGAGACGCAGCAGCATTCTGAGCGTTCGTGCCGATCTGTACAGCCATCTTCAGTGCGAATCAAGCGGGTTCAGCGGGCACAAAGTGGAGCGTCGGAGGCGAAGAGAGGGTTGGAAGCGACATCGCCCTCGTCACAGCTCTGAAGCCCGCTTGCTCGGTCGAATAGACTGCCGTACTGCTCAGGATACCGCCAGCCGCTCGCCACGCTCTCCCCGCTGCTTCACCAGCTCAACCTCCCCACCTCCCCATCTTCATCAAACTCGCGGACGATGAGCGGGTCAACACGGTCAGACTTTGAGCGGGAGCGGGACAGACTGGTCGCTGAGATTGCAGAAGTGCGTACCTTCCCTCAGCATCGCTTGCTGAGCCTTCAGCTCTGCGTCCTGCACCTTGTCCCCGTCGAGACGCGATTCGAGGAAGGGTCAACAAAAGCAGAGTAGGCGGAACAGACGTGAGCGGAGACACCTGGTCGTTCTGGAGGGCGTGCGGCGCGAGACGGGCGAGTTTCTTAGCGAGGGAACCGCATTGACGCTCCTCCACTTCCTTCCCTCTGCAAACAGAACCTGGGCAAGTGTGTCACGGCTGTGAACCAGCTGAACCGCAATATCGAGAACGTGACGCAAGTAGGCGGAGGATTTGATGCCGTCCACCACTTGTGGACGTCGTTCCAGCAAGTCATGGCGAACGGATCGTACGCAGAAGCGGTGCGTTGTGGCGTCTCTTCTCTTCATGCCCAAACCAGCCTGCTTACGTCGTTTGAGATAACAGGAACAACGACCAGAGCCCATCCTCGGCCGATCAAACGATGAGACGATCAAGCTGCCGGCAGGTTTGGCGCCAGGAGGAGGAGAGAGCCTCTACCAGTCAGTCGGGCCGGAGGCTAGCGCTGGCGACGGCAAGTAGACGTGGTGAAGGCTACTGTACTGTCTCGTTTGTTGTCATTCTATGCATGTTCGCCGGGCTACACTTGACGAGCGGGTTTGGCGACAGCGAGAGGCGCGGATCAACTACGCTTGCTCCTCTACGATTCCATTTAAGCTCCAGTCGACTCCGGCACATGCACCACTTTGCGGGCTGCTCGGCGGAACCAACGGACGCCGTCGAAGAACAAAGGACTTCGCCCGAGAGGCCTGACCAAGGCTAGCTTCCACCACGTCCCTCTTCGCCGCTCGCTGGCGTTGCTGACTGCTTCGAGTACACCTTTGCTTGCTTCTGAGCCGCCGTAGCACGACCATCCGCCGCCCGACTCGCCGCTCTTCCTGTTCTCGCCCGTCGCCATCGCTCAACCTCTCGCCGACGTACGACCCGACACACCCCATTCGCAGCCTCGCAAGGTCTTCCAGTAGCGAGTAGAGGGTTCAAAACGTCGGACTGCGCCTTCAGAGCTCCCCGCCTGTGTCGCCGACCAGCCTGATTCGGCCTCATCAGTGAAGCGCCGGCGTCGAGATGCAGTCGGACTTTGCGCGGCGGGTGGGGGGCGGGATGGCTACGCAGGGCGGAGCAGAGGGGTCAGGGTCGGGCACTGTGAGCCCCGTCGGCAGTCCCAGAAAGCCACGACCTCGCGAGTCGAGCTTCGGGTCGGGTGGGGCGTACGCAGGGAGCGGAGGGTCGCCCAGCAAGAAGCGCATCTACGGCGACCGGTTTGTGCAGCGCGTTATCGAAGCGCGGACTCAGCGCTGACCGTCGGAGCGCCCGCAGGTTCATCCCGAATCGAGACGGCCTCGACCTCGCGACCTCTTTCTCGCTTCTGCCCAGCTCTGCGTCCTCGTCTGGGTCTGGTACCCCGACGTCACCGAGCAAGAGCAAGCGGAAGGTGGCAGGTGCGGACGGAGACGCTCAGACGGGTGGGTGGACGACTTTCGGCATTTTTCCTCGAGTCCGGCTGATCAACCTTCATTCCCCTGGACAGAAGAAGCGAACCGGACGTTCGACTCTCTCCTTCGCACTGAGCTCTTCGGCCCAGCTTCCCTCGACCCGACCACTTTGCTTCGCTCCCCCTCTTCCGTCCGCACAACCCAGTACACCGCCGCGACTTCACCGAACAACTCGCCCTCCTCCTCGAAACCCATCTTCAGCTTTTCGTCACCTACGAGGAAGCGCGTGGCGCGAGACGCGGCGGACCGTGGGCTGGACAGCCCAACGCACGAGCGGTACAGCGTCAGTCCCGTCAGGCAGGAGAGTCAGAGGTTGCTGCTCAGTCCGAGGAAACCGATACGGCAGGTCAGCAAGGTGCCATTCAAGGTCAGTTGCCTCGTTCTGCTCCGCAGGAAGTGCTGACGTCGCAAGCGCTGACAACTACCTCCTTCTCAGGTTCTCGATGCTCCCGAGCTCGCCGTACGTTGACTGGCGCACCCGCTCCTGGGTTCTGCTAACACGGTCTGAGCCCGACAGGACGACTACTACCTGAACCTCGTCGATTGGTCCTCGACGAACGTGCTCGGCGTCGGTCTCGGCTCGGCGGTCTACACCTGGAGTGCGCAGACGAGCGAAGTCAAAAAGCTGTGCGACCTGAGCGAGTTCGACCCGCCAGACTCCGTCACCAGTCTGAATTGGGTTCAACGAGTGAGTGCTGACCTTCGCCGGAGAGGCGACGCAGGCTGAACGATCACTTCCCTCCGCAGGGCAACCAAGTCGCAGTCGGGACCAAGAGCGGCATGATCCAGATCTGGGATGCGAACGTGGGACGGTGCATACGAAAGATGTCGGGACATTCGGCACGAGGTGCGTGACGTGACTTTTACGCCAGAACCGGGCTGGAAGCTGACCGCCTTGAACCAGTCGGCGCCCTCGCCTGGAACGACCACATCCTCACATCCGGCTCGCATGACCGCCTCATCCTGCATCGCGATGTGCGCATCAAGGATCACTGGACCCATAAGCTCGCGGTGCATCGGCAAGAAGTCTGCGGCTTGAAGTGGAGCGACGAGGGCCAGCTTGCGAGCGGAGGCAACGACAACAAGCTCTTTGTCTTTGACAAGATGTCCGAGGTGCGCTGCGTCCACTTAGTCCTAGGGTGACTGCGAGTTGACGATGTGCGTTCGCAGACACCGCTTCATCGCTTTACCGAACATGTCGCGGCGGTCAAGGCGATCGCGTGGAACCCTCATCAGCACGGTGTCCTCGCGAGCGGTGGCGGTACGGCCGACCAGAAGCTGCGCTTCTGGAACACGATGACGGGGAACTTACTGCAGGAGGTCGACACGGGCAGTCAGGTGAGCTTGCCTCTCACCTTGTCTCGGGCTCAGCTCGATAACGATCGTTCGTTTGCAGGTCTGCAACATGCTCTTCAGCAAGACGTCGAACGAGCTCGTCACGACCCACGGCTTCTCGGCCGGACAGGCTCAGAACCAGGTCGTCATCTGGCGGTACCCGTCGATGCAGCAAGTCGCGCAGCTGAATGGCCACACCTTCCGGGTGCGTTGGCATCGCATCGATCGAGGAGGGATAACGCGCCAACTCACGTCCTCGCACCCGCAGGTCCTCTACCTCGCTTCTTCGCCCGACGGCCAGACCATCGTCACGGGCGCCGGCGACGAAACGCTCCGGTTCTGGAATGCTTTTCCGAAGAGCAAAGTCGAGCGCAAGGTCGACACGAACGTCCTCAGCCCGTTCGGCAGGATTCGGTGATCCTCCTCTTCGCCCTGCTTCGCCTCGTCTCGCCTTTCGGATGCACCAGACCTCGTCGGAATGCCTTCCGCCTCGCATTGTCACTAGGTATCCCGCAACCCCGGCCTCGACGTGGATCCGCACAATCTCGCCTCGCTTTACTCTCTCCCCTTCGCATGTCCCGCCTCGACAACTCTGTAGCATCTCGTTCCTCTCTCTCCCTCCCTCGCAGTTCGTCAGTGTGCATGTTGCCAATCTCATGTCGCTTTGCCTCCCGTCTACATACGACCATTGCGCGTCAGTCAACCGTGGCCCTTGGCGAGAGCTTTCTGGCCAGTCAAACGCTTCCGCTGTTCTTTGAAGCTTGGCTTCCCACTCCCAGACGTAGACGGAAGGATGCTTGTCGTGGATAGCTGGTTGCACGGAACAACCGCTTGCTGTGCGAGGGGGACGGGCGGATACGTTCTCCTTCTCTCCTCCCGCGTCCCTCCCGCTACATGCTATACACGAAATGCTCATGTCTATCCCCCTTCTCCCTCCAACTCTCCGCATCAACCTCTCCTCCATTCGCCTCCCGCAATTCGGCCTTCTTCGCATTCTCCCGCCGGAGGTAGAGGAGGTTGAGGAAGGCGAAGAGGGCGACGACGAGGGTCATGGAGATTAGGACGGAGGTGGCTTTGTAGTCTGCGGAGCGGGAGACGGAGTCAGTAGAGGTTGGGAGGAGAGCGGGTGTGCGGGTTGGGAAGGTTGAGGGTGGGAACGTACAGCGAGGTCCTTCGTTCGTCGGGAAGAGCCAGGTGGACTGCCAAGAGCAAGATACATCGGGAGAGCAATCGAGGGACGTAACCAAGGGGCGAACGCGAGCAAAGAGGAGGAGGAAGAGCAGTGTCAGATAGACTGAGGACACTAGGACGCCCAAAGCGTCGCGAACGCACCGCAATGCCACCGCTATTAGTCATGATGAACCCCAAAGCGACCGCCGTAGCTTTGCGGTAGTGACCGGCCGAGTTGTTCGGCACTATCACACGAACCGTTAGCTCAGGGTGCGGCAGAGGGAGGGGTGAGGGGACACACGCCACGTCACAAGTGCAGGCGCGGTACTGTACACGCTGGTGATGGCGAGGAAGAGCGAGACGTAGCGCACGGCGGTCGAGAGGGATTTGAGGAACACTGCGTGCGGAGGGAAGGCGGGTCAGCTCTGCTATCTGTCGAGAAGGCGATTTGAGAACAGCGCCACAAGCAGGAACACCACATGCGGACTCGTCGCCGCCTTCCTAACCTCCCTCCAGCTGAATGCCTCCTCAAAGTCGGTCGTTCCAGCAGGCGAATCGAGTTTGAGGCGACGCTCGATGTGGGCTTTTTGGTCGGCGGTCAGGAAGCGCGAGGTTGAGGGCGAGCCGGGGAGGAGGAAGAAGAGGAGGATGCCGAAGAGGGCGGTGAATCCGCCTTCGAGGAAGAAGATCCAGCTGCGAGACCGCATAGGATCAGCCTCTCGTTGGAGTATAAGATGCACGACGAGACGCACCGCCAGCCCTCCTGGCCGCCTTTTCCGTCGAGATTGATGATTGCCGCAGCCAGCAAGCCTGAGAAAGCGCCCGAAAGCGACGCGGCGGAGAAGAAGAGCGAGATGCGGGTTTGCAACTCGTGCCGGCGGTAGAAGGAGGAGAGGTAGAGTACGAGTCCGGGGAAAACCTGCGAGGAAGTGTTGTCAGCTGTCGTGACTGCTGCAAAGGAAGTAATAGAAACTGAAGGAGAAGGCGAGCGTACTCCGCCCTCCAGCATGCCGAGGATGAGACGCGCTGCAACCAGTCCTCCGTAATTCTGGACAAAGCCCGTCATGCCTGTGAAAAGTCGTACTAGTGAGCTCCTGCGTTGTGGGAGAAAGAGGTCGTACGCACAGCAGCAAATGCCCCATAGAGTCACCATTCCCGGGAGCATGAAATGCGCTCCAACCTTTTTGAGGAGCAGGTTCGAAGGCAGCTCGAACACGATATAGAGCACGTACGTGCATGTCAAAGCGACCAGGTACTGGTGCGGCGTCAGGTGAAGGTCTTTGGCGAGACCGGCGACTCTGTTTGGGCATGAGCGGAGTCAGCGAGATGCAAGAGATGCAGGGCGGTGATTTTGGTGCCCTGCAGGTATCGTGGCCGAACCGTCGATGAGCAGGGGAGTGCGGGAGGAGACGTACTTTGCGCTAGCAGCGCGGGGAAGAAGGGAGACGCAGGGTCAGCGGCGAGCGAGGGAGTCAAGCGAGGACACAGGCAACGCACTTTCCGCTGCGTTGAGCAAGCAAGTCGACGGACAAAGGCTGTCAGCGGGTAAGAGCGGTGGGAAGCGCGAGCGTGAGGACAGACATGTTTGAGCGGCTGAAGCGGAGGAGTCCAGCCAATAAAGAGGTCAGCGGCGTCGGCAGAGATCGGATGAGCTTCGGCGGACGCACTCGAGGAAGTTGAGGAGGTACACGATGGCGCAGAGGGGCAGGACTGTCCAGTCGAGTCGGCGGACGGCGGCCTTGTCGAGTTGCCAGTCGGCCGTGGGGCTGGTGGGCTCAGTCGCTTCTCAGTGTCGATGCTGGACATTGTTGGTGTTCAGCGAGTCTGGCGAAGGGAGAGAGCGAGCGTGGCAGCCGCCGCAAGTTTGTCGAGTTGGAGCCGAGCGAGCAAGCGTGCCGGCAGTCCCACGGAGGCCCGCACGGCGGACATTGCGGCGGGGAAGCCTTCGACTCTGCCATCCTGGCACACCCAGTCAATGGCTGCACGAGCGACCGCGCAACGACGACTCGCGAGCATCTCGTCCCAACTCGCACCCGCCGCTCCTCCTGCGCCCGACTGGAACAGCGCACTCCAAGCCTTGCAGTCGATATTCCCACCCGAACAGCTCTCACTCGACTTGCCCACACGCGAGAAGTACGGCACTGGTTGGGGCTCACTCCTGCCGCCCGCGCCGCCGCATGCCGTCGTCCACACCTTGCGGACACAGGATGTCGTCGAGGTCGTGCGGATTGCGACTCGCTTTGGGATCGTCATTATCCCCACTGGAGGACGGACAGCGCTTGAGGGACAGTTCCAGGCGAGTTGTTGCAACCCACCAGCTGGAGAACGGTGGACGGGAGGAGCGAACGGCGAGGAGGACGAGCGACCGCGAGATGCCAAGAAGCGCGAGACGGCACGAACGGAACGTCCTACGATCCAGGTCTCACTCAGCAGGATGAACAGGGTCCTTGCGGTGCACGAGCAGGACTTTCAGGCGGTTGTGCAGCCCGGAATCGGATGGCAAGGGTTGAACGAGTTCCTTGCGAAGAAGGGCATCAAGCTGTTCTTCCCCGTGCGTCTGCCTGTCCCAGAGCTATTCAAGCGCCAGATCCTGACGTTTCTAGCGCGCAGGTTGACCCAGCACCAGGATCCGAGTTCGGAGGAATGGCAGGAGTTGCAGGATCCGGAACGAACGGTTCGTCTTCCTCCTCTGCGTCGCCCCGACGATTAGTGCTGATTTTCAGCGCCGCGCAGCTGTTGGCTATGGTACCCTCCGCGCCGAGTGGATCCAGTCAATGGAGGTCGTGCTCATGAACGGAGACGTGATCCGAACACGAGGGTCGAACCGCGCAAGTGCGTCGTCTTCGTCTCACGTCACCAGCACTATGTTGTTCACGATGCTACCGTGTTTCAGGGAAAAGCTCGACGGGGTGGGACACGGGACGGCTATTTCTGGGGAGCGAAGGAACGCTCGGGGTGCGCCGTTCTCTTCACGCTCCAGTCTGCGGACCATAGCTTAGGCTGCTGCGGAGCTTGCACGACCTGAACGAGCTATGAACACTGCATCTCCCGCAGATCATCACCGAGCTAACAGTCCGCCTCGCGCCCGTCCTCCCGCTCAAAGTCGCCCTCACCTCCTTCCCCACCATCTCCAGCGCCGTCTCCACAGTTGTTAGCATCCTCACCTCCGGCCTCTCCCCAACGTCCCTCGAACTCCTCGACGGCACCTCTATCCGCGGCCTCAACCTCGCTCGGATCTTGCCGGAAAGACTGGAGGAAGAACCGACTGTGTTGATGAGGTTCTCGAATGCGAGTGAGGAGGTTAACGCGCAGAATTTGAGGAAGGTCGCGGGAATTGTGGAGGAGAATGGAGGGAGGAGGCTGAGGGTTGCGAGGGATGAGAGGGAGAATGAGGAGTTGTGGAAGGCGAGGAAGGTGCGTGGCGCTCTCTAGTTCTCGAAGGGGGCTTGGGAGTCATGAGCTGATGCCAAGTGCGCGAACAGAGCCAGTATTGGTCGCAGCAGCTGCTTGTGGGCGAAGGCTGCCGGACACTCGTGCGTCTCCTCTCGTCTGCCCAGCGTGTCTCGCTTCGCAAGAAACCTGCTGCAAGATTTCATAGCACTCGGAGTATGCTGACGTCTGTCCCGCCCGCCCGCACAGATCACCGACATCTGCGTCCCCATCTCCCGCCTCGCCGAATTCGTCTCCCGCTCCGACTCCTACGTCTCCACCTCCGGCCTCTACGCACCGATCGTCGCGCACATTGGTGACGGTAACGTTCACCGCGCGATCCTGTGGAAGGGCAGGGAGGGGGAGACGAAGCCTCCGAGAGAGGTGGAGGAGCTGGCGAAGAAGTTGGTGAGGCTGGCGCAGGAGTTGGAGGGGACTTGTGCGGGCGAGCATGGCATTGGGTGAGTCCTTTTCCTTCTCTCGCTCGAAGACTGGGACTGACGGAGCGTGTGGGGACAGCCTGACGAAGCGGAAGTACCTCCGCGCCGAGCTGGGCGAAGGCACGCTCGCTCTGATGCGGACGGTCAAGCGCGCACTCGACCCGCTCAACTTGTTGAATCCGGACAAGGTGTTGTTCCCCGAGGGCGAGGAGGAGTGGGATGCATAGTCGGAGCGAGACAGGTCCTGCGAGCGAGAAGGACGACGAGGGCGTCTCGAACCGCGCTCTTTCGCCGTTCCCGCTTCAGCATTGCGATGTAGTAGACAGTAAGCCTCTATCGCAGCTTTTGGAGAGCCCTACGAAGCGAGAGAGCGTGAGAACGGCTGCCCTGCCAATCCAATCCTGCTCGCCAGACTTGCACAGCCCTGCCAGCACCGCACGAGCTGTCTCGAGCGCGCACTGCAGAGAGCTCCGCAGACAAACCACACACGCTCGCAGGAACTCGCAGACAACCAGCAGCACCCCGCCAGCGCAACTCCCGCTCTCGCAGCTCGCCTCGCGGTCCTCATCGCTTCATCAGAGACCCGGGACAAACAGCACACGACACGCTTGGGCAGACGTGGGCCTTGGTTGACTGGGCAATAGACATTGTGAGCACACTCTCGAGCTGCTTCGGCACGGTCGCGTGCGCTGTGGGACTCGTTCATGCTGACCTTTGGTCGCCATGGCGGTGCAGTCCTCTCCAGACTCCCGTCGACCAGCCGACAGTCCGTGCACGACGAGAACAGCTCCCGTCTGAGCGTCAACACTCTCCTCCGCTCACTCGCGCTCTTGCGGACCCGTTCGACCTCCTCCCGGTGCAGCCAGACTCCACTTCCTCCCCCTCCGCCATGTCGTCCGAGCCAGTCGCCGACCAGCAGGACGACATCACGCACGTGCAGGACACCATGCAGGAAGACGAGCGCCTCGAGCGCGGAGAGGCCGAGACGGTCACCGTCCCTCGCAAGAGGGCCCCCTCGCCCTTCTCCCTCTCCCGGCAAGACTCGCAGCGCCCGTTCGCCTTCAAGCGCAACTCGTCGTCCGGCTTCTCGGCGTTCATGAATTATGCGGCGGCTGCGTCGACCAGCGAGGTTCGCACGAGGCCTGCGACGCCGGCAGAGTCGGCGACGAGGTCGACTTTCGACGATGCCATCAGAGCGCTCGCGATGCCTGTCCCGACATCCGGCTCCACCGACGACGCGTCTGCTTCCACTTCGACCGCAATGGACGTCTCTTCGACCTCGGCGCCGTCCCTTCCCAGCGCCAACGGGACAACCGCGGGCGGCAGGTTCGACGAGCGTCCGAAGGGCCAGGGGACCCTCGAATTGGAGCGCGTCCTGGGGCTGTGGGCTGCAAAGACTCCCGTGCGTCGCGCGTTCTTTTCGCTCAGCTTGCAGCGATGCCGACTCGAAGGCTTGCCGAGCGAAATCGCTCCGTCGCATCCCGCGGACCTGCACTCTACCCCAGACAACTAACTCTTGATCGCACCTCCTATCATGCCCCCGCTTTGGGGACCACAGACGAACTCGTTCCCCAACTTGCCTCCGCTTCCGAACGCGTCTTCCTCCTCCTCTGCACCTTCGACAAGTCAGCCCCTCTTTGCCCAGTCGGTCGTGACCGCCGAACCCGAGTCGATCGACTTTGCAACCTCGTCGTCGCAACCTGAGCCCGGAGTCACCTCGACCTCGTTCTCGTCGATCTTTGTCGACTTTGCAAACCTCGCCTCGCAACAGCCAACGTCCGCCTCGTCGCGCGATTCGCTCGCACTTCCTCGCGACTTGCCTAGGCGCCAGCGCTCCAAGTCGGAGGCCGACACCATGCGCTTCGACACGCTCGGATTCGGGGGTCCCACCGCGCTGGACTTCTCCTCGAGCGCGACGCCCTTCACGCCGACGTCGACCGGCTTCAATTTCAGTCTCGACTTTGGCGCTCGCTTTCTCCCGACGTTCAATCAGCAAGCGCCGACGCCGCCCGTCCAAGCGCCGCCCTCTTCTCTCCCTCCCACGGCAGGCTCCGCGGATATGCCGTGGCGCCCTCCTTCCGCGCCTTCCGCCTACCCCTTTCCGCCGACGAGCTCGACGGCTCAGACGCAGCCGCTCGTGCTGCAGACAGACCAGCGCGAATTGCAGCTGCGCGTGCGGACGCCGAGCGGGATGCAGCGGGGAGCAGGAGGGCCAGGGTACCGCGAAGCGGCGTTGTTGGATGTCGGTATGGATCGTGGGAGGCGTGCGAGGAGTCAGGGTGCTGGACACCGCCGGACGGCCAAGTCGGACGATTTTACCCACTTGTTCTCGCCTACTACGGCGGCGTTCGCTCAGCAGCAGCAGCAGCAGCAGCAGGCGACGTTCGAGACGTCGAATGGACACCTTGCGCCGCCTGGCGAAGGTCAGGTTCCCGTCTCGATGCCTCAGCAGCAGCCGTATCCCGCTCAAGTCCCGCCTCAGCAGCAGATCTCCCCTCATGCGCACCACCTCTCGCCTCAACCGCACCAGCCTCTCCAGCTTCCCCAGCAGTCTCCTCATCAGCACCACCAGCACCCTTCGCCACAACCGCAGGTCGTCTATCTCCCGAACGGCACGCCTCTGCCAGTCGCTTACTTCGGCGTCGACCCGGCGGTCGCACAAGCCGTCTCACAAGCATCTCAGCAGCAACATCAGCCGTCTCCTTCCCAGCCTCAGCAGCAACTCCAGCCTCCGCCCGGATACCCTCGCGGTGCGCAGTTCTCGCCGCAAGGGAACGCTCTCGCGCTCGCCGCTGCCCAAGCCGCGCAGGCGCACGCGGCTCAGCAGATCGCTGCAGCAGCTGCCGCAGCATTGCAATTCGCGAACGGTGGTGTCGGTCAGCAGCAGCAACAGCCGCCTCCCCCTCCACCGCCTCATCAACCCGCACGCCGCAGCATCGCTGGCGAGCCCTCCCATTCGACCGAATACACCGCTGCGCCGCACTCGCATTCTCACCTTCCGCCTCCGCTACCTCCCCCGCCTGGCCAGCCCAACTTCTTCGGCGGCCCTGACGCACCGCAGCAACGCACGCCGTACATGTACCATTCGACGCTGGCGCACGCGACGTTGCCTAGTCCGCCGATGTCTGCGCGCAACGGGGTCAAGCGTGCGAGGGACGAGGAGGGCTTGGGCGAGGGAGAAGACGAGGACGAGAGCGAGGACGACGAGTTGGTGGATGATGAGGAGTACGAGGACGACGAGGAGGAGTATGGGCGCCCGAGGGGCGGTCAGCGCGCGAAGGGCAAGGCCGTCGCCAAGGGCAAAGCACCCGCCTCGACTTCGAAGCCGAAGACGAAGAAGCCCTCTGCGCCGCGCAAGGTCGCGAGCGGATCGGGCGGCGAGAACGGTCCGGACGAGTTCACGAAGGAGAGCAAGACGACTCAGGCGACGATCGATGCGGCCAAGCGGAGGAGGAACGCGAATGCGGTCGCCAAGTTTGTGTGCGAGTTGTGCGGCGAGACGTTCACGAGGCGGTACAACCTGCGAGGTGCGTTGGCGTCTCTCGGCACGTTCTTTGCCCTGTGCTGATTTTGATCGCGTCGCGCAGGTCACCAACGAGCGCACAAGGGTGAGAAGCCCTACAAGTGTTCCTATGAGGGATGCGACAAGGTGCGTCTCCCTCCCACTTCGCCTATTCCTTTCGCTCACAATGTCCGTCTCAGGCCTTTGCACGCGCGCACGACTGCAAGCGCCACGAGCTGCTCCACCTCGGCGTGCGCAAGTACCACTGCTCGCCGTGCAACCGCGACTTTGTCCGCCTTGACGCGCTGCATCGTCACCGTGCGTCCGCACGTTCTCGTTCTTGCTCTTGCTATTGTACTGACTTGATTTCGTCGCGACGCCCGCAGACCGCAGCGAAGTCGGCCAGGCGTGCGTGCAAAAGTTGCAGTCCGAGGGCGCCCAGTTCGACGAGCGAGGCGCCATCGTCGCCGCCGACCTCTAGGCGCCGCCCTCGCCCTCCTCCCGCTTCTTGTGTACCCCCTCGTCGTGCCGTGACTCCCCGCTTGTGATCTTGTCGCCGCATCTCAGTGCTGTACCCATCCCTCCTCGCGCTTCTGCCTCCCTCCGCTTGCTTCGTATTGTTACTCCCCCTCTGTGCCGTGTACTCGTTCGCTGCAAAAGGACGCACAGCCGTTCCACTTCGTCGTCGTCGTCGTCGTCGTCGGTCGAACCATTTCAACTGCGCAGTGCGAGGGCGGTGCAACTTGGCCGTTGCGGACACCCTTTGACCTCGCTCTCACCGCAACTGCTGCACTCGCTCGACTGACTGGACTCGCTGGAGACGCTCGACAAACAGCCGAACGCGCCTGGACTCCCCGCTCGTCTCCCCGTCCCCTCGTTGTCGCGTTCGTCTCGATCAACCCCTCCACGCCCTTCCTTCGCCGACGACCGCCTGTACGCCCGGTAGAGCAGCTGGAGAGAGCGGTAGAAGTGGTACAAGCATAGGTGCAGACGCCGAACCAGGCAGGCGCGGGCGTTGACGGACTCGGTCCCCCTCGAACCCCCTCTTTCCCGCTTCCTCGGATCCTCCGCGCCCCATCCGCCCTCGCCTCTCCCCCGAAACGCACAACCTGAGCCATGTCGACAACAACGGCCTCGCTCGTAGCGAGCGCAACGTCGGCGGCGGCTTCGGCGAGCACATCTGCGGCCGCTCATTCGCAGTCGGGAGGGAACAAGGTCGTCGGTGTGCTGTTAGCCGTCGGTTCGGGGTTACTTATCGGCTCGAGCTTTGTATTCAAGAAGAAGGTGCGTTCGGCCGCCCTGTTCAAGCGATAGGGACTCTGCTGACCTTCGTTTCGCATCCGCAGGTACTCCTACTCTTCCCGTCTTGCTCCCTTCGGTCTTGCTGATCCGCAAGTCGATTTGGCAGGGTCTGCTCTCGGCGCAGAGAAAGGCAAACATGGCTGCGGGCGAGGGCGTACCGTACCTCAAGTCGCCGCTTGTGCGTTTCCTCGACTCTTCTGCGGAGAAGCCGGCTAAATCGCTTTGGACGCACAGTGGTGGTGCGGCATGATCATCATGGTCGTCGGCGAGCTCATGAACTTGATCGCCTACTCCTTCACGGACGCCATTCTCGTCACGCCGATGGGATCAATCGCCGTCGTAACCTCGGGCGCGCTCGCGCACTTCTTCCTCGGCGAAAAGTTGACGTTGTTCGGCTGGCTGGGGAGTACGCTCTGGTATGTCCACGTTTAGCGGATTCTGCGGGTCGCTCCACCTGCGCCTTCGTCGTCCACCAGCGCGATGGCACAATGCTAACTCCTCCCGTCTTCGCAGCATCCTCGGCTCGGTCGTTATCGCCGTCAACGGTCCGTCCGAACAAGGCTCGACGACGATCCAGGCATTCCAGTCCAAATTCGTCTCTGTCGGCTTTCTCGTTTGGGGCGGAATCTGTATCGCGGCGGCGCTTGGCATGATGTGAGTTGTCGCGCTTCCTTCAACTAACCGAGCGAGCGACGCTGACGCCCAAGTCTCGCACAGCTTCTTCGTTGCACCAAGGTCCGCCCCTTGGGCCTTGCCCCTCCTTACTCCGCTCACGTTCGCTAAATTCGCTCCACTTCAGATACGGCAAGCGAACCATGCTCGTCTACGTGAGTCCGCCGCGCCTACTCATCGGCGCTCCTAACTCACTCCCCGCCTCTCCCGCAGATCACGATCTGCTCGCTCCTTGGCGGCCTTTCCGTCGCCTGCACGTCCGGTCTAGGTGGCGCGATCCTGACGTCGATCAAGGGCGACGGGTCGCAGTGGAAGCATTGGTTCATGTGCGTGGAGAGCGCTCTCTCTCGCAGAAAGGTTGCTGACCTTCTGAACGTCCAACAGGTATTTCCTCCTGGCTTTGTGAGTTCCGTCCTGCTGCCCTTGCCATCGATGCTCGCTAACGCTCCTTCTACAGCTGCGTCGTCACCTTGCTCTCGGAGATCGTCTACCTCAACAAAGCTCTTGCCCTCTTCAATACAGCAAGCGTGACGTTCGTCTTCTCCTGCCGTCTCGAAGAGTCAGCGGATTGGGGGGCAAACTGACCGTCCCTCCGCTCACAGGCCCGTGTACTTCACCATCTTCACCTCCTGCACGCTTATCACGTCGATCATCCTCAATAAAGGGTTCGGCGGCGCAAGTGTCGCAGCCATCATTACGGTCGTTCTCGGCTTTCTCGTTCGTCCGCGCTCGCTTTGCTTCGTCCGCCTCAACGCTGACACCGGCATCCTGCAGGTCATCGTAGTCGGCATCAGTCTTCTCCAGCTGTCGAAGATCGATCCCGAAGAGATTAAAGAAGGCATGCTCGACCGCCGCTCCACCATCCTCCTCTCCGCCTCGCGCGCCGAGAAGGACACCTCGTCCGAAAAAGCCTACAGCGTCGAAGACCCAGGCATGGACGCCATCCGCGGTGCAGCAGGCGCATTGGGCTCGATCCACCGTGCTATCTCGATGCGAAGCGGGAGAGGCAACCAGTCGCGGCGGACGACGGGGTCGAGCCTGGCGAATCCGTTTGCGGACGAAGAGATGGTCATGAGGCGACGAGGGAGGAATGGCGCACCCGGCGCGATGGGGAGCGGGCCGCATGCGGTGGGAGAGGACGGCGTCTTGCGGTACGAGCTGTACGACCAGCCGATGCAGTTCGCCGACGAGCCGATGCCGTGCGTCGCTTTACCTTCCTCTCCAGATCGAGGAGCACACTGACGGCGCTCGTACAAGCAGACTCGATGCCGCCGACAAGATCTCGCTGCACTCGTCGCTCAAGTCGCCGTCGCTCGAAGCCGGCGGCAGGTCACGCTCCGCCTCGGCGATCCAATTCGCAGAGACGGACGAGGTGCATCGATGTGGGTCACTCACAGCTCGTCATGTCGTTCTGAACTAACGTTCGAGGAATGCAGACGCCCCGCCGAAGCGAAAGGGCAAGGCCCCAGTCGCCCAGCACCACGAGCAGCCTCGCCTCGAAGGCTCGCACGTCCACATCCCGCACACGCTCTCTACCGGTGACATCGCCTCGCCCGGTCTTCCTCCATCCCGCTTCTCCTCGTCGACCATCGCCACTCCCGACCGCGCCGACTTCTCCGCCGCCCGAAGCGGATCGGTCTTTGCCAACTCGTCGTACGTCGACCCGTACAACGAGGAGGAGCATGGTCGTCGCAGCGCTTCGCCTCCGCTTGGCTCGGCGACTTACCCTCGGCGACAAGGCACGAGCGACTCTGGCAGCCGCTCGCTCGCCGAACGCCTCACCTCCGTCTTTGGCTCGTCCTCGCCCGACCTCAATGCGCGAGAGTCCTCCCATACCGCGCAAGATCCACCGCCGTCAGCGAGCAGGTCTCGCTTCACACTGTCGCCGTTCAGGCGCAACACGCCGCATGACCACGAGCAAGAGCCGAGCAGCGCGAAGGATCATCGCGTGCCATACCCGAAGGCGGCGAAAGGAGACGTTGAAGCGCGAGGGGAGGAGGAGGCGCTCGTGCCCGGCCGACAACGCAGCGGGTCAGTCTCGAGCGATGAGGAAGGTGTGGACCTCGAGACGGTCGATACGAGGGACGAGTTGTGATCCTTCCTATCCTCACTTTCTGTTTCACTATCGGTTTCTCGCATGTAGCTCTCTGCATGAGCTGTAGACTCTCGCACGACAAAACGGACGTTCACAACGAATACTGCTTCGGAGAGGGTCTACGGCTCGTCGTCGCCTGGCAGCCGCAAGCCGAGCTGCCATCGTGCGTCCATCAGCTCGGGGCACAGTTCGTCACCGGCACAGGTGTGGTCGGTCGATGCGCATTTGTAATCAATGAGGCGGAAGGTCGAGCTATCGAAGACGACGTTTCGAGCGGCAAAGTCGTTGTGGCAGTAGCCGTGGTCGTGAAGGTCGGCGAGAAGGTCGTAGATTTCGATACTGCAAGTCAAGCTGGTGAGGAATACATCGAGCTCGAGAAACGAAAGCAGACGCACCGCTGCTCGACCGTCAACGATCCAAACCCGTTGTGAAGACTCCCACCACACCGTTGCGTGACAAGTGCGAGGCGATGATTTTCGCAGGATCCTTTGAAGAGGCCGACGAAGGGCGGAGCGATGTAGGCGAGGCCAGCGGCAGCGAGAGAAGCTAGGATATTCGCCTCCTTGCGGAGAGCGCCGAACCCCCTGCTCCGAGCTTGCTTGATGACAATCTCCGCTGGCGAGGACATCGACCGTGCGGCGTACACGCCGAAATCCTCCGACGATACGAACTGGTTCGCGATGTCAAGCTTGACGGGCGTCGACGGCGCTGAAGCACGAGCTAGCTCAGCGGAGCTGGAAGACAGCTCAACGCGATGGTAGTCGTCCCCGAGAAACGAGGGGCTCCGAGCCTGTGCGAGGGTGAAGTCGAGCTTGCCGCCCAAGTACCCGAGTCTGTCGGGCGAGACATCGGGTGTAGCGGAGTGAGATGAGGAAGGCGGTGTGCCGTGTGTCGAGTAGGGCGACTGCGGGTCGACAGGCGTCTTGTCGGGCGGGGCGCTGGGGAGAGAGTGAAGCGGAATCCGCTCGCTCGTCTCATCGACGACGCTGACGCTTGCGGCTGCGCCGGAGAGGTTGTAGTTCATCGTCTCCTGAGGTGCCGACTGCCCGGCTCCGACGGTGCCGCCGCTCGAACTCGCAGCACCTGTAGAACCGCCTGCGGTAGACTGGTCGCGGCCTGGGCCAGTCTTGCCGCCGCGCGACGGACCGCCACCGCCGATGTCCTCCTCGTCTCCCTCCTCGTCTCCCTCCTCGCCTCCCTCGTCATCGTCGCCGCCTCTGCCCGAGCCCATTCCGGAGGTCGACGCACGCGACGGGGCCGGGTCCAAGGTGTACCCGACTTGGGCGAGGTACTTCTGGAGGAGTCGACTGGTGTCCTTCTCGACACTCGTGGCGAACGCTTGCTGAAGGTCGTCTGGGGGGACAATCGATGCGAGAATTGCGAGAAGTAGTTCGGGATGATGGTTGTGGACGAGGGGCGAGAATGCAAGGCCGTAGCCGACAGCGTCGCTGTGCGCAAAAAAGCGCTGCTTGCGCGGTCGGGCGGACGCTGCGCCGAGCTTGCGTTTAGGGATTCGCCGGTAAAGATAGAAGCCGAAGGTGAGGAAGGAAGCTTCCGAGTCGTGGCACATTGCCGTTCGGTGCGTCGCGGGAGAATTGAGCATGATGTCGCAGATCCGCGGACGAGAGCGAGGAGGAAACGGTCGCGTCAGCGCGATTTAGCCTGTAGGCGGGAATGGGGACCAGCCTTCAACACCAACACCTGCTTTCCGTAAACTGTCGTCTCCTTGCGCTGGATGTCGAGATCGAAGAGCTTGACATAAGGCTTCTGCTGCGCGCTCATGATGGCCTTGATATCGCAGACGACGCCAAGGATCGGGTGTTGCGCTTTCCTCCGCGTGATCGGGGTAGTCGGCGAGTGCGTTGAAGGGGTTGAGGGGGTTCCGGTCATGCCGTTGGACGCCGCGCGAATGCGAGCGCCGGCGGTGGACGACTCAAGCGCGGGTGGAGGAGGTGCGGTGGAGGAGGGGCTGGTTGACGTAGACGGCGGATTCGCTGCCGAGGAGGCAAGGGAGGGTGCTGACTGCTGTTGGCCGGTCGCGGAGGAAGGAACAATTGACATGTCGACGTCGGAATCAGCTTGTGGAGCGCTCGTCGTTGTCGTTGATGATGGGGCTGAAGGAGAAGTGGCCGAATGTTGCGCAGCCGATTCGACCGAGATAGATTTCTGCGCCGCCTGATCCAACCTTTTGCACTCGGATTGCATGACGGCGTATGCATCGCCGTCTGGGTGCTTCAGGTAAAAGGTGCCGTCAGGGATGAATACGCCGATGCGAGTCGAGTCGGCTCCGAAGGCGAGTCGCTCGTCGGGCGAACGCTTGTCGAGCAACACGTTGTATACGTCGATGAACGCCGCAAAGACAGCTCGGACTCGGCTCAGATGCCATTTAGCGATCTCCTCGTTCTGCTTGCGCGGAATTCGGTCCGCTTGCCTGTGATGCGACTGGGTCAGCGACGCGTGGGAGGAAGGAGCGAAGGGTGCGCACGGTTCGGGCATCAGGAGCTGCAGAAACTTCTCGATGACCTTCCAGACATCATGCGGCAAGTCAATGAAGGGCGTCTCGTAGAGCGTGATGTTGAATACCTCGAGGATGTATTCGAGGAATGCCTCCTTGCGAATGGAGAGGAGATCGGGGCGGTAGGTCAGGAACTCGGGCGAGAGTGGTTCTGCAGGTGCTCCCTCGGACGGCTGTGCATCGCTCGAAGACGAAGTCGGTGGGTTTTGAGCAGCTGTAATTATTGGCGGTACCGTCGCGCCCGTAAAGTGGACATGCGGCATAGCATCGCGTAAGCTGCTTTGCTGGTTCAGCGAGCACTTCAGACGTCCTACGAGCGCCTCAATCTCGATAGCCTGCGTGGAGAGCTGATCAGACGGCGTCTCGACGAAGGAGGGAGGGTGTTCACGCACTCTGTATCGGCGAACTGCATCTTGATGCGCCCTGTCTATCAATTCGGACAAGCGTGTGTCGTCTCCTGTGACGGCCGCCGTTTGGATGTCGAGGGCAGCAGGAGTGGGTGGGGAGGGAGAAGTGTAGCCATTCGTGGCCATCGTGCGAGCGAGATTGGCCGCCAGAGGGGGCAGCAGACAGAATGGAAAGGGCTGGAAGCTAGCTAGGCGGCCGTGGGGAGCTGGGCGAGAGCCAGAACGAGGAGGAGGGGATGAGGGATTGTGCGACTTAGGCGGGTAACGGGAGAAGCAGCCGGTCCGAAGCTTCGTGAGACAGCAGACTATGCGAGCCGCCGAGCGATACGGTCCCGAAGAGAGCGAGAGAGAGACGCGGGAGGAGGAGGAGGAGGAAGAGCGCAACAACGGGGCGGAGTTGTGGCTGGGGCAAGGCTGAGCGCCCGCGTCTTCCCGGAATTCTAGCTGGGCGCTGAGAAGACTCTGCTGGACGAGTAACAGACGTAGACGGTGGCCAAATGCGAAGTTGCAAATCTGCATGCAGAATATCTCAGGTCACTCGTCCCTCGCTCGTTCCGTCTCGCACAAAGCCCTGCCACTCTTGCCTCCACCCCTTCATCCTCTCCCGCAGACCCTTGAGGCGGAGCGTCTTGCGGATCCAGCGCAGGAGGGCGTCGTCCGACTCGACGAAGAAATAGGACGAGAGGACTGATAGAATAGACTCGAACGAGGCGGACGGCGCGGCGAAGTCGTCTGCAAGAAGTGGAGCCACAGTGAGCGAGAGTCGCAAAAGAGGGGTTGAAGAACGTGACGCACGCTGGAAGTGCCAGATGATCGCGACGGCAGTGACGATGAGGAAGTCGAGACCTTCGAGGAAGAAGCCGTCCCACAGGCGCAGCTGCGTAGAGAAGGGTACGGTGTTGGCGAAAAGGGTGATGTACCACTTGGTTGCGTACGCCGAGGTCAAGATGAAGTTGTCGGTCTGCATGGGGAATGGTGAATTCAGCGGTCTCGATAAGCGAGCGGTGCAGACGTACAAAGGCGGCGTGGACTGCGGGCATGAGCAGCTCGACTAGCCGCTCCTGAACGTAGAACGCCTCGACGAGGCCGGGAAAGCCGGGAGCGAAGATGTGCTCGAGGCGATATTGATCGAAGAGGCGGGAGAGGCAGGCGTAGGCGCGCTGTTGCTGGCCAATGTCAGCTCGGAGGCGGGAAGAGGAGGGGCGAGAAGGGGAATGCGACTCGCCTCCGGCTCGAAGTAGCACAGCAGGGTCGCTGCAATCGGGCCCATCCCTTGACAATACCCCCCGACCTCCTCGCTCCGCAGACCAAACGAGTGCAGGATATGGAAGAGCGCGCGCTGTCCCTGCCCATACCGCGTGTGGAAGAGGACGTGGCCAGAAATCGTTCGCGGGACGTCGAGGTCGATTTGCGTGTCTTGGACGTATGGCTGATCGAGCAGCTGCTCGTACTCGCGCTCGAGCTCGTCGAGAGACGGCAAGCGACTTCGTCCGCTTGGCTCGACCTCGCTCGCCATCTTCTCCATCATCAAGCCCCATACCGCCCGCCGCCAGCGGTCTGGGATTCCCTTGAAGACCCGCCGCTGCAGCTTGCGGTACTTGCCGCTCTGCCCGCCACCTCCTCCTGGTACTCGCCCGCTCCACCAAGACGAGGCGATAACCCAGTCTTGCGCGTTGCCGCCAGGATCTCGTCGAGCGACGGACAACATCGCCGACCATTTGTCGATCCGCCGCGTTTCTCGGGCAGTAGATTCGGGGGCGATGTCCGTCGAGGGCAGGAGTGAGACGGTCGACTGTCGGTTCGGATGGGTGCGAGCGTCGGGTCGGGCTGGCGAAGGTTTTGCGGAGGTGGTCCCGCTCGTCGAAGGTCGAGGCGTCCGCTTTGAGGACATAGACGGAATGGTCGAGAAGGGGGCAGCAGAGAGCGTCGCCAGTCGGTTGTACTGGCTGCCGAGTGCCGCTGGGTGCGATTGCGAGAAGAAGCCGTATCTGCGGAAGTCGGGATGAGCATCAAGTGAGATCGAGCGAGGGAAGCGTTGCTGCTCACCGGTCGACCCGCTTGAGCACGTGGTCCGCCTTCGCTTCTTCCTCGGGGCTCATCGGCAGCGCGACATGCTTCCCTTTCGAAGCAGTTGAGCGGTTCAGTCCTTCCGTCGAGAGGTCTTCCCGCAAGATGATGCCATCTCGACTGCGCTCCTTTCCCTCCGACCAGCCATCTCCCGGCACGCCTTGTTCGTCCAAGCGAGCGTACAGCTGCTGAACAAGAGCTGCGACGCCGTCTGGGTCGGTAAAGCTGGTGAAGGAGGCGCCCGAAGGAGGGTAGGGCGAAGCGTTCGGTGCGGGGAGGTGCGAAGAATTGGACGTGACGTTGGAGTAGGACGACGAGACGGAGAGGCTGTTCGAGTTGGCAAGCGTGCGGTTCGAAGGGAAGGACGGCATGGCGGGCGACGGCTGTGAGGAAGAGCTGGCTGTCGCAAGCTTCTGAGGTGTAGAGTTCTGAGAAGGGGTGGCAGATGCAGGAGGAAAGGCTGCCGCAGAGCTGGATGCCAGCTGCGGAGGATGCGCAAGGATGGCGGGAGGAAAGGCGTCCGTCTGCGCACGATTCCCGTCGGTCGCTACCTGCGGCGGGGTCCTAGAATTGATGCCTCCGTTCCACGAGAAGTTCTGGCCCGCGTTAGACGATGCAACGCTCGAAGTCGACGGTTCTCGCGAGCGAGACTGTTCGGGCGAGTCGTGGGTCGAGGACGGCGCAAGGCTCGTCGTGCGCGGCGGCGGTGTGCTTGCGCCTGTTACGAAGCTGCCCATCACGTTCGACCTGCTCCCCTCGAACTCCTCGACTCCCGCTCCGACGGCACCTGTCGTCCCGGACGGCTTCGAGGAGGTCGACGCTGATGGCTGGACGCTCAACCGCGATCCCCTGCCAGGCGAGCCGTGCAGCTGTATCGCTCTCTCGTCCTCCGACGTCAACGCCTGAGCGATCGCCGACATGCGGCGAGGTCGCGAGCGAGAGGCGGGGTCGTCGACGAGGTCCGGGTGGTGGGGAGGCGCGACGAGCAGCGCCAGCTTGGTCCGCCGCCTGCGTATCGTCTGATGAGCCCCTTCACTGCGCCCTGCTGGTGCGCGCAAGCCCTCCCGACGCCGTGGTCCGCCTCGTGTGTCCGGACGTCCGGTGAAAGCTGATGAAGCGGTGGGTGGCTCAGTCTCGCGTCGTAGGTCGTTGCAACTGCTCGAGCGTGGTCCAGAGGCGTGGGATCTAGCACTCGTGCAGCTTGTGAGCAGCTTGAGCGGGTGTGAGCTGAGCAAGGACACGGCAGAGGTCAACCCCCCTGGAGCCCCTCGAAATTCGCAATGCTCACTCGACAGCTGTTCGCTGGGTGGCGGCGCGAGTAAAGGGGAGCTTCTGGAGTGAGTCGCGTGCGAGAGAGCGGACGAGAGTAAACAACAGATCTCATTTCGTCCCTCATACAGAATTCCCGATAACCGTCCCGAGACCATGACACCGGCAGCTGCACTGCTTAGTACGCAAAACGGAAAGCAGGGTGCTTCTGGTTGAGGTCGGCAATCTCCTGGTCCGTCTTGCCCTCGATGTAGTGGTCGTCCCGGCCATTCTCCTTGGCGCGGTTCTCCTTCCGCATCCAGAGCCAGATGGCGATCGAGAGGATGAGCATGATGCTCGAACCGGCCAGGTTGAAGGCGTTGCCGGGCAGGTAGCGCGGGGCGTGGCGCCTGCGGAGAACGAGAAGGTCAGCGAGTTCGCTCGATGCGGGAGAGTGGCTCCGCGTGAAGGACGACGAGACCGCCGCAGTCTCGACAGCGGAAGGAGGCTGAACGTACGGGAGGAAGGTCCAAGTCGAGATCAATCCGCCGACGTTGCCCATGAAGACAGTCGTTCCGAGAGCGGCGGCCCTCGCCGTGTCGCTCGTGACGTTGGCGGCCGAGAACGCAGTGCAGAGCGAGCCGAAGGAGAAAGCGCCGATGGCGACCATGAAGGCGGCGGCGTAGCGGACGTGGGCGTTCATGGCTGCATACGAAGTGAAAGTCAGCAAGCGACGGAGTAAGGAGAGAGCGGTAGAGGCGTACATCCGATGTCTGCGAAAATGAGAGAGGTCAGCAGCGGTCGCCGAATGATTGGCGGAGCTGTACGTACACATCGCAAAGCCAAGCATGACAAACGGCGCCGACATCATCATGTAGAGCGTGCGGTTGCGCGTCTTCCACGAGAAGTAGCCAGTTGCGAGCGTTGTAAGACTGCCGAGGACGTCTGCAGGTAGTGACGAGTCAGCGCAGACCGCGGGGAGGAGAAAGAAGGCGAGGGCGTACAGGGTGGGACGCTGAGGAGCTGGACGCGGATGGTCGACGACGTCGGGTAGATGGACTTAATGATCGTGGGTAGATAGAAGCCCACCTTGACAAGAATAAAGTGTCAATGAGCTGTTGCGTCGCGGAGAGGACGACCGGGACGCACTCCCTGAACCACAGTGTTGTCGAACAAGAAGATAATAGACGAGGCAATCGTCACCGGGTTGAGAATTCCTGCCCAAACAGCCTTCCAGTGGATTTTGTCGACGACGACAGTCGAACCGACGTTGTCAATCTTGATTCGAGCCTCGGCGAGGGCTGAAGAGAGAACGAGGTCAGCGACCTCCTCGTTTGTTTGGCGACCTCCTCTGCGCTTGGCGACCGTTTGATGTCCGCAGAGCCATTGAGGCAGTAGTATGCTCGGCAGAGAGGACTAGGGAGGGCAAGACGGGCGACGGAAAGACACTCACCCTTCTCCTCCGCCGTGAGCCACCCACACACTTCCGGGCGGTCCGCCAGCACGAACCAGGAGATTATAGCGATGCCCATCGAGATGATTCCCTCAATGAGGAAGATCATGCTGTAGGAAGGGAGTACGAGAGCGTCAGTTCGGGCGCCGTGGACAAACGGTCGACAAGGATGCGCGGCGACTTCGACAATTTGGGCGACAAGGATGCGGGACTGACCGCCATCGCTGAAGCCAGCCAATAGAGTGATCTTGAGGATACCACTGGCCAAGAGACCGCCGACGGCGCCAGCAGCGGGAGCGCAGACGATGTAGCACGAGAGGCGGAAGCCGAGTTCGTCCTTGCGGTAGAAGCGGGAGAGGTAGAAGGCGATGCCGGGGAACACCTGCATTGTGGAGAGCGTTAGCAAGACAGGCGGGCGACCGAAAAAGCGAAACAGAGACGAACAGCTCCCTCAGCAATACCCAGGAGGAAGCGGACGGCGATCGCCGCTCCGAAGGTGTGGACGAACGCCATGGCCATCGAGAAGAGGCTGTATCCGAAGGGTTAGCGTCTCGAAGGAGGCGTGAGGGGGGCGATAAAGCGGACCCGAAGAGGAAACTGAAGATGGGGAGCGTCTTGCCGGGACCGACGGCTTTGTTGATCATCTGGCAGGGGAACTCAAAGGCGACGTATGCGGTGTAGAAGCTGTCATCGGAGGCGCAAGGAAGGTCGGCAGATACGGGTGTCGGAGAGTCGAAGAGAGCAGAGAAGCGGAGGGGAAGGTTAGCCTTGCGGACGACAGGCGGCTCGGACTGACGACGTACGCGGTGAGGAGGATGTTGTAGTCGTAGCCCTTCAAGTGCAAGTCCTTCTCGAGACCCGCGACACGAGCATTGCCGATGTTGGCTCTGCAGAAGATCAGGACTTGTCAAACGAGGCGGACGCAGTGGAGATGGCTTCGAACAGGACGTACCGGTCAATGAAGCAGAAGAGATACATCAACGCGACGACTGGGAGAATCCGAATGTCCATTTTCCGGCGCAGGCGAGCCTCTGCTGCCGGGTCGATGTGAATTAAGGCGTGGCCATGTTTGTCGGTTGCGACGTGGCCGTGAAGAGCGACTTCTTCGACTGCGATGAATAGAGTGTCAGTTGGAGTAGCACGGAGACGCGTGAGAGACGCAGGGAGGGTGGACGGCGCCACGAGACTGCCGCCCCTTTGACAACGCCAGACAAGGAGGCGAAGGATGGACGCACCCTGGTGGATAGATTGCTTCTCTGTGTCGATGTCGGACGCCGACATTGTAGCTGGCAGTCGTAGAATAGCTCCGGAGGACGAGCGAAGTGCAGGAAGAGGAGCAGCTAAGGCGGAGGGAGACGGCGGGCGAGGTTGAGCGCGGTGCGGGGGTTGCGGGGGCGCGACTGCAATCTGCCGGAGGCCCACAGGAGCCCTTCACAACGCACAGGAACGAGCAATCGAGAGAGAGGTCCAGAAGCGTGGGCGATCTTGGCACTTCCCTCGCCCTCCGTCTCGAAAGAATCGCGCGTGCCCGTGCGAAGTTTTGCAGGCCTTGCAGCGTTTGCTGGAGTGCATTGGAGAGTGTGCACGGACGCTCGCAAGGAGAAGCGTTCGCTTGAGAAGGTCAAGGGGGCGAAGTTGTCCTCCTCGAGCAGCGACAAGGGGGCTCAATCGACGTCCTGGAGTGCTCACGCCTCCAAACGGCGTCCAGTCCGCCGCATTTGTCGTTTCTGAGCGCGTGCGGAACTGCGAGTGGCGCCAGAGGCAGCCACGAGAGCACTCGGATGAAGGATTGCGCACCGGTCATCGAGCGACGGGACGACTGGCTCCGGGACGAGTTCTACCGACCGCCTGCAGATGGCAATCGACCTTCTGGAACGCTGGAAGGGCGAGTCTCCAGACGGAGAAATCGTCGGCAAGTGACCGGCAGCCTTGGCGAGGCGGAGCGCGGCTACCGCCAAAGTCCCGCGTTGCCTTTGCGCACGACTCGTGCTGCCTTCGACGCATGCCGCGATTTCGATTTGCCTGCGAGCGATCCCTCCACGAACCCTGCAAGCCTCGAGCGTCGCGAGCAGCCATTTTTGAAACGACGAGGCAGATGGTCTCGCCGTCGCAAGAGGCCAGGTTCGGGGCAACGTTCGTACAATACAGGCGCATGCGTATCGTAAAAGAGTCGACGGGAAAAGGAATGGAAGAGCGGAAGCCGTGCTGCGGGGAGAATGATACAGAGGGTGGCGGAGGAAATCGAATGCGTGCAAGGTCGTGGTTGTCGCGCTGTTAGGCGGCGAGGAGTTTTCTCTAGCCCCTCGAGTGAGTCGATCAGCGAGCAGGGCTGGGGCTGGCGGGAGGCGAGCGAGCTGCGACGACCGAGTTGCGGGGCGACGAGGGGGACCGCGGCGACTCGTTCCCAGCCACCTTCTCCGCGAGCTCCTCCATCGACTTGTCGTCCTTGCTCATCGCCTCGCGGATCATGCTGATCGTGTTCTCGAGACTCCTGCGGCGCGTCGACGGACTCGTGCGCGTCGTGCCCAAGGAGCTCTGGCGGCGGTGGTGTCGCCTGAACGGCGCCGACCCGTCTGCTCCAACGACGGGGCTGCCGACGGGCGAGGGCGAACCAGACCCCATAGGCGAATCCTTCTCGCTCGTGGGCGTCTCGACCATCGGCGAGCCAGGCTCCCTCGCGCCAAAGTCGGGTGACGCGGCACCAGCAAGGTCGGGAGAGGTGGGTGCAGTCGAGGCGGGACCGGTAGGGAGAACATCTCCAAACACGTCTGAGCCGGAGAGACCCTCGTCGCCCGAACTGGCGGCAGCGGCAGCGACGGCGTCGAAGTCTTCGGGGTCGATGAGGTCGGGCGGGAGGTGCTCGTTGTCGATGTCGGACTTGCGCGCGTCCTTGAACGTCGTAATCGAGTTCTTGATACCGTCGGCGCCATTCGCGAGCGTGTCGTAGGGAAGCTTGGTCGTGCCCGAGACGTTCTTGAGCTCCGAGACAGTTTCCGACTCCTCTCTGCGACACACCACAACAGACTGTCAGCATGGCTGAAGTCGCGCACGCATTCCCAGCACGAGCTGCTGCTGAGGTCAGAAGCGCGACGCACCGGAGAACCGAGAAGATCTTCGACATCTTGCCGACCGCGAGAATCTTGCTCTTGATGGCCGCCCTGCGCTCCGCCAGCTCCTCCTCTGCACGTCCGCCACACCAGAGCGTCAGTGATTCTGCTCCAGAGAAGAGAAGAGACGAGGCTGCACGCACCGGTCGCTTCAGGCTCGATCTCCTCGACGACCGCACCCTCGGCAGGTTCCTCCTCCATCTCCTCCTCTTCCTCGTCGAGCTCTTCTTGCGTGCAGATGCCGAGCATGGCGATGAGCATATCGGTGACTGTGGAACGGGACAAGGGCGTGAGCGATACATCCAAAAGTACCTCCGCATCCGTCCGTCATCGCAAAGCGACCGGCAGACAGCGGGAAAGACCGTGTCCGACTCACTCTTCTCGCCCACGAACGGCAAACTCCACGTGAAGACGTCCATAAAGTTGGGCAACCAGTACGGGTGAGGCGAGCAGTTGAACTGGCGAATGTTCATTACGTTGTTCTCGTACTTGAGCACGGCGGCCTTGTTGTTGTAGACGTCGAGGTAGTTGGGAGCGGAGAAGATGGTCATAACGGAGGGGAAGCCGGTCGTCTTGGTCTTGCGGTACATGCGGTAGCTGCGGGGCGCGCGCGAGTTAGGCGGATGAGAGGAGGGACGGCTCGAGGACGACGCACCCGGCGTCCTGCGCCTCGTGTGCTCGGATGATACTCAGCAGCCCGTTGCGCTCGAGGAACTGACATGCTGCCGTGTAGCTGCGGAGGAGAAGCAAAGTCAACGCTCCGGTCAGAGTGCAGGCGGCTCGTCCACGATCACCGCGCGGAGCCACCATTCAAACCGACGCGTGCACTCACGTGAAGAAGTACGAGCACCCTCGAACGTGATTGTGCACGAAACCATCGTTGTTCTTCTCGTTGCCGAACTCTTCGAGCGGGTCGGCCCAGAGGATGTCGCACATGAGGCCGTGGGTCGGGGGTTCACGGAAGCGGTTGATCTGCGCAGGTCGCCAAAGGTCGTCAGCTCTACTCAGGACACAAAAGTCCGTGAGGTTGAGCGAAGGTCCGAGGCGGGACTCACGGCGCGCAAGTCGTCGAGAGTGTTGAGCTCAGGCGAGAGACCGCCGTGGATGCAGAGGAACTGCTTGTTCATGACGGCGGCGAGCGGGAGGGTGCAGAACGACTCCATGCAGGCGTTGTAGACCTCTTCCGAGTACTTGTGCTTGCCTGCGCGACCAGTCGAAGTCAGCGGGTTCTGAGCGGAGGAAGAACTCGACGCACATTCAAGCTTGAAGGTGAAGTAGTCGGTCAAGTGGCGGCACTCGTGGTTCCCTCGCAGGAGGAAGAGCGTCTTCGGGTACCAGATCTTGAGCGCCCACAAGTACAGCACGCACTGCAGGAGGAATTGTGTCAGTACGTCGATCCGTACAGACATCTAACCGCGACGAAAGCTTATCACGCCGACGCAACGGCAGAAGCCTGGACGAAGCGAACGCACCTCGATGGAAAAGTAGCCACGGTCGACGTAATCTCCCAAGAACAGGTACCGCGTGTCCGCCGGGTTCCCTCCCACCTCGAACAGCTTCATCAAGTCGAACTGTCGCAGGCCAAAACGAGCAGAGGAAGGTCAGCAAGAAGCGGAGAATATGGAACCGGGCGAGAAGAAGACGCACATACTGCCCATGGATGTCGCCGCACACTGCAGAGTGGTCGTCACGTCAGCATGAGTGAACAGAACGCAGGAGAAGGGTGCAGGGTGAGTGACAGGGGAACGCGACTGGACGAACCTGTGATGGGAGCATCGACCTCGAGCAAGTTGGGCTCCTCGCGCAAGATCTTGCTCGCCTCTTGGATGATGAAGAGGGCCTGTCGGAGCCGACGGAGCAGCACAGGAGAGCCCAGCAGCGAGTCAGTTGACAGTCGTCCTTCCCCCACCTCGCCGCGCCACCTCGAGTCGCCAGCTCGCCCTCGAGAGGGCGGCGCAGACAGCAGAACGTCGGACGCACCTGCTCGTCGGTCAAGCGACCCTCGCGGTAAAAGTGGTTCTTCAGGAAGGCGACGTTGGGCTTTGTGCGCGTCTCGTCAGAGTAGAACTGGTCGTCTGTCGGCTTCTGGAACGCGGGCGCCTGGACCTCGCGGACTATGCGTGTCTTTGTGTTGTGCGTGATGCCCTCCTCGTTCGTGTAGGACGTGAAGTCGATGGAGGGGAGGCGGGTGCGGCGGTTGTGGACTGCGTGCAGCGCCGCCTGGGTCTGCTGCCTTCGCTGGTCGGACGTGGGGGCCATATCGGGACGCTGGCGAGATGTAGCGCGGTCGCACGAGCCTGGCACGAGCGAGGGAGCGTCTGTCGAGCGAGCGAGAGGCGTCGTGCGGTGGAGAAGAGCGAGAGGAGCGAGCACCCGACCACGCCAACCTCGCAGAGTGACTGGCTAGGCTGCTCTGCTTGACCGTGACACTCTATCGGCCAGGTCTGTTGCGCCAGCACACCAAGGGAAGCGAGTTGCGCATCCTCTCTTGCTCTTTGTGAGAGACAGCGATGACAGCAACATCGTTCTGCAGGCCGCTGGTGAGCTTGTACGGCCTACAAAAGCGTTGATGCTGCCCTACGGAGAGAGCTACAGCCATTCCGCAACGACTTGAGCGCGAGACGGACCCTCTTTCACCCTCTCACCACCCCACATCATTGCTGGTCCTGTTCAACGCGCGCCGCTGCTGCTCGAAGCACTCGAAGCGACTACTGCTGAGCCTCGCGACGAATTGTGACGCGACTGACGGCTCCTGCACTGCTGCGGTGACTATCGAGAGGAGCGAGGTCCGTTGACATCGAGGAGGCTGGAGAGAGGACGAGGTGCGCCGGAGCCTGTCTGCGCCGTACACGCCCAACTGACACGGTCTGGCAACATGACAGCCATGCCCGACACTCCCGCCGAGTCGACACCGCGACCCTCCTCCCTCTCCGGACCCGAGTACCTGAGCGCCCTCGCCCGCTTCATCAAGCAGCACGAGTCCGCTCTGGCCGCCTACTACGCTCCAAGACCCAAACGACACCAAGTAGCGACCGCCCCATCCTGGACGACCGTCCTCTCGCTCGGGATCCTCCCTGGACCCGAAGTCCCTCTCTCCCCTCCTCCACCACCGCGCAAAGACCCGCTCGTCCTCAACTTCGACCCTCACCATCTCTACTACCTCCTCCTCAAGCTTGACGAGCTGGGGATTGCAGGGCTGGGGGACCTGGATGTCAAGGTCGAGGGAGGGACGAGTCGGCCGATGATGGTCGATTATTCGGCTATGCCGGGCTCAGCAAGCGGCGGCGCAAGTCTGTTCGGAGGCATGCCAGGCGCGGGGATGCTCGGGCTTGCGAAAGGAGACGACGCGCGGTCGGTGCGGAGCGGCATGTCGAGCTTCTCGTTCGGCTCAGGATGGTGGGGACTCGGCGGGAAGCAGCCGGTGCAGGAGGACGAGGCGACCAGCGTTCGGTACATCTACTCGTCATGCACGAAGCTTCCGGCACTCAAGCTCGCCCCCTTCCGCCTCGTCTCGTCTTCCGCGAACGGCAAAGACACCATCCCGGCTTTGCAGAAGGCCGTCGACGGCTTCGAAGACTGTCCGCCAGACGCGACTTGCGTCCCCATGCTCGCGTTCAAGAACCTCCAGTCGCTCGTGCTCGAGGACCTCGACCCGCGAGGATTCCTCGGATGGGACGTTCTGAGCGTGCAGCTGCGGAGCCTCGAGGTGCATCGTGGAGGAGTTGAGGACATTGGCGAGTTGATCTGCGATGCGCCGTGCGAAGACTGGGCGAGGCGGGCGCAGGAGGAGAGGCGGAACAGGCCGGTCGGGACGGAGCGTCGAAGACGGGTGGAGGGCGCCATGGAGTCCTCGCTCGCTGCTCTCCCCGCTTCCAATGGCGACGCAGCCTCTACGGCCTCACCCTACCCGACGCCGCCAAAACTCGCCTGGTCCTCGCTCCGTCACCTCTCGCTCTCCGACAACTCGCTGACCTTCATCCCCTCCACGCCACTCACCTTTCTCCCGACACTCACTTCTCTCGACCTATCCTCGAACCTGCTCATCTCTATCCCCACCGGTCTGGCACACCTCACCTCCCTCCGCTCGCTCAACCTCCGCGACAACATGATCGACTCGCTGCTCGGTATCTCGCAAGCTATCGGCGCCGTCGAAGTACTCAACCTTTCCGGCAACCGCATCGACAACCTCTCGGGTGTCGACCGCCTGCCTGCGCTCGTCAGGCTCGACGTCAGGGACAACAACGTCCACGAGGCGCTCGAGGTCTCGCGGCTCGCGACGCTGCCGCACTTGCGCGAGGTCTGGGTTGCCGGGAACCCTTTCGCGAGGAAGCCGAAGGAAGGGGGCGAGGACAATTGGCGAGCAAAGTGCTTTGGCTACTTCCTCGAGGAAGAAGCGCACGGGCACCGTGATGCGACCGTCGGCGAGATCTGGATTGACGGGGCGGTGATCTCGTCGAGCGAGAAGAAGCTCGTCGAGGCGGACTTTCGCAGGCGCGGGACGCCACTTGGCCGGCGACGGGCGAGTGCTGGAGCGGCAGAGAGGGTGGCAGAGTCGAGGAACGGGCAGGCAAAGGTCGTTGGCAGGCGAGTCGTCACGACGCCGCATCGCGCTCACGCGCCAGCTCGACCTGCTTCGCCCCCGCCTCCGCTGCCAAACGTTTCTGCGGGCGCGCCGACACCTGATGCCGCGCAGCCAAGGCAGTCGCCAGTCAAGCCGAAACGGCGCAAACCTCGCCGCATTGTCGACCTCGACGCCGACCCTTCCCACCCCGACTCACCTCGCCCTTCCATCCAGGTCCACACATCCGACAGTGACACTCTCCCCTCTTCCGGCGCCGAACGCACGCGCGCCCTTCCAGCCGGTTCTTCCTCCTCTCCCGCCAACTCACTTCGCAACACCACCTCGTCCTCGCCCTCAAAGCGCCGCGAACATGTCTCCCTTGGCACGTTCCACGAGCCGGCGTCGCCCGAGTCGGGCGGCGAGGCGTTCAGGAAACGCATCGAGGCGCTGCGGGACGAGGTGGGCGAGAGCTGGTTGAGCGTGTTGGGCGAGCGAGAGGCGCGGGCGGAGCTGAAGCGCAAGGAGCTGGAAGAGCAGCGCAGAAACGGAGCGGCCGAGTCGTCTAGCGCGCCGACGCTCGTGAAGGGTACGCCGAAGCCGGAGCAGGCGAAGGATGTTGAGGTCGTCGCGCCTGTGCCTGTCAAGCCTGAGGAGGCGCCCGTCGAGCCCGCGACGTCGCCTGCGGCAGAGGTTGCACCTGTCGTTGCTCGTCTCGAAGACGAAGCGAAGACGCCGGCGCAGGAAGAAGGCGACAATGGCGAGACGGCCAATCATCCGTCTGGTCCGTCCGCACCGGTCGCAGAAGCCGCAGAGCCCGAAGCGATCCCTACAGTCGTCAAGAGCGGGCGGAAGAAGAAGGGCAAGGGGAAGAAGAAGGGAGGGCGGTGAGCGGTGCACGCGTTTGCTCTCGAGTCTCTTGTTGTCATACCATACGCTCGCGCTCGCACACTTGACCGCTTCGGGTGCGAGAAGCCTGAAAGCGCTGCTTGTCTTACGGATCCATTGCGGCTGCCCCTGCTCTTCCGCCCAAACACCTGATGTACAAGTCCGCTCGACGCCGCGATGACGCCAAGCGAACGGGCAATGCTGATTAAACGAGAACAAGGGAAGCAGGGGAAAGAGTTGAGTGGTGCTGTGTGCGTGGACGGGGAATAAAGGTATGGCGAGGGAAGGCGGTTGTGCAGGCGAGGCGAAAGAAGCGGAGGAAGCGGATGTCTAGGGTCAGGCGCCGACGAGTTGAGGAGTCTGGCCGGGAGGAGGAGCGGATTGTTCGGGCAGCTGCCAGAGCAGAGGCAAGGTCAGTCGAGTCTAGAGGAAAAGGGGCTAAAGGGCGCACCAGAGGCGAGATGGGCTTGTTGCTCTCCGCGAACAGCCTGCCAGGATGGTAAGGATCAGTTTGCGAGCGATCGAGAGTGAGAAAGGGCAACGCACCGTCCAACGAGAACACCAACACCCTCGAACACACCGAGGAGGATACCGCAACCAATGGCCGATCCGAGCATACCCTTGGGACCGCCTGTACGCTCGGATGGTCAGCACGTGCATCTCGGAAAGCAGTGAGGAGGAGAACGCACTTCGCACCGCCAGAGTTCCGCCCGTCAAGAATCCGGAGATGATGGCGTTCCAAGGGTCCTCCTTCTGCCTGTACCCCTTGACCGCGCAGTCGAACGACGAGAAGAGACCGCCCCAGACACCGAAGTTTCCGCCAACGACTGGTGCGCGGGCCTTGATCGCCGAAAGCGAACCGAGGAGACGGTCACCGCGAGGCGAGTTGCGTGCGCCCTTGATGCCGTGCCAGACGGTTCCTCCTACTGCTCCCATGGCGCTGTAGACACACATGCAACACTCAGGTCAGCTTTCTGACGGTCGTGTGCGCTGCACCGCCTGCCGAGCTGAGGAGGAGACGATACGCACAATGCACCACCGAAGTCGTTCAGAATGACCCAGGGGCTGCGAGATCATTCAGTATTGGTTTGAAGGTGCACGACAGGGCGAACGGCGGGGACAGATGCGGGAGAGACGGCGATGGATGAGAACGGAGAGATCAGCTTCGCTCAGCACAACGGCTCGCCTGGACGGGCTTCCAGCGCACCAAGGGTCCCGAGTGTGGTCGCTGTGAGCGCATCGAGGTCAGCACTGCCGCTCGGAGAGTGTCCTTCGCCAGATGAGATGGGACGCACTGCCTCGACATGACTTTTGGTGAGCGCTGACGGGCTGGCTAGGCGGTGGACGGTTCAGGCGAACGGATCTAGCGTGAGCTTGAGCTGCAGCTGGCAGTAAGCGCGGGCGAGCGGTGTGCAGCGGTGACGGGTTGTCAAGTGGCGCCAGAGAAGCTTGCGAGACCTTCGCCACGACAAGTGTGCAACAACCTCGACTACGAGCAACGGGCTCGCTCTTGCGGCCGAACAGACACACAGAACCTCGCCGACGTTGCGGTGCATGTCACGGAAGCCAGAGTTACACGGACGAAGCGGTCTACTCGTCTCTTTCTAGTCCGCCAGACCGCCCGCCTAGAGGAACGGCTCGACGTCGAACTCGAGCGAGCTGCACGGGTAGTCAAGCTCGTACGCCTTGAGGACAGACGGGTGGAGGATGCCGAGGCTGCCGATCTTGATGTCGCGCACAGTCGTCTTCGAAGCGGCCTTCGTCGCGACAGAGGGAAGGGCCGAGGCGAGCGCATCCTTGATCGTGTCGAGCGCGCCCTTCTTCGCCGAGTCGTCCTGCTCCACCTTCTTCGCGGGTTGCGAGGGCGCCAGCGTCGAAGTCGGCGCCTGAGGAGGCGTCGAGGCGGGTGCGGCCTGCGCGTCCTCAAGATGCGTCGAGGCGGTCGGTGCGAGGACGGCGTGCACCTCACCAGCGGTACCGGGGCGGTAATAGATGTCGGCGGACCGGCCAGGGAAGTAGGTGGCATCTGGGTCATGAAATAGTCAGCGTCTTTATTGCGAAGGACTGGCCAGCGCAAAGCTCACCCTCGGACGCCTTGATGTAGTACCCTGCCTCGCTCGAGCTGCTCTCCGTCACAAGGTTCTTGATGCCAAGCCCCAGCATGAGCCTGTCCAGCAAGCCGTGCACAACCTCGAACCCAGCCTTCCTGCCGCAGAAGACGGCACCGAGACGGCGAACGTTCCGGGCCTGTCGCTCCTCCTGCGGGTCCTTGACGACGACGTCCGAGACCTCGAAGATGCGGAGGGGGAGAGTGTGCTTGCGGTTCTCGCGGACCGACTTGAGCATGCCGGGCAGGAGCGAGGTCCGGACGATCTGGTACTCGATCGTCTTCGGGTTGGCAAGGACGACAGCGAGGTCTCCAGGGTCCTTGCGGTTCAGGAACTTGAAGTTCTCTTCGTGCGAGCACTGCGGGTGGGAGTGTAAGCGTGGCGAAGGACTACAGGTGAAGGCCGAACACGCACCAGGATGAGCGGGAGAACCTCAGTCCAGCTCGCCTCCGAGCACAGTCGCCTGAGGATGTCGCTGAGCTTGTTGATCGGGAACGGCTTGGCGACGGTGTTGGTGTGAGGGAACGTCTTCTTGAGGTTGTCGAAGCCGTACGCAATCGCAACTTCCTCCATGATGTCACACTCGTGCAGAATGTCAGGCCGGGTGGGAGGAACGTAGACGTGAATCTCGTCTTCGGGCGCGATCTGGAGGGAAGCCTGGGCATTGAGAGGAGAGAAGTTGGGGTGGTTGTCGGGAGTGTTGGCGGCGTGGCCCATCTTGCGCAGCTGCACGATGATCTCGTCGCGCGAGAGCTTAAGACCGGTGCACGAGTTGATGTAGGAGGCGCGGGCGACGAAGGGGCGGGAGGTGAGGGGAGGCGAGAGAACGGTGCGGGGTCCGCCGGTGCATCCCTGCTCGTAGACGACGTTGACAGGCTCAATGCTGCGACCGGAAGTGAGGTGAGCGAGTCTCTCGTTCAGCGGGTGCTCGCGGGCTCACATGAACGGCTCTGAGCAGTACTCGGAGAACATGGTCACGATCATGTCGACAACGATGTCGAGCTTGGTCTGATCCGTAGCCGTGACGTCGATGAAGACGTTCTTCGTGTCGAGCGTGATCTTGGTGTGGTCCGAGTTGATCTGTGACGAAGAGGCGAGTCAGCCACGCATAGCAAGAGGCAAGGGACATGGACGCACGATCGGGGGCATACTCAGGACTTGTCGGCTGCTGTCGTAGATGATGGGGTACACAGGCGAATCCTCGACGATATGCAGGTAGCGCGAGAGGTGCTTGTCCTCCTGCAAAACCGAAGGGCGGTTAGCCGGGCTCATGCGACATCCTCGGTTAAAGCACCTTGTAGAGCGCCATCATCTCCTCCGCCGTGTACTCCTGCGTCTTGTTCAGAGGCGCGAACTTGATCTCCTTGGGTGGCAGAGCCTGTTGGGAGCGACTGTGAGCCTGAGGCAACCCGCAGGAACAGACAACGCCGCACCTCGTAGGTAATGTCTCCCGGCGCAATCTTGTCGAGGTCGTGAGTACCGATAGCGACGAGGGTACGCCTCCGCGCCAAGTTCTGATGCAGCTTGTCCTGCAGGTCGATGAAGCTCGCGTAGTTGAGCTTGTCGAACTTGACGTTGCGGAGGATGGCCGAAGCGAAGTAGGGGCGGATTTGCGAGGTCTCGGCCTTGACACGGACGGTGCGAGCCTCACCCTGCATCCAGAAGACGTCAACGAGTAGTCCAAGCGAGGCTGCGGGGAGTGGACGAACGGCCGGAGCATGCTTGAGGGCGTAGGTGGGAACGCCCGAATCGGGTGAGAGGTACAGCTTGAGGGCTCGCGCAATACCCTCAATGCACAGCAAGTCGTAGCGGTTGGCCGGCACCTCAATCTTGAGCTGGTGAGGTTCGCCAGCGGGATGGTCGGGGTCGGTAGTCGTCTGAGCGGAGGAGCGAGGTTAGCTGGGTTACCGCATTCGCCAAGCTCATAACATGCACGCACGTCCTCGTCAAGCTCGAGACCGTACTGGAAGAGGAGCTCGTCGAACTCCTTGGTCGCTGTTCGAGTCGAAAGGAAGATTTGAGCTCTCCGCCGCGCTAGTCCGCCCAGGGGAGGCTGCGACGCACTGTACTCCCTCCCGAGCCTCCTGAAGAACTCGACGCGGTCCACGGTGACGGTCGGCATGGCTGTTGAGCGGTTGTGTCGGCGAGCGATGAAAGTGGTGGAGTGGTCGAAAGGATGCGAGCGAACGGGCGAGCGACTGGCGGTGCTAGAGCTGGTATTCGGCGTCTACAAAGCTGCCTGTAGCTTTCTACGAGCTTGCACGAGCCGAGCAGCGAGTTGTGCGCGAGTGGTCCTGCTGAAGGTCAATCCGCGAAGACATGCTCCGAGCATGCACCCCTTGCGATGCGTTTGCGTTCTCTCCTTGACAGCCAAACGGTAAGAAGGCGGAAGCTCAGAGCGCGAATAGAAAGACCGCGCTTTCCGAGCGAGTCGAGCAGGGGACACTTCGAGGAAACGATTGTACGGACACTCGACGAGCGCTGAAGAGGACAACATTGCATGCAAGAGACGATAAATCGTCCAGGAGAGTGTAGGAGACGATCTGGGCGGGAGGGAGAATCAGCTCAGCCGCGAAAAGTGTCGTTCCGACTGAGGGAACACTCACCACCGCCAGTTCGGGTCCGCCGGATGCCGCTCGCGGTCGCCATAAGGGCTGACTTGGGGAGGCAAGCCGTACCCGGGGATAGCACCGACATGAGGTTGAGGCGCGTGACCGGCCTGGCCGATAGCGCGATTCGCCGTCGGGTGCTGTTGCTGCGCCTGCTGAGGCGTCGCCTGCTGCTGTTGTGCTTGCTGCGCCTGTTGCGCCGCTTGCGCTGCCTGCATTTGCGCCTGCGCCTGCATCTCGCGCGCCGTCATCGGTTTCCGCGCCAAGCTCCTCCCTACTCGCTCGTCGCAGGTCGCCGAGAAGCCCGCGATGACCGCGAGCTCCCAATCCTCCGCGGCATCCATGTTGACCTCGCGCTGCGCCCGCTCCTGGTCCCGCGAGAGGTGCTCTGCCTTCTTCTTCCCGCCTTCCTCGCCGAAAAAGATCGAAAGACCCTTGCCCTCGGTCTCCCACAGAGGCGCCGCAAGCGACTCAAGCTGAGCCGCAGAGAGGCCTTCGGGGTCGATGAAAGGCTTCTTGCGAGTGGCTCGGAGGACGGCGTGGACGACACGAGCGGGAGGAGGCGGATGCGGGCCATGGTAGTAGGCGTCGGCGGACCAGTCGGGCGAGAGGTCGAAGACGAGGTCGTAGCAGTGTGCAGGGTCGATGGGCTGAGCCTCTTGCCGGCGCCTCTTGCGCGACTCGTCCTTCCCCTTCTCGAGTGCAGGAGTACCGCGACCCGAGGCGAGTCCAGGCGTACCCTCCGCCCCAGCCTCCTCGTTCCCGCCATCCGCCTGAGCTTCGTCCTCATCTTCTGACGGATCATACCGCATCTTCTTCCGCACTTCGAGCTCGTCTTCCTCCTCCTCCGCCTCGAGGTCGCGCTCGTCCAGCAGCGGCGAGCTCCCCCTCCTCCGCCTGATCCGCCCATGCCGCCCGCGCATAGACGCAGCGTGCTCCTCAATCTGTTGTGTGACGGCCAGCGTCTTGTGCTCGTAGAGGTGTCGAAGCGCAGAGAGTTGCTGGGAGCGGAGGTAGCGCGAGAGAGACTTGGGATCCGCGGGTAGAAGGGTAGGCGGCACGGCGCTCGTCGTGAAGGATGCGTAGGAGGCCATGGTGGGCGAGTCGCGCTGCTTGAGCTGCTTGTCAGTCAAGAAGCGGTCGAGAGATGAGGAGAAGGTGGGGAGGCGCCGACTTACGAGGCGGCGGCGGGGCGATGTGAGACTGCGGGACCCAGTCGAGCAGGTGTCTAGCAAAACGTTGCACGACCGAGCAAGCGTTTCGCAAGCGAGCAAGCGGGTTGAAGGTGAGCAGTTCCCGGTCAAGCGGTCAAGAACGGGTTCGCCGTCGTCCACAACCTCCCGCGGCTCGAACGGACTGGCAGAACAGCTGAAGCAGCTTTACAGACAATCAGTGACTGCGCCATGGTGCGCACTTAGTCCCTCCTGCCCCAGTCCCCGCGACTCTCGCTCAGCGCCTTTCTCATCGCCGCAATGACAGGCGTCCTCTCTCTCGCCCGCCTGCAACGCTCCGAAGCATCACTACGACACCTGCTTCAACCACTGGCTCAAGTCGTACCTCACCCTCATCGCGCCGCCTCTCTCGAACCCCTCGGACACCCCCGCCGGCATGAAGGAACGTGAGAAGCGGAACAAGGCCATCGAGGAGAAGAAGCAGGAGCTCGAGACAAACTGTGGAGCGGCGTACAAGGACTACCAGAACTGTCTGCGGGTGCGTGCCTCCCTTTCGGCGGTTTCTGAGGGGACCTTCGCTGACCCTCTGCCCTTCGCTCCCCATCAGACGGCCATTCAAGGCATCGAGGACCTCCCCGAACTGCTCGACACTGCACGACGAGAAGAGCCTCTCGACGGATGGGGCGGAATCAAGGTTGCGACGGAGAACGACCTGAAACGATGAGGCGGCGCGTTCGAAACGGGAGACACTCGCCGACTCTGCAGCCCCCGCATCGCCTACTCCTGCGCAACTTGAACATCAACGAAGTGCACTGTTGTAACATCGTCCGGCGTTCCTCCAGGAAACCCCCACTGCCTTTGGCTCGCGGCGACTCTGCATGACCTCCTCGCTTGCTCTGCGCGGGCCTCCTTCCGGTTCTCCAGGCGTTCCTGTGGCTCTCGATGGAGCCGACCTCTAGTCGTCGAGCTCTCGTGCTCCCAGCCAGCACTAATGGGCGCTCCTCCCTCCTCCCTCGCTGCCCTTTCGCTGGGTCTCCACGGCGAATCGACCGTCGTACGCCTCCTTCGCCCGTCCGAACGTCTCTGGGAGGGGTTGAGAGACGGAAGGAGAGAGCATAGCCTGATTTCAGCGAGGTCTTGAGTAACTGGCCTTTGCACACGACCCTGCCTTCGCTTCTTCTCCTCTTCCCTTCACTTCACTATGTCCGTGTCGCTGCTACGCTCCCGCTTGAGCCACCTTGCTCGCTCGCGAGTACCTCTGCGCACGCCGCTCGCATCCCGCACCGTCCCCGCCGCCAGCTTCACCTCCTCAGCTCCTCATCACAACGCAACTCCGGACTGGGAGCAGCTCGTCGGCGGCCGCGCCGGGATCGAGCGGAAACGGCAGCAGTTCGAAGAGAAGTATCGAGCAGCGCTAGAGGCCAAGGCCAAGGCGGAAGGGCTCAGTGTCGACGAGCTCAAGGAGCGGGTCAGAACTTCGAACGTCATGGCCGCGCGACCGGAAACGACAAAGTCGGCCGGGCAGGAGTCGCTGGGACCGGTTGAGGCGGGCAGTATGGACCCGAGGAAGTCGGAGGAAGAGCTCAAACAGCCAGAGGTTGTCAAGCCGTTGCCGTCGGCCGAGGAGCAGGGAGGAGCGAAGGCGGAACAGGCGTCGAGGCAGGGAGACAGCCCCGTCAAGGTGCGTAGAGGCTCCCACAGGATGGAAGAGACTGTCGTGAAGCTAATGTGCGAATTCTGCAGCCTCTGAACGACATCATGGACCTCTCGAAGGCGTCCGACCTGACGACTCCGGCTCTCTCGCAGCTGTGGACTGCGTACCACCAGTCCAAGGGGTTCCTGTCCGCCGCCGTGCCAATGGAGACGTACTTGCGGATGATCAACAGCGCGCGCAAGTACCCTCTCTTCGTCCTGCCGCTCGCGCGAGTCGCAGAACTCCCTGAGGGTCAGGAGGATGCGTCGGCGACGGAAATGCACCTTCTCGTGCGTCAAGTTTCTCTAACCGTTATCTCGCAGAAGCGTCTGACGTCCGCTTTCGCGCGCAGGAATGGTCGCTGCTGCCTCAACCCGCCGGCGTCAACGAACCCGTTCCTCCGCCCTCGACCGTCCTCTTCACCCCGCTCGCCGAGTACAAGGCTCGCCAAGAGTATGCTCAGCCCTACCTCATCCTCACGCACTACACCGACCTCGCCAACTCGCACAACGTTGTCCTCATGCGCGGCGAGATTACGCCGAACGTTGCCTTGAACTCGACAGACGCCCAAGTCCTCGCCGTCCGCATGCAGCTCTTCTACAACGACACGGGCAAGGGCGGCGACATTGAACAGGCGCGGAGAGAGTTGTTGAGGACGTTCCACGAGGCGCCGGAGGAGTTCAATGTCGAGGCGCTCATCAAGGCTGGCTCGATCTCGGAGCTCTCGCCTTGAGGCGCGCGCGCTCGAGCAAAAGTAGATGGAATGCTGTCTACCTGACTAGAATAACAACGAGTATCGCAGTGACGACCCGTTCTTCAGAACGAGCGACTCTTCCTGGTCTCCTCTTTCCTCTTTCCCGTGTGAGATAGTATCTGCCCGCCTCCAATAAGATGTCCAATGCGTCTAGCGTGCTTTCAGGCCAGAAGAAGCTGTCGACACCAGCATACGAGCCCCTCTCCTCCTTCTGCCTCGTCCCCCTCTCCTCCTTCTGCCTCGTCCCCCTCACCGCTCCCGCTTGACGTCTGCGATGCCTACTATCGAAGACTACAGCGACCCCGAGGACATGGACCTCGACCTCTCGAGCGTGCCCCCTCCCGCTCCCTCAGCCGCCGCGAAGGGCAAAGCACCCGCTCTCCCCGCCGACTTGCTGGGACCCGAACCAACGATTCCCAAGGCGCTGTGGGTGCACCCGGACGCTTCACTGGGTAGACCACCTCACAACGACTGGACTGGGTGAGTAGCTGGGTCTCACGCTGCGAGGTTTCTCGTTCGCTGACCTCGTCCACCCACGCGACAGATGGGACACCCTGTACCCTCTCTACGCCGACGCGAAGCGACCGCAGCAGGATGGAGGACGCCGTGTGAATGCCAAGCTTGCGTTACAGTGGCCCCTTGCGGAGCAGATGGCAAAGGCGTGCCGGGCACTGGGCTTCGAGGCGGTCTTCGAGGTGTGTCCCCTCTTCATCTCGCGCAAACGCTTGCTTTGGACTCACTTTGCTACGCGCAGCCCTTGAAGACGCATCCGAAGGACTGGGAGAATCCGGGACGGGTGAAAGTGCACCTCAAGGGCGAGGATGGCAAGCCTCGCAATCCGGCCATCAAGAACAGTCCGTACACTCTCTCCCTTCTCTTGTTTCTTGACTTACGATTCAATTGACAGAGCGCATCCTGCTCGCCCGGATTTGCGCCCTGCTCGGCCCTCACCAGCCGCACGCGCCCGCACCCACCGAAGACAACCCTCACCCTCTTCCCCCGATTCACCTCCGACTTCCCGCAAACTCCCCGGCAATCTCTCACGGCACACTCGACCAGGCGATGAAGGGCGGCGGACTAGGCGGGATGCTCGGCGGCATGTTTGGCGGTGGCGAGGACGACGAGGCGATCGAGAAGGCGAAGCGGGACAAGGAGGAGGAGGACCGCAAGAAGCGCGAGCAGATGCAGAAGATGCTCAAGCCCAAGAAGGTTCACATCAAGCGGCGGAGGTAGCGCCCCCGTGCAACGCAAGATCAAGTCTGTTATCCGTTCGAGCAACGCTCCTCTTCTTCGCCGCTTCTTCCACGCTAACTTTGCACAGCCACCCTCGCCTCGGCTCTTCCTCGCTCGCACGCCTGCACCTCCTGTATCGGATATACGGCCGTCCCCCACAGGGCCCGCGCACGCTACTGACTTGGCGTGTTCCCTGCCTTCTCCCCCTTCTCTCCCTTCTCTCCCTACTCCCCCTTCTCCCCCTTCTTCTCCTCGACTTCGCCCGCTCAACGCTCGACAGCCCGCCATGCTACGCTACCAACGCTACTACGGCGACTCGCGTCGCTCGGAGAACCCCTTCGAGCCCAACGCTCGCGAGACGATCATGCGCTCCATTCACAAGTCGCCTCACACGCCGCACCCCCAGAAGCACCATGTACAGCAAGTCCCCGGTGCGCCGTCGCGTCTGCATGCGCCCGACGATCCGGAACTTGTTGGCCAAATCAAGCTGCAAGATCCGACCGTCTTCTTCGACACGCACGAGGAGAAGGTTCGCGTCTGGAACCTACTTTACCGTTCCCTCCGTCCGTGTACCTTGTTCATCGTCGACGGTCGCCCGTCGGTCAACGCCGCGGCCAAGCGGGCGCGGTTGGACGAGCGCAAGCTCACCGTCGCGCCGCTTTCCGAGCTGCGGCCTCACGACGACCACAGAATCTTCCTCGAGAAGCTTCGCGAAGGAGTCGTCGAGGTCGGCGAGGAGTTCAACCGCGAGCTGAGTCGCCTCTCCGTCGCCTCGACCTCGCAGCGCAAGGCGAAGGAAAGACTTCGAGGCTTTCCCATGCACCCTGTCCCGTACCAACCACAAGCTTATCGGTACCTCACGAACGAAGCCGAAGCCAGGTGAGGTCGACTTAATTCCTGCAGTCCTTCGTCCCTGACTCATCCCCTCCGACAGCGAGACCTACTTCGTCAACGTGCTCCAGCCCGTCATGAGTGTCGCGACGCAGTTCGTCAGTCACTGGCAACCGACGAGGAAAGGTACTCGACTCGAACTGGTCCTCAGCTCGCAGTACGGCGTGGTCGAGGGAACGGGCAAGCCGTTCGTCCGCCTTCTCCCCCCTCAGTGAGGGCGCGCGACCTGACGCTTCGCCGCAGGAGCGCTCTCGACTTTATTTTCTCGCTCGCCACCTGGCCTCCGACTGCCAAGCCTCACTACCGCTTCGACCTGTGCATCGTCGAGCTCAAGCGACCGGGTTACGTCCGCGAGGAGGACTGGAATGCAGACCACTTCGGCAATGCCAGGAACGGCAAAAGCGTCGACTCGTGGGCCAAGCCTCTTCTCCCTCAGGCTCTCCTGTGCGTCGCCCTTCCACTGCAACGGTGCCAGACCGCTCACCAATGGTCTGTCGCAGGTACGCGCGCAGGACGGGTTGCGAACGCTTCTTCTTTTCCGACTACAGCACCACCGTCGGCGTCCACGTCGACCACCCGAGTCTCGGCGACGAGAAGGAGCATGCGCCTGGCAGCACTGCGCCGGTCCATGTCGGCGCAAGGATCGTTGAGCACCTCGACAACCCTCAACACCCTTACGATGCAGGGCCAAGTGTCGCCATCCTTTACGAGATCTACGAAGGCTTGCGCGCGCTTGGAATCTTCTCCGAGGACGACGGAGTATTCGAAGGGGTCGGTCACTACCGCGACGAGCACGATAAGAAGCAGCCGATCCCCCTTCACGTACGCGAGAGTCCTTCTTCGCTCTTTTTTCCCTGTACTGACGTCCTTCCGCGGCTTCTTCCGGTGCGCTCAACTGCTTCGCAGCGCAACATCGAGGAGTTCTTTGACGAGCACGGCGACCCCAGGAGCGTTGGCCCGAGCGACTCGCCCGTCAAGAGGCGTCCGTAGAGCTCCTTGCGCCACATCTGCTGTATACCCTTTTCCCTGCGCCTTCGCCGCCGTCTCTCTCCGCCTCTTGGTCGTTCTGTCGGTCCCGTACATAAGTCGTTCACGGTTATCTGTAACGCTGGCCTCGCGAAACTACCGAGTTGAACGCACAGCGTAAAAGTACAACATCACTGCGAGACTACGTTCACGATTATAGGAGAGGGCCTCAAAGCGGTCGGAAGACGTCCCTCAGCGTATCCCGCAGCCTACTCAGCTTGGTATTCCGGCCGTTGAACATACTCGCAGCGCTGAACCCTGCTCCGCCTCCTCGCTGAATCCACAGCGGTCGCCCGCGCTCGACGCGCCCAAGTCCACGCAAGACCGCCTCGACCTCCTCATCCGAATCGACAAGTTCGTCCGCTCCGCCGTCGTCGTCGCTGTCCTCCATCTCGCCGACGTACACGATTCCCTTCTTGCCCTTCTTCTCACCAGGGACCTTGAATGTCAAGCTGCCCCCGTCGACGCCGCTCAATCCGCTCTTGCGCTTCTTCGGCTTCGGCGGTGCGGGCGCAGGCATGCCTCCACTCGGGTCCTGCGCGAAAGAGGGCGCCATTATCGCCACCGACGCCCCGCCATCGCCTCCGTGCTGCGCCTGGGTCGCAGCAGCAGCCGCAGCCGCCTGCTGCCTCGCCGTCGAGATCGTCGGCGGAGGCTGCTGGCCCGCCAACTTCGCCGCCTCGATCTTCTGCTGGTTCGCCTTGTTCGCCTTCTGCCACTCGAACAGGAGGATGTCGTAGGCTTGCGACCGACCTGGGACGGCGCGCTTGGCCGACATGTTGTGCGTCTTGCAGGTGAGCGAGCGCGGGCAGGGGTAGCCTTTCTCGTTGATCACGCCGCATTGTCGGTCGACGTCGACGACTGCAGGAGGAACCGGTCAGTCTCGCAGCTTGAGCTGACGCGAAGAGGGGCACACACTTCGCTTGTTCTTCTTCTCGGTCCCGCCAGGCGGCTTAGCCTTGTCCGGCGCAGATCCGCTCAGGTGCACGACGAGCTTCGACTTTTTGAGCTGCTGAGACGAGTTCGTCGACGCTATGGGAGGTCAGGCGTTAGCGAGAAAGCGCCTTGAGGAGGAATGGCAGGGGACGCACCTTCGGACAGTCGCCGCTTCAAGGGTTGCGAATCTGATGCCTCGCGAGTCGCTTGGCACGTTGCTAACGTCGGGAAGCAGCAGAGGTCAGCCTCGCCCAGCAGGATGCCTCCGACAAGCAAGAGGCCAAGAGGTCAAGTGGACGGAACGCACCCGCATGTTCCTCCTTCGCGCTCTGCAGCACCGGCTTCCCACAGTCTCCGCACTTGGTCACGTTCTCGAGAGCGCCATCGGCGAGGCTGAGAGGTGAGAGGTCGGACTCGCGCTGAGGTGTTGCGTCTTCGCTCGCAGACTGCATGGCGGGGCTTGACCGGCGGGATCCGACTCAAATGATAGCTGACAGCGAGATCAGCGCAATTGCCTGGGCTCGTTTGCGTGTGTTGAGGCGACAGAAGGGGTGGTGGTGAGGTTGGAGGAGGAGGTCTCTCTCGACGACAACAGGCTCCGAGCGGTCGGCGATTGGCGTGGCCGGCTTTGATAGGATAGCTTCGGCGAACAAGCAGCACAGACCAGCAGCAAGAGTGGGTGTAAGCGAGAAGAGGCTTCGCCGCCCTCGTGGTGGAGAGGAGAGGACGGCTCGACCACGGACACCACGCTCGACTCGCTGGAAAAGGCTTGCTGGAGGCGCAGACTGCTGGCAGGAGACTCTTGGCTACGCTGCCTGCTCACGATCCGCGTTCCTCCCGCTCGAATCGCTCGCCTCCCACCCCACCACCTCCGGCCGACTCTCCGCCGCCCTCCAGCCTTCTACACGGCGTTTGACGGGTCAGAATGTCGATGCGCAAGACTGTCGAGCTGGCTACGAAGCCCAAGCGGGCGGCGCCAAAGGCCAAGGTGAGTTGCTGCCCTCCTTCGAAGAGGCCGCATGGCATGACGCCGGCAGGAGCAGGCGAGGGCAAGGCGGACGTCCAGGGATAGGCCCTTCTGTTGGGGACAGTGCATTAGCCTAGAACGGGCGGATCCGAGCGTCACTGCATCTGGCCAATCAGTCGTTCGCATGCTCAGTCCGTCGCTGATCCTTCCCTTCCTCGCCCAGTACATCGACCCTATCGTCCAAGCGACGTTCAATCAAGATGGCCAGCTGCAGGATATTGTGCGGACGCTGGCGACGCGGTTACGGGATCCGAATCCCACGGTGCGTCCCGCGAGCCTCTCGCAAGTCGACTACTGCGCTCGTTCGTTTCGCTCACGGCCACGTCGCACAGGTCGTCTTCAAGTCGCTCATCACCCTCCACACTATCATGAGATCTGGCTCGCTCGACCCCGTCTTCTCCTACCTCTCGTCCTCGTCCATCTCCCTCAGCCTCTCGGGCCAAGAAGCAGCAAACGTCGCTGCTTACGGCCACTACCTTGCGAGCCGAATCAAGGCGTACGGAAACCTCAAGCGGGACGTTATCCGTGACAAGAGCGACCGGAGAGCCGCGAACAGGTTGCGGAAGTTGACGGTTGAGCAGGGGTTGTTGCGCGAGACGAGGGAGATTCAGCGGATGATTGCGGCATTGGTCGACTCAAAGGTGAGCTTGGCTTGGACGAGCTCTTGCATCTTGAGCTGACTCGCAGCTCGATAGTTCTACACTGAGGACGTCGACGACGATGTATCGATGACGGCTCTCCGGCTGCTCGTCAAGGACCTCCTCGTCCTCTTCACTTGCGTCAACGAGGGCGTCATCAACGTCCTCGAGAACTTCTTCGGCATGTCGCACGTCGATGCGACCACCGCGCTCAAGATCTACAAGACCTTCTGCCGCGACACGGAGAAAGTCGTCGCCTACCTCGGCACGGCCAAGAAGCTCTACAACGTGCTCAACATCCCAATACCGAACATCAAGCATGCGCCGTTGTCGCTCGCCAGCTCGCTGGAGGAATACCTCAACGACCCGAACTTTGAGCAGAACCGGCAGGAGTACAAGGAGAACAAGCGGATTGCGGACGGTGGAACGCCTCGCTGTGCGTCGAATCGGGCTCACACACGAGAGCGCCTTTCGCTGACGCACCTTCCACAGCTTCGACGCCCAAAGCGACGGCGACGACGAACGGGTCTGCCTCGACCGCGCCCGCCGCCTCGTCGTCCTCCGCACCTTCGACTTCCGAACCCTCCTCTTCGACCGCTCCGAAATCCTTCACCGATTTCTTCGAGTCGATCGAGACGTCGCAGGTCTCGATGTTCAATTCGCCGCAGATGGCCGGCGGCCAGTTCCAGCAGCAGCCGATGTTTGCTCCCTTTGCGGCCCCTCAGCCGACCGGCATGCCCTTCATGGGTCAGCCGACTGGTCTCATGCCGCAGATGCCGCAGATGACGGGCAACCCGTTCCTCCAGCCGCAGATGACGGGCTTTGCTCCGATGCAGCAGCCCCAGATGACGGGCTTCCTCCAGCCCCAAGCAACGGGCATGATGGCGAACCCGTTCCGGCAGAGCATGATGATGACGGGCGCGGCGCCGAACCCGTTCGGGCAACAGCAGCAGGGGATGATGCCGCAAGCGACGGGCATGCCCTTCGCGTCGGCGCCTCCGCCTGTCCCCCAGATGCAGCCACAGATGACGGGCATGGCCTCGCCGTTCGGGCGGATCCAGCCGCAGGCGACGGGCAACCCCTTCGGCTCGCTCGGCCAGCGACCAATGAGCATCATGCCGCAGGCGACTGGCAATCCGTTCCAGCAGCAACAGCAACAGCAGCAATCCCAGTCGTCCTTCTCTTCGATGCCGCCTCCCGTCTCTTCAGCTCCTGTCGCTTCTGGCGCACCTCACCTCGCCCCGACGACCTCGTCCGCACCATCTTCCTCCCCCTCGCCGCTCGTCCCGCAAAAGACCGGAGCACGGAATCCGTTTGCGCCTGCGCCCGGCACCAACATCCCGCAGACTCAGCCAAAGCCAGAAGCGGGTCCCAGCATGAACGAGCTCGCGTCGAACGCCTTCGCCGCTCGACTCGCGTCGCAGTACCAGCAGCAGCAGCAGCAGCCCATGCAGCCTCAGCAGACGGGCTTGCAGCCGTCGCAGGTCAACGGTACCGCGACAGGATCGTCGACGCCGTCCCAGCAGCAGCAGGCGCCAAAGCTCGACGCTTTCTCGGCCTTTGTCAAGCAAGAGCGGGAGAAGGAGGCCGCCGCTGCAGCCGGCACGCCGCTCATTGCGCAGAAGACCGGAGGCCTCTTTGCCAGCATCGCCTCCGACCTCGCTCGGACAGGCAGCCCTTCTGCCGCGGGTTCGCAGAATACGAGTTCGCCCTTCTCCTCCGGTCCGGCCACATCGAGCACCACGCCCTTCTCCTCCTCCTTCACGCCCTCCTCGCTTCCGACCCCGTTCTCCACCATGCCCCTCTCGTCGCCCGGATCCGCCCCCTCACCGTTCTCCCAGTCGATGAACTCGACCTCGGCTCCCTTCCTCACCTCGCAGCCGACAGGCTTCGCCGGCTCGTCCGTCAAGCCCTTCCAGCCCAGCTCGTCGTTCGGTAGCAAACTCGCATCGGAACTCGGCCCGCCCTCTACCCTCTCCGCCCAGCCAACCGGCTTCGGCTCCTCCTTCTCGCCCTCCGACACTAACGTCATGGCAACTCCGTCGTCGTGGGCGAGTCCGGCGCCGGCTCTCCAGCCTCAGTCAACCGGCTTCAGCGCTTTTGGCGGGACGAAGCTCCCGCCGCTCAATACGCCGCTGAGCGCCGGTCTTACGACTCAGCCAACGGGCACGGGCGGGTTCGGCGGTTCTGGATCAACAGGGGTAGCTACCGGTAGCCTGATCTAGCACCCTCTTCTCCTCCTTGGCGGCGCGGCACGAGAGCACAGGACGATGTGTTAGTATGACGCCTTAATTCGCATCTCTCGAACACGCATGCTACGGATCGCCATGGTAGAGCGGAAAGAGCGATTCCCTGCGAGTCGAGCTGAGTGTCAGTGCGGAAGAGGGAGATTTGCGACAGCGAGACGCACCAGAGGACGCCGTCGTCCGCAGGAAACGGCGCATCCCAGTTCTGACTCGGCGGCATCATCGTCGTGAGGAAGTTGGCGCCGAAGATGTCGAGCGAGGGATCGACCTGCTGTCCGTCGCCCGTCTCTTGCGGTGCAGCAGGCAGGCCGAGCCAGGCCTGCGGAGAGGCGGATCTCGTCGCTAATCCGCTGCTGTTGCCGATGCCGCCCGTTGTAAAGACGCCAACGCCATGCGATGCTGAATGACCGCTGCCAAAGGAGTTCGGCTCGGTACTCCAGGTCGCGGCGTTCAAGCTCGCGGTCACGAAAGGCGGCGGCGGCATCGTCGCAGGCTGAGGATTTGCTGCCTGACCAGTCTCGCTGCTGCCTTGCGTCGGTCCTGCCGTCGCATCCGGTCGAACCTTCGACAGCAAGTGCTGAAGGAGGCGAGACGTGTACGCGGACATGCTCTCCTGGTTGGTAGACAAGTCGGAACAGGCGGCCTGGAGGCGGTTGATGGAGGCAATCGCCGCTCGACGCTGATGCGGCTCCATGCCCGACAGGTTCTGCGTGAGCCAGATGGCGGAGCTTGCGGCGCCGACCCACATGCTGCAAGAGCAGCGTTAACACAAAGGGCCTCTCGCGAACGAGGACAGCGGCGACTCACGAATCGAAGCTGTACACCATGTACCGCAGCTCGCGCTCCATGATGTCCAGAACCTTGATCGCTGACGTGACACAGCCGGCAAAGACGAGCGGCGGAGTGAGCCGAGGGTCGAAAGCGATCGGGTCTGTCGAGCCAGACTGCTTGATCGCGAGGTAGAGGTTGACTTCGAGGATTTGGAAGTGGAGGACTTGGGCGTAGAAGCGAACGAGGGATTTTTGAGAGGGCTGTAAGGGCAGAGTTGCGGGAGAGGCTGTACCGTCCAAGACTCGAATCAGATCCGCGAGAGGACGCAGAAGCGTGCTACGCACTGTGTTCCAGACACCACTTGCCGCGCCAAGCTTCGACATTCCGCTCGAGACTGCGCATGAGCTCGACAGACGGCGACCCGTCTTCAGGCGAGATGAGGACGGCAAAGATGTCGAGCAGTCGACCGAGTTCGAGGAGGGGTGCGAGGCCGACCTCATGCGGGCAAAAGTGCGCCGAGTCGTGTTCGAGTAGCCAAGGTACTGCGTCGCCGCGAAAGTCATTCGAGATCATCTTTGGAAGACCGCGCTGCGTCGAGAAGCGGTGGTCGGCGATGGTGAGGTCTGCGCGGCGTCGCAAGGTCAGGATGGTCCTGTACTCTCGAGCGCGGAAAAGACGCACAGATCCAGGTTCGTTCCGGATTGAGGAAGTGGCGTCGCTCCAACTCGCCCTGGGGCAAAGGTCGCGGACCTCGCTTGTGGATTCCGAGCTCGAAAGCGCAGCGGACGGCGTAGGCGAGCTTGCGCGCGCCGCTGTCGTCGGTCGGGTCTTGCCAGAAGACGAGAGTTGCGAGCGCCTGGACGAGCTCGAGGTTGTTCGTTCCGGCCTCGAAAGCTTGGCCGAGGAGAACCTTTGCGTGCTTGAGCGCAGGGCCGAGCAGGACGGGCAGGCAGACTTTGGCCGAGACGGTGAGGATTGCCGTGAAGAGGATGGCGGATCGCGCCCGGCAGAAGGCAGCCGTATGAAGTTCGGGATCAAGCAGAGAGGTCATTGGGTTGAGGTGCATGAAGTAGCTGCGTCACTCACAAGGTCAGCCATCACAAGCGAGAGCAGAGCGCGAGTGAGGATTCGTGCGCACAAGCTGAAGAGTCCGGGTACTTGCTCCTCCGGCACGATGCCCGCTTTGACAGCGTCCTCGAAGACGGGCTCCGGCTGCTGCGGTCTCCGTCGCGCAGACCGCGGCGCGAAAGCGTCGGCAAGCGATTGCTGCCGCGGATCGTTCCTGTCGCCCGCCACGTTTTGCCTTTCCTCGTAGAGTTTCTCGAGGGAGAAGCCTCCGATCGCCGGCACGGCCTGAGCTGGCGACTGAGCCGACGACGATCCTGCTGCTGCTGTCATGCCAGTGGCGAAGCTTTGCGGATGCGCTGACTGTGCGGCGCCGTTTCCGTTCGCCTGTTGTGCTGCTGGCGCGAAACAGTCAGTTTTGGGCGACTCTGGCTTCCCTGACCGTCTCTTAGACGGTCTCTGACATACTGAGCAGGTCCGCAAGCCAATCCCTCCGCTCGCTGCCTGATGCTGGACTATCGGCCGGCTGAGAAGAGGTCGAGGCGAAGGGTTGCGCCGATTCTTGGCTATCGAGGTCGCCCGTGTCGGCAGATGCAGCGTGTCGTTTCCTGTATACCACGACGACGGGTCAGCGTGCGATTACCCCCTCGAACAGCGATGCGGACTCACTTTGACCCGACCTGCGTGCCGGGCTTCCTGCCCCTCTTCAGCTGGTGATACTCGCAGCTGAGGCCCATTTTCTGGCAGCGCGTGCACACAGAGCCCTTGCCCTCGTTCATGCATCGTCGCTTGACCGCTCGGCATGCGGTGCAGGCCTGTAAATCGGCTTCATCAGTTTGAGGAGGGTCGGGACAAAGTGGTGGAGAAACTCACTTCGTTCTGCGTGCGGTCACGGTCGGCAGAGCCAGCAGCAGTTTGGTCGTCCATGGCGCTTGTTATCGAACCCGAACGAAGCCAGCACGATGAGCGAGAGCGAGTCGACGCAGCGAAAGGCGAGGATGGCCGGCGAGGAGTCGCTGCCTGCTTATCGCTGAGCAAAGGCGCCCATACGGGCTAACACTGTGAACTTGCGACGCTGATATTACCAGAGAAAGAAAGAAAGAAAAGGGTATCGCGAACGAACGAGAGGAGGGATATCTAAGGTCTGCGAGGGTTGGGCGAGAACGAGTGACTGGGGTAAGGTGCAGCACAGCGGCACAGATGAGGGCTAAGAGACGAAGGAGAGAGAGAGGCGAAGCGATAAGAAGGGGGAGGGAGTGGCTCCGGAGACTCCGCTCAGGCGAGGTATGAGAGCGGGACGAGACCACGCTGGCCTTGGCTGTTGGCTACCATCCACCAGTTCGGGTCCGACGACTCGAGGATGGTGAGTTGCTCATTCGTGGAGATTGTCAACTCGCCGGGGTGCTCCGCGTGGAACGAGTACCGCGCGAGCGCCGTCGACGGTTCCGCGTCGTCGCCGTAGTCGGACCCGTAGCCGAGTGCGCCGTCGTCGAGGCTGCCACCTGCCGCTCCGCCGTTCAGCGAGTCGTGGTCAACCGCCTTCTCGCCCTTCGGGTCGAGCAGGACGGCCGTCGCCGCGCCAACCGTTTGCAACAGCGAATTTGGCCGGTGCAGCCCGTTGATGCTTGAGGTCTCCGTGCCCGACTCGTAGCCGCGTCGTGCGTCAGGCGGTGGGTACTGCGGCTCGTCCTTGCGGCGGGCGAGGGCGATGAGAAGGCCGATCAGGACAAGGAGGAAGACGAGGCCGAGACCAATGGCGATGGAGATGAGGATGACGAGGCCGGCTGCGAGGTGGTGGCCGCCACTGAGGGAGAAGTTGGAGACGGAGTAGAAGAGCTTCGCGATGATGCCGGCTGAGCCGGTGGCGGAGGTCGCGATGAGGTAAGGATACCACGACTCGCCGTCATAGAGGGCAGACGAAACGGCCGTGTTGTTGATCTGGAGGACGCCCGAGACGAGGAGCATGCGGTCCGACTCGACGACCTTGTTCGCCGCGTGGTTGTTCGACAGCGGGACAAAGGCGAGCTGCTGGATGCCGGAGCCGGCGCCGAGGGTGTTGTTCGTAATGTCCGACCACGTCGTGCCGTTCCAATAGCGGAGGTAAAGCGTGCCGGATGTCGAAGATCCGGCGACGAAGACTTTGTCCTCGTTGTGGTCGTCGGCCGAGACGGCAGTCGCTGGTCCAGGCAGGTCGTTGGCGGCACCAAGCGAGAGCCATGTCGAGTTCTTGAAGCTCCAGCGGGCGATGTAGCGCGTCTCCCCGTTCAGGATGAAGTTGCCGGCCGCGATCAAGTACTCGCTCTTGTCCTGCGGAATGGCTCGAGGTGAGCACGTACAACGATGACGAGAGACGCCATGGACTCACGCCAGCAAAGTCGATCGCGCCAACAACGCCTTGCAAGCCGGTCGCAAGCGAGGACCACTGGAGCTTCTTGTTGTCCCAAAGGCACACGCTCGCGCAATAGAGCGAACCGGCCGATGCGAAAGCGCCAGCGACGATGACCTGATCGTCGTAGCCGGGACGCTGTGCGATGGCGTTGACGGTGGCGTTCGTACCCGCCCAACCTGCATAGCGCGAGACAAGTAAGCGGGAGCGGTGAAGAGCGGGAGTAAGAGGCCACGCACCTGATAGGGGCGGCTGACTGTCGTCAGGCGTCGTGTGCTGCAAGTCGTACGTCGTAAAGCCCTGGCGACCCGACACGGTCGTGAAGTTGCCGCCGACCCAAAGAGTGTCGCCGATCACGTCGAGAGTCGTAACCGTCCCGGTGACAGACTCGCCTGGCAAAGCCGAGAGCGTCTGAGCCTTCGTGTCGTAGGCGCCGAGGTTCGCAACGCCGGCTGACGAAGCAAAGGACCCGCCGACGAGCATGAGGTTGGTAGAGCCGTTTTTCCAGAACGCGCCTGCGAGGAGCTGGTCGCCGCTTCCCGTCGCGGCGATGGCTTGGATTGGCGAAGGAAGCGTGAGATTGACGGACGAGGCGGGCTGAGCGCGGGGCTCGAGGGCGAGGCGTGGGGCGCTCTTGCGGATGAGTGCTCGGCGTGAGGCGGTCGACTTGCTCGACGCTGCCGAGGCGTTCGACAAGCTAGACGACCCGTTGAAACCGAAGCCGAACGACGAGAGCTGAGGGATGCCGTGCTTGTCGCTGCTGAGGACCGCTCCTCCCGGGGCGCCGTTCTTGACGGCCGCGAGGATGTTGCCGGCGAGGTAAGTCGTCGCGTTCGAGCTGGTCGGCGCGGCCGCAGTTCCAACCGCCGTCAGGTTGCCGAGGAAGAGACCCGCTGCGGTCGAGTTCCAGGAGGAGCTGGCCGGATTGTAGAAGGCGAGTCCTGATCCGCCAGCTCCGGCAGCGACGATCGCAGCGTTGTCGCCGCTTCCGACAGCCGCGAGCTGCTGGATCGTCCCGCCCACCGAGGGCACGTTGCCGAGAGGCTCCCACGCCTTGCTCGTCGAGCTCGAATAGTTCCACTTGGCGACGCCCCGCAAGCCAGAGACGGCATTGTCCTGCGACGCCGTGAACGTTCCCGCGGCGTAGACTGCGCCGTTGAGCTCGACGAGGCTATTGACGTTCCCGTTGAGGCCGCCATTCGGAGCGACAATGACCTGGTCGAGCTTGTACGCGAGGACGTTGTGCGAGACTTGCGAGTTGTTCGAGAAGGTAAAGTTGCCGCCGATGAAGACCTGCGCGTCCGAGCCGGTGCCAACGGTGACGATCGAGTTGACGACGGCGCCCTGGTCGAGGCGGAAGGAGACGGCGTCAAGGCCCGTGGCGTTCGTCAAGGTGGACGAGGCGTTGACGCTCGTCGCCTGCGCAGTTGGGACAGCGTCGCCGAACGCGCCCGAGTCGACGAGCGGGTACTCGTACAGGCCGAACCCGCGCTCGATACGGACGGACGAACCGTTCGTCGACGCCGCGACGAGGTTGACGTAGTCCGCGACGATCTGATACGTCGTTCCGGCGTTGAGCGCGCCGTTCGGAGCGAGCGTCATCTTGACCGACAGACTGTCAGCTCCAGCGTCGAGCGTGCCGTTGTAGATGAGCGTCGACTGGTCCTGCGCGTTCGTCTGGTCGACAGTCGTCTCGTTCGCCGAGCCGCCTTTCGGCGTCGCGGTGACGAGAACAGACGTTCGCTGGCCACAGGTACCGGCTTGCGTGCAGCCGGGCGTGACAAAGTAGACGGCGTACTGGCCGGGCTCGGCGACGTAAGGCTGCCAAGTGATGCTGGGCGCGTTCTTCGTGCCGCTCCCGCCCTCGACGTTGGCAACCAAGACCTCTTGCGTCGTGCCCGCAATCGACGTCGTGACGCTCGTCTTAGTCCACGGCCCCGAAGTCGAGACGCTCGCCTGCGTCGAGGCGCCGAGTCCATTCGCGCAGGGCGAGAGGTTGTCGTCCGCGACGGCGTAGGCGTACGAGCCCTCGCTGAGGAGCTGCAAGAGATGCAGACCTCCGCCGGCGCCGTACCAGCCGAAGATGTTGAGCTGGAAGCCGGTCAGGGACGTTCCTTCGGGGAAGAGGAAGTCCTGGTACGGGACTGAGGCGTTGTGCGCGAGCGGGCAGTCGGAGGAGCAGGTGACGAGGGGCGAGGACGGGTCTGATGGGTCGCTCGCGTATGTGAGCTCGAGGACTTGGTCGTCGGGGATTGAGACAACGCTGCGGGGGACGGCTTGTCAGCTTGACTTGGAGGGAGCGGGAGAAAGCCAGACTCACGAAAAGTTCTTCGTCCCCCGGCCTTCATAGAACGTGTTCCCAAGCCTGATGCCCCTGACGTTCAACTGCCGATACATCCTCGCGATGAAGAACCCAGCCTGGCCGTCGACAAGCAGCCAACTCGCGCCGACCCCGTCCGCGTGGCGCGGGCAGAAAATATACTGCGGGCGGCCGAAACCGGACTCCCAGGTTGTCGGTGAAGCCCAGTAGTCGGACGAATTGAGCGAGATAGGCGTGAGGGAGGAGCCGAGAGAGGGGAAGGAGTCGGTCGACGAAGGCGACGAGGAAGAGCTGGCGGGCGGGCCGGCCGATGACGAGTTGCTGAAGGTGGTAGAGAAGGCGCCGCCAAAGAAGAGCGATCGACCGTCCTGGGACGGCTGGATCGACTCGACCGCCCCATTAAACCCGTACAGCGGCAAGTCCGTCCAGGCCTTCTGGCTCGTCGACCACGCCGCAACATTCGGTCCGCCCATCGATCCCGTAAACTCGCCTCCTGCATATACGGTCGTGCCGTTGCACGAGAGCGTCCGCACCTCGCCCTTGAGCCCGTCGCCCAGCGCAAAGAACATCTCGCTCGACGAGTTGTAGCCCGCAATGTTGGCTGCCGCTACTCCGCCCATTGACGTAAAGTTCCCGCCGACGAACACGATCTTATCAGGTGACTGACAGATGGCAGAGATGCTCCCGCCATCGTCTGTTGCGCCAATTCTTCGCAGGTCGCCGTCGGCGGTCCGGGCGAGCAAGGTCGATGCGCGGCTGTCGTAGGTCTGCGGCGGGTTTGATGGGTCGTAGAGGGAGAGACCGGCAAAGTTGCCGACGACGGCGACGGTGCCGAGCGAGGAGAAGTCGATCTGAGGGAGGGAGGAGGACTGGGCAGCGGCGACGCCTGCCATGGTGAACAGCGAGAGGGTGCGAGTGGGTGAGAGAAAGTCGCTAGAGTGCCTTGATGTAGGCCGTGAGCGCGGGCGAGCCATCCTGGCTGTACGAAGCCGTGTGTCGGTCGGCAAACACCCTGAAGGTCGAAGCGTCCGGCGGGTCAGCTTGGCCGTCTTGTCGTCGTAGCGCCTCCTTGAGCTTCTTCTGTGTGCTCCTGGCATCTCCATCTGTTCCCCTCCACCTCCCTCGCGGTGGATGTGACCCGCAACGGCCCCCGTTCGCCCAGAATCTCCTGTCCCGCAATATGGCCTTCTCCAGCCCAACAATCGCTCGAGCTGACTTGATTACGCACCTGATTCCGATACTAGCTCTCGAAGGCACAGTCTGACTGCTCAGCGAGTCCCGCGAGAGATGTGTAGGGGTCGGCGGACGAGTCGGTCGAGCAGGCGGTGTGAGCGGGAGGACGAGAGTCGATGCGTGCGAACGAGTGACTGCGCGGGCGATGTGGCGTCCTTGTGCGATCCCCAGTCCGCTCCAGCGACCAACCCAGCAGCAAGCACGGCGAGAAGAGAAGCGTCGGTCGAGGAGAACCGCTCTTCCTCCAACTCGAGCAAGGTCGACCTTCGAACACGACAGAAAGGCTCGCTTGGGGCATGGCTGGGTTACTTAGACTTCTCTGACGAAGTCTGCAGCATCGATTCGCCCCGGCGTCGCCTTCTCACGCCGTTCTCAGCCCTCACCGTCGGCTTCGCGTGTAGCAGCGCGTCGACCAGCTCTCACACGCCTTTTGAGGGCTTCCAGTTGAGATGGCTTGCAGGACATATCTGCAGAAGATGCTGGGCGAACGGAGACAGCCGGCCAAGCGGTGGACGTGGAGGAGACGGGATCTCCGTTTCGAGGACGGCTCGAAGGCTGGCTCGTCGCGCCGTTCGAGGTGGGCGCGACCTGTAGACGGATCAGTAGACTGCAAAGAGTGCTTCGAGCCTGTTCACGGCGTCCCACGCCATCGTTTGTCACCTCGCCTTCATGCGGCACCGCCTCGTCAACTCCTTTCGCTCGTCCTCACCGCCCGCATCGCTCACCACGCCCGCAGGCTGGGTTTGCACGCTGCAACGGCCTCTCTGACTCGCTACGAGCACCGCTGTTGAAGCCCCACTCTCCCGCGACTCGTTCCCGCCCCGCTTAGCCTCCCGCATTTCTAACGTCCTTCTCCTCGACGTCGCCCGCTCCTGGCACGATGGGACTGGGCAACTGGGCACGAGAAGAGTGGGCAGAGGCGAAGGAGGCCGGCAGCGAGATCGTGCGGTTCGTCCGGACACACAACTGGAAACAGACTGCGAGGAACTCTGTCAAGCGCAAGTACTGGCGTGCGTTCTTTTTCCCGCTGTTGCGCGCCGTGAACGGATTGCTAACATCTCCGCGCTGCAGTGTGGTGGCTCGCGGGCGCCGCAGGAATCGCCGCCGTCGTCCTCCTCGCCATCTACCGCGACACCATCGTCGAGAAGTTTGAGCCGCACAAGGAGGACATTGTCAAGCTGCCCGTCTCGTGGCTTATCCCCGTCGCTATCCTCGTCATCCTCTCCTTCCCCCCGCTCGGCGGTCACGAAATCGTCCTCCTCGTCGTCGGCTTGATCTGGGGTGTCTGGATCGGGTTCGCGATCGCTTGCGCCGGCACGTTCATCGGCGAGGTCCTGTGCTTCTTTGCGTTCAAGTATTTCCTGACAGGGCATGCAGCAAAGTGCGTCGGCCGTCTTTAAGAGCAGTTCTCGCGAGCCGACTCCTCTTCCCCGGGCAGAATCGAGCAGAAGAGCATCTTCTACGCCTGCATCGCGCGACTGATGCGCCATGGTGGTCTTTGGATGTGCGTGCGGACCCCGCTGAACCTGCGCGAACGAGTTGAGCTGACCTTCCTGTCTCGCAGCATCATCGTCGTCCGCTTCTCGGCAGTGCCAGGACACGTCGTCACGGCTGTCCAGTCGACCGTGGGCATGTCGATCTGGTACTATTCGATCGCGATGTGCGTGGTTCTCCTCGCTTGCCCTCGCTCGGAACGACCCTAGACAAGAATCTCTCCCTCTCGTGCTAACTTCACACGAATCTACAGCATCGTCTCGCTTCCGAAGCAGCTTGCCGTCGTATATCTTGGCTATCTTTTTGGCCTGAACAAGCAGACTACCGATCCTGCCAACGTACACAAGCAGCGCGTCATCTCGCTCTCCGTGTTCTTCGGCACGGCGGTTGCGACCGTTCTGGCTCTCTACATCGTGTACATGTTCGTCTCGCTTCCCTTCCATTTCGTCACAGACGGGTGAGCTGACCGAGCTCGCGAACTGCAGGCGCGCCCGCCGCTACTACCCCGAAGTCCTGCGCGACATGGAGAAATCCTCACTCGCGACGAACCCCTTCGACCCCGAGTCCTCGGACGAGTCCGTCCCCGCTTTGCATCGCCGCTCCTCGCTCGCCGAAGCCGCCTTCGACGGAGACGCCGGGCTCGCGTATATCGCGCCGCAGAACAGGGACGAGAAGGCGATGGGGATGGTGAGGACCGAGAGTGGGCGGTGGAGGACTGTTGAGGAGGAAGACGAGGACGAGGACGATGGCGGAGCGTGGAGCGCCAAGAGTCCGGCTGTGAGGGGCGATGCGGCGTGGCAGGATGGACGGACGGCGGGCGACGAGGGACTCGACAGCGTGCCCCGACTCGGGTACAACGCTCAGCAACAGCAGGGACGGTACGGGCACCTCCCGCTGCGAGGCGCGTCGGAGGACCAGTATGGACCGCCGCCTTCCGAGGGCGGAATCGCGTATCAGCCGCCGAGCGACGCGCAGGAGCGGTACTGGCCGGGCCAGCGTCAAGGAGGAGGGCATTACGGCGCGACGGGAGCGTCGAGGTGAAGAGCTTGCACGCTTGAAAGGACACTTTCCGCATCTCCGCTTTCCAGCCATGTATTCTTCCATACCCTATACTCTCGCTCGCTGTGCGGGCTAAGGTTTCTCCCCGACTCTCGCGAACTCACGTGTAGCACTCTCCCTGGCTCTCGCCGCTATTTGCCATCTACTCTCGTACACGTTCTCAGGATTGAGCCGCATCGGAGAATTGAGGAGTGGCGAGGTCAGAACGAAGACTTTACACAACAAGGCACTGCAACTGCGACGACTTCTGCCCGCCTACGCCTCCTCCTGCTTCTGCTTCTCCGTCAATTTCTGCGTGAGATCCTCCAGCAGTGTCTTGACCGTCCGCAAGCCCTTCAACACGCCCTCATCCGGTCCTTCTCCCGGCGCAGCCCTCGTATGCGCAAAATCAATAAGCCGCATCTCGTACGCGAGCCTCGTATGAGGCTTTGCGTTCCCATCGCCATCGGTAGTTGAGACGCTCCCCGCGTCATCTTCGTCGTCGTCCATTGAGCGGAGGAGGGCGGCTTCAAGTGCGGAGGGGTCGCCTTCGACGACGATGAGGAGCGAGCCGCCTCGCATACGGATTTCTAGGGTGGAGAAGAGCGAGATGAGCTCGTCTAGTCGGCGGATGAGGGTGCGAAGGACGGGAAGGAGGAGATCGAGCGGGAGAGGGGCGGGCGTTCGAGGCGTTGCGGGCGCGGGAGAAGAAGAAGCAGACCCGGCAGCAGATGTAGATGGCGCGGACGCAGCTGGCGCAAAGTCGAGGGCGTCCTTCTCTGCCTGCGAGAGGCATGAGAGCGGAGGGTAGAAGAAGCGAGTGATGCCGGACGGGAGTTCTGCGGGCTTGAGCGAGCGGCCGTATGGCTTTGCTGTCGTAATGTACGCCTGCGAGGCGGCGTCCCAGACCTGCAAGGAAATGGCATCGGGAGAGGGCAAAGGCAAAGTTAGCCTGGGACTCGAGCCTGCCAGTCCCAACGACTTCCTGCGCACCTGGAAGCCCGTCAACCGTATGCCAGTCTCGCCGCTCGTGCTCGCTGCCGCCGCTTTCGTCATCCGTGCCTTCTTCTCTTCACTCGCATCCTCGTCGAAGAGCTGGGTTCCGAGTTTGATGTCGAGGACGTTCGGCCGGACGAAGCGGTACGTCAAGTTCTCCAACACGAGCATCTACGCGGGCACAGAAGAAGTACCGGAAGACGGTCAGACTCGCTCGTTCGCCTCGTCGAGGAGGGCAGCACCGCCTCAGTCAACCTCGAAGTGCACGCACCGCGGGCTCAACCTCTCCTTCCTCATCTCCAGCCGTGTCGAGCTTCTCGACAGCGCCAGACTGACCGACCTTGCCCTCCAGCTTGAGCGTCCCGTAGAAAGCGGGCGTCCACTCGCCGAGAAGGGTCCCATCAGCGAGAGTTGGCGCGACCTGCGTGTAGAAGGCGAGTTCGCGCGCCGAAGCGGGCTTGATGAGTGTCGAAGCGTCTATGGGCGAGGCCAGGATGGTCGCAGCATGTCCTCCGACTTGGTGAGCGAAAGCCATCTTCGTCGTTCGCGGAGAGAGACGAACTCGCGGGTCTGCCAGCTACACACGCTCGCCTTCCGCTCACGAGACTCGTGCTGTAATGGAAAAGACTGCTGGGGAGTACGAGTACACATCGCTGGCGGACTACACACTCAGGACGGCGCCGTGGAGGGTCATCTCGTATTCTTTCGCATCCGGTGCGTCCTCTTCTCACAGCTGTCCGAGGGGCTTGGCTGACACTCGAGTGTCCTTGACAGGTATAATGGGTGGCACAGGAGGAGCGACGATTGCGGTCATGCGGAATATCCTTGCCACTCCCGCCGCCGTCTCTGCGGGTGCCAGGACGGGCGTATTTGGCTTCACCTTCTTCTGTGCGTGGCGTGACTGGATCGTCATACGCTTCATGGAGCTAGTTCTGACCTCCCGTGTCTTGCAGCCGTCCGGGAATACGCCGTTACGCCTCTCCTCACCCACTTCTCCCTCCACCCTTCCCCTCTCCCTCCCAAACCCGACGACCCTCCCGTACCCTTCCAATCCCCCCACACCGCCAACCTCCTCGACACCTCCCTCTCAGGTCTGCTAGCCGGCACAGCCTTCTCCGGCGTCCTGCGACAAGCTTCCCCTCCTCTGCTACACCTCCGAGCGGGCGTCACCCTCGCACTTGCAAGCACGATACTGCAAGGATTCGTCAACGAGCTCGATGTAGGACGAATCAAGTTTATCGCGTGGTCTGAACAACGACGGCGCATGCGGCGACTCGAGCAAGGGCTTGATCCAGACGAGCCCGTCGCCCAATCCTCTCTCCGCGCTCCTCCTGCCTCTCCCGCCGCTACCGCTCCATCCACACAGCCCACCTCACTCCTCACTACCCCCGCCTCGACATCCAAAATCAACGAGCCCTCGTTCGAGACTTTCGCGGACCGATCCGACCGCGTCTTCGGCGAAGGCTGGCGGTGGTTCAAATCCAAGCTATCTGTCCTCGCGCCTGTCAAGCGCATCGAGGAGGGCGAATACGAGAAGCGCTTGGTGGAGATGATGCGGCAGTTGGAGGAGGAGAGGAGGGAGGTGAGGAGGGAGATTGGCGAGTTGAGGGAGAGGAGGGACGCGTTGGATGAGAAGGACCGGTTGCATGAGGTTGCCGTGAGGATGGAGGAGGAGGCAAGGAAGTAGGCGGGCGACTTGGCCCTCTCACCGCAACTCTCGCATACATTTTAGACTCATTCTCGCTTCGCCTACTCGTGTCCCTCGGGCTGATTGCCTGTAAAGCGTACTGGACTGCGACCTTGGTATCATTCCTTCCCAAGCGCTACGGCACTGCTATTCCCCCACCCTCACCCGCTCAAAGCTTCGCCAAAACCGCCTCGGCGCCCGACGGTCCAACTCCCGGTCCGGTCTCCTCCCCAACATACGTGACCTTGAGATCGTCGACGACGAGCGCGAAGCGCTTGGCGCGCTCGCCGAAGCCGACGTGCGAGAGGTCCTGAATGAGCCCGGCGGGGCGGAGGAACGACATCGAGGCGTCCGAGATGCAGATGACTTTGTCGCCCGTCTTGTGGACGCGGCCGAAGGCGGACTGAACGAACATGTCGTTCGTGGCGATGCAGTACTGTGCGGGGGAGACGAGGGCAGAGTTAGCAAGGTTGCTGCACACAGTCGCTCGGAATGAACGGCTGGACAGTAGCAGCGGGGACTCACGATCGCGTCGACGCCCTTGGACTTGAACTGGTCGTACGCGGTGACGTAGGGAGGTAGGTGGTTCTCCGAGCAAGTCTTGGTGAAGGAGCCTGGGATGCCGAAGATGCTGGACGTCGGAAGAGGCTTTCGTAAGCGCCGAGCAGGCGAGCAGGACGAGCGAGGCGGACTCACACGACCTTCTTGCCCTTCCAGTCCTTGTGGGTGTGGATCTTGGAGCTGTGCGAGTGAGGCTAGGTATGAGTTCAAGTCCCGGAGACTCTTCGCCTGCATTCCTCACTCGTGGGAGGGACGACCACTCACGGAAGACCGCAGACACTCGGGTCCTCGAGCTCGTCCGTGTACGGGACGCTGTTGAGGCGAGACGGATCGAATTAATCAGCCATCGGAGGGGAGGAGGGGGAGGGGGAGGGTGCGTACTAGCCGAGCTCTGCGTCGGGGATGGTCTGTCCAACTTCGATGGTCACTGCAAGTGAGTTCAAGCGTGTCAGCTTCCACCGTACGCCCACGCAAGCCCAGAGGGGAGCCGAGTGAAGCCGGAGGGGGTTGGGTCAGCGTGTCGACGCACTGGCTGTCTGATCGGCTGTGCGCGCGGGTCTACGGGTCAGTGATGAGTGTCTGTGAGCTCGCAGTGGTGCACGATGGGCGCACCTGTTGCGTGGGGGAAGAGGTCAAGGTGGGGCACGTCGCGAACGGACGAGGCGGAGTTGAACCTGGCTCGACGGCAACCGCTCGTGATTTTGCGGGAATAGGACTGCATCGAGTAGTATTGTATCCTCTGAATTGTCCATATTACAGCTAAGCATCTGACGAGGTATGGTGGTGTCCGAACCTGGGTGCGTCACTCCGCTGTTGCTCCGCTGCGTCTCCCCAAGCGACTCTCCCTCTTGCTCTCCCTCTTTCCACTCGTTCTGCGTGCCAGACGCTCGAGCAGACATGTCCAGCTCATCCACCAATACGGGCGACAAGCACACCCTCGTCCAGCGACAGGTCAACAAGGGCGTCGAACAGGCGAAAGAGGACTTGCAGGCCCTCGCCAACGTCGGCACACAGGCTGTCAAATCGACCGCCTATGTCTACCCAATGTGCGTGCATCGACCTGCCACTCGAACGAAGCGACTCGAGCTGACAGACGCCTTCTTCTCCCTCCTCCCCTTCGATGATCGACTGCGATCCTCCTCCCTACAGCAAGGGCATCCTCTACTTCCTGAGCCACCCCAAGCTTCTTGACTCGCTCAAGCCCTTCATCGTCCGGAGCTTCAGCATCTCGATGGTCACCGCCGCCCTCATGTTCACCTTCACCTACTTCCCCCAAGTCGCTTTCCTCGCCTTGATCTCGGGCCCGCTTGGTGAGTTGGGCGGGCGTCACTGTGTTCCCTTTGTCTCGAGGTCCTGCGCAGCCAGAGGAAGGGTTATGTAGTTGAGCCCGGAACTGACCTCCGCACCTTCGCAACGCTCCGCAGCCTTCGTCGCCGCCGTCCCGCTCGTCCTCGCCGAATCTTACTTCATCATACTCTTCCTGCACCGCACCTTCCTCACCCCCGCCATCGCCGAACGCATTTTCGACGCCGTCCTCGTCCAGAAGGGCTACTCGGACCTCGTCGAGAACGGCCGCTCGCTCACTCGCCGCGGTGGGTCCGTCGAGCTGGGCAACTCGCTCCTCGCGCCTGTTAGAAACAAGTTCTCCGCCCAGGGACTCGTGAGGTACCTCGTCACCTTGCCGCTCAACTTGATCCCCGGCGTCGGAACCGCCGTCTTCCTCTTCCTTAATGGTCGCAAGGCAGGGCCGTGAGTCGCGCCGTCTCTCCGCATGAGCTCCAACTGTCTCCACAGAGCGATGCTGATGTAGGATAGCGCCCTCCTCGCAGCTCGATGCACGACCGCTACTTCCAGCTCAAGAAGATGGACAAGCAATCGCGCAAGCGCTTCGTCGACGAGCGCGCCGCAGCCTACACCTCGTTCGTCCCGTTCCGTTCCCTCCCTCCCTCCTCTTTCCACACTGACATTGGTCTCGTACAGGTTCGGCGTCGCCTCCGTCGCTCTGAACCTCATCCCCCTCTTCGGCCCAGTCTTCTCTTTCACCTCGACAGCAGGCGCGGCGCTCTGGGCTGCCGATCTGGAGAAACAGCAGCGTGGCGGAGGTCGGACGGGAGCAGGTGCGGGCGCGGACAAGAAGGATGAGAATGTGGATGTCAACCCGGGGAGGGTGGAGCTTTGAGCGGCTCGTTGAGTGAGGGTGAGGAGGAGGAGTGGTAGGAGGTGGCCGGCTGTGAGTGTAAATACGAGGAAGTGCAGTGCGTGCATTCTGAAGAACCGAGCCCCCGGCTCAGCTCGTCTCCTCAAACGCTTGACTCGCTCTTTCTCTGGCTTCTCGCACTCTTCCTTCGCTTCGGCTGCTCTCATCCCCGACGTAACGTCAACAAGTACGCTGTTACAGAATGTCGGGCGCCGAGCTAAATCTCAACGAGCCGCAGCCTCGTGCGGAGTTCAGACGGCCAGACGTCGGACCAACGTCGTCTCTGCCTCACGTCCGCTTCCTCGCCAGCGAACAAGCATTTGAGCAGAGCGTCCACTGTCGAGGGGCGAGCCAGGCTTCAGGCTTGCAGTGGCTCGTCTCGTACAAATTGCGGCGCAAACGTCGATCTCGTGCAGGGTTTGTGCGTCCACTCCGCTCGTTTGCACCCGCAGAGCGCTTATATCACTGCAGTCTCTCCTATGCTAGAGGACGATTGTACCGCCGAGAACGGTGCGGCAGCAAGTCGAGGCGGAGACAGCGAGTTCTTGCTTCCTGGACGACCGCCTTCGCTCTGCATCTCCCTTCCTCGGTTCTGTCATCGCTACTGTATGGCGCATCCCTCACATGTTAGGGGTGGCTCGCACTGGCTAGTAGGCGCAAGGCGCGGACACGGGGCGAGAGACGTCCACCTGGTCCTCCTCGCCTCCTCGCCCCGTCTCGTCGCGGCAACAACGTCGCTCCTGGCCTGCCGAGCGTGGGACACCAACAGTGCGGACGTCTATAAGGCGGGTCTGCATGGGAGCTTGACGAGGAACGACGTTGCGCTTACAGACACCCCTCGACCTTCGTGAGCAGGAGGGCGAGTCTGCGGGTCCCTGCCTTTTGTCCGTCTCTACACCCAATGTGTGCGCAGCTTGTGGGTAGTCTGTGGTTGCGCACAGATGATATACCAAGGAGCAAGAGGAAGAAGGCATGAGTTGGGACAGACTTGGAAGGACGAAAGCGCTGACCATGCGGCACTCCTCCCGCCGATGGCGCCAAATTGCGCTCGGCAGCAAAAGTTTAGTCGACTGTGAAGGGGATCGAACCCTCGATCTCCTGCGATACCTGCGACTCCTGCAAACAGGAACACCGGAAACAGGTGCCGTAAGCAGTGAGGAGGCGAAGGGGCGAACGGCGCTTGCAAGCAATCGGCCTGTGTGGGAGTGGACTAGTCGCTGATAATTGAGCAGCGTTGCGACAGCGAAGAGGCCCAGAATAAAGAGAGCTGTACGGCCGTGTCCTCCTCCTTCTCTCCCCCTCAATTCTGCCGCGCAGGCGTCATCGCGCCGCTCTTCGGCGTCTTGCCTCCGCCCGTCCTTGGCGTATTCGTACCACTGCTCTTGACGAGCCCCGCCTCGAGCGCGAGCGAGCGGAAGATGCTGTCGGGCTGCTGGAGGAGGTTGGCGGGCGAGTCGAACTCGGCGACCTCGCCGGCGCTCATGACAAGAATTTTGTCGCAGTCCATAACTGAGCGAACGGAAGTACTCGTCAGTGTTGCGCTCGGGCTGACGCAGGGATGGAAAAGGGTACGTACTCGTATTGAGGCGGTGAGCGATGACGAAGCTGTAGAGACGCATGTCAACAGTCAGCGACGGTCGAACAGCTGTTCGAGGACGTGCGGCTCACATGGTGCACGTGGAGAACTCGCGGCGGATGACGGTCTGGATGTCCCGGTCGCTTTCCACGTCGACCTTCACAACGATCAGGGTCAGCTCCATCGTCCAGTACTCGTAGCTCGTCCTCCACTCACGGCTGCGGTCGCCTCGTCGAGTACAAGGATCTTGCTGCGGCGGAGCAAGGCGCGCTGCAGGAAGAGGCATGTCAGCGGAGAGGCTCGGAGGCTGGTCTTCCAAGCGGTCGATCAGACGTACGCCGAGACAGATCAGCTGCCGCTGTCCGGCACTGAAGTTCGTGCCGCCCTCGTCGATGTGTGCGTCAAGCTTGCCCTCCTGCACGGACAGGAAGGACCGTCAGCACGCGTCAGGCTGGTCGGATGGACGAACACGCACCATCCGCTCCACGTGCTCCTTCAGGCGACACTGCTCGAGCGCCGCCCACAACTGCGCATCCGTCGCCTGCCCAGTCGGGTCGAGGTTCTCGCGCAGCTTGCCGGCGAACATCTGCGAGTCTTGCGGGATGATCGACAGCCGGCTTCGCAGGTCGCGTAGGCCGATCTTGCCGACGTCAACGCCGTCGATCAGCACAGCGCCGCCCTCGGGCTCGATGATCCGGTAGAGGACCATCGTCAAGGACGACTTGCCGGCGCCCGTCCGACCACACACGCCGACCTTCTCGCCAGCCTTGATCTCGAACGAGACGTCCTTCAAGACGAGGTCGAGGTTCTCGCGATAGCGAGCCTTGACGTGGTCGAAGCGAATCGTGCCGTGCTGCGGCCAGTCTGCCGGCGGCTGGCGGTCGGGAAGCTCGAGCGGGGCCTCTGGCTTCAAGTCGATGTACTCTTGGACACGCTCGACCGAGACGATGTTGGTCTCGACTTCGGTGGCGGAGCGGACGATCCAGTTGAGCGTTTGCGTGGTCGAGAGGGCGTACGATAGCATGAGTCCGACGAGACCGGCGTTCACGGTGCTGGTGCGAACGAGCGTGAAGACGGCGAGAGTGGCAGTGCTGAGGATGATGCAGGACCCGATGAACTGGCAGAGAGAAGAGAGTCAGTCGAGACCTCTTCTCGAAGGAGCGGCGAGCTCACCTCGAGGCGAATGGCGAGCCAACGGTTGCAGCTGACGCTGGCAAAGTACGTCTCGTTGTTCCTGTCGACACGAGCCTCGTTCTCGGCGACGAAGCGGTTCGCCTGCTTGTACGACCGAATCGTCGAGAGACCGCCGAGGGTCTCCTGGAAGCTCGCAAAGATGGGCGACTTGGTCGTGGCGTCAAGACGCTTGAGCTCGCGCGACGTGGCGAGGTAGTACCTGTTGAGCGCGTGATCAGCTCGGCGGGTCATGGAGACGATCGACGTAGATGTACTTCTGCACTTGACGATAGACCAGGATGAGCGGGGCGAGGACGACGAGGAAGGCCGGCGCGGATGTCGTGATGACTGCGACCATGCCGAAGACGGCGGCAAGCGTCCGGGCGAAGCCTCCGAAGACGCGAGCAAGCATCTCGTCGATAACGTAGATGTCGCGACTGAACCGGTTGAGGATGGTGCCGATGGGGGTCGTCTCGAAGAAGAGCATCGGCGACCGCATGACAGAGTGGAACCTGTGCGAGCGTGGACAGTGAGCAGGAGAGGATAGCGAGGTAGGATGGCGAACTCACATCCTGTCGTGCATCAGCCGCGCTGACCGGATGACACACAGCGAGTACAAGAGGATGCCGTTGGCGAAGAAGACGAGCGATGCGCTCGCGCCGAGTGCGAAGTAGATCGACAGAAAGTAGCGAACATGGCCGTTGTCGCCGGTATCCGAGTTGTGCTGGGACCAGTTCTTAAGCCACACGTTCGTCCCGATCTGCAACGCCTGCTGCGTGACGATCGTGAAGATGTACAAGAAAGCCTGTGCGAACGAGCGGTCAAAGACGGGAACACTGAAACGAGGTCTTCTACACTCACCCCGAGGTAACCATTCGCCTTGATGTACTCTTTGTAAACGGCCATCTTGACTGATCCCTGCTCGCGCTTCTCCTTCGGGCGAGTGCTGCGCTTGAGGGCGATGAGCGTTGCGCGCTTCTGCTCGTCGACCGGAATGGGTTCGGCGCGCTGGGCCAACGCCTTCGAGTTCTGTATCTTGAGCTTGACGGTCAAGTCTTCGGCGTCGAGCTTGGCTTCGTCCAGCTTGGGGCTCTCGACCGCCGTCTCGTCGCCCGAGCCGTTCTCGGCGGCGGCAGTCTCGTCCGATTCGGATCCGCTGTCCTCGCCCGACTTGCCGAACTCGATGAGCAGGCGGGACAGCTCGGTATCGCCCTGGATGGCCGAGGCGTAGGTGCCTCGCTCGAGGATGATGCCGCGACGGAGCATGATCACTTCGTCGGCCTGCTCGACGTAAGGAATGGCGTTTGTGCAGAGGAGGCGAGCGCGGTCGCGCAAGAGCCCGGTCGGTCCGATAACGCGGTCAAAGAGGTGGCGTCCGACGTGTGCGTCGACTGCGCTGAGCGGGTCGTCGAGGAGATAGATGTCGGCGCGAGAGTAGACGGCACGCGCGAGTGCGACGCGAGCCTTCTGTCCTCCCGACAGGCTGATGCCCTTCTCACCGACCTCGGTCGCATCGCCCTGCGGGAGGAGCTTCAGGTCCTCCTTGAGCGCGCACGCCTCGAGAACGAGCTCGTAGAACTCGGGGTCGAAGCGATAGCCGAAGGTGATGTTTTGCTTGACGGTACCGCCCATAATCCACGGCTGTTGCGCGCAGTAGGCGACAGTGCCGCGAACCGTGACTTGTCCGTCGACCTTGTTCATCTCGCCGAGGATGGCGCTGACGAGGCTCGACTTGCCCGCACCGACGCGACCCACGACCGCGATCATCTCGCCCTTCTTGACGCTGAGCGTGATGTCCTGGAGCGTATTCTCAGGCTGAGGGGTTGAGGCGGGAGCGTCGGGCGCAGGCAGGGACGACCAGGTGAAGTCGCCCTGGACGATCGAGACGAGCTCATCTCCAGATTTGAGCTCACGACGCGGCACCGAGACGCTGACTGCCGATGCCTGGAGCTCCTTGGCGACGAGAAAGTCGGTGATACGGTCGACTGAGACGTAGGCCTCAACGAGGGAAGAGAACACGACGGGGAGAACGGCGAGCGGGAAGCTGAGGAGCTGGAAGAGCGTGATAGCCGGGAAGACGATGTCACTCGTGAGGGGCTTGCCGGTGATGATAGAGAACGTGGCGAAGGACGAGAAGGCGACGGCGAAGGGCGAGAAGGACCAGAGGAAGTTGGAGGCTGCCGAGAGATAGCCTGCGGGTGCCAAGCGTCAGCATGGCGTCGGCGAAGGGGGATCCAATCCAATTCACCCATCTTCCTGAGCATGCGCAATTCCTTGTTGTTGCGGACGTCAAAGAGGCGCTGCGCGAACGAGTCCTCCCAGGCGTAGCTGCGGAAAGAGCGGTCAGCTGTGGTATTAAATGGGACACTTGTCCGGGTTCGCACAGCTTGATCGAGCGGATGTTGTTGAGGATCTCGCTCATAATCGATGCTGCGGAAGGGTATACGTTAGCGGCAGAAGCGGGAGAGGAGGCGAGCGGCACGCACTGCGCTGGTCCTTGTTCTTCATCTGCTGACGCTGCAACTTGGTCTGGTACCGCGCGATCGCGGCCGTCAACGGCATCGTGGCAACCATCACGCCGACACCGACGAGCATAGTCCAGCCGAGCAGGCTATACAAGCTTATGAAGGCTAAGGTGATTTGGAAGACGCCGGACCAGGCGATCTGCGAAAGAATGGCGTAAGTGACCGGTTCGACGCAGGGCGAGCGCAGGGGCTGACCTGTCCGTAGGTGCAGAGATCTTGCAGTCGAGTCGAGTCGGTCGACTGGAGGTTGACGATGTCGCCCGTGAGACGACCGCCACGCTCAGCCGGCGAAAGAACGAGGGCTGCGAACCCGAGTCAGTCGCAACGCTACATGCGGCCGTCACTCCTGACGCACCCTTCTTGTAAATGAGCGAGATGAGGCCGGCGCGGACGCGCATGCCGGTCTCGAAGACGCGAGAGAAGTAACAGTGCAGGAGGATCTGGTGCAACCGATCGTCAGCATCTGGGAGATGCGGCGCTGAGGGACCCCCGCACCGTCTGCGTGATGGCACAGAAGAACATTGAGACTGCGATGATGTAGCCGTGCGATGCGGGCTCGCCGTCGACCGAGTTGTACGACGCCACGAACAGGAGAAGCCGCTTCAAGAGCCACGGCTGCAAGAAAGCGAGCGAGTCCTGGCCGAGCTTGAAGAGCGCGGCAACGAAGAACGGGCCGCCGTAGGCGCTGACGAGGGCGCCCGTGAGACTCGGCTTCTTCTCCTTCTCGCTGTCCTTCTTCTGCCTGCCGTCCGCCGGTGTGACAGCGAAGGTGGCCTCCTGGCCGGGAAGAGCGGGCGTCGAGTGAGTCTTGGCAGCGAGGCGAGCGCGACGAGCCTGCCAGGCCGTTTCGAGGCGGTTGCTGAGAGATTCCGCCGTGTCGTCGGGCTGCAACCAGATGCATCAGCAACTGATTCGAGCGCGGTCAAGGTTGACAGGACGCACCGGAAGAGCCCAGAGATCCTCCTCGGTCAGGAACTTGCGGTAGCCGAGCTTCATCCTGCGAGAAGAGGGTGAGCGGGTCGCTCGCAGAGTTAGAAGCAGAGTGAGACCCACAAAGGCGTCATCCACGAGAAAGTGAGGCACTGAAAGATGTTGGCGCGGAGCCTCGGGCAGTCCTGCTGCTCCCAGTCCTCTCCATCCTCCGCCGTTCCGTCTCTCCGCTGCTCCTCATCTTCCCCGAGCCTGATCTTCCCCTGGCTCTCAACGAAAGGCACGAAATCACGCCAGGTCATGCCCTCCCATCCTTGCGGGCCGAGGAGTTCGAGGCCGAAGAAAGTGCCGAGGAGCGACAGACGGACGACGAGGAAGATGAAGTGTGCGAGAGGGGTGCCGCGCAGGTCGTGGGGAGGGACGGGGGCAATGAGGGCGGAGCGAAGAGCGATGGTCGAGATTGCGCAGGAGAGAAGTGACCAGAAAAGAAGAGGAGTCGAGGCGTGAGGGGGGAGGAGGTGAGAAGCAGTCTCGAGGCAGTGGGCGAAGAGCTGCGGGCGCGAATTGGTCAGAGAACAGTCTTCTAGCTCGGCTGCGAAAGACCCACGTAGGCGGCCAATGTCACCAGAGCGAACGGGAAGCGAGCTTCTCGCCAGATGCGTATTCCTCCTCGTCCCGCCCGATGCGCTTCAACCGCAACCACGGCAGTGTAGCCGACCTGAACGAGCACGAGGCCAGCCAGGAGAGCCTGCAGGAAGGAGCGGTCAACCACGAGGGTTCGTTCAGCGGCCTCCACTTTCGGGAGGAGTGAGGACGCACCAGCTTCAATCCATACGCCGCCTTGCCCTGCTTTGATAGCCGCGCCCTCTCGCCAGTCTTGTACCGCCGCCAGAGCCCGCGAAAGTCGTACCCTCCGCCAACGGCGAGGACGATCGAGGGTACGAGCGAGGCGGTCGTCGCGAGGAAGCAGGCATCGACGTCCCAGGTCTCTGGGTTGTAGGGCAGCCCTGAGCAGACTGGATTGATCCAGTCGAGCGCGCCCATCTCTGCGAGCGGGTGAGGGAATGTGACGAAGAGGGTGAGAGCGAGTCGGCGAGCGAAGTTGGGCTTCGTCAGCACAAGGCGGCGTCGGGGGCTCACTCTGAGGTTTCAGCGCGCGAGTCACGATGCTTGGCAGTCCAGACCCTTTCCTAAGCGCTTGGCTCCGCGGGAGCGTCCGGCCTCTCAGGCCCTCGTTCTCCTCCTCCTCCTGTTTGATGCGGGACGCTCCCAGCAGTCTCGCTGCCGGTTACGACGGGTCCAGAGGGGTTCACGGCGTCGAGATTCGTCAGGTTCTCGCTCCTCCGTGCACTCCAGCGGCCAGAGTAAGCGCAGAAGGGAGGAGGAGAGGTCGGAAACCCCGCTCTCAGCTCGAAGCATACGCCTTCGGCGGTGATGCGATGATGTGGAACTCGATATCATCGACTTGCATGGGTGGGCCCACCATGGGCCTGCAGTCGCACGTGAGGATGCTGAGGCCCAGGCTGAACCGAACGGAGAGGGCAAACGGCCCATTCGAGGGCATTGTCTTCCCCGCTCAGACTACGAGTCCCTCGCTACCCTGACAGAGGCATCGCTTGAGTTCTTGGGGGTTACACTTGACAGGAGAAGCCCTCTTTGCAAGTTCTGAGGACGTGAAGCGCGAGAGAAGGCTGCCGTTCTCGCCGCCGAGAGGGCCAGCTGCCGTGAGGGTTGATTTTGTAGGTCTCTGGGGAGCATCTGCTACTGCACCCATGTCCAAGCTGTGTCTCTCACCAGTCCAGGCAAGGTTGAGCGGGTGAAGAGTTGACGCCGCGGCAGCAGCGCCAACCTCGACGGGTGCCATCCATCCAAAGGCGGTGTGGCCAAGTGGCACGGCACCTGTTTCCGGTGTTCCTGTTTGCAGGAGTCGCAGGTATCGCAGGAGATCGAGAGGGTGAGTGTGTGAGAGTCGAGAAAGGAGCGAGCAGGCAAACTTGCGGAGGACTTGGACCTTGTTGGCTTGCAAGGTGTTGCTCTTGTTGCCAGCGTTTGTAGCTAGATGTGCTGTTGTGCTGGTATCGACATGAGAAGCCTTCTGTGCAAGGTTCCAGAGACGCAAAGCCGGAGAGAAAGTGACCTTCTCGCGGTCAAGGAGGACCGACCGTGGTGAGTGCACTTCTGCAGGCACTCAGAGGGTTCCTACTACTGACGCTATGTGCAAGATGCACCCCAGACTGATGTGAGTGAGGTTGAGTGCACAAGGACTCGATGCACGAAGGAGTGAGCGGACTTGGGACAAGCTCTGGCTCTGCTGGCTGGCATGAAAGTCTTTGCAGTGGAAGCTCGACATGCTCTGCCGCTGCTCTTGACAGGAGAAGCTCTCTTTGCAGGTTTCGAGGGGGTGAAGCGCGAGAGAAGGCCGCCGTTCTCGCGAGAGAAGGCCGCCGTTCTCGCCG